CTTCGCTTAGCACTAAGGGGATATTTGAATATGTTGGCATGCAAACCAGAGATTTCTCACTGTGATGATTTTCAATCTTTTCTTAACGATAGCTCTAAATCTAGGGAGTTATCGTCTGAGGAACAATATGATTACTGGCAACGGCTTGAACTCGAAAGACAGAGACTCGAAACGCAAGAAAAGTTCCAAGAGAGTACTGCGAAAGTGATTTACTCGTTGGCACAAGATTTTGAAAAGTTCAAATCAAAGCTAATTGAAGAGCCGCACCTGATAAGTACTCTTTTCCAAGAACTTGAGTATTGTGAGAAACGGGAAGCTGTATCACCCATATTGCGGTCCTTCATAGATTGGTGTAAGCTCGAAATTGCAGCTACCCTTTATCAAGTGTTTCTTACTCAAGACAATTCCAATGAATGGCTCGGAAAATGCAGAAAGTTTCACCGATTATTTCCCTATAATGTCTGTTACGGGATTTTAAAGTACACAAACCCCGTGAATGTAATGACTCGTTTAGTGGATCTTCTCTTGATGGACTTGCCTTCATTTTCATTCAAATCCGGTACCAATAAAGGTCCAAATAGTTTGCTCTCGATGGTGTTTGTGATGTTGTTGGATGAAGACTTGGAGAATTATGATAAAGAAAGAGTCAATTTGCTAAACTCAGAACCATTGAATGACCCACGCTACAAATTTATCATTGACCGCATTAACTATTACGTATACGATCTCGATGATGAAATTAAAGAGGATCTCAAAGATGAAGCCAAAACAGAAGGTGAGAATTTGCTTTTATTCTTCTTAAAATCAAAGAGAGTTCTACCTGAAGTAACTGCTGAAAATTTACCTTTTTTACAAAAGATCACCGAATCGTATACGGCATATCAAAGTTTGAAAGAACATAAGGAAGTTTCTGAGACCAATGCATATATTAACGTTCGTCAACTTTGGCAATTGGAGACCAGAACAAAAGATAAGAATAATATGAAAAGAATGTGGCAAGAACCCAGAATTAACGCAGTTGATCAAAAAGGTGCTCTCTATGTTCTTCAATCCCATGATGTCAGTCATGAAAAAATGTGACATTCACTTAGTGTTTAGAGATTGGCAACACTTTATGAATGATTTGATGGAAGAATTAACTATTTTGGATGAAGGTGATATGTATTTTATTAGTCCCGTTGAGATGCTTGGTCGCTTTCAATCACTCTTGGATAAGCATGAGCAAAGTCTTTGGGAGATTTTTGCATAATTTGTATGTCAAGGATACAGACAAAATATTTCTCGGCATTGTGGGTTGGATCGAACACTTCTTGAACATTTTGAGGGCTAAATTCAAGGACCCAGAAAGCGTTACTCTTGATTTAGCCAGTCTTAAGCCTTCGTCGCCAATTGATAAGGATCGGTTTGTGGACGAGGTTGATGGCAGGATGATTTTGATACTTAAGAAGAGAAAAATGTTAAAGGACCTTTTGAGCAAATCAGCGACTAATTCAATGAATGCCCAACTGGGTGAATGTAAAGGTTCATCGGATACTCCAAGTCCATACGAAATTCAACAATCCAGTTTGCCACATCAAAAAGCCATTGACGAAGAATGGAAAAAGATTAACGACAATGTGATTAACATGAATACGGCTGATATTGGTTTAGCTGCAGATGATATCGAGGAGTTCAATTTGCTCACAGAACACGATAACAAAAGTGACGATAAAGCCGGTGATTTCGATGCCGTGCGCCTAGAAGGCATGAGAAAAATTACACTCTTAGATAAGAGTGTACAAGAATACCCTCAAACGGAAATACTCAAATTACGAGACGCTGTTCATCAGGAATTATGCAAGATGTTACTTCGGGGAGGTGGTTAACCACTTTGAATGAAAACAACTTCAATAGAAAGAAAATAACAATAGATATGCGGTACACGAACTCGTACAGTTAGACTTGAAAACTAAGCTATATCTTATCCAAGAGCAACAAAGCATATTCAACTTCCCGTAGGCAAGCGTACTTGAGATACCTTTAGAATCCTATTTTTTATTGAGCGTCGCCTGAACGATAACATAGTTCTGTGATGCTTTTGCCTGGCCATCGGCCGATGGCGAGTTAGGAGCACGCACACAAACACGGCCATACAGGTAAAACAAAAGAAACGACCCTCGAATCTTATAATTGTTGAAGTTGAACTTCTTTCAATCTTGGTGATGGTAGACTGCGTTTTGGTGCTCTTCTCGTCATTTCTTCAACACTTCGAACATTATCCTCTTGCGTGTGGAATAATCTGCAAGAGCCCGCTGTACACGGTCGCGCGATATCATACCCCTTGTGGTATTAGAGCATGCAGGATACCATTTACCGAGTGTGTGGGACGTTGTAAACATGCATATCGTGTGGTGAATTACCGTTCACTTGAAGTGAGAGAGTTTTAGAACGACATCGCGTGCATTTGATTTTAACGCTCGTGCTCACAAGGATCTGGTTTGGGGTGATCTCAGTATACCCTAAGTCTATGTCCGAATGTCTTCTGCGTAGTGTATGTATGTGTGCGCATCAATGCATGACGTCGGCCCGAGAAAAGCTTGGAAGAAAAAATGTGTTCTTACCGGTAGGAGTAGAATACAAGAATGCCAAAAGACATTGTAATCAAACCAAGTGCGCTAAAGTACCTTATTGCCATATTGCTAAACGGTGCCTTAGGAATGATTTGGTACTGTAGATGCCCAGATATGTAAAGTCTGCATACAACAGACATGCCGAGTGGAGTGCACGTCCAATATGCAATTGCAGCTAAAAATTCCACATTGATATATATTCTTATATGTGAGGAATTCTGTAACCACATTTTTTATTTTTAGTTAGTGTTTAAGTGTGAGTTGGACTACATTGGTTCTAGTATCTAACTATCCACGTACCTAAACCTAAATCAAAACTTACAGGTGGTTGTCCTATGGCATAATTCACTACAAATTCAATATGGCCCTTATAAAACGGATGATCTTTATATCTCGGAAGGCCAAGTTTTTCTTCATTTTGGGGCTAGCGGCGATAAACTTGGTTTTGTTAACATATTTCCATCTTGATGGCCTGCTACTGTCGTCACTTGCCCAGCTCATACCGACAAATGAGTGGGATAGTCTAGTTGCACCATTATTGAAGGAAGTTTCCGCAAACAAAACTAGGTTTTGGACTACAAACACACCTTTGCGGCATTTGGATGTGGAAATTCCGCTTTCTAGAATCGTTCCCTCGGAGAACATCAACGAAACTGAGCTATTTTGGGATCCTCGATTCACTATTGCAGCATACACCAACGAGTTATCGAAATTCGGCAACTCAAACGACGTTCCAACACTACCGTTTCATTGGGCTGATTGGGCGGACGTGACTGCCTTGAATGATAAATTGAAGTATAGAGGTAATCCACGGCAAATTACTTGCAAAAGATTGAGATTGAGGATACGAGGCCATCCTAACCCAGATTACTTTTGCAAAGATGTTGACGCTCTCACCGACGAAGAAGTATATGAAAGTGGTTTCCTTTCGCGAGAGCAGATGCCACAAGCTGTGATCTATGACCATTGCAAGCATGAACATCAGGCATACAACGACGTTAGGGTTTTTATGGCAAAGTCATATGTCTTAACACACCTCCCTAAGCCTTACAAAGTCATTATTTTTAACAAGAACAATGAGAGAGGTGTGTTCGAATTTATTGTGGACCAAGAAAGAAATCCTCAACAACGCCTATTATACAGCGATTTAACACAAAATCTCATTAGCGATTCCATTGTGAAAGAAGTGGACGGTGAAAAAAGACTTTCATTCAATCATTTGAACTACTTTGATAAAATGGCTAAATCCTTCCCGGCTCGTCGCTTGTCTAAAGAAGAGGACGTTCATTCTTTGCATAATGTCATTGACTCTAATAACGGTACAAAAATGATGTCCCTCGGACCAGAATTGTTCTCCCATTCTATCCAAAAAGTTGACAATCTTATCAAAGAATTGGAAAGTAAGGATGATAAATCTGAACCTGAACTCAATTTCTTGAACGGCATGAAAGAAAGTCGGAAGTATAATGGCACGAATGAACCAACATATTTCAAGATGCCGTTACTCAATATTCAAGAGCTGAGAAACATCCATAATGATTGGGGCTGGCATTATGATTGGAGATTCTTTAATGATATGCTCTTCTTCCATAAGCGAGGATGGACAAACGAACAACGTATTGAAAGAACAAATATTATATTGGAGCGCTTATTACGGAACTGGGTCCGCTTCACGGAGGAAAAGGGAATCATTTCGTGGATCATGCATGGTCCCCTTCTTTCCTGGTACTGGAATGGTCTCATGTTTCCCTATGATGTTGACATTGATGTCCAAATGCCAATTTCAGAGCTTGTGAGATTGAGCAAAAATTATAACCAAACTTTGGTGGTTGAGAATCCACAAGAAGGATACGGAAGATTTCTCATTGATATCGGCTCCTATATTCATAATCGAGATGTCTCAGAGACGGGCAATCATATTGACGGAAGATTTATTGATGTTGATTCTGGAATTTACATTGATATCACCGGTCTCTCGAAATCAACCGCTAATCTTCCATCCGAATACAAAGACAAACAATTAGTCGAGAAAGCTGACAACAGTGCAGATGCAGAGGTGTACAATGATCGCCGGAAGCACTTTTATACATTGCCGCAGCTCCAACCATTGCGTTATTCCATGATGAATGGTGAACCAGTATTTATTCCTAATAAGGTTGAGGAGAGATTACGTTTCGAGTATGAGACGGGGTTGGACAAGTATGAGTTTAACGGATGGATCTTTGTTCCGCAACTCCAACTTTGGGTTTTAAAGAGTAATTTGATGAAGATTTTGACAGATGAAGAAACACACAAAGATGAGACAGAGGATATCGAAACAATTGTGAACTCTGTTAAAAACTTGTCTTCCGAAAGAATAATTAAGTTGCTCCAGAGTAACGATGACATTCTAAAGGAGTATTTCTTATCAAAAGATCTTGCTGAATGGCACATGAAGGAAAAGAATGTATTATTCGATAACAACGGGAAAGATAGAATAGATGTCCTTGAGGACAGCGAAAGGAAACAGTATTACGAAGAACTAGTTGGTGAAATTTCAATGAGATCCCCAATGAGAATGTGTCTTTACGAGTATGAAAAGTTCGAAAGAACAGCTCACTAATTAAAGCATTTGCTTGCCAGACCATGAGCTTTGACTTGACAAGAGCAAATTTGGAGATGTAGTGTATAAAAAAAAAAAGAAATCTGTGTAATATCATAATTGCAAAACTTCCGAGAATATCCGCGCGATTCATAAACGGGTAAATCGAAATGTAGGAAATTTAGATCATCAGATTCATTTCTTTTTCTTCTGCAATAGAGCGGAAAGAGTCGCACCCACAACTCAATAATATTGTGTGCCGGACTGAGCTCCTATAATCAAGTGTCATCCTTCAGTCGTTTAAGCTCGTTCCTTTTCTCAGCCGCTCTTCTTACCTTCATTATTATCGTTTTACATAGCCCATAGTTGGCCTAATTATCATTGCTTTAATTTCATCGGCGCTGAAAGATAATGTCCACTACCATTGTATCGGGTGTCAGAAATCGAAACCATACAAACAAGTTACCACCACAGGTCACTGAAACTCAGACGAGTGAAAGTCTTTTGATTGAAAAGCTAGATGCTTTCCTTTCGAGTATCGAACTGCGCTTAGAGCGTTTTGAGAGGTACTTCCAAGTAGTTGGTGCTGGAGCATCTGAGACCTTGGTAGAAAGTGAAGGGAATGGAAAAAACCCAACGCAATCACATAATCGGCGGGGCAGCACTGCTTCGCTCTCTTCCTTGAAGACTTTATCTGCAACCCACATGAACCAGGTTTATGAACAGTTACGGAGTGTTAAGGATCATGTACTTCAAACTTCAATTACTAACTTGGAGTACTTATACAAAACATTGGATGAAAAGTACAATGATTTATTCAGTAACGATGAATCATCGCTAATCTTACCAGAGGAGGATGTAACTAATGAGGCACTTTCGACCAACATCATCAACACCATCCAGTTCTTCGAACAAAAGTTGAGTCATATTGACCAATTCATTAAAAGTAGGACTCCAGCTGCAACAGATAACTACGACCATGATTCCAAGTTTAATCGGTTTCGCTTTTTCAACTTTAATAAAGCACTTAAAGAAGCCGAAGAAAAGTACTTGCATTACTACCAGCTTCCTTTGAGCTGGAGAGAAAACAGATATATTATTCACGGTTACAGGTTTTCCCTCCAACACAAGGATATACTCAAGTCCATGTTTCACTTCAACCATAATGAGACAGGTAATATATGGACTCACATCATAGGTACAGTGTTAATGCTTTATCTTGGGCTTGTTCATTTCCCAAAGACTGACGTTTTTGCCGCAAATACGTGGGTTGACAATATGGTGATGTACGTCTTCTTGCTTGCCGCAATCGAGTGTTTGGTTAGTTCTGTTCTCTGGCACACATATTCCTGTTTTGCACACCTTCAGATTCGAAACCGCTTTGCCTGTGTTGATTATACTGGTATCACCGTGTTGATTACATGTTCCGTCATATCAGCAGAGTATTGTGCATTGTACAATAGTTCAAAATTGTTGTACCTATTCGTGGGTTTTTCGATCATTTCAGGCTTGAGTGGATTGTTGTTTAAATTGGTCGCCATACTTTGACAAGCCAGAGTGTAGGCCACTTCGGATAGTCTTCTTTGTGTGCTTGGCCTTGTTAGGAGGAACAACATTTTTGTGCAAATGGAGATACGAGGGCTTCCTTCCGTCGTTGTATTTCTACCTTCCACTTGTTTACAACTCGTTTGTGTGGTACTGGACGGGAGTAGTTTTCTACGGTGGGTTGATTCCCGAACGGTGGAGATATGACATTATCATCAATGAAGACAGTACCTGCAGACACACGCACACAACCAGCGATGTTTTGACAGGCCACATTGAAAATTGTGGTGAGGAAGAAATGGAGGAAATGGAACACGAAATGGAGGAATTGGGCTTGCACGAGGAACTGGATTCCGTTTCTGTCACCGTTGAAGCGGAAGACTCTGACAGTGAGGATAAAATCCAGGATATTTTAGCAAAGCATTTTCCTGCTGAACCAATGAGGACACCATACCACCGCGACCTTTTCTCATTGTGGTGGGTAGACTACATTTTATCCAGCCACAACATCTGGCATGTTTGTGTGGTGTTGGGGGTTACTGGCCACTACTTCAGTCTTTTAAGCATGTATAGATGTGTGCGGCAAATCTCGTGAGTCATTTAATAGTTAACCACACTAGAAAATATAGGGTCAAAGGATGCTCAGAAGTGTATTCAGTGCTGACTGGGCACATGTTCATAGCCACAGACTCGAGTCGAACCCAACTTGTATTCACCACGTCATGCTAGCCCTTTCTTCTGTAATTTTTTTTTTTGCATTCTTTTTTTTCACGAGCTAACCAGCTCTTGGCGTGCATCTATTTAGCCCAAAGCGTACGTGTGCGGAAAAAGTTTATAATCTGGAAGCGTGAAAAAAACTTCACCGGCCAAAAGGCTGCACGCCGCTTAAAAGTTCTGGTTATGTTATGCAGTTTAAATTTTTTGATACATTTTGCCAGTACAAATGCGGGCCCAATCAGCGAAGTGCACCGAACATATGTAGTGTAAGTGAGCCCACCGAGAATTTGCGGCGACAAAAGGGCGACATTCCCCAAGTACGAACATTTTTCAGGTTCCCCACAACGGCTGAATTTCCGGCAGAAACCTTTTTTTTTTTTTTTTGCACCAGCAAAAAAAGAAAAGGAACACATAATAACGTCATGATACAGTTTCCCTGGAGTTCCTACATATTGCGCCCAGTTTCATCCTTTGCAATGTGACACCAAAAGTGCCATCCGGCATGTCCCTCATGTGCACCTGCATGTATTCCCGGAACAGTGATCTTTCATCCAGGACCCTTCTATGTCATGGCCTCCGGTTTCATCTGTAAGTCACAGGCGACGGCAAGGCTTTTCTTCCGCAAGATGGGGCCCAAATGCTTACCGAGGAGTGGAAACATGGCGTCTGCTCTGGTAAGTGTAACCTTACCCCGCAAACATTGCACACACGGGAACACATGGCTACTAACACACAAACTATAGGATGCGGCTCAAGCATTTGAACATAATATGTTGCGCGGGTGTCATTGCAAACGCGGCATTGTATGCCAGATGCCGGCAGAAGAAATGTACTTTTATGGCTAATTGTGCATATTAATGGCCATGTCTGCAGTCCTTTCACGTAATGATGCTTCTGGATGTAGCGCAGGTGCATATGAGTGGTGGGGCATCCTTACAGTGAGAATGCCTCTTGTTTACCTTCAGGCCGGGCATATAAAAGCGGCCGGTTAGCCCCTACGTCAAATTTGCCCCCCATTCTAGAGGATTGTTACTGATTATGAAATTGGTTGGAAGAACAAATACCTTTGGTCTCTCAGGAAGACCTTTGAGACTTGCCGTCACTATCATCGCTACTACTGGTTTTTCCCTCTTCGGTTATGACCAAGGTCTAATGTCCGGTTTGATTACCGGTACGGAATTCAATAAGGAGTTCCCCGCCACTTCGCTTACTAGACCACATGTGGATAAGCACCATGTTACTGTTATTCAAGGTGCTGTCACTGCCTGTTATGAGTTGGGATGTTTCTTTGGTGCCTTGTTCGCTCTTTTCCGCGGTGAGCGTATTGGCAGAAAGCCTTTGATTTTCTCTGGCTCTCTCATTATCATTGGTGGTACTATCATTTCTGTCACTGCCTTCAGAGAACACTGGGGATTGGGTCAGTTTGTTATTGGAAGAGTCATTACTGGTATTGGTAACGGTTTGAACACCGCCACAATCCCTGTGTGGCAATCCGAAATGTCCAAGGCCGAGAACAGAGGTAGATTGGTCAACTTGGAAGGTTCTGTTGTTGCAATTGGTACTTTCATTGCCTACTGGTTGGATTTCGGTCTTTCGTATGTCGACAACACTGTCCAATGGAGATTACCTGTTGCTTTCCAGATCTTCTTTGCCCTTATCTTGTTGCTTGGTATCATTAACTTGCCTGAATCTCCTAGATGGTTGATCTCTCAAGACCGTAAGCAGGAGGCTATGGAGGTTTTGAGTAAGTTGGGTGGATTGCCTATTGATGATGATGAGGTTTACGCCGAAGTTACTCTTATCCAAGATGCTGTCAACAGATTCTCGAGATCCCAAGTTGGTTTCAAGGACTTGTTTTCTGGTGGCAAGACTCAGCACTTCCAAAGAATGCTCATTGGTGCTTCTACCCAATTTTTCCAACAGTTTACTGGTTGTAACGCGGCTATTTACTACTCCACTGTTTTGTTTGAGACCACAATTTTCCACGGTAAGAGAAGATTATCTTTGATTCTTGGTGGTGTCTTTGCTACTGTTTATGCCCTTTCCACTATCCCATCTTTCTTCTTGATTGACACATTCGGAAGAAGAAACCTTTTCTTGACTGGTGCTTTAGGTCAGGCTATCTCTTTCACCATTTCCTTTGCATGCTTGGTTGACCCTACTACACAGAATGCCAAGGGTGCTGCTGTCGGTATTTTCTTGTTTATTACCTTCTTCGGTTTCACCATTTTGCCTTTGCCATGGATTTACCCTCCAGAGATCAACCCATTGAGAACCAGAACTGTGGCAACTGCCATCTCCACCTGTACCAACTGGCTTACTAACTTCGGTGTTGTGATGTTCACTCCAATTTTCATGGATGCTTCTGCTTGGGGTGCCTACTTGTTCTTCGCTGTCTTGAACTACTTGTTTATTCCTGTCATTTTCTTCTTCTACCCAGAAACTGCCGGCAGAACTTTGGAAGAGATCGATATCATTTTCGCCAAGGCTCATGTCGACGGTCGTCAACCATGGAGAGTTGCTGCTACTTTGCCAAAGCTCAACTACAAGCAAATCGAAGAACACGGCAACCAGCTCGGTCTTTACGATGGCGACTTTGAGAAGGAGGGCTTCGAAGTTAAGGAGGATGTTTCTTCAACTGCTTCTGATGATAGAGGAGAGGAAGGTGTTATGACCACCCAAGTGTAATATTTATTGAGAACCCTGTATAATAACGTGACGAGTTTTAAAACTTTAAGCACTGCGTGCGACAATTGTAGCATCGGCTAGGACTGGTGGTACTTTCACCGCCTCGGGAAAACTATTCAAAACAGAGAGACCCACAGCGGTGAAAATAAAGAAAAAAATGCGGGTTATCCTACGCTAGATGGAGAGCGGTTAAGTTTCCTATTAATTTGGTAACTCTTGACATCCACTCTTTTATCAATCTTCTCCTTTTTCAAGCCCTAACACCCTCCTCAAGTAAGTCCGGCAGCCGTATGCCGGTTAACGCCGAAATATACAGAAACAAAAGAGAATTTTGAATGCACTTGATGACATCACCGCAAACATACTCGGTTCTCCACCATCGTGATCTCTGCTATGTGCATTTCTGGGGCTTGCAAATGGAAGTATCTACAACAGTATATAGGCCAAAATAGTCAAGTCCGAGTGAACGTTCATATATTGTAGAGGCGTAGATGAGATCCTTCCTTTCGCGGAGGTAAGTCTATTGTTCTTCCGTCTGCAGGCAACCATGGTGATTCTGGTGGTAATGTGCAATCCCCTGCCCCGCTTTTCTCATTACTATCTTGAGGTTCCTTCATCAGTCGTGGGGAGAAAAATAGAAAAAAAATAACGAAAGGGCCTAATAGCTCCAACCTTTATCTTCCTTGTATCTTCTCTTCCCAGCGTTTCTTAAACTTGTTGCCCAATACGTGGTCAGAGATACTAAGTAGTGACCAGATGGAAGTGCACATGAACCAGCCTCTTCTTCCCGTTGGTCTACCCAGTCAGTCAGCGTTTGAAAACAATGATACGGAGAAGTCGACTAAGAAGCTCCAAGAGGTGAAAGTCCTCGCCGATGGAAATGTTATGAAGCTTCAAAAAACAAGGCAACGACGAATTTTGAGCTGCATCCATTGTCATTCGAAGAAGATCAAATGCTCTCGAGTTCAGCCCGTGTGTGACAACTGCAACAAGCTAGGGATCGAGTGCAAGTACTTTGTTAATAAGAGATTAAGCAGAGGCCGCCGCAAAAACTCTCTGCCGTCGCAAACTCTGGCGAAGTCTTCTAGGGAACCCACCACCTCAAAACTGTCCGTCAAGTTGGAGCATAATCTGCCGAAATTCATTACTTCCCAAGATCCTGGTTCAATAGCCGCCCATTCTTCTACCCACTTATCTGACCTGATTCCTAAGCTGAGATCTCCCGAACAAATGAAGGATGATCCCATCACTTTTCCAGCAGATGCCCCACTCAATTATGTGCTGATGACAACAATGAAATCTGGCGTTAGTCCTCCCTCTGCGAAGGTTGAGTCCATTCCTCCTGTCGCACTTCCTTCAGAATCTACGAATCCGATGCTCCAGGCTCCTGTTGTTAACTCCGTTAGCAATAATATCACCAATAACTTTTTCAACACAAACTATGCGAATAATGGTGGCAATCAACAAAAAAATACCTCTTCAGAAGATCTCTATTCTTTTAATTTGAGTTCTTTTACTTTCACTTCAGGCCAATCACTAAATGGGAATGCAGTCCCAAACAAGATTTTCCCTGTCAATTCACTGGGAAAATTTGATCAAGATTCACCAAGAAAATCAGATGAGCCATACCGCCTGCCTTCCGTGGGTGTTTTGAAAAAAACTGACAGTAACTCTAATATAAACGGTATCTTGAATGGAAACTCACAAAGCGCAATTACTAACTTTGTGGATGGCCCACGGAGCACGGTCCCAGTTGTCACAAACATTTCAAATAATATTAAGGTGGCAACTCTGTCGACTTACACTTTGCAAAACTTATCGTCTGATATTTCCGATACTGAAAACTCTCAGCTCAATAATCCAAGCTTGCACAACTCTCTAAATGCTTATCCCTCAAACCCTGCAACTACGATGAATTATCTATATGGAACTAACACGTATTATGAAAGCCACAATTTGTTGTCAGACCTTATCAATCATTTACCAGGTTCGAAAGAACGTTCGCTTGAGCTTTTAGATCGTTACCAAAATTCTGTGCATATAATATTCCCTGTCATGGTCAATTTGCCTGAGTTTATTAAGGAGCATGAGAAATTTTGGGATAAATTTGATCCCAACAAGACCAATTCCAGCTCCTGCTTCTCTCCTGAGAGCCATGGCGATTTCAACTTGTTGCAGTTCTATACATTATATTTTCCGATTCTATATGCTGCAACAATATCCGAATTTGAGGAGTATGACAATTTGCTCTTAAACCAAGATATTAACAAATACTTGAAGGGGTTCAACAACATATGTCAATATTATAATTACCCTCATGGATTGAAGTCTATCCCACTCCTCTTGGGTAATGTGATTATACAATCAACTAGCCCCAATCCATCAACTATGGAAATGTCTCAGATAATGAGGTATGCAAAATTTTTGCAATTGCATAAAGATCCTGTTAAGTCATTGCATATATCCGATTGGAAGATTGTCAGGTTCAGAAGAGTACTTTGGTGGGTCATTTTTGGACTAGATGCTTTAAGTAGCCACAATTTTTGCTTGCCTCCAGTTTGCAAGATGGATGACTTTAATGTTGAATTGCCTGAAGCAGAGGATCCTGTTTATGATTCTTCTGGTCATTTGATTCACAAAAAATTGAATGTCGCAATTCTCTCTATGACCATCAAGTTCAAGTATGATCGTATTTTGAGCGAATTGGTGAATCAGTTACATAATGCTCTTTCACCAAATATCTCAACCGATGAGGTAGAACGAATCAAATCCATGATCATAGGCTTATTCCACTACATCCACCAATCAATCTTGAAAATGAATGAGTTCTTCAAGGCCAATCCACCAAAGACTGTCCAAGAAGTGAATCTACTTCATTTCATAAAGAATCACTCGTGGAGCTACGTTGATCGCGCCATGATGCTATTGCATAAAAAGATTCTTCTTAATGAACCCAAAGGTGATGCTGGGAGTTTGGAAGTAACGAAGGATACACCGGCTCTTTCATTCCGTAAAGGCAGCGGTTCTTTGGCTTTGAGCGAGTATGAGGATACGTTTGGCAGATTGCAAGAGACAAATATAATCAAGAATTTTGATAATTTGTCGATCTCGCAACTCAAGTTCAATCAGCATGAGCTTTTCACGTATGAGAACATGCATAACAATTTAATTCCCTCCATTTTGCATAATTTGAATGATTTCTTGAAATATAATGACTTCATCAAATTTGGGAAGTTCAACTGGTATGTGAAACGAACAATACCTTTGGATTCAATAATAATGTTGTTTGTGGTAATTTGTGTCAAGTTCAAATACGACTTTATGACGTTAAATGAGTTGGTGATCTATGTCAACTTGATAAACAAAGCGCTCTTCATTTTGAACAGAAAGTATTTCAAAAATGAAAAGTACAAGAGGATGCTTTCGTTGACAAATTTAACATGGGAGTTCATTTTAAAAAAGCACAATGTTGTGCGCGTTATGAATGCCATAAACCACCGGAAGGATGTGAAGGTGGAGTTTTTTGACTACCAGGTTAGTGGCTACATGAATTTAAGTGAGCTATTCAATGTTATGGACGTGCCTCAGCCTGCTTTGATCTGTGATGGTGAAAATTATGGAGCCATTAAAGATAATGATGATGTTTCGTCCTTCAATGAACCCTCGAATAGATGGGCAGATCAAGAATTAATGGGCCAGTCTTTCTATTCGAGCAACATCCTCAAACAATTAGATGACCGAAGTGATACAGATTTGCAGGGTCAAAAACTTGAGCTTCTTCAACTAAATGAGAAAATCTACTACGATCTACGTAACAACTTTGTGGACATCATCGATTACTGTACCTTCTATTCATCGTTGGAGAATGTGCTTCACGAATTGATGGATTACATTAACAGCAGCGGGAATATCGCACATTAGATCCTTATAGACCTGCTGCGTATTCTAGCATTCAACGTTCAATAAAACAATGGGTGTGTATTGGTAATTTGCGACTAGCAAAAAAAAAGCGTGAAAAAAAACCTCTACACGGTCGAAGAAAAGGGTATAATTGTTCGAAATCAAAACAATCCAGCAGGGATATCACGAAAGTATGTTTTGGGTCTTAATGCCAAAATCTGTTAACAGTTCGTATTTTTTTTTGTAACTTTATGGTAGCATTACCACCATGTTTAATCTTCTCGACCACTGATCTCTTACTCTCTCTCTCTCTCCTTTTCCATTTCAGCGCACACTTCACATGGAGATTCATTAGGGGAACCTCCAGAAGAAGCAGAGCCTGATCCAGAACCGGATCCGGAACCTGAACCTGAGCCAGAGCTAGAGCCGCCAGGGCCGGATTTGGCTGACCCTGACCCTGATCCTGATCCTGATCCTGATCCTGATCCGGAGGCAGACGATCCTGAGCCTGGACCAGAGTTTGCCGAGCCTGAGCCTGAGCCTGAGCCTGATCCTGAGCCTGAGCCTGATGCTGAAGAACCTGGAGAACCTGGAGAACCTGGAGAACCTGGAGAACCTGGAGAACCTGAAGAACCAGGAGAACCAGACTCAGAAGCGCTTGGAGAGCTTGGAGAACCAGACTCAGAAGCGCTTGGAGAGCTTGGAGAACCAGACTCAGATGAACCTGGAGAGCTTGGTGACCCTGGAGAGCCTGGAGAGCCTGGGGAACCTGGAGCACCTGGAGCACCGGAAGCACCAGGGGAACCTGGAGATCCTGGAGATCCTGGAGATCCGGAAGCACCTGGAGAGCTTGGAGAGCTTGGAGAACCTGGAGATCCACTTGGAGAGCTTGGAGAACCTGGAGAACCTGGGGAGCCTGGAGAACCGGAGGCACCAGGGGAACCTGGAGATCCTGGAGATCCTGGAGATCCGGAAGCACCTGGAGAGCTTGGAGAGCTTGGAGAACCTGGAGATCCACTTGGAGAGCTTGGAGAACCTGGAGAACCTGGGGAGCCTGGAGAACCGGAGGCACCAGGGGAACCTGGAGATCCTGGAGATCCTGGAGATCCGGAAGCACCTGGAGAGCTTGGAGAGCTTGGAGAACCTGGAGATCCACTTGGAGAGCTTGGAGAACCTGGAGAACCTGGAGAACCTGGAGAACCGGAAGCACCTGGGGAGCCTGGAGAGCCTGGGGAGCCTGGAGAGCCTGGAGAGCCTGGAGAGCCTGGAGCACCGGAAGCACCTGGGGAACCTGGAGATCCTGGAGATCCTGGAGAACCGGAAGCACCTGGGGAGCCTGGAGAGCTTGGAGATCCTGGAGAACCACTTGGAGAGCTTGGAGAGCCTGGAGAACCTGGAGAACCTGGAGAACCTGGAGAACCGGAAGCACCTGGGGAACCTGGAGAGCCTGGAGAACCAGACTCAGACGAACCTGGAGAGCTTGGTGATCCTGGAGAGCCTGGAGAGCCTGGGGAACCTGGAGAACCGGAAGCACCTGGGGAACCTGGAGAACCTGGAGAACCACTTGGAGAGCTTGGAGAGCCTGGAGAGCCTGGAGAGCCTGGAGAGCCTGGAGAACCTGGAGAACCTGGAGCACCGGAAGCACCTGGGGAACCTGGAGAGCCTGGAGAACCTGGAGAACCTGGAGCACCGGAAGCACCTGGGGAACCTGGAGAGCCTGGAGAACCTGGAGAACCTGGAGAACCGGAAGCACCTGGGGAGCCTGGAGAGCCTGGAGAGCCTGGAGCACCACTTGGAGAGCTTGGAGAGCCTGGAGATCCTGGAGAGCCTGGAGCACCGGAAGCACCTGGGGAACCTGGAGATCCTGGAGATTCTGGAGAACCGGAAGCACCTGGGGAACCTGGGGAACCTGGAGATCCCGCTGGGCCTGATGGGCCTGCTGGGCCTGCTGGGCCCGCTGGACCTGCTGGACCTGCTGGACCTGGAGCACCTGGGGCACCTGGAGCACCTGATGCACCTGGAGATCCTGGTGATCCTGGAGATCCAGAGCCGGAGCCATTACCTGAGCCGTTGCCTGAGCCGTTACCCGAGCCATTGCCTGAGCCATTGCCTGATCCAGAGCCCGAGCCTGGTGGACCACCTGAACATGAACATTCCCAACAGTATTGGTTGAATTCGGCCTTCTGTGTTCCCATCAGTTCAAAAAGCTTGGCCTTGGATTTGAAGTGCAAAAATCCTCTCTTCTGATGAGGACCGAGTACTTCCTTTGCAAGGAATTCTGGTGAATCTTCTCTCTTGTGAGAAGAAGAACCCATAAGCTGTCCAGCACTAGTAAGAACCTTACAGGAATCAGTGCTGCCTTGGTTCTTCCAAGCAAATTGCATAGGGAAAACTTCTTTCCACCCAGAAGCGGAATCCAGGTTCATATCAATGTTAAGTGCCAAAGATCTTGGCAAGCAGCACTTGCCGTTGATGATTTCTGGTTTAACGACTATAGGAGTACTCCATTGTGCCCAGTTTTCGATATTGGTATCGTCACCCTGGATCAATGGGTAGTCCATTGTACCGGTACCTGTGAAGGTGAGAGACGAAATCATACTGATAGGAATCAAATTGATAATTTCATTGTACTTGTCCATCTGGAAGTTACACATGACCTCGTAGAAGCCATTAGCATATTTTGTAACATCAGAAATTGCCAAAATAGCTTTAGGAAACAAGCCCAAAGTTCTCTTTTCATTGTCGTCTCTTGCACTAATTTCAATGTCAGTACCACACTTAATAATAGTGTTGACAGCACATCCTCCACTGCCACCCATGGCACCGCTTGGAGCAGGTCCACAGTCGTCACCCGAACAGCTTGGCGTGGAACCACAGTTTCCGCTCGAGCACGAGCCGGAGCCCCCACTAGAGCCTCCACCCAGGAGACCACCCAAAAGCAATTTCTTTTTAACATCAATCAAACCATGCACGACGGAGAATAAAGCCCCGAAGCATGCAGCCGCCGGATATATACCGATAACGAAGGCAAGAAGCACTGCGTAAACTGAAGGAGTTTTCATGTTCCGTAGTGTCTGTCGATTGGTAAAACAAAAGTTCAAACTTGGTGAGACATATTTATACACCTTGATGACAAGCAAGCATTCCCGATAGAGCATCCGCGTATTATTCAAGAGCCATTATCTGTTTACATGGCTCATGCATCAGGTTGTTCAGAGACTTCAAAAAATTTGGTAACAAAGGGTTTGGGCTCCTGAGGGAATTGTCTCTTTCGTGATGTTGCTGCAAAATGCTTTCATCGCTGTACAGCGGTTGGATTTTCACATAATCTCATAACCCTAAAGGGCTCGTGAGCTAAAACACTTAGCTGGGGCATGTGCATAGATGTTTAAGGACTGGTGATTTGAGAAACTGATGCAGTTCCGTGTATTGCAAAGGAAAGAAAACAGGAAGGCGGTTAGTTCATGAAACGCGAAGTACGGGTTTCAATCCGCTCGCCCATCCTACCTTCTCTGATTACTAGACTCCCATAACTTGTTGAGCCTATCTAAACTGGGATTTTTTTTTTTTTTTCAATACATATTTTCTGCACCTGCGGCAACGATGCACAATTTAAGACTCCGGCTAAAGCATCTTTGTTCATGTTACAGAGAACTATTTTAGACTATTGTTTTCTGCGCCTTGCCCTGATCAATGTGCACTCCACATACCATTGGATCCCAACTAGTGCTCCTATTATACTGAATGGGATTCTCGGATTGACAGGGTCCAAAAGAGCAAATTCAAAATATCTTTCTTGGTATTGAATTTGCGAAAGATGTCCATTCCGTTTGTCTTCGTCCGTTTTAGGTTTGTTTTTTTTGTTTTTTCTTTTTTGTTTTTTTTTTTTTTGATTTTATGTTCGCATGGTTAGTTTCATGGCAGACACATTACTCTCCAAATCAATAAGGGAGAGTAAGCATTGAAAAATACTGCTTAAATTGACATTGAAATGAATCTTGCCCTGTTTTTCATATGGATGTTACTTGCCAACAGTATGTGGCTAGAACCTTCGTTAAATGAGTAGCACTGGGATATTCTTCGTGGATGCGAAGCGCTTTTCCATGCTAAGCTAAAGAGACAGTGATCCATGCGTACAAGCATGTCACCAAAAAAGAAACCCAATCTGGCGTGTTGCTAGAATAAGAAATAAAGAAACAAGCCTTCTTCTATGTCTTCTGCCAATGCAAAGAAAATCGATAAATATAGCCCGGAATGTGGAATAAACTTTGATAATGCCGGTACATGCGATCGCGGCCAAATCCCGCGTAATGACAGATAACATTTAGAAGTCTTCAGTATATGCAAACCGTTCTACCTACAAACCCAGCATTATGTTGCTCTCTACTTACAGGCAAGACGGATAAACGTCTCCACTTTACTTGGTATACGGCCTGTTTTTTCCCATCACAAGAAGGTTGTATAGTGTAGTGGTTATCACTTTCGGTTTTGATCCGAACAACCCCGGTTCGAATCCGGGTACGACCTACATTTTTTTGTTCGTTGCCAAAGCACGATGTTTAAACTTTTTTTTTTGTATAAAATCACTCGTTTCTAAATTTTGGTGGGCTCAATGGCTCATAGTTGGAGTTGTACACGCTGTCAAGTGGCGATTGTCTAGCGTACAAATTGCGCAAATCCAAAAGATGAGGACCAAGCTCGTCGATTGTCGACACTCCCAACAACCGCATGTCGATTCTAATTTCATCTTTCAAAAGCTGGATAGCTTTGCGGACACCGTCTTCCCCGTACGCGGAATTGGCGTACAAGAAAATTCTTCCTAATCCTACACCTTTCGCACCCAAGCAGAGTGCCTTGATCACATCAGATCCACGTCTGACACCTCCATCGACATAAATCTCGATCTTATCGTCTAAACCCTTTTCCTTCAATACGGGCATAGCATCAGCCAAAACTTCTATCGGAGCTCTGGAAAAATCAAGTTGCCGACCACCATGGTTGGATAACACTACGGCTGGGATGCCCTTTTCTGCAGCTAGTATGATATCTTCCACGCTCTGAACACCCTTGACCGCAACTGGGACACTGCTCATGGCCCTGATGTCGTCAATGTCTTTCCATGTTACTGCAAGGTTTGCACCATACGGAACAGATGTTCCAAGGTCTTTGGCACCGTCATCATTATCGACTGGTCCTGCACGGGCCTCAATCTGGGCTCTAAGCTTCATGTCTTTTTCTCTGCGGCCCAACTCCGGTGTGTCTACGGTAACAAAAATGGCCTTTAACCCGAGCTCTTTCACTGCCTTGACCGCATTCACGGCCGCCAGTTCGTTGCTCAAGTACAATTGGAACCATTGGGTTTGGCCCTTGATTGCAGCTTCAGCAATGTCTTTCAAAGGGTAAGATGCAGAGTTGGAGATCATTTGAATAACGCCTTCCTTACCGCATCCACGTGCAATGGAGAGTTCTCCATCTGGATGACCCAACTTGGCTTGGGCAGCGGCGGAGCAGTAGAGAGGTACCGAACATTTCTGACCTAACATTGTAGTGGACATATCGACGTCTTTCAATTCCACGAGCACGCGAGGCTTGAAGAAGATACGTGAAAAGGCAACGTGGTTCTCTCTTAAAGTGATTTCGTCATCCGCACCGCTGGAGTAGTAGCACCAAGCTGTAGGGGATAACGTCTTTTTGGCAATGTACTCAAAATCTGATACACGGAAAACCTCAGAAAGTGGAGGTTTGTTTTCTCTGTTGTCCTCTATCTCGTCATCATCCATAGACGTGATATCTTCGGCAACCTCCATCTCGCCAATAAGGGGACCCAAACACTCTTCCTTGGTTAAGTACTTTTCAAAAAAGTCTGGGGCATGGTACTTGTTGAAAATAGCCAGTGCATTCTTTCCCGCATAAGTTTGGATGATCTTAGGTCCTCCTGGATGTCTCTTGATAAACTCGGTCAAATCGTAAACTTGGCCATTGATAGCAACCCAGATTCCTGTCTCAAGCGAGTTGTGGTTCCGCACATCTTCAGCGGTGACTCCTTTAGGGGCCGATTCCAGCTCGAGTGGACTAAGAGATTTCCAAACGAGAGCAGCTGCCGCAGCTGAGCCAATTATGGCATATCCTAAGCTCGACGACGGCTTAGAGTGAAGCACATTTGTCAGTAACAGCCTGCGAGCGTTGGGACCTCTTTTAGTGATTGATCTCAGTAAGAGGGCAAATCTATGGCGACTGAGTCTAAACATGATTACTGTAGAAATCGAAAGAGGCTAATCCATGTACTATTTATACTGCAGGACACTTTATGTACCCCACCAGTCAGATTCCACGCTTTGTATGTCTTCGGTATATGCGCGCGATTTCTTTGGCCCGAAATCCGCGCCCCACATGTCTCACCGGGGTATCTTCATGCCAAGCACAATTACAACACAAAACTTAGTCCACCACAATAACCTCCTTGGTAGAGCTTGACTTCTTGGGTGGCACAGGGGGAAGATCGGACGATTCCGAACTGGCCCCTTCGTCTCCTTTCTTCGGGGTCAGAGATTCCATTGTTAATCGGGCCACATCCGGCATATCGTTCTCATGCAGGATGCTGTCATGGGTCTCATTTTCAACATCGTTGCCTGTTTGGGACAGTGTAGAAGCACCGGTCGACTTTGATTGCTTTTCAATAAGCGAGCTCAATTTCTTCTTATTTGGGGAACTAGATCTCTTAAGACCAGTTCCGCTACTTTTGCTCAGAAGGTCGGATTTGGATTTGACTGGAGTTGTTGGTGGCGACTTTGATGACGACGTCTTTGATGACGAACCTGGTCCAGACATATTATCACCTTTGCTGGAAAGGTTATTTTTTCCTGCAGCTTTCGTCACTGCTCTCTTAAGTTTAGTCTCTAGACGTAATTTCGCTGCATCGCTACCATTTGATGCAGTCGTGCTGTCCGACACGCGAGGCTGATTATCCGAGTTTCTGGGCCCAGTCCCGGATGCGGCGGAACTTGCTCTCAGCGGCTTGTTGGAGTTTCTTCTTCTCAATTCACCAAAAATATTGTCTTTGTGAGCGAATAGATCGGTTACAAATTCTTGCTGGATGATTTCCACAGCAACAGTGTTAGAATGTAAATTCTTGCCTTCGGCACCTTCGTTGTCTCTCTTCGGCCTCAAAACTAATGCACCAAACTCTTTGCAAAGTCTCAAACGAAGTGACGATCCCAAATCTTCGTTTGCGGAGCTGATGATGTTAACAAGACGATTGAGATGTGTCAAAATCGCATCTAGAGTAGCCAAACTGCACACTGGTAATTCCAGTAAAGTGTTTTGTAAGCCTGTAAGTCTGGATTTGTTAACGTTTTTGTCCTGGCTCTCAGCTGGATAGTTTTGGTATAATGTCATTATCAAATCAAAGTAACTATGTGGCACAATGGAATCGGGCAATTCCATGAAATAGAGTTTAAGCACGTTCGTAACAACTTTTGGTTCACTCTTTTTCAAAATGTCCTTCATTTCAGCAGCATCTGTCAACTCATTCAATTTGAATCGAAGCTCGTGCACTTTTGACAAGTGGACTGGCTCTGTCCACAAATTCATTCTTTCAGTATCGTTTTCTAAATCAGGATAAGCATTGTCCAAAAAGGAAAGTGTGGCTTGGATTATGGATGGCACTGCTTTCCTTTCCAAACGCGCTTTAACGTTTAGGTCGACACCAAATGTCTGTTTAATATTGGAATTGTAGTAGTTGTCATACAATGTAACGCGGGGTTCAAATCTCCCAGTGCCATAATTTTCAATCAAAAATTTCAAATCACTCAGAGGGTGTATGGTCTCTTCTACAACAAAGAGTTCATCCGATACACCTTTGAGAGCAGCCCATTTATTTGAAAAAATGGACAAAAAGTCGAACATGACTTTTTTAACCGCCCTCAAACGGTCAAGCTCACATTTTTGCATGAACGCCAAATGGTCCATCACGGTTTCTTCGAATTTGCATCTTGTCATGTCCAAATCTTTTGTTGACTCAAAGTACGCAATGTCCAAACTTTCAACTTGCTTTACTAGCTTAGGGTACTGACTCTTGTCATTGAAATCGACAGAAGCAACACCGATGGCTTGCTTCACATCTTCGAAATAGTTTGTGAATTGGTTCGTTTTAGTGAGGACTGTTGTAGGTTCGGCAACATTTGCTCTTGAGCCATCACGTTCGTACAATTTTGTGAACTCAAAGGCAAGTGGTTTCCATTGATAAAGAAACTGGGAAGAGTTGATGAAGCTCTTACTTGCATTCATAGAGCCAATCAACCGGATGAAGTTGTTTTCAATCAAATCCTGTCCAAAGGACTCAGCCTTGGCAATATTTCCCTTGTACTCAGGCATGTTATCCAATAACCATTGCGTGATGGCGCTCCCGCTCGACACATTATGATACGTACCTAAGATCGGCACTTTGTGTGAGGTCAATTCGATGTTGCTGATGATGTCACTCAACAACTTTCTTGCATTTTTGTAATCGTATACTGCGCCTGCAAAAGTGTATGTGTTTTCATTCAACTCATTTTCGGTTTCGCTAATATTTTCATTGTCCGCACTATTGTCAAAGCTAGTGTCCTCTTGTGGGATTTCGGCTAGTTCCTCGTCAGTGTAGCGAGATCTGAATTCCTCCAACACTCTGCACTTGTTAAAGTACTTCTTCTGCAACTTCTCCAAAGCAGTCTTCTTGCTTTTATAAGCTTTGAACTTTTCAGCAATTGTTGCCTCTGAAAACGCCACTCTCAGCTCATGCTCTTTACACCATTTCAGAAAGGGGTCCAAAACCATTCCTTGAATGTTCTGAGCCACTTCGATATGATACTTCCCCTGCCGAGAGAAATTCTCGTTCATCTTGCTAAACGCATTCTTTATGGTTGACACATAATCATCGTCAGTGTGTCTTTTACTTGTAGGTCTCACTTGCCCCGGCAAATTTTCAAGCAGTAGGCCATACTGGAGCTCCAGATCCATGCGTCTGTTAAACAATTGAATGAAGTCCTCGTTTTCCTTCACTCCTTCGAAAAGGACATCAAAGAGAACCTCATGACCCAGATGATAGTCATAGGTCCAGAAACTATCGGCAAATGACATATTAATAATAAGAGTTCAATAGTAAGTATGTTCAGAAGGTAAGGCGAGAGAACCGCAGAACGCGCCTACTTCTATGTTACGTAGAGGAATGTGCAGGGAAAAGCGCACTCATGCAAATGGAAGACTCGCTTTGTGGGTAGAAACAAGCTAAGCTGGGTTCCAGGATGGTTCTCTATGGCCCAATGTGTCTATAGCATCGTTCACTTTCAGTATGTTTGGTTTCCTTCCTACTGCTACTGTTCTCCATGTCTCGATTATTGGTCTCACTTCTTTGGTTGGTGCAGTACGTGTTCTCTGGCGTCGATAATTGGAGTGCCGGATACTTGCCCCTTCGTTCGTCCTGCAGACATTGTGTACACCAGAAGAGTGGTGTATACAGAATTCAAACGCGAGTATCTTTTCTGGTATCCGTTTTTCTAAAATACCTTAACTCTTGCCAGTCTTTTGCAAAATTAAGACATGTCTGAAAAAATTCCAGAGTGTCCCACTACCCCTTCGTCGGGGCATGCTTCGCAATCTTCGTCTTATGGGTGTATCACGCCCCGGTCAGCGAAACATTCTCGAGCCGTGTCCTTTGAGATGGGGCCTAGCACCCCGGTGGGCCCACAGTGTGAGAGTCCAAAGTCGTACAAAAGACATCAAAAGCAGCTTTTGGATCATTTCCCATCAGAATCCCGGGCGCAGACCCTTTTTCTACCAACGCCTCTGACGGTGGGCTCCGGACGGAAATCGAAATTCAATCCTGGCCTTTGTGAGCCATCCACGCGATCAAAGTCATTGACGGCGAGTCTACATGCCCTTGCTGACGAACACACAGAATCAAGACCTCGGAAGCTTGACCTACAAGTCGAGGACACTCTGCTAAGAGAGTGTGATCTGCAGACTGATGAGAGTTTAAACGCAGAAGCCAGGGAAACGCCAGAAATAGAACACGCCTTATCACCTCACGATAGCACCATCAACTACTTTTCTTCTGACCCCCTAACTCCCCCTACGGTAGCTAATATTCCGGAACCAAAAACTCCTTCTAAGTTCCAGCGCTGCTCGATCGACGGTTTTTCCGACAGTGAGGATGACATTCAAATTGTCAAGGTTTGCGACTTGGATAGAATTGCAAGAAAGAGACTAAAAAATCCCTTCGTTGGTGAAGCTCCAGACCATGAATATCGGAGCCCCAAGAAACAGGAATTGGATCTATCGACGCATATGGAGCTTTTGAATCATCGTACTGGTGAGCGTCGCGTGGAAAAGTTGTCTGCTGAGCAACAACGCTTCAAGCCTCGTAAACTTGACTTTACGCTGGACGTAAAGAACCCAGTCAAGGAGAATTACAATATCGCCAACAAGTACATTGGGAACAGCATTGGGAAGAGTTTTATCATGGGTGAACCGCAGTCAAAGTCGTCTCTTAGTTTTAATATTTTTGACGATGACGCAGATGAAGCATGATATTTATTCGAATACATTTTATATACGGTTTTGCATTATTCATAGAAGACACATTATTGACGTCTGTACTTTTTGATGTTGTCCCATGCTATGGAGTTAGCATTAGGAAGCTTGATTAGCTCGACCTGATTCAATACTTCAGGGTTCGCCTTATCAGGATACGTGGCAGTGTATCTTATAGGCTTGCTGATAGCATGCTCCGGTTCCCCATCCTCGCCTCGAAGCTCTATAGGCAACTTCTCCATAATCTCAGGGTGTTGCGTTGGTAAAGTGAACCTGAGAGAAAGATCTGGTCGAAGTAAATCAACCATTTCTGACGTTGGTTGCAACTGAGCTAATGAGCCATCAGGTAAGTTCGCCCGTTCTCTGAGAAGCTCGTTCTTTCTCTTTTCTCTCGCTTCATTTTGCTTGATCAGATACAACTTCTCGAAATCAATAGATTTGAACTTAAAAAAGCACTTCCATGTGTCCTTTGACACTTCCCTGTATGAGTTAACGAGCAAGTTAAATAAAACGATATTGTGAAGCATTTCCAAGTTAGTGAAATCCTCTGTAAATCTGCGCTGCCTTTCCAAGACAATCTCAACATTATCATCGGAGAAAAACTTATGCATGAGACCTTTGATAGGTCTATCTGCTCTATTCCTCAATGGCTTTGTAACCTTATTGGCTGGAACATGCGTAACTTTATTGCTTTTTGGAGTTGTTTCTGGAGTAAATCTTCTAATGCGGTTTATGCGGTTCACTAACGCTGCATCCTTATAATTTCCTGAACCAGGGCCTCTATAACTTTTGAAGTAATAATACTTCGAATGGTATGCATCTTGATCATTACTGAAAAGAAGCTGTTGAAGCAGTTTGGGCATCTTCCCACTGTCGTTAAATTTCATCTTGAGGGAACTAAGGTGCGCCCTTTGGGGATTGAACATTGCATTCTGTTGCGCAGCGCTCATTTGTCCATTGGTCACGAAATAGTTAGGTACCTTGCACAATGTACTAACGTTGAATTCAGGTATAAGCCCACATCCAGGGAGTATATTTTCAGCTGGATCTAGGAGATTCGGATCCACACTTCCAACATGCCTCCTCAGCCTTCCCAATGGCTTCTTGTTAGTGCTCTCATCATTGTTCTCACTGTCTTCTTTTGGTTTGTTGATTTCTAGTTTGGTATAATTGTTGGATCCAAATATGAGCTCTCTTTCTTGTACGCTGATCGTGTTTCCATACACTCTTCTGTAAGTGCCTTCATGTTTGTAAACCAGATACTTCGTTTGCGGATTAAGGCAAAGAAAAGTTGCATGATTTAAAGGCGTTACCGCCTCAACAGAGCCATACTGAGGGAATACTTGAGATACCGTAATTAAGTCGTCCTCAACATTCACCACAGCCGGATGCTTTCTCTTCTCAGAGACCACATCCATATCATTAGCATCGCTACACAATGCCTCCTTATTGGCCACAACTTGGTAGATAAACTTCAACTCCAAGTAAAACAACTTTGTATTCGTTTCGCTTTCGCTTATAAGTCCTTCCTTTAAGAGTGCTTCATTCAACTTTTCGTCACTAATAAGCAAGAAGGTACCCTTTTTCACACCTGAATGGCTTACTATCTTCGACAACACGTGGTAAGAAGATGGGAAGTTCCACAATTTCGCTAAATCCTGGACTAAAACGTACTCTGTATTGTTGTAAATAAAGAACGGGACTTTGAATTCCATTGACGGAGAGATCGAAACATCTTCTGGGGGCTGTATTTTCACATTTTCCCGGATTCTGGAATATCCGTGATGCGGAGGGAACTTTGGTGGATGCCGAACCTGGATAGTCATGTTTATGTTGAAGAAGTAATGTGGCCGTAACCTACTTGGGGTAAGTCGCAGAGGTACAGGTGCATATATTCGCCTTACGCAGACACAAGAAGGGGGATACAAGATTGACGAGAGAGAGCGTACGTTACGTTGCACCTATATATGTTGTTTTCTGTGGATTTCCCATACACGTTTCATTTCTTTGAACTAGCCATTTCATGTGTGACGCCACAGCTACTTCAGCTTCTCATAGACGAAAGAAAGATCTTGGCACGTGATCGTCCAGAATGGCGTAGGAGCACTTTGTTATTAGTGCAGACATTTAGTAAAGAGGCAACTAAGAAATAGCTGTAAACATGTGCAAACAAGTCTTAGCACGAAGTGATGAGTCTACACAGAAAAGGTAAGACATCGTCTTACCGGACGAACAACAGGAAATATTAAGCCCCGATCCTGCGTACAGTCCCCGGATCACCCCAATCGCCCAGTGACCAAAATCCCGATCTCAAATCCAAATTACCATACTATTGGCTCACACCAAAACTGAAACACACGACAGAACATGGGTTTATCGTTTTCTAAGTTATTCGCAGGTCTTTTCGGCCACAAGGAAATGAGAATCTTGATGGTTGGTTTGGATGCTGCTGGTAAGACCACCATCTTGTACAAGTTGAAACTCGGAGAAATCGTCACCACCATTCCAACTATTGGATTTAACGTCGAAACCGTCGAATACAAGAACATTTCTTTCACCGTCTGGGACGTTGGTGGACAAGACAAGATCAGACCACTTTGGAGATACTACTTCCAAAATACCCAAGGTATCATTTTCGTTGTTGACTCCAACGATAGAGACCGTATTGCTGAAGCCAGAGAGGAATTACAACAGATGCTCAACGAAGATGAGTTAAGAGATGCTTTGTTGCTTGTGTTTGCCAACAAGCAGGATTTGCCAAACGCTATGAATGCTGCTGAAATCACGGAAAAATTGGGCTTGCATTCTATTAGACAACGGCCATGGTACATCCAGTCTACCTGTGCCACCTCAGGTGATGGATTGTATGAGGGTTTGGAGTGGTTGTCCACTAACTTGAAGAATGCTTAGGTGTGTTACTGAATTGGTAAGCGTCGTGTCAAACTATGTAGAAGTATCATATTTTTCAGCAACGCCCACCTTCAAGCGTGTTCAATGGTCTAGAGTCCATGGACGCATTGAGGAAATGCAAATAATACAGCGTCGCCCTAATGTGTAGCCGGTTGTAAAGCACTAAGAAACATCTTGAGCATACTATGTTAAGCATTCCCTTTTTAAGGGCTCCTATCGTGTAAAACCTACTTTGCGAACAGTGCATCTAGTCCAGACCAACGCACGCTGTCCAGACTCGATTTTGTCCAAATAACGGACTGTCCCGATTTCTACAGACGCTTAAGCGCCATTCTAGCTATTAAAATGGGGCGCGGCATCCAGCATGAAATGGCTCCAGAATTTGTTTCCACATGGCACACAGTCGGGGGCAACCGCGGCTCCGATTACCATTTTTCTCCGCAATACGGTGTGTGGACCTGCACTAGGCTATTCCTATAAAACGACAGGGGAAGCCATGATTTAATGCTACTAAGACGGAAAAAATGTCAGACAGTGAGGATATTTTGTATGAGGTTAAGGGAAAGGTGACTGTGATCACCTTGAACTTGCCAAAAAAGTTAAATGCAATGACTGGCGACAACTATCTTCAATTGGCGAAATTGGTAGCCCAGGCTGATGAAGAAGACGGTACAGTGGCCACAATCATCCAATCGACAGGCAGATACTTCAGTGCTGGTGCTAATATCCTGGGCCTTTCTGAGTTTGATGATCCTTCTGAGATTTTTTCCCATGATTTTTGGTTCAAGAACTTTGTCGGTAGAAACGCTTATCTCGTGGATTTGTTCAACAACCACAAAAAGGTGTTGGTTGCTGCACTCAATGGTCCAGTGATTGGTTTGTCGGCGGCATTGGTGGCGTTATGTGACTTGATTTACTGCATTGATGAAGAAAAGGTATACGTATTGACTCCATTCGCCAATTTGGGATTGGTAGCCGAAGGGTCTTCTTCCGCAACATTGTTTTTCCGTCTCGGGTGGTCCAAGGCTTCTGAGGCCTTGCTCCTCTCTAAACCCATTCCAGGGGACGACTTGAATAAAGTTGGATTCTTCAATAAAGTATTCACGGGCAAAGGTCTCACCACGGAGCAGTTCAATGAAGAAGTATACAAGGAAATTTCCACTAAATTGGAGGGCTTGTATGAGCCATCAATTTTCCAAAACAAACAGCTTCTCAAGTCCAACAGAGATCACTTAGTCAACAACGCCAATTCCAAGGAGCTCATCCAGGGCTTCAATAGATGGATCCAGGGTATTCCACAACAAAGATTCGTGCAATTAGCTAACAAGGAAATAAAGCACAAGTTTTAGGTAGCCATGAATTATTACTTATTTTCTCAGGTATTTACTGTAGTCTATACAATTTCGTTGCGTTCACTAAGATTGTTCGCGCTATTAGTACATACATTTACCCCACCAAAATACTCATCCACACATACATTTGACATCATGTCTTACAATCTACCCTGTCCCAGTCTAATGGGTATATTCTTTGTTGTGTCAAACCATAATGGTCCCCATTTTGTTTTCCATTATCCACCCGAACTATCGAATGTCACACTACAGTCGGCCGGAGCCGAGGAGTCGGATGAAGATTTTGATGACGAAGACTTCGATTTTGAGGAGTCGATTCAGGAAAAGGAGTCGCCGAATGCATGGGATGTCAATCATAGAGAGTATTATTTGGGAACTAAGAAGGATATAACTTCTTTTCTTGATGCTCAGAGACACATCAGAGGGCAAGAAAAAAAGAAGTCTTCAAGACCAAAGGTCTCCAATTCCAAAACATCCCAGAGCTTACTGAATTCTGCACCTACATCGGGTGATACGAGTACCGTATCAGCCTTTTCAACATCAAATGAACCAACCTCGAAGCAGATATTGGGGTTTGAACCAGAACATTTGTGCGAAATGCTTTGTCCACCCAAGGACTTGTGCAACAAAAGATTTGAGCTAACATTAGAGCGGGTTGTTTTCTTAGGATTACCAATTCATGTTTTCAGTAACGGGTCCTGGAGATCAAAGAAACAGAAAGCAAAGCTGAATCAAGAGCATCAAGGAAATGGTTACGATAGTGGCTCTGATGATAATGATTCCAAAAGCTCTATGCATATGTTTCACATGGTATTCGTAATGAATCCGCTGGAAATTGAGCGTGATTACAGAATAGATGAGATGTTTTATTATATCACTTCCAAGATAGCTTTAGTCCTCAGATCTGAGCAACTGAGACATGACTACGTCTGGAATCAAGTTCGCAACATATCACGCTTGAAAGAAGAATGGCGTACTGAAAGCCAAAATAATCCACTGATGACTACCTTGTCTAACTTTCTACTCTCTAAATCATCTTTATGCAAACTTATGGCTGATTGTTACGAGGCCATCTCCTCTTCCAAGGTGGCTAATTTATTGATTAATAACAAGCTACGCTCGTTTCAAATCCCGATAAAATTGGAATTTCACTCTTTACCAGAAATGACAGTTCCCTTCATTCCTGGATCCTATTTAACATCTGCTGTAAATCAGTTTGGAAAGACGGGGTTGGTCAGCGTGGGTGAGACAACCAGATATAGAGCTAACAACTTGATGAACATATTACTTGGCGGCAAAAGTGCAGACGGAGGTGATGAGTTTGAGGACTCTAATGATAGTCTCGATCAAGAGGACAAATCCAACGCGAATGATGTGATTTATTTTTCTTTGCTTCTACTAGATGACCCTGAAGCTATCATACGTGATATGAAGGTTGAGCAGCAATCTGGACTTGCTACTTTTGTGAGACTGTTGAGACCTGTGGATTCCCTTGTGAAGGTGGCTGATAGACTTAGTTACGCTTCCGATTCAAAGTCAGCAATTAGCTTAGGCGAAGTCAAGCTGTTCGCATTACATTTAATTTACTGGAGAAAGGCTCGTGCAATTCCTCCTTTGAATTCAAGATCAATTTACATTGTTTCTCCAATGGCACCATTGACAACGAACTTGCAATCAGACATTGCCAAGTTCAAGCGAGACTTCACTGCAGTGCCATCATTGCCTGTATTTTTGAAATTGTTGTCAACGAGATCGAAGAAGCCTAGACAATTCGCTTCTATAATTCCTTCAAGAGATCATAAAGAAACGTATTTGATGGCTCTTGGTTGGTTAATTCGATATGGATATGTGACCCAATTACACACTTACATTTGGCTCAAGGTCTCACGAAAAATTAAAATGAGAGTAGAAGAGGATATGGAAAATGAGCTTGGAAATGGGACTAAGCGCAACAAAGACACTGAATATAAGGAACCACCGGCTTCCGACAATAAAGTCGGTAATCATGTCACTGTTGACAACTCTTCTAAAAAAGTGGAAAGCGCTAGCCAGCAAAAACTCTCGGGTTCTATCGATGAAGAAATAGACAACATACAGAGAAGATTTGAATGGTCTGGAGAAAGTCCCGACATAATAATGGAAGACGACGAAGATACTATTTTGGTTGATCCTGGCCGTGCGTCCAGCATTGAAAGGCGATGGATAAACAGAATTATCCATGATGAATGCCACTTGTCTTCGGAATTGACATCGATATTTTTCAAGGTCTTGAAGTATATGAATGGAAGAAATTCTCTTGAACTTCTTTTGTTGAAGGAAAATATTTCTAGGACAGACTTAAGAAAATTACTCGTTGCCATCGAGGATCACATCATTTCGGTACGCCACTGGTAATACTCAGAGTATGTATAGATATATGTATTATACAGCGGGTTCTATTAATGTACTATGCAAAATTGTCTTCTTGTGTGGCTTCCAATTCGTTTCCTTCAATCTCACTGAAAGTTGTGAAATGAAGTGGGCGATGTGATTGATCGTAAAAGGAGATAGGAATATCAATCTTCAAGTCGAATGAGCCGTTAGGGTCCCAAACTGGTCCAATGAAAGAGTAGTTCCAGAGTCCATCATCTGGGACCAAAAAGGTACCCACGATTTTATCGGAAAGAATTAGTTGTTCCTTTTTGCTGAATGTGGGGCTGAATCCCTGAGGCGCATTGGAAATCATGTCTTTGTTTGTATAGCCCCATTGGTAACCTTCATCATTAAGACTGTAAGCTGCTAACGTAACTGATCCTGGCGTGAATGACACAGTCATCCCCACGAGGTTCCTATTCCATAAGTCTTCGTTATTTTTATGGAAATTCGACATCGTTGTGACATCAATTGGACTCAACATGTTCAAATCATTGTTTTGTGTATGAATCCATCCTAAAAGTTCAAGGTTTGAAAGATATTCGTTGTTACTCTTGTTGAAAAGTTTTGATGGAAATTGAATCGAGTGTGAGTTACCGAGTTGAGGGACCAAGACTATAGCTTTTACCTCTTTGATCTGAATGTTGTCCTCTGGTGATGTTCCATATATATAGGCACCAATTTGGGTCCTTACATCAGAAATCTGAACAAACTTTTTAAGTATGTTTCTCGGCATGATGTAAGTGATGCTATCATCATCCACGAAATCTTCCGATGAAACAAAGATATTCTTGGTTCTTAAGTGCAAATTATTGGCTGCAATAGCACGGTTTCTCCATTCGTTTTTGGAGCTGAAATTCAGCTGTTCATAATTCGTAGTAGTGATCGTTGTTATTTCTTCACCATGAACATTGTGAGTAGTAGTCTTTAAAGCAGTTAATTGCTCTTGTGCATTCGCAATTCCATTATCATCCTTCTTATTAGCTTCGATGTCCGCAATTTGTTGTCGCTTTGCGGATGGAGCCCTAATCTCTTGTCCAAGGATCAAATCTCTAATTTCAGATTGCGTTAATGATTGGACATTCACATTATTCTTCTTTGCGTAGTCGTTTAGGATCAAGTCTCGGAGTTGAGTCTCGACATCTATCCATTGTTCGTCAGTCAATGTTGGCCAGATGTGATGACTTTGTGTAATGACGCTGGCATCTGGGCGAAGAATCATGTTTGTTCTCTCTTGGCTGATTCCCAACGCCCTAAGAATTAAGATCACACGCGAAAATGCTGTATACGAAGAAATGCTCGTTAACCAATCATCATAGAAGTTGAAAAGCATCATCTGTGGTTCCCCTGCCTTCAACACTACGTCTCCAAGTTTATCAATTTTCAACGCGGATGCAAAAGGCAAATGAAGTTCTGAGGAACGGATTGCAATATTTGGGAAATCGAGCATATGCACTTCAAGAGGATCGATAACTCCTTTTCTCGTAGCGATTAATTGCTTTGGCTGTTCTTCCCTTGGTAGCGAGCGTACCAACGCTGCTACCTCTTCTGCCGTTTTCCATTTGGCTAACTGGCCTAAACGCTTCTGGCCTGCCCAAACCAGTGTATGGATGATCTTCAAAAATAACTGGCCCGATTTCGGATTCAACATGAACACAGCACCATTAATGGGTTTTGTTGTCAAGTTACCTTCAAATGTCCGATGGACCGTCACTCTGTAAACATTGGTATCATCGATAAAAAGCTGAGTTTCATCATTGAATAACTCTGCATAATTGGACGAGTTCAATAGGGCCACTTGAGGTTGAGATTGATACAATTGGAGACCTTTTCTAATACGTTCGCGAAGCACATGTAAGGCGGGGTTAGCTTTCATAATCTCCTTCATAGCATTTTGCATTAAAGGCTTGAAACCACTGAACCAATTCCCATAAACATCGTAAACATTGTAAGCAAGATCAACACCTACCATTGCACCTGTTGGTGACGGGTAAGCACTTACGCTGTCAGTTGTGTAGTCCAAGAATTTCGCTCTTGTATATCTGGAGATATCATGAGAATCATAGTCTCCATATCTCAATTGCACATCAATCCAATATTTAGTTGCTGTAGCACTGTCCATCGAATCATTCCTGTCATTAAGAAGAGAGGGTCGAGAGACGTTCCATTTGTATGTGCTTGTTAGGACAATATCAGCGCAGGACGAGTTCATTTTGTATGATTTTCTAGGGTGGATTGCTTGTTTCTCCACGGTGTCAATGTGTAAGACTTCCAACTCTTTATCTAAAACTTGGCAAATATCTTGGACCAAGCTTTCGTGTATCTTTTGCCACAAATGTGCTCTGAATATTTGAATCAATGAAATTTTCAAAGTTGGAATTTTACCGTGAAGGAAAATTCCTGTTAGATCAAGTTGAACCAAGAAACCAACATAGACATTTGCTCTATTGATAGTAGGTGACCACCATAGAGTGAAACGACGATTAGGGATCTGACTCAAACCCGAACGTTGGGCATTTGTCAATTTTTTGAATTTCAAAGAGTCCTCGAAGCCAGATGCTTTTTCCCAGAATAATCCTTCCCAAGAGTCAAAACCGGTGCCTTTAAACAAAGTATGCTCAAGAATGGTTTCGATACCTCCCAAAGCTTGAATCACGTCTGTTCTATAGGCAGATAGGTTCCATAATTTTCCATCATGATGGTTATTAGTCCACCAAAATGGATTGTACCTTGCTAAACTGAACTGCTTGAACTCACGCCTAACTCTATGGCCCTTATCGTATGCTAAGGTCTGTCTGTCTTTTTGGAATAGTGTGCTTATTCTAGGAAGACCTCTATCCCAACTGCTTTCCATGTCCTCGAATGTAAGTCGACGGCTCTGTTCAGCAGCTTCTTGACGTTTAATTGCATACTCTGCCCAAACCCTTTGAGAATCCAAAAATTCATTTTCCCAAGTCGTAATATACCGAAATATCGTTGGAATCAACCTTTCTTCTTGGTGTGTCATTCCGGCTCTGAAATGAGTTATTCCTGTATCAGTCTGTTTTGACCACTTCAAATCCGACGTTGGGATTAAAATATGAGATGCGCTAAGCATTCCCAAGCCCCCAAGTTCTTTTGGTGTGTAGAATACGGCGGGAGGGAATCGAGAAGGCATTTTCGAATTGAGACCCATTTTGACTCTATTTTGTATCTTTGTCTCACACTTGACAAGAATATCAAGCAAAGATTCAGTAGCAACCGTGGCTTCTCTGAAATATGCAAAAAGTGATATCAAAGCCGTATTCCACTTTGCTGCCACTTTAGTAAATGTAGCTGAACCCGAAGACATCAATATTTGTCTGATTCTATTCTGAAATTTATCAACCTCTTCCCTTGAGACTTGTAAGTAAGCCTTCGCTGTTTTTTCCTTTGTACTTTGATTAACAAGATCCCATACACCTTCTTGTGAAGAAGAATCTTCAGACATACGGCACTTTGGCAAAATTCTAACTTCAAAACCGCACATGGAGAATAAAAGGTTAGGATTTTCGGGAGAGTACACAGAAGCATATGTGTTCTCCCATTCCATCTTCGTGATCGAGCTTGGAACCCTGCCAGAAATCTCCCAAAACGTTGCCTTACCCAAATTGACATCTGACCTCATGAGTTTCATTCTCGAGTCCTTAGGCCAACATTTATGATTGTTGTAGCCAACGACATTCTCAAAATTTGGGTCCGGGTTTTCCCTTAAAAAATCTTGCACCAAGCCATCCGCGTCTTCCTTATTGAACCTGAAGAAAATGTAAACTTTGTCAAGATATCTGCAGTAAAGCCTGATGGGATTAGCCGTTTCAGTCTTCGCATCTTTAAAGTGAAGGAAGGGATTTGGTTGCTGCACGGGACCAGCTAGCTCGGTGGCACGATCCAATCCTAGGATCAATAAGTCAATTGCCAAACAATAGTACTGATAAATGAAAGAACCAAATTGAAGACCTCTGATCAAACCAAACTGATTCACATGATTCATATCCTTATATGAGAGCGAGACATTGTTCTTTGAAGTAATATAGTCAGCAATGTTTGGATCTGTAATCAATCGAAGGAGCCTATTAAGCATTGTAAAGTCAATATTTTCTGCCACTCTGCTCAAAGATGTTTGAAGCATCACATTGCTTTCGCCCCTTGAAGTGCTCCAAACATCTTCCAAATTGTTCACACCTTGGCACCACTTGTAGACAAGCAAGGGAGGGATTTCATCATCTGACGGCTTTACCCAATTTGGAAAGAGCAGTCGCTTCTCTGCCTCATACCATAAATATTGATCTAAATAAGCATCTGTTATTTTTTCAAGGGGATCAATGGCATAAGTCGGTACAAGATGATCATAGTGATCCATCATTTCCAAACCAACCTCTTTGAAAATTCTTTGAGTAAGCAAGTATTTCTTAATTCTTGCCAAACATTCGTTCGGATTGTCGTAAGCTTGTTCTATCAATGCAAGCTCTTCCCTTTGTGCAGAATTCAACCTAGCATTAGCGTTGTAGCTTTCCTTCAAGTTCTCCAACGCTAAAACCAAGAGCTTTGTATCATGTTTGTATGATATCGGAGGAAAGGGTATTGGGTTGAACTTTCTGCTCTCAAGCCAATTCACCATGGTCTGGAAAATAATAACAGCTTGATCGGGCGAAACGTAAGGACCCTCTTTGGCAAAGTTGTTCTGCCGTTCTTGTTCATTCTTGATCCATAATCTGGTGAGTCTTCCCAAATTCTTTTTTACAACAGTTTTTTCGACCGTAGCTCCACGTCTGATTCTCTCACGGTTGTAATGGGCGATCGCAATCCATCCATCCGCTTTCGCTTTAATGTAGTGCTCAATGATATCTTCGATTGGCTTGGGTAATCCGGGCACCTTCCATGGAATATTGGCTTTCCAGCACCGCCATGCTTCACTTAAATGTTGCAAAATTAAAGCAGACTTGCTTTGTTTCAACCCTTCTGGAATCATGTCTAAGATATCATGCATAACTTGAGCACGTAGTTCGAGATCATAATATGAGTCAATTCTTTGTTTTGTGACTGTTTTGACGACATCATTACTCCTTCTGCCCTCAAATTGTCTTGCTAAAAGGTTTCCTAGCCACCGTTCAAGTAATGGGATTAGTCCTCGAATAAACGACAACCAAACTCTCCAGGCTGGCTGCCAAAACCCACAACCAGGTCCCTTACCTATCTTGTTATTGAAATTCGAGTAAACAACATGTTTGAGGTCTTTGCATGCTCGAATTTGGTGCATAACTTTATACTTATAGCGATAAATTCCTGTCAACTGCCCCAAATGATTCAAAATATAGTAAATGCCGTCTGCTAGCTGAAACGCATCGATGTTACCTATACGAAACTGAACATGAGAATCGACAATGATTTTAATAATGCGCAATAGCTCTCGTATCATATGGAATGCGTTACCAAAGCGAGATTTCTTCCTTTCTTTGGTAGACAAGGTCTTTGTTGGTTTCAAGTTGAAATTGTAATCGAGATGGAGGTATGTTAACCCACGTTTATGAAGTAAAAGATTTAGCATGTTATGACCTTGACGACATATTTGTAAACCGGCCTCAACCCAATCAATGGTTGTCTGCTGGAAATATTTTGTCGCTTTCAAACTCTTGAGAAGATGAACTTTCTTTTGGTTTGCTGCTTTTGAACCACTCTTTGACCCAGGTGGGTTTTTGAGTTCATTCAAAACGTAAGTTTTCAATAGCTTCTGATATGATACACGCACTTTAGTTGGAACATTCGAAGGTGGTCTCTCCTTGTACCATGATTTCACAAGTGCGACATCTTGCGCCCTGATTGTTTTTCCTGAGCGACGGTTGAATGGATATGGTGCCCACCATAAATCAAGTGCAGCTTTTGCATTATCCGGTTCGATACGTAACTCTTCACCCTCATTGTCTGTGGCCATAAAAGGAGATAGATTTATATTACCGTTGATCTCGTTGATATCAAAATCTAAGAGCTTAGATTCTGCCTTTGTAGTTGAAAATTTGTGAGGAACTATTGGGTTGTATTCTTCGGAGAATAAAAATGCAGAATCAGATGCCTCATCGTCACGGTGAACCACAAAATTGTTTATTGGATCATGGAACCAGCAGGGATGGACATTTTTGACAAATGAATTATACAAGTGCGGATAAGCAATTCGATATTCTGTTCTTATCGGTACTCTGAATATGATGCGATCCAAGGAGTTGAATTCCGTATAGTCCTCCTTGTCTCGATCGATTTTGAAAAGAGGCTCAAATTTTGGTCCACCAGGGACCACCATATTCAAGCTTTTAGCTGTGAAGAATGCCTCCTTGTTAAACAAGTAGTAGTAGTTCGCATCGGTCACATGAGGAAGTAACGGCTGGGCTAGCTTATAGAGCGTTGCCATAGTAGCTACATCCAAATTCCAACTCTTGTAAGAATCGCCATTGACCACATTTCTGTCTTCAATGAAAGGTTTATCGTCGAAAATCCAATCTATCTGGCTAAAACGAGGATCTTCTTCCAAATCAGGCTGTATGGGTTCTGGGGGCGTAACGTCTTCTATGTTTTCCATCCAGTCTATAGGAGGTTCCTCGTCATCGAAAGGAGGAAAGCGCATTCGCTTGAAGTGTTTCCGATCCCGTTTCTCTCTGCGCATCATTATCCACATGGTAGCCCATTGAGCAGTGTATACTGGCTCGATTACTCGAGGGATTTCATTAACAAAAGTGATGGCACCTGTGATGTGATATAGCACTTTCACTTCCCTGGATGCTTCCCATGGTTGCGGCATGTTCTCAAGAAGCTTTAATATCGCATGTGGCATGTATTTTAAAGAACCCAAGTGTGATCTCTTGTCCGAAGCTACCTTGTTCGATGAGAGATCACCATGGTTGATCATAATTTTTCTCAAATGCTCTGGAGGTAGTTCTGTCTTTATGGGCTGGACCAATCCCCGATTCTGTTTGCCCAGTTTTGCATTTACAAACGAACTGTCTAAATGCTGCTGGGTGGTCATTTTCGCCCTTGTATCCAGCTTCTCTTCTTCATCTGATTTTTTGGAGCTTTCTGTCTTCATCATTTTTGCTGGCCGCTGAATGCCATTCTGCGGTGGCGGAGGTGGTGGTGGGACTCTTACTGGCATTGCAACATGCCTCCCATTCGGAGGAGGTATCCTTGCATTAGGAGGCGGAGGTGGTGGGGGAGGTCCTCTTCTTCCATCTGAACGATTGCCTTTAGGAGGAGGCGGTGGAGGAGGTAGTTTTGGAGCCATTTCCAGTAGTGTCGAATGTTCCAAAATGTGTGGCCTTGAGATGAAGCTCATCATTCTTAGTGGTAAGTGCAGTAGGCTCGACTATGTGCACACCCTTCCATATTGCTAGTAGATCAGAGATATATCCACTGAAGGCTCTCAAAGAAGAAGCTAGGACGAGTATCCTTAAATGAGGTGAATGGGTTGGATATTTGAGATCAGTAACGTTTAGTTATTATTGATATAACGGATGGGGATGATAAACAAATGATCTTATATATCCTTGAAAAAATAAAAGGTGTGACCTTCCCAACCAACTATAGAGTGGAACAAGTATCAATGCACATATATATGTCTCAATACTCCACAATACTCCTCAACGCTCCTGGATTACCCACAAAATATCATGGGAAGTTGGACTAGTGCTGGCGTTTGTATGCAGTGCATTGGACGATTCTCATTCCTGGAACTACAAAGTTTTGATGAGCAGATACGGCAACAGCAGTACAGTGATGCTTTAGTTTGTATTAATCGATTGTCTTACGGGATTGAGCCTGTGATGAATTTGTATTCCGTTTTCCTTTTTTTTTTTCGCAACTAGATATTTTTTTGACTGACTCATCCTTTCGTAATGTTTTTGCAAATCTCTACAAATACTTCAAAAGTAGCATGCAGCTTCCTAGATTCTGCCGAAGAAGAAAAAAAAAAAGTTTGGTACAACAAACATCAGAAAGAACATCAGAGTTACAATTCATTTTTTCAAAGTATAGGTGGACAGTAGAGAGTGGTTCATGCTTTTCCAGACGTATTATCTTGGCTCTAATCTGCCCTCTGCAGATATGCGCGCCTTATCCATCAACTTCTTTCCCCAATGAACCACCTGACTTTACTGATTGCTTCAGGGGATACACAGGAGATTGATCTTGGATTCCTTGAGCAGCTCAAACCATTCTGGGAGGCTCTCAAGACACAGAGCGAGAAAGCTGAGAGAGATGGCTTTTCCATAGATCGCTTCGGGGGTATGGTGACCTACGTATGCTCCATGTATGGCGTCGCTACATTCTTTATCGCTATACTCTTGAACCGTACATCCATAATTGCTTCCACACACAGACAAGGAAGGAGCTCCAGACGAAGAAGACGCATCAGTGTGCTATTGGATAGCTTTCTTCTGCAATCAATTGTTCTCAGTTCCATGCGCCTATTGTCATTGGGACTAATGTTAGTACAGGTAAAGAACATATTGACAACATTATGGGTGGTACAGAAAACGAGCAGTCCTGAAACGATATCCCGCTTAACAAAATGGGTGCCCACGCGTTTCTTCGAGTATATCCCAGAGCAACATGTTTCATCGAAGTTCATGAGTATGCCCAGAGATGAAGTGAGATTTGGACCTACATCGGCAATGCTCTGGCCATTTTTCTGTAGCATCTGTTTCTCGCTTTTTACAGAAACATTTTGTTCCGCCATATCAGGATCCAAGCCCCGTATTACGGGAGCTGCTACGCTATTTGAGATCTCAGTAGCTTGCCAAGAAATGAGTTCGGGATTTCTCCCTCTAGGAGTCAAAAAGGTTGCGAAAAGACCATCAGAGTATATCTTGCTAACGTGTCTTCTTGTTCTCGCAGAAAACATTTGGAATCAAGTCATTGGGATCTTTAATAGACCAAATTACCGATTGATCGGTCTGACAATAGCGAACGCACTATTTATATGGTTCTTTGTCTCAACACCAAGCGCAATTTTTAGCTTCCCTTCACCGTTCATTCTTTCATTTGCCATTATTGTCGTTGTTTTGACAGTAATAATGATTGCCCTAGCAATTTTCTTGTTAGCGGTCTTGGCTAAAGCGCAAAATATTGAAGATCTAAATTACGCTAGTTACATATGGAGTGCTGATGACGATTCCGGTTTCTTTGAGAAACACTTAAATGTGTCTTCCTCCCAAGATTTCTTTACTGCATTGATGAACATTGGATTGTTTGCTGTGTCACTGGCGGGCAAATCAAGTTACATTACAGAATATAATGGCATTATCCATGGAAATAGCACGTGGCTAGAAGAAGGCTTATGGGCGAAGGTGAAGGCGCAGTTCAAAGTGGACAACCTATCTTCAAGCTCGAATTTGGTCCAAGACGGTAAGGTCCTTGCTTTTCTCAAGGCAAATAATATGACGGGATATGCAAACATTTTGAACTCACCATTTCCTGGCTTGATAAAAGACTCAGAACTAGCAGTTGACAAATCCAAAAGATTGAGCACTATTAAAATGAGATGCATTTACACCAAAGCGATCTTAGAACGATTCGTGCTGCTAGTATACTCTTTGACAATCAGGTATGCTATTTACAAGTTTACCCCCCAGTGGCTTAAGAAAAAGCTCGGTCATAGCCAAGATGAGATTTCTTTGCTGCAAGAAAATGAGCTCAGTCTACAGAAAAACAAAGCCCCAGCTTTTGTTCGCCCCTTGATGGAATCAAAGAATACAACAGACAAGAATGAGACTTTCAACTTGGAGGGTATTGCAGATGAGACGTTGGCCGAACAGTATGCTGCTATTCTTAAAGAGAAGGAATTGGAAGAGACAGATACCTCTCCCGATTTTATTCTCAATTACGAAGGGGAGCTGGAATCTGATCTCGAATCAGATATAGAGCTGATTGATATAGCTCAGGGTCGAGTGTTAAGAGCCACGAACGTGTCAGATGCATTAGGAGAACTCATGACTCCGGACAGCATGCAAGAGTTGTTGCAAGAAGAGAATCTAGCGATATTACGTCTGCATTTGGAATACGAATCTGGGGGAAGAGGGGTGATGACAAGGTCACAGTATAAAAAAACCTACACATCGAAGATTCAGCAAGATGAATCTACAAAGCTTTTGGATCTCCTTCTCTCCAAAAGAAAACCGCCTACAGAGGATGATAAAAATGGCGAGGAAGATGATGAGGATATTGATCCACGCTTTGCTTGTGTCATTTGCCAGGTTTCACCGAGAGAAATAATCACTTGGCCGTGCAAATGCTTTAGCATCTGCGAAAGTTGTAGATTGAGCTTGGTCTCTAAGGGCATGGAAGGATGCGTGACATGCAGGCGTGATGTTGAAGGTGTGTCGAGGGTATATATTCCTTAACGCTAGGAGAATAATGCTACTTGAATGTACAGACATGTTTGAGTTTTTAGTGTCTTTCAGTATTAAAGAATAGTATAAACTTCCCAAATAGTGGCCAGAAAATTAGCAAACGTACATGCCCAGACCTCGGCTACCCAATAGGGGTGGAACCATGCACGTGATCAAGAACCGGAAGACTAGAAAATATTATGCGATCCGCGAGAAAACCCATTCCTCTCGCAAGTCCCCACCGCGTTTTCCTTCGACTGTTATCCTGGACCTTTATTGTTCCACAACGTATTCTGCCAAAACTCCTGCAAGTCCATGTCTCCTACCGAATCAGATTCCATACCGCAGGCTGCAGAATTGATCAAGACATCCATAGTCCATCAAATAGGATACTACTTTAGTCTTCTAGACAGAGTACCTGGGGGGCTGATAATTTTGAGGTATCTCAAGTCTTCATACAAAGATGATCCTATCCGGTCGCTTTTTGAGTTCAGTCTTTTTGTGTTTGCATTGCACTACTTCTTATCCTCCAAAAAGAAAGAAAACAAGGCGGAATTGGTCAAATTCTCTAAGCGGGAAATCGATGAGCTTGTAGAGGAATGGACACCCGATCCATTGGTTGCTGAAGTCACCGAGTATGAACATTGGAGAGCGGCGGAGAACCATGTGAAAGGCCAGAACTCCGCTCACATTGAACTCGTGCAGAAAGAGGAACTAGGACTCGTCTCTAACTTGTCCAGTCTTGATTTCCTCAACTTGAATTGTGACGACCGCATGAAAGCAGCTGCTAAACAAGTGATTCTGAGCGCAGGTGTTGGAGCGTGTGGTCCCCCAAACTTTTATGGTACCCAGGACGTTCATGTCAGATTGGAGGAAGACCTTGCTCATTACTTGGGCACAGAACAGGCAATTTTATATGGACAAGACTTTGTAACCGCTGGTTCTGTTATTCCAGCATTCTTGAAGCGTGGTGATTTGGCTGTTGTTGACTCAGGTGTGAACTTGGCAATTCAAAAGGCTGTCATTGTTAGCAGATGTGATGTGGAATGGTATGATCACAATGATATGGAACACCTCGAGCAAATCCTTGCTGAGTTGCAACCAATGTTGAACAAGCAGAAACCTTTGAGAAGACGTTTCATAATCACTGAAGGGTTGTTCGCCTACACAGGCGATGTCGCTGACTTGCCTGGGATTGTCGCCTTGAAAAACAAGTATAAGTACAGATTATTCTTGGACGAGACTTTGTCCATCGGAACCCTTGGAGCATTTGGAAGGGGTATAACTGAACACTATGGGATTTCCAGAGATGAGGTTGCCATAACTATCGGATCTATGGCCACGTCTTTTGCTTCCTCGGGTGGATTTTGTGCTGGTGTTAGACCAATGATTCACCATCAGAGAATTAACTCTAACGCTTACGTTTTCAGTGCCTCATTGCCACCTTACTCAGCTAAAGTTGTTTCCGAGGCAATCAAGGTAATAACAGAAAGCTCCAACTCCAAAGGAGAATCTGTGTTAATGGCCACGCTCCACGAAAAAGTTATGTTTGCTCACAAACAGATAACTAATGCATTTCAAGGCTCGAAATTTTTTGAAATCAAATCAGACCCAAGCAGTCCAATTATTCATTTGGGGTTCACTTCCGATTTCAAAGCCAAATTAGACTTGCCCAACTTTTACGGCAACACTGCGTTATTGACTACAGGAAAACCTTCAAGAAAGTTGAATCCATTTAATCATCACTATAACATCGAGTGTTACATTTTGCAAAAAATCATTGATGCACTTCTTGAAAAGCAGCATGCTCTCATAAACAGAACAAGAATTGTCTTCGAGCAAGAATCTTTACCTGTCATCGGCCCTAGATTGTTGATTCACGTTAATGCTGGTTTGTCTAAGGAAGAAATCGGCTCAGCTATATCTGCATTACCAGGAGTTGTGGAGAGCATTTGCTCCACACTTAATGGTCCTGTGGACTTGGTGTCCTTGGAATCTGAGTTGATTGCACGTTGAATATGCTACGATCGAAATTTCTTTCCACCGGGGAAACATATACTCATTAATCACTTTCTCTATATCTAATCTACCCATATAATAAAGAACTATTTGGTCATTCTACTTCTCGCCTCTTTTGCTATAGCTCGTGCCTCTTCAACATCATGCGCGTTACTCAAGTTGAACTCTTTAGCCAATTCATATGCTTCTTCATAATGGCCACTCTCTAAAGCCGATCGTGCCAACCAAAGTCTAGCCTTAGATGTTTCATCGGTGATGCCCCATTCTAGTTCTTGTTCAAAGCACAATTTCATATACTTATATGTTTCCTTTGTTTTGTGCAACTTCTGAGATATAGTTGCTAACTTGTAACATATGTGAGGCTCTACACTCATAAATCCCTCTGAGTTGTCCTCTGTCATCTTGCTTTGACTATCTATAGCTAGAGCTTTTTCAAATGAGTGAAGAGCCTCCTCAAGCTTATCGATCTTTTCAAAACAGTTTCCAATCGCTTGCCACATACGCTTATCCATAGGCTGAAGGTTCGTAGCTCTCTGGTAATAGTATAAGGCGTACAAATGCATGTCTAAAACCTCGTATGCTTGGCCCAATCCGTACCAGGCTCTAAAATCTTTACTGTTGATATCAACAGCCCCTACGATAAGATTCAATAGCCGCATGAGAATTCTTCAACTCCACAAATTCGTGTCCCATCAAAGTCCACGCACTGAGACAATTTTTGTTGAGCGTCAAGGCACGTTTGAAGTACATGATGGATTTGTCATGTTCGCCTTTCATGGAGTGATAATTTGCGACAACACAGCAGGTTTCTGACCGATATTTGTCGACTTGAGAAGTAAACTGAGCAAGAAAAGATAGTTTCGATTTCTTCTCCATAACGTATAACATATTGGAGTATGTATCCAAGTCATCTAGACGCATTGGATCCTGAGCAAGGATCTCATCGAATAGCGACTCCGCAAGATAGTAGTCCAACCTGTGATACGCAAATAAGAATTTTTGCACCTTGAGAAACATGAAATTCGGAAAGATCTCCGACAAGGCCACGAGTTGATCATTGAAGTTGTCCAGCTGCTGATAAAACTCTTGCAAAAGCACAAGTTCAAACATACGAAACATGATACTAGAGGAGAACAGGGAATCCGAAATCTTCGCATGCTCAATGAAATCTTTTGCTTCATCATACTTTGCAAAAGTGGACAATAATTCTTGCCAGCAGCTCCAATTATAAGGGAACAAAGTGAGAGATCGAAGAAGGCTTTTCCTAGCCAAATCCGTCTTCTTCCTTTTGTTGAAGATGAGTCCAACAAGATAATATAGAAATGCATTGGGTTTACCTCCTTCATTGTAATACGCTTCAGCTTCTTCGACAATGGTGCTCAATCTTCCATTTAGACCATCCACAAGATCTCTCAGAGGAGTTTCAGGATCTCTATTATGTGTACCACCTAATGGTCGAGCTGGCAAACTTTTTGGCTGTCCAAAACTGAGCATTCCTCCTGTATCCTCGGTGGCCCGTTTATCTATACTGATGTAAATTGAGTATAGGCGTAAAAATAGTGCATTTCCACTAACGCAATTCCGCAACGTATACGCTGCACGGTCAAACTCCTTACAATTGAAGTACGTTCGTGCAAGCATAAAGTTAAACTGGTCTTTTCTCTCATCTTCATCAAGCGCTATAGGTGGGAAATCAAAAGGTTCTGAAATTGGCGCTAGCCCGTTGAGTGCTTCGGTGCACCATTTAGCAGCATGAACTAAACAAATATTGGAAAGAACCTGAGACGCATTGTAGAGCTCAAGACGTAAGCCGACCAAGTCTGTCATTTTGCTAAACTTCTGGTGGTATCAATTGTTTGGGTCTTCTCCTACATACATCCGCGCATCTGCGAATTAATCTCACATAGTGTTTTAGTTGGTTTCATTCTACCAACCATGGTCCAAAATTCCAAAGAGGTCTCGTCGTTGAGGGAGTCTTCAGCAAAAGCCAAAGCAGCATGTGATTCTCTTACAAAACTTCTTAAGATTGCACGCCTAATCAGTAACGGCCAAGATGTGGATACTACTGAGTTGAAAATGGCCCAGAAACAAGCACTTTTGGATTCTTTTAAGGTGAAGAAACTACACCGAGACCACAAGGAATGGGAAAACGCAACGAAGGAACAGTTTGTTGAAAAAGAGATCAAAGCTTACAATAGAAAATATGCTCAAATTTCTCGTCTCCATTCAGCCAATACCATCTTAGAGAGTAAATATGCCGAGCTTCGAAAGTCCGTTCAGCTTCCCAAATTTCATTTCTCAATCCAGACACTTGAACAATTTGAAGGTGGGAAGCTCCTTCAGTATCTTAAAAAAGATTCTGCGGGCAACTACCCACGTAAAGTTCAAGTGAGCGAAATCTTCTCGCTCGATAGAAATTCAGTGCTCCCAAATCCAGAGTTTGCCGAATTTAATAAGCTCGTGAACTTGGAATATCGTCTCCGAATGCGTATGCAAATCAAATATGAAGTTTTACTCCGCGTGAAATCACACTTGACGGCCAAGAACAGCCAGTGGTCTGCCAGAGACTCCCTGTTAAACCAGTTTATCACGAGGGATCTCGCTAAAATGATCGCAGAGGTGGAAAAAATTAAGACGAGCGAGTACGAAGATTTGAAATACTACGAGGATGACTTTGACATGGAGAGCGAGGAGCACTTGGAAGAAAGCCGATCGAATGACGAACTTGAGGGGGACATGGAGCCCGATGCAGAGCATAGAGGTGACGGTGAACTCGATAATAATCATGAAGAGTTTGAAGGAGAGCATGTACCAGAAGCTGAAGGAGAGCATGTACCAGAAGTTGAAGAAGAATCGAAGCCAGATGAGAGGCTATATGAGGCAGAAGCAGAATCGCCAAAAGACGAGGAAGCCACAGATGAACAGAGTAGGCACATAGAAGGGGACGGAGAGGCAGAAATATCACAACCGAGTGACGCAGAGAAACCAATGCCTGAGAGACATTTGCAAGATGATGAAATGATACTTGATTAGAACTAAAACACATACACATACAGAGCATTAACCCGTACTATCCATTAATATACACTTAGGAGGACTTTGAAGCAGCAGCCGCATCAGGCTCACCCTGGCAAATGTACTTGAAAACTTGCGCAGGACTGTCACCTAAGGAAGTTCTGTAGTGGACAATTCTTAGGAGTTGATAACCAGCAACACCGCCAAGGAAAAAGTTGACACTGGCCAACAAGTAGTTTTTAGGCTTAATCACGAAGCCAGCCCACCTTGTCCAAATAGCACCGGTGCAAAACAAAGCTGCTTGTTGAGTACCAGAGATTTTCTCCACAGGCCGTTGGATATCATTGAGACCAGCAATAACCAAACTCCACTTCAAGACTGGAGCCCAGAAATGGACGGTTCTGGGACCGGTTTCGGAATTGAGGAAGCGCTGAAACTTTGATGCGTGTTGTGCGGAGGCAGCCATGTTCTATGTTTTAGTCGAGTTCGGGAGTAAAAGAAGGTCTTTTTTTCCCGTGAGCTCTATGTAGGTTCGGGTGCCTCGCACCCATTTTTTTCTGTCATACAAAGTACGCGCACAAAAAAAAAAGGTGGGGTTTTCCCAAAGGTTAGCGCAAAAAACCAGTGCTGGCGGATTTGCTTTTGCGAATTCATGTCACGATGACACGAAAGACGATGTTAGTCTTAACGCGAAATGATCTCTTCGTAGAAGATAGTTGCCAGGGATATCCATGATTGCTTCTTACAAACCTTTGGAAGGCATTTTTATTGTCAATTTCCTTATAAGAGCATTGCAGCAAAGTGGGGTAGTAGCTCTCGGACTTGTACTATTGGCTCTTACACTAAAGATATCGATTTGGAGGTATTTTACTTTTCTCTAAAAGTCATTTAAATGAATGCCTTAATCCTTCTGTCTATATATACGATCCTTGTTTGCACAAGTTGTAGAATACGCTATTTTCATCTTGCAAAAGATTAGCAGGAGTATCAAACTCAGACACTTGCCCTTGGTCAAGAGCCAAGATACGGTCACTATCCATAACGGTATCGAGCCGGTGTGCAATGGTGATAATGGTTTTGTCTTTGAACTCTTTTCGGATTGTAGCTTGAATGATTTTATCAGTTTGAACGTCCACTGCAGCTGTCGCTTCATCAAGCATCAATATTTTGGATGTGCTAAGAAGAGCTCGGCCTAGACACATCAACTGTCGCTGGCCCGCTGAGAAATTGCACCCACTTTCACTAACCCTGCTTTCCAAACCAAGATTTCCGTGAATATTTCTTACAAATTCGGCAAGACTGCAATGTTCAAGAGCTCTCCAAAGCTGTTCGTCCGTAAATTCACCGAAGGGATCTAGGTTCTGTCTGATTGTCCCTTCAAATAAATGTGCATCTTGAGGGATAATACTCAAGTTGTGACGAAGATCAAATAGCCTCAAGTGAGAAATATCTAGCTCGTCAATTTCAATACGCCCTTGTATCGCCGGTAGTATTCGGAAGAGAGCAAGAACCAAGCTGCTTTTACCTGCTCCAGTGCGCCCAACCACACCAACTTTTTCACCGGATTTGATGGATATCGTTACATCTCTCAAAACGGGGTTCATGTCTTTCGCATAGCGAGTGGAGTAATTCTCCAACCTGACTTCACCTCTAGATGGCCATTTGTCTGGCAACTCAAGAAACTCGCCATTTTCGTCTTCTTCCATAGGAAGCTCGCAATACTCGAAACACCTCTCCACCGACACAATGTTTGCCTCCACCTCCGCTGACATACGGACCATCATCCGCATTGATGTTGTAACTTGCAAAGCATAACTCATCACAAAACCTGCCATACTAGCACTTATAGGATGAGCTGTGGTGCTTTTATAAATGAGCATAGAGGACGAGCTCCATACAATTATTGACCCAATGAGTTGTAATCTTTGCCGAAAGCCTTCTGTTGATTGATCTTTTTATAAATAAACTCTTGATGTTGAAATCAATCATTATCATTATTCTCGGTTTGAAAAACGTTTCTCTTGTCGGTATGCTCTGAATATGGCTATCACCTGTCTATCTTTCTTGAAATTGAATTATAAAATGGAGAGCGTGAAATGGAAACCAACCTTTTAAGTTCTCTTTGGACACTTATGTAGTACTTTTGGTAGTACCCATAAATGAAAAACAAGACTACAGCAACGAATGCGAATGGAGGAATCGCTGTTCCAACGACAATGAAGGTCATGATTGTCTTTAATGCAACTCCCATGAAGGAATTAAAGGAGCGAGGAAGGGCATCATCAACCTTATTTATATCATTGCTGAAGCGGTTCATAATCCGCCCAACAGGCGTGCGCTCGAAAAAACTCATCGGTGCTTTCATAAGTCGCCGTGCCATCCCATCATGAACAACCTGACCTCCTCTGATACCTAAATGTATCCAAAAAATGACTCCCTTGCATAAATTCAAAATACTGGTACTGAAGCCGAGGACAGCATAAATGGCAATGTATTTGAGGGCACCCTTGTTATCACCAAAAGCAGAGTTTCTGTCAGCCCATTTCTTCAAGGAGTAATTACTTAGCACTGACGCCAAAGTAGCTGCAACGTTGACCACAAGCCATACACACGTCCAAATCAAGGAGCACGCCTTGATATACTGCCAATACACTTTCCACTTCACCTTTCCTTTAGCTGAGATTTCTGCTGTTGGCTGGGATCTGCTGCTTACATTTTTCTTGAAAGGATTCCAGTCAAATGTTGCCACGCTAGCTTTCCTTGGAAATTCTTTCCGTAAAGTGGGCGATGAAACACACGTCTCTGTAGATTCATGATCACTGTTTTCTATTGGCGGACTCATAGTTCGGCTCCGCGAATAATCTAAATGACCCGACTCCTGTAAGAGTTGGTTGAGTTTGGGAAGATCTTGATTGTGGACAGCTTCGCTGTAGCTTCCGGCCTCAACAATTGAGCCACTCTCAAAGAGATAAATTTTATCTGCCCGCGAAAGGACACCAATATTGTTGGTAGCAAGGATCACTGTGTTTCCAGCAAGCAAACCCGTACGACTCAAAACTTTGGATACAATGCTTTTACCAACGTGACTATCAACAGCACTCAAAACATCATCAAGAAGATAGATATCAGCCCGAGAATAAACTGCCCTTGCCAACGCTAAACGAGCCTTTTGTCCCCCAGAAAGTGTTATTCCCTTCTCTCCGACTTGCGTAGCATCTCCATCTGGGAGTACATTAAGATCAGGTAAAAGTTCACAAGCATCAATAGTTTTATTGTAGTAGTCCTCATCATAGCGGAAACCAAAAAGAATGTTATCTTTCACAGAGGCGTTCATAATCCATGGATTTTGAGAGCAATATGCAATAGTACCTCCAAGCTCTATAGGTGCAGCTTTCGTGAATGGATTATGAGCATCTACAGCATCGAGCTGACCGATGATTGCAGATAAGAGGGACGATTTACCGGAACCAACCTTGCCAACGGCGCAAATAAAGTGACCTTTTTTAACCTCAATATTGATGTCTTTAAGAGCATATCTTATTGGTGAGAAGTCCATATCCTCCCTGATCTCTGTAATATTCTCAACAGGCCTATTCCACACAAAGGAGATTCTCTTCATCCGTAAAGCTTCACTATATTCACCTGACACAAACTTCACCAATTTATCATCTACTTCCTCCTCAAGTAGGAAATCAGAAATTCTGTCTAATGCAACCGAAGCTTCAGTCATATAATTAATCAACATTGGAAATGAAAGGATAGGCCGTGAAAGAAGGTTAAGTAAACTGAGGGCAGGGAAGACAATTTCTGATGTTAAAGGTACACTTTCAAAACAAACAAATGCACTAAAGGTGGCTAACGTTACCATAAATGGCAAAGATACCCATATTAAATTTGCCACTTGATTGATGATTCTAATCTTCTTCAAGTTCTTAAGCTCTTTGTTGTTTCTGGCATCAAGTAGCCTATTGAGCATAGGAATTTCCCATGAATATAATTTGAGCGATTTCATAGATACGAGGATCTCATTGGTAATATTATTCCGGTAATCTTTTAATTTCATTTGAAGTTTGTTCAAACGTTTCAGAAATCTCACAATTACCGTATTAATGGGCATTATGACAATGATGGCCACAACACCTGCAAGAGAAGCCTTGCCCAATAATTGCCACAAAGAGTAAATGCATATGAACAATTCCGTGGGCGCAATGATGAGCGTTCCAATTTCTTGAGCACAAGTCTGAATACGAGGTGTGTCAATTGAAATCAAGTTCACTATGTCACCTGTCGATCTTTCAGCTCTTGCATTTGTAGATAGCCGCAAACTCTTCCTGAAAATGAGTGATGTGAGAGAAGACCGGCAACCCAAGCCCACTTCAAGAACTTTTAGCATGTACTGATTACTCAACGCTGTTTGAATGATGGTAACAGCAAACATACTTGCTGATATCAAAGCACCTTTCAAGACAGGGTTGTCCTGCGGATTCTCAAGTTTATCACCAATGAAAATAATGAGCAATCTCAAAAGCTGAGGCTGAACAAAACCAAGTAAGGAATCAGCAGCATCGTACAAAAGGCAGGAGAGCATAAGAGGACCAAAAGCTTTAAGAAGCGATCCGGCTAGGTGCGCCTTTGACTTTTTTCCTTCTACACCGCCCCAATGTAACTGCAATTTTTGAGTGAAGTCTTCAGTAGCAAAACCTGAGATTTCAGGTAGATCATCAACTTCCAAAGTTTGTTTCTTGTAAGAGTTAGTGATCAAATTATTCATCCACAGGAAAGTGATTCTATCAATAAAGTTTGGCTGGTGAAGAGAAGCAACGAGAGTTTCGGAAGTGTGATAATGTATCAAGAGCTCATGTGTAGGCCGCCATGACTTCTTGGAATACTCCAAAATAAAGATGGATATAGAAGTAATTGAAGCCAACAACTCAAAGCTTGGTGCTTTGGAATTGAGCAAAACCGGCCATTGAGTAGAAGAATCTTGGAAATAGAGCACTAGTTCGAGAATTGCCATCACCGGCCAGAAGCAAAGTAAAGAGCCCAGAGGAATGGTCACGCGAGTAGGTTCAATAACATGTAACGGAGTTACTATGGTGGCGGATACAAGAGCCAATGTCCCAAAGGGAATGAGCTTGTGGTCCGCATACCTTTCTACTACCGAGATCAGGCTAAACAACAGACACACGAGAAGTGTGTGGAGAAACACCAAGCTGCATCGAAACCAATGAAAAAAGCCCGTACTCTTCGCCGAGAGGTTGCCATAAACAGGCTTTTTCCAAGTGCTATAGAGCTGGACTGCTCCAGAGACGCCAATCACTGCAGAAATGAGCCACACGAGAGCCGTGAGGAAACAGGGATTAAAAGCATTTTCTGCTGTCGGTACAAGGGGATGCAAAAATGCCGTCGCTCCACATACTAGAGGTTTTCTCGGGTATGTCATGGACTTGGAGATATCGGCTTGGTTGAGTCACGTGTACTTAACCTAGAATATTATGATTGCCCTGTGTGCGAAGAAGAAAAGATGTTGAGGTATCGCGAACTTGTAAAAAAAAAGTGGACAGCACCTCAGACTTAAGGGGATAGTAGATGCACCAATAAGCAAGTAAACAAAACAAGCAACTACAAAAGCCCCGGAGGAGACGAAAGAAACAAAATGAGCGGAGTAGAAAAGAATAAAAGAAAATAAAGAAGAGAACTCAGGTTTTTAATGTGCATGAACCCAGATCAAGCAATAACAACGTTCCGAGTTTTCCTTCATTTGACAGTCAACAAAAACCCAGTGTAAATCTGGGGAAGGTAATACTGCAGAGTGCTCGGGTAACGTACGGTAAAATGAAACACACATGGGCTAATTCGGAACGTATGAATATGGATTGGATTACACACAATATGTGGTTTTACACCTAGTTACGCCAACCCCACAAAACTATGTAATCGAGAGGGGTCCAACAGTTTCTATATTTCTAGAAAAGCACATCCGTAAGAGCGAAGGAAAGAAAACAATCCGAGGGTTAGATGCAGATGTAAGCTTCCGGAGGTCGGCTCCGACGACATGCAGCCAATGAAAGAAGCGTAATTCGCGGTGCCGGAGTTCAAAAATCTGGAGAACACAAGGTAATACCGAGGGCTAAGGTAGAAATCTTTTCCTGAGAGATGAAAAGGAGAATAGTGGTCGATTTCCAGATATTTGATTTTTCTGAAAGCTGCAACAGTAACCAACAGCAAGTAAGAAGTCGGCAAGGCCTTCTCAAATAGCAGATATTGCTAGCACAAGTCTCGTTTATGACAATAGGACCACCGGAGATGGCATATTGGCCAAGTATGTGCCCTCGGAACTCATTACAAATTTCCTCGCGTTCATTGGCTATGGCCCACCGGTGTTCTTTATGGCCAGGGAGTATATAAATGCCAATTCGCCCATCAGCGCCTGGTGAATTTTTTTTTTCTTCTCAACCCTTCGCCAAAACAAGCATGTTGTCTGCTTCTAGAAGAACTGCTGCCAAGGTTCCACGCTCCATTCGTGGTCTTGCCACATCTGGTCTTACCAGAGACTCCAAGGTGCACCAAAACTTGTTGGAGGATTTTTCTTACATCCAATACAAAAAGCACTTGGAAAACGTCAACATCGTCAAGCAAAGATTGAACAGACCTTTGACTTACGCTGAAAAGTTGTTGTACGGTCACTTGGACAACCCACACGAACAAGAGATTGAAAGAGGTGTCTCCTACTTGAAGTTGAGACCAGACAGAGTTGCCTGTCAAGATGCCACCGCTCAAATGGCCATTTTGCAATTCATGTCTGCTGGTATGCCTCAAGTTGCCACTCCTTCCACCGTGCACTGTGACCACTTGATTCAAGCCCAAGTTGGTGGTGTCAAGGATTTGGCTAGAGCCATTGACTTGAACAAGGAAGTTTACGACTTCTTGGCTTCCGCCTGTGCCAAGTACAACTTGGGTTTCTGGAAGCCAGGTTCCGGTATTATTCACCAGATCGTCTTGGAAAACTACGCTTTCCCAGGTGCTTTGTTGATTGGTACTGACTCTCACACTCCAAACGCTGGTGGTTTGGGTCAATTGGCTATTGGTGTTGGTGGTGCTGATGCCGTCGACGTTATGGCCAACTTGCCATGGGAATTGAAGGCTCCAAAGATTATCGGTGTCAAGTTGACCGGTAGAATGTCGGGCTGGACTTCTCCAAAGGATATCATCTTGAAGTTGGCTGGTATCACCACCGTCAAGGGTGGTACTGGTGCTATTGTCGAGTACTTCGGTGACGGTGTCAGCACCTTCTCTTGTACTGGTATGGGTACTATCTGTAACATGGGTGCCGAAATCGGTGCTACCACCTCTGTTTTCCCATTCAACAACTCTATGGTTGACTACTTGAATGCTACCGGTAGATCTGAGATTGCCGAGTTCGCCAAGCTTTACCAAAAGGACTTCTTGGCTGCTGATGAAGGTTGTGAGTACGACCAAATCATTGAAATTGACTTGAACACTTTGGAACCTCACGTCAACGGTCCATTCACCCCAGATTTGGCTACCCCAGTTTCTAAGATGAAGGAAACCGCTATTGCTAACGGCTGGCCTTTGGAAGTTAAGGTTGGTTTGATTGGTTCTTGTACCAACTCCTCTTATGAGGACATGACCAGAGCTGCTTCTATCATTGAAGATGCTGCTACCCACGGCTTGAAGTCTAAGTCTATCTTCACCATCTCTCCAGGTTCCGAACAAGTCAGAGCCACCATTGCTAGAGACGGTCAATTGAAGACTTTCGAGGACTTTGGCGGTGTCGTCATGGCCAATGCTTGTGGTCCATGTATCGGTCAATGGGACAGACGCGACATTAAGAAGGGAGAGAAGAACACCATTGTTTCTTCTTTCAACAGAAACTTCACCTCCAGAAACGATGGTAACCCTGCTACCCACGCTTTCGTTGCCTCTCCAGAGATGGTTACCGCCTACGCTATCTCTGGTGACTTGGGCTTCAACCCAATCACTGACACCTTGAAGGATGCTGAGGGCAAAGAATTCAAGTTGGCTGAGCCACACGGAGTTGGTTTGCCTCCAAGAGGTTACGACAAGGGTGAGGACACCTACCAAGCTCCTCCAGCCGACAGAGCTAGTGTCGAAGTTGTCATTTCTCCAACCTCCGACAGATTGCAACGTTTGACTCCATTCAAGCCATGGGATGGTAAGGATGCTTTGAGAATGCCAATCTTGATTAAGGCTGTTGGTAAGACCACCACTGACCACATTTCGATGGCCGGTCCATGGTTGAAATACCGTGGCCACTTGGAGAACATCTCCAACAACTACATGATTGGTGCCACCAACGCAGAAAACGGTGAAGCCAACAACGTCAAGAACCACTACACTGGTGTCTACTCTGGTGTTCCAGACACTGCTGCTGCTTACAGAGACGCTGGCCACAAGTGGGTTGTCATTGGTGACGAGAACTTTGGTGAAGGTTCTTCCAGAGAGCATGCTGCCTTGGAGCCAAGATTCTTGGGTGGTTTCGCTATCATCACTAAATCTTTTGCTCGTATCCATGAGACAAACTTGAAGAAGCAAGGTTTGTTGCCATTGAACTTCGTCAATGTTGCTGACTACGACAAGATCAACCCAGACGACGAGATCGACATTCTCGGCTTGACCGAGCTTGCCCCAGGTAAGAACCTTATCATGAGAGTTCACCCAAAGAACGGCGAAGCTTGGGACTGCGAGTTGTCTCACACTTACAACTCTGAACAAATTGAATGGTTCAAGTACGGTTCTGCTTTGAACAAGATGGCTGCCGCCCACTCTAACTAAGTATATAGTTGGATTTCTAAGTAATGTGGTCCACGATATAATTTATTGCTTATTCATTTGATCTGCATCCTGTAGAAGAAACGTGCGCACTAATCCAAACTTAAACTGGTAATGGAAGCAGCAACGATGGATTCATTATTCAACGCAGCATGTCTATTGGAGCATAACACGATCACTACCAATCGTTAAAAAAGATAAATTCAAGATGAATAGGATAAAAAAAGAAAGCCCGACGCGGGGGTCGAACCCGCAACCTTGAGATTAAAAGTCTCACGCTCTAGCCATTGAGCTAGCCAGGCTGTTTTCGGAGGAAATTGTAATGAGAAAAGTATAGCAGACGCCACAATGTATTTGACTGATAGTAGTGCAACATCCATTCCATTCTGTGAAGTTGTTGATTCAGAATTGCTACCAAAAAACTATTTCTGTTTATGGATCCCTGGATCTCGCAGTGCATTAGTCATTGATATGCGCAACCAAGAAAAACGATATTGTTATATGCAATGCAATCTTATTGGCGAACCACTGGCAAAATTAGCGAAATTTTCCACTTTAATTGGTCATTAGCACTTTCTTCTTCTCAACATGGCGCAAGAATTGACACACCCTTCTATCAAAGACGGCTGGTTTGCTGAGGTTTCAGACACCATGTGGCCTGGATCGGCCATGTCCTTGAAAGTTCAAGAGGTTTTGTATGCTGGTAAGTCCAAGTACCAGGATGTTTTGGTTTTCAAGTCCACAAACTGGGGCAATGTCTTGGTTTTGGACAACTGTATTCAGGTTACAGAGAGAGATGAATACTCTTACCAGGAGATGATCACTCACTTGGCCATGAACTCGCACCCAAACCCAAAGAAGGCTTTGGTTATTGGAGGTGGAGACGGAGGTGTTTTGAGAGAAATCTTGAAGCACTCCTCTATCGAGGAAGCTTGGTTGTGTGACATTGACGAGACTGTCATTGAGGTTTCCAAGAAGTACTTGCCAAACATGGCAAAAGCTTACAACGACCCAAGAACCAAGGTGCACATTGGTGACGGTTTTAAGTTTTTGGAGGACTACAAGAACACTTTTGACGTGATCATTACCGACTCGTCTGACCCGGAAGGTCCAGCAGAGTCTCTCTTCCAAAAGCCTTACTTTGAGTTGTTGAAGGGTGCTTTGACTGAGAAGGGTGTTATCACCACCCAGGCAGAAAGTATCTGGTTGCACATGGACATCATCTCCAAATTGAAGAAGGACTGCCAACAGATTTTCCCTGTGGCTGAATACGCTTACACCTCGATTCCAACTTACCCCTCCGGTACTATTGGATTCATGGTTTGTAGCAAGGACGAGTCCGCTAATGTCAAGAAGCCATTGAGATTCGAGTGGGACGACAAATTTGTCGACGAGAACTTGAAATACTACAATGCCCAAGTGCACGAGGCTTCCTTCGTGTTGCCACAATGGGCTGACAAAATTTTGAACAAAGACCAATGACATCACCATCAATTTCATAAAGCCTTTTGAGCTTGCACGAATTTGATGATTTATGATTGTACGGTAATTGGTTTCAGGTTTATAGAATAGAGTAGAGAGGGTTCACAGGTGAAGTCCGGAACCATGTCTTTGTTCAACCACATGTAGTTATTTGGTGCACTCCAGTTTCCAAGTATGGTATACCGATGGACTACTAGGTACGAACCTTAAATGGACGTTGGTAAGCAATTATCAACTCATTCGAAATTCTTACCTATTCTATTCATCTTGTCTTTCATTTCAGTTAGGTAGGCCGGTATCAATGTGCAAGATAAAGGATTACCCCAAGTGATGGAACCGGCACATAAGAATACCGTTTGCCTTCTTATCATGAACAGAGGGCTTTCAGAAGAACAAAGGAGGCGTATCGTATGTCAGTCAAATTTTCATTGATCTTCCAGTTACTAACTAATAGGACGAGAATCGCAAAAAAGCCTTGGAAAGACTCAAATTACGCAGAGGAGCCAGCCCAATAGTTGCTCAAGAGAAGCCAGATGTCTCACTATTGAAGGAGAAGGTTGCATCTTCTGTAGCAACACAGCCAGCGCCAAAAGATATACCCACATTGCCTCGTGTTGAACTTACTGCAGAGCAAAAGAAGCGAATAGATCAAAATCGACAGCGGGCGCTTGAGTTACAGAAAGAAAGACAAAAGAACAGAAGAGATGCGTCGCGACCTGAAGCGGCTATTCCGGTGACAGAACAAGAGAGAAAACGTTTCAAGAACGAGCGGCCCTCGATCCAAAAGAAAGATTACATTGAGTATGATTTTTCGACAATGAAGGATAGCAAAGGTGGGTTTTTGGATGATAATGATAAGTTCGGGCTTCAAGGCCCGGAAGAAGAGCTGCAAACACTCAAAGATTGGAAAGAAAAACAGAAGCAGGACCATATAGTCAAGGACTTGGCACCACCTTTGGATTTAGCCAACGCTCCAAAGTGTTTTGAATGCGGATCGCTCGAAATCGATCCAAACCTCTTCACTAACTTCGGCGCGCGTGTGTGCCGCCGCTGTATGCGAGAGAAACAAGACAAGTATGCTTTGCTAACAAAAACTGAATGCAGAGAGGATTATTTACTTACAGACCCAGAGCTTCGAGACACGTCGCTTTTGAAACGTATTGAGAAGCCAAATCCTCATGGCTTTCTGCGCATGCAATTGTTTCTACGGTACCAGGTGGAAGAGGTTGCGTGGAAAAAATGGGGGTCGTCCGAGGGACTCGACGCCGAGTGGGAAAAAAGAGAGCGGGTGCGGCTCGAGCGGAAAGAAAAACGCTACCGCGAGAAAATGAAGGAAATGCGCAAAAAGACTCGGGCGGAGGAATACACGCAAAAATTGCGTAACGGCGAATCTTTGGGTGAGCGGCATGAACATCTGTGGTCAGCGCCATTGGCTGTTGGCGACAACGAAAAAATGGTGAGAAGACGTTGCATAGATTGCGGAATCGAAACGGAAGAAATTATTATATAGCAAAACGAGATTAATGTCACCTGAAAAGAATGGCTTAGGGTGTAATATCTATTGAATACTGTTGAGTTATATTGCAATGTTTCCTGGTGCAAAGTTAGATGTCCATAATTGGACGAAAAGTGGGCTAGTGCAGAGGATGAAAAGTACTAGATACGAAGGTATCCTAATTTACCAGACATTCACCATCACCAGGTGTCGAATACAACTTCCTTAATGGTACAATGAACCACTGGATTGAGCTTCTCATTGAGCTGTTTCTTTAATCGATCTTACTTCTGAATACTGTATCAGTGCGACTTGTACCCCCAGAGCATTTGTGAGATAATCTCGTTGAATGATTATCTAATGCTGAATATCTTCATTTGATTTCAATGCTTCTATCGAAATACGTGGTATGGTCGGAATTGATTAATAAAACGACATAAGTAAGACTGAACTACCAACCCTGGATTGCAATTTCTTCCCAGATACAGTCAATCCGTAACATCAACTGGCGAAGTCTCATAGGTGCAAGAGACGTCATGAAGACTGGTGCGCGACTTATAATGGAACAGAAATTGGATAATACGAATTCTTAGGAATCTTTTAAATCCCTTTAATCACTTGGATTACTCCATAGTATTTAATTGAATAGACAATAGATCAGCAAAGATATTGTTCTTTGTTTTCTGTTGATGTTTAATTTCCTTAAGATGTGAACTACATATCTAGTGGGTGCGAAATTGGAAAGCGAATGAGCACATGTTTCTCGCGTGTTCTATGGACAACGCCTACATTGATAACTACGCGAATTCACCCCATGGCACGCTCTACTCATTAACTTAAAGGCTAGCGTGGAAAAAAACGGACATTCCATGGTCGTGCACGACCCAAATCGGGCCCATGGAAGGCCATGGAAACTTCGCGTAACACGCACACTCGTCCATTTTTGCAACTATATAATCGCCAACTTTCTCACTCAGGATTTCTTTTCCTTTTCAACTTAGCAAAATCTAATTTACTCAAGATGTCCGACACTAAGGTTGAAACCCATGAGTTTACCGCTGAGATTTCTCAGTTGATGTCTTTGATCATCAACACTGTCTACTCCAACAAGGAAATTTTCTTGAGAGAGTTGATTTCCAATGCTTCCGATGCTTTGGACAAGATTAGATACGAGGCTTTGTCTGACCCATCCAAGTTGGAGACTGAGCCAGAGTTGTTCATTAGACTCACTCCAAAGCCAGAACAAAAGGTTTTGGAAATTAGAGATTCTGGTATTGGTATGACCAAGGCTGACTTGATCAACAACTTGGGTACCATTGCCAAGTCTGGTACCAAGGCTTTTATGGAAGCTTTGTCTGCCGGTGCCGATGTTTCCATGATTGGTCAATTCGGTGTTGGTTTCTACTCTTTGTTCTTGGTTGCTGACCACGTTCAAGTGATCTCCAAGCACAACGACGATGAACAATATGTTTGGGAATCCAATGCCGGTGGTAAGTTCACCATCACTTTGGATGAGACCAACGAAAGAATCAAGCGTGGTTCTATCATTAGATTGTTCTTGAAGGAGGACCAATTGGAATACTTGGAGGAGAAGAGAATCAAGGAAGTCGTCAAGAGACACTCCGAATTCGTCTCCTACCCAATTCAATTGGTTGTTACCAAGGAAGTCGAAAAGGAAGTCCCAGTTGAAGAGGAGGAAGAAGCTAAGGATGAAGAAGACAAGAAGCCAAAGTTAGAAGAAGTTGAAGACGAGGAAGGCGAGAAGAAGGAAAAGACTAAGAAGGTCACTGAAAAGGTCACTGAGACTGAAGAATTGAACAAGACCAAGCCATTATGGACTAGAGCCCCATCTGACGTTACCCAAGAGGAGTACAACGCCTTCTACAAGTCCATCTCTAACGACTGGGAAGACCCATTGGCCGTCAAGCACTTCTCTGTTGAAGGTCAATTGGAATTCAAGGCTATCTTGTTTATTCCAAAGAGAGCTCCATTCGATGCTTTCGAGTCCAAGAAGAAGAACAACATCAAGTTGTACGTTCGTCGTGTCTTCATCACCGATGAGGCTGAAGAGTTGATCCCAGAATGGTGCTCTTTCGTCAAGGGTGTTGTTGACTCTGAGGACTTGCCATTGAACTTGTCCAGAGAAATGTTGCAACAAAACAAGATCATGAAGGTCATCAAGAAGAACATTGTTAAGAAGTTGATTGAGACTTTCAACGAAATTGCTGAGGACCAAGAGCAATTCGAGAAGTTCTACACTGCCTTTGCCAAGAACATCAAGTTGGGTATCCACGAGGACCAACAAAACAGACCAGCTTTGGCTAAGTTGTTGAGATACTACTCCACCAAGTCTACTGAGGAATACACCTCCTTGTCTGACTACGTTACCCGTATGCCAGAGCACCAAAAGAACATTTACTACATCACTGGTGAATCTATCAAGGCTGTTGAGAAGTCTCCATTCTTGGATGCTTTGAAGGCTAAGAACTTCGAAGTTTTGTTCTTGGTTGACCCAATTGACGAATACGCCATGACTCAATTGAAGGAATTCGAAGACAAGAAGTTGGTTGACATTACCAAGGACTTCGAGTTGGAGGAGACCGAGGAAGAGAAGAAGCAAAGAGAGAAGGAGATTGAGGAGTTTGAGCCATTGACCAAGGCTTTGAAGGAAATCTTGGGTGACCAAGTTGAGAAGGTTGTCGTCTCCCACAAGTTGGTTGACGCTCCAGCTGCCATCAGAACTGGTCAATTCGGCTGGTCCGCTAACATGGAAAGAATCATGAAGGCTCAAGCTTTGAGAGACACCACCATGTCATCTTACATGTCTTCCAAGAAGACTTTCGAAATCTCTCCAAAGTCTCCTATCATCAAGGAGTTGAAGAAGAAGGTCGAGGCTGATGGTGCAGAGGACAAGACCGTTAAGGACTTGACCACCTTGTTGTATGAGACTGCTTTGCTTACCTCTGGTTTCTCCTTGGAAGAGCCATCTTCTTTCGCTGGTAGAATTAACAGATTGATTTCTTTGGGTTTGAACATCGAGGAGGATGACGAGGTTGAGGCTGAGGTCGGTGCTACCTCTACTGCTTCTACTGACGAGCCAGCTGTTGAGTCCGCTATGGAGGAGGTTGACTAAACGAAGTTATGTATTTTAATATTTGCGAGCCTAATAAGAAAACTGGATACGAAGAATAAGCTTGTTGTAGGCATGTATATACATATTAAATGTCGTGAACTATTTAAATAAATGTAAAATGGTGGAGAGCTTCTGTTATTTATTCGCCTCATATTATCTATTACTTCTCTTCCACACTCAAAGCTGCTTTCACCAAATCGTCTATGTATCCAAGCACGGACGTGGCTTGTTCTCGCACAAGTAAGTCTGTATCATGACTTTCGACATAGTGCAAAACGGCAAGCACCTTTTCTCTGTACTGAGCAGGGAATGGTACGGAAGCCGAGTTTGAAGTGCCGTGCACCAAATCATGAATTAGCACAACAGCTGCACGCCGCATGGGCGATTCCTCTCGCAGTGTTTCGAAATCTAAAATTCCCACTGCACAATCAACCGCACTAGGCAAAAAATCAATCATGCCCAAGGGATTTGTGTGACAGCACGCGCCTAATACGGACATGGCAGACAACCGAAGTGCTGCGTCTGTTTCCTCGCGCCGCCCTGCAAGGCGAATAGCGCCAGAGCAAATGATGCGCGCGCGCTCGCCAGCAAAAGCTTCGCCCGCGCCTTCCACATACCTCAAGAGCACTTCGCCCACGCGCAAACGTTCGTCCAAATCGGCACCATCCGCACCAGTGTAGACTGATATGAGTAACGGAAGCGCCGAGTCATCGCGTTCCAATAAGCTCTGCAAGCCTTTTATCACATTGAGATAGACGAAAGGTTCTGGATCCTTCAATTGCAATAAATGGAGCCGCACAGCATAGTCGACCTTGATTGCATCACTACCAGTTTCAACGAGTTGGCGAATGAGATAAAGCGATTGCGCCCGAATAGGAGGCATGGGGTCCTCAAGACGTTTGACAGCGCGTACCAACATTTGCCGCTGCAGCGCGAGCTCGCTGGCGGGCGGCAAGCGCATGGCGTCGATGCGCTGCACCAAGTCGCGCGCAGTGGACGAAGTTCGCAGCGCCAAGTTGCTTCGAATCGCTTCGAGATGTTTTTGTGCCGCGGCATCGAGCTCGCTTGTCTGTGACAATATGGCCGAAAGGAGTTCCAACACAAGAGCAATACCATCATCATCGTCATCTTCTTCATCATCGGAGTCATCATCAGAATCTCCATCAGTTGCCTTTTCCGTATCAAGGAAACCGTTTTCGTCTTCGATTTTAACATCTTTCAACGTCATCGTGTCCACTGCTTTCACTTGATTGTGGTCAGTATCCTCGGTTTTTATGCTGCCCTCCAGTTTTGTAACATCATCTTCATGTGCTCCTAGGACGCTGCGCACAACGCGCAAAAGATCACCAGGCGTTTCTGCCAATTGATCGCGGAAGTCGCGACCAACAGTTTCCACAAGACGCAACTCTGCAAGGCGTTCGAAAGCAGCATCGCGAGTTCCGTGGAGCCAGCGTGCAAGAAGGCGCGCGAAAAGCGCCAGAACGTCGGGTGCCTCGAGTGGGCGGAAGAAGCGCGGAAAGGGCAGAGCACCCAGCGTCTACATTTTTGAGAAATTGAGCAGCACGCGCTTGACTAGAAGAGCCGGTGCCACTAGAGGTGAGATGAACTGCTCCCTCCAACTTTTCTGGCGAAGAGCATATCTCCACAAGCTGGTTGGGTCCAATACGATACCGCCAGCGTCCCTCGCACACGACGTTTTGCGCCACAAGATCAAGCGCTTCCAAACGACGATTTGTGTCCATTGCTGCGAGGAAACCAATGAAGATGCTCTTGGCGACTTCAGTTGGACGTTCATTCTGGCGAAGAAACACGAAGTAACGCCAAAGTGGGATAAGCACAGGCAAAAAAATGGCAGCGGCCAAATCGGCAGGCAAGCTGCGCTGTGCTAATGTATAAAGCACATTTATGTTATTGTTGACTGCAGTTTCAGACAGCCATACCAACTTGTCGGTCGGTTGTGGGTCAAACACATCCCAAATTGGCTTGAGGAAAAAATCCACAGTAACTTTTTCGTTCCGCCGCCAAAGCTGTTCTAGAAAATGACCAATACAACTTCCGACTGTAGGTCTGTTGACGTTAACCAAAATATCGTAGCATTGATTACCGATCAGGGTAAAGTATTCCACTGTGGTCACAGTCTTTGGCTTCAGAAGTAAAACTCGGGCCACATGGTCGAATTTTGATACGCTTACTTGTTCCTGATCTCGGAGGCCCAAGACAAATTCCACCAAAGTCAAAACTCCATCGCCTTTTGGAGCCTTGCTTGGAAGCAATTCTAGCCGCGCAACAACTGTCCGCTTGAAATAAGCAGGTGAGGGTGTTGAAAGAAGAAGCGTATAGTCTTGGTAGAGATCGTAAGTTGAAGCAATACTTGCCGTCACATCAACTTTTGCCTCGTTTGCGTCCTTCTCTTTCCACCATGGAACAGAAGCTAACGAAAGTGACACAGTCAAAAAGTCTGAGTACCCCGTACCCTTCATTAAGAGATCACGAACATCAGAATCTTTCTCAAACAATGGCCATAACTGTGAAAAAGCCATGTGAAGGAGCCTTTCATGTGGGGCGAACCGTTCAGCATCGCTTTCGCCATCCTGAGGTTCGAGGACAGGGCCCTTTAGTGGCTTGTATACTGAAGTACCGAAATCCGCTAGTCTGCGCTGTTCAAGGGGAACACCAATGTGAAGCGAAGAAAGAGCAGGATAAATGGCAAAGATCACCACCAAGTTCACTAGTTTTCCGAACGTCTTGATGTCGTGGAGCGAAATAACCACCAAGTTCTGGTCTGACATCTTCTGTTTTGCTGCGAGTGCACACGCCTGAACTTCCGCAAGAAGATCAAGAAGTTGTTTCGCTACATCGTAAATGGCAGCATTGTGTTCACGAATGGGGTTTCCAGGCAAAAGCAGGGTATGAAGGCTCTCCAATGTGATGTCTTGAAGGTTCTGAGATAAAAGACGTTCCAAACGAGCGAAAAGCTGGTCCAAGGGCAGATTACCAAGGTATTGAGGCTTATTTAGGCCCTTCCGTTGCGGATATACCTCATCAGGCGAACGTTGTATGGTCGTTGACTTTTTGGCGGCAAACGGGTTTTTCTTACCGTTATTCATATTTGAGGGATTTGAAATTGCTCTATAGTCGATCAAAGAGAATCTTTAGACGTTGGATATAATATTTTTTGGAACTTGAAAGTAGACTGTGTTGGGATCAAGGTACTTCTTGTTCCCATCACTAGATGATAGAACAGAGATGTCTGTTGTATGAAGTCTTAGTGGTGTATGAAGTCCATATGTGATGCTAAAGTCAGGCTTATGGGACACGAAAAACTATACTACTTCACAGTTGTATTTCCAGAATTTGTTTGCATGATTGGTAGTTGCCATGAAATCTTCAAAGTATGGTTTTTGGATTACTGCCAGTAACTTCTGAATGCATTGTATTAGTAATGCGAAAATGTATTTCGCAACCGAAACAAGAGTCTTTGAAAAACGTGAATGGGCATAAATATACATCTTGTTGAGAACGACTCATCTTTATCCTTAGCAATAATATCTAAGATATCTAGCTAAGAATCTTGTTTATAAATGTGTGTATCGAAGAACTGCCACTATCCCCCAAACATCATAAAGTGAACACCAAACCGAACGAAGTCTTGTGCGAAAGGCTAATATCATCAGAACACTTACGCAAGCAAATACGAGAGATTATTAAATAAGCGAATATCCTATGGATTCGTTTACTAGCGGTTTGGTCCCACCTCAAAACATGTCTCTAAAGATGTACTTTCATCAGACCAACTTTCGGAACTACTGGACATCGGAGGCACGGGTGTGCATATATTTGTACAAGCATCAGTCTCATCGCTTCTCTCTATACTTCAAACGCAACCATGTCTTTGTCGCAGGAGGAGATGGACGCCATAATCTATGACGCCAGAGACGGCGACTTGGACTTTTTGAAGGAAGTCTTTTCCGAAATTGTCCCGGGGCTGGTACTTCCCACAATCAAAGACGACATCACTTTGAGCACCCCAGTACATATGGCAGCTGCCAATGGTCACTTGGAGGTGGTTAAATATCTATTGTCTCTTCTTCCTCATGATGAAGCCGTGGCTTTAGTTAACCAGGCTAACGAGAGCGGAAACACTGCCTTGCACTGGGCCGCTTTTAATGGCCATTTGCCTGTGGTACAGTTATTGGTGGAAGAATATGGCGCCGATGTTTTTGCTAAGAACTCTTCGAACCACGATGCTCTCTTTGAGGCTGAGAAAAATGGTCAAGCAGAAGTGGAGAATTGGTTCTTGCTGAAGTTTGCAATCGAGAATGACGTGCGCGTGGAAGAAGATGGAGAAAACACGAAAATCACCTTCACGCCGGGAACAGAGTCGAAGGAACTTGATCGTGAAGCAGCTGAGGCAGAAAAGCTGCGGGCAGATAGTGTGGCCGCCGTGGCTGACTCCACTGCCTCACTTTCCTTGTAGAATATTGGTGAATGGACAATTAGATAATGGACGATCGGCTCTTTCACTTTAGAGTTTGATCAGAGTATTAGCCATCGTTTAAAAATAAACTATAACTATGTCATTGGCCTAGATGCTTCCCCAGGCAATGAGAACACGTAGATTTAACAATCATAGAAAGCGAGGAGGAAACTTCATCAGCTTCACATTTGCTTGTCAATGATTTCCACAAAACCCAAAACATATGGGGGTAAAAGCGAACCAAATGCTTCTCTAACTTCTCAGCAATAAGGATCGTTAGGGAAGGAGAAAGTTGCGGTAGATGGGTGTATGTGATGTGCAATCTCTTGAGTATCTTCGTAACCGTTTTAAATAACGTCCTACTTCTTCTGAAATGAAAGAAAAAATATAACATTGCACATTATTACTTCTAAAAAATTTATTAAGGCGGTTTCTGTTGAATTGGAAAGGAACACCGTAGTGTGCTCTACATCACTGAACAACGTGGTTGACTACTCATTTACAAAAAAGGAGTTTCATTACTTTCATATGGTGAATTCAGCTACATTTTTCAGAAAGGCCATTCTTGAAGGTGTCTACAAATTTCCAATAGCATAAGCATGTTTATCTACTTCTGATTATTGCATGTCGCATATAAATTGGAAAATCTACGATGTCCCAAAAATTCACTGGCAATTTCGTTTAAGTTGCTATGGATCATCATAGAAATATGAAGATATCATCTGGACCAGTCGAGACGAATACACTTTACGATATGTGGTGAAGATAACATACAGACAGCAACGGCCCCAGCTCTCACATAGCAAGAGGGTACAAGAGGAGAAAATGATCAAAACGTGAAAGAACTTATATACAACTCAAATTCAACGCTTTTTTCGAAAAAGATACAGCTTCAAAATAAACACAGCCCTATATTTACACTTCTTTTTCGATAAGAAATCAAGCTCAAGTCACCTAGCAGCCTAAAAGTCGTGCGCGCGCGGCACCCATGAAAAAAAAACGAGAGAAAATTTCAACTGTCTAGTGCCTACTACAATAACCATGAGTGATTTGGGCTTCGATCCTAGTTTGAAAAAGAAAAAGAAGTCAAAGAAGGCCGACGATGCTTCGGCCGCTTCGCCTGCGTCGCCCACACCAGATATGGATGACATGTTTGCAGGTTTAAAGAAGAAGAAAAAGTCCAAGAAGAGCGAAGGCGAAAACTCTGCAGCAGACTCGACCTCCGTGGACGACTTGGCCAGCTCACTTGATGACTTGGGCTTGAAAAAGAAGAAAAAGAAGTCCGTCAAGGCCGCAGGCGTATCGGAATTCGAGCAGCAGTTGGAAAAAGCTGGTCTTGACGATGTGGCTCCTTCTGCGCAAACTGAAGAAAAGGAACAATCAATACAAGCTTCCCTTGGCTTGCCATACGAGTTCCTCTTGTCTCGGTTTTTCACTATTTTGAAAAAGAACAACCCTGAGTTGGCTGGTGACAGAAGCGGACCTAAGTTCAAGATTCCTCCACCAGTGTGTCAGAGAGAAGGTTCGAAGAAGACGTTGTTTGCCAACGTCCAGGACATTGCTTCTGTTTTGCAAAGAAACCCAGAGCACTTGATTCAGTTCTTGTTTGCTGAGTTGGGTACCTCTGGTTCCATTGACGGTGAAAAGAGATTGGTGTTGAAGGGTAAGTTCCAGCCTAAGCAGATGGAATCTGTGTTGAGAAGATACATTATTGAATACGTCACATGCAAAACATGCAAATCTATGAACACCGAATTGAAGAGAGAATCCGCCAACAGATTGCATTTCCTTAGCTGTAAAGCGTGTGGCTCCACAAGATCGGTTTCGAGCATCAAAACGGGTTTCCAGGCCCAAATCGGAAGAAGAAAGAGAGTTTAGACGTTTTATTCGACTGGCACTCGCGGCGCTGGCGGTTCCTACGTGCATTTACTGTTGTGTCACCTAGTATAGTGTCGATCTGTATATTAATCATGAAACATAAAACTACATCCACAGCTGCTCATGCGCAGCTCTCCACCAACTTCTTGAGCGGTACGCACCAAGTGCTGACTCCGTTGTGCACCATCATGTACTTCAAAATCTCACCCTTTATCTTGGCGATTTCTTCTTTGGCCAAGATTGACTGGGCAACTTCACTTATAAACTCCTTGTGCGGTTGGTCCAACTGGTCATACGGCTCAATAACGCGCTTGAGGAAAAACTCCTGTTGCTTTTGGTCCATGTTGCTCTGTTCTACGGCCTGCCGAAGTTTGTCGGGTGTCGCTTCAATGTCCACTTCTTTGGATTCCAGTGTTTCTGGCCGTACCGATTCAGAGCTTGGTGCTGGCGATACCAGTGTTGGAGGTCCTGATACTGGAGGGGCCGACAACCCACCTCGAGCCACAGGAGCTCTGGGTGTCGTTGACTCACCGGAAATTACCGGTAGTCGTTGTGTTCTTCTTTTCGAGCGCGCAGAAGAAACGCTGGTAGAGCTGGATTCACGCGAGCTTAATGGCGGTGGAGGGCAGTCATTCCAACCCTCCATCAATTCACCACGTTGATATTTGGTCATGGTTCTGGGCGAGAATGATAAATATCGCAAGGTGTGAAATGAAGTGCACCATAGTAGGAGTGTGCAGTATCACCGAAGAAAATTATCTCCACCTTTAATTAGGGGTGAAAGTATAAAAATAATGCGGGAACAAAGCAAGATGGAAGCCATACAAGAAACATTAGACTCCTAATAGGCGGCGACAGATAAAGATGTTGTAATCCAGAATTGAGGATAAATTGGATGTGGCTAGTATGATGTGCCGCATTGGGACATTTCGCAGATTGGATTTCGGTTCGCCTAATATTTTCCGGTCACATCTATTTGTTCTTTACATTTTTTTTTTTTTTTTTTGAGCAGCAAGAAGAGTGTTTGATAGAAACAGGTAAATACGATAACTCTCTTGCAAATAGCACAAGTAAGTTATCGTACGGCAATCATAGAATACGCACTAATTCATCGATGCTAATCCAACTCAGTCTCCCAAACCTCGTAGTCGTTGTTTTGGAATCATTGTAGCTCGTGTCAGAAGTTAATTTCAAAGCGTCTGAAGTCTCTTTATTATCTCGCCCTTATCAGCTAACAAAGCGAATTCTCTTCACATACCCTGGAGTGCCAAACACTTCTCTAAGAGTTCGTCCACAGTGGGTCTTTTCGTTGGGTCCAATTGTAAACACAGTCGAATAATATCCATAATTTCAGGTGAGTAACCCTTGATATCTTGTGGGATGTTGTACTTTGCTTGAGCAATGGCCACACTTAGATTGGCACCTTGCTCCATCTCCAATTTTTCAAAAGGCGAAAAGCCGAAGCAGCAGCAGTACAAGAGACACCCAAGGGACCAGATATCTGTTGCCTCTGTGATCTCCGCGTTTGTAGCCACATCTAATAGCTCTGGGGCCCGATACGGAAGAGTGCAGTGCTCCAGAGCGAAATCGGTTAAAGCCAAAGCCTGTTGCCTCGACTTTACAGAGACTCGTGCCTTCATACATGATCCCAAGTCCACGAGCACTGGAAGTCCTTCAGCAGAGAGCATCACATTGGCAGGTTTGATATCTCTGTGGGCGTATGGGCAAAGCTCCAGCATCTCTGTGCTCTCCATAGCACCAGTATCGTCATCAAGTCCCATGGGGAGCATTGCATCCTGTTCATTCTGGCTGTCCTCTTCTCCAGGATCCAGTCCTGTTTTCTTGTATTTGTGCATGGTCTGGATTCCGCTTAATACACCAATAAATATTTTGAGCACTTCTTCCTCATCCATCGTGACCCCATTGAGCACATTGTAATTGATAATGTCTTGCAACGAGTGCTTGAAATAAGGTAAAAGCACATAAAAGGTCCTAGACCCATCTGGCTCGCTCACTATGGCCTCATCTATAGTGTGTACTATGTACGGTGATTTTGCGGGAGCAAACCGATGATAGCTTTTGATCTCACGCATGGCATTGCGGAAAGTGGCATCACTACTGCCATAGGGGCAGCGGATTTTCTTCATGGCATAAAGAATGCTGGCGTTGTTCTTTTGCGACACAAGATACACATACGAGAACCCACCCTCGCCAAGAAGGCGTATTATTTTATATTTTGTGCCATTGACAGAGATTTGTGGGCTCAGAATGTCTGGACAGCACGGGAAACACTTGGATATCGAGTTGAGAATAAGATCCATGACGTTGGGTGTTTTCATCGGGTGATAATGGGGCATAAAGCCCAGTCTAGCCTGCAGGAAATCAGTTAACTAGAGTCATCATCCTGTTGCCCTCAGGTGTATTCTATAATGTTACAAACTACATTGAAGCTATAATTGTATACCTGGTACGATACAGACTAAATCAGCGAAGGTCAACTGCTCTTTAATACGTATTTCGATAGGATGCCCAAAGGACACCTGTCCTGGTGTACGGGTTCATCGTCTCCTCTAGGCTCGCATCAACATTTCAAGTATCTTCATACGAATCTTCCTACTGCAGACGGGGTCATGGCTTCCAATGGTAGTTCCAAGAGTCCCCTAATAGAAGATACATCTATGGAGCCGTATACGGACCCATTACAGAAACTTGCCGACATTGAGCTTTTGCCCGACTTATTCGCATTAATGCAAAGTTTAGAGAACGGAGAGATTCAGGCCAAGGACTTTGACAATAACGCGGGTGCCATAAGATTGAAGGTCAGCAACATTTGGCTGTATTTGCATGAAGTGGATGGAATCTGTGAAACGGTGGAAGAACGGGAAAAAAAGATTGCGTCTATACGGCATTGCAATAGTGAAAAAATAGCCTTCTTGAAGCTGTTTCAGGAGCAGGTTGTCAAGCGCTTGAGCAAGGAGGATACGGCATGAAGTAGATCATTACAGATTCCGATTATGATCTGGACTTTGATTCGCGTCTTTGGCTCTCTTTCACTACATCTGTTGTGGAGATTTGTAAATAGGAATAGGGTAGGAGATATTACACATTTTTAGGGAATTTGTCAACAAGTAGGCCAAACACAAGCATGTATCTTCCAATGGTCCAAGAACAATGCACAATCGGCAAGATTTTGAAGTTTGGGAATTTTCGGTTTGGGCCACAGTAGATTTTCAATGCCCGCGATTCAAATCAACAAGTTCATCACATTCACCTTCTTGCGGAAATGAGCACATTAACCTGGGAGTCCAGCATACAAAGATTGAAGAATACTCCTGCTCTTTCTGTTGGAATTATTATCTTTTCTTTCTTATTCTATGTCCTCTACCCAACGGATTCGAAATCGCTTTTGTTACTCCCAAGCTCGCCGTTGGATTTGAACTTGAATGCGATTTCCTTTTATATTTTCCCTCATGTCAACATTTTCCACTGGCTCATCAATATCGTCACGTTGTTTCCTTTGCTTTCTCGCTATGAACGGTTCCATGGCACGGTCTACACTGGAGTCACTTTGAATCTTTTGGCTGTTGTTACAGCATTGCAATATTGTGTGGTTGGTTTGTTTTTGTACCCATCGGATGCTGTGGCAGGGCTTTCCGGAATTTGCTTCTCGTTTTTAACTTACTTCTGTTACAAGGAACACGAGATGAAACCGGTCATCATGTCTTTGAATTTTGCTGGCCATGAACTTCAGGTGCCAACTATTTACTTCCCATTCTTCAATTTGTTCTTGATCGCGTTAATCATACCGTCCACTTCCTTCTTTGGCCACTTGGCTGGTATTGGTGCTGGCTATTTGTTGGCAATGGGCAAATTGAGCGTCTTGTATCCTCCAGCGAAAATCATATTGGCCATTGAGAAATTTTTGGCTCCAGGCATAGCAAAGTTACAAAATATTGTGCTCTATATCAGAGAGGAAGACGCTGCCAGCGAACGTTCTGTTACATACCGCCCTGTACTTTCTGGTGATTTGGAACTGAACCATTCGACATCTGAAACTCCAATTGAAGGATTTGAAAGAAGATTGGGCACTTAGCCCTTCGAAAAACAAAAATAAAAAAAAATACCAGGAAATTCTAGCTAAAATTAAATTATTTTTCTTCTCGATTGTCGAAATAAAATACATTAGAAACTCTAGTTTATTCACTGGCTTATAGGGTAGACCGGGCTAGACCCGTGCCTCTCTTGTGTTTGTTTCTCTCCGCATTTTCTCGCGAACTTACTTCATCAGTAGCAGTTACGATAGCTAATTATTGATTCTTATCGGCGCGATCGGCACTATGGCTTCAGATCCTTTTCCAGATGAGCCAGTCGCCTCACATGAAAAGGCTCCTGAGAAGAAAAAGAAGCGGCGGCCGCGGAAAAAGAAAAACGCAGTGACAAAAGACGTGCAATCGAAATCAGCAGATATAGCGTTGGATCCACCTCCTTTGCCTGAACAAAGTGTTCCCATGAGTCCAAGGAAACAAACTCTCCTACGTCATCAGAAGAGCAATCTCTCCGAAGACGAGCCTCTTTTCCTCAGTGAAGTGAAAGAGCTCAAAAAGAATCGTAGGCCTTTGACGCAAAATCATATGCCTCGGTCAGAAAACGAAAAGTTCAATGTCTTATTAGCAAGCTACCCCATGGATGATCGAACAACTATTTTCCGCGCACCTTTTGCCCGAATAGTTGTGTATCATGAGCAAGTCCCGGACTCGGGCATAAATGCTTCTTCGGGTACACTCTTGGGCCACGGCGAGTTCACGATCTTCCAATTACATAACGGCGATATCACGTACTTGGCGTGTGGACCATCTTTTGTATATCCTCTTCTTCGCAAGCTCAAGATCCTCCGGGTGAGTCGATCTCACTTCATACTTCCTTTGGTCAACCCTCAGCGATATTGGAAAATGGAGGTTGTTTCACAAGAGGATGCGGTATTGGAGGAACTCGAAAAAGTGTTTCAAAAGTTCGTCAACTATACAAGTCTATTTTTGGTCTCTTCTCCGGTTGATGATGGTGAAAAATACGAAAAAGAGAAAGAAAGTGCCGATTCACATGCTGGACATGTACAACTTTCAATACCTGACATGTTTCCTCTTAGAGGTTCAAACGAACAAACAGAAAATCCCATATCACCACATGCATCCTCACCAAACTTCCAAGCAAAAGGAAATCAATTCACTCCCTTTTTCAATAACATTCCCGAATCGCCGCCCTCAGTGCCGGTTTCTCCGAACCAGTTTCATCTCTACGATTCTAAGCTGCCCATTCTGCCCTCAAGGTCACCAAATCTAGAACATGATCACTTTGGATTTCTCTCGCATCCCAATGCGTACATGCCTATTCAATCAAAACTTACAAAACCTTTAGTGAAAAAAGCTAATAATTCTCAGATCGCAAATCCTTATCACCATACTAGTCAACAATCTGATTCATCGTCAATGGATTCTTTACTCGATGAGTACGAAGAAAATGTATCCATGACAAGGTCTATCAACTATAATGGTTCTCGTATGCCTTCACGAACGGCTTCTTTCGTTTCAATTTCTCATCATCCATTAAACAATTACGCTCGGGGCAATGTTCTAATTTTACCTGAAAGAAGTGTTGCTGGATCGATTATCGGTGACAAGAACAAACATGAGGATGATGGCTTTTTTCCTACAACGTCTCTTTCCCAGTATAATCGAAATCGGCGAAACAGCCAGAATGGTTTGTCGCGCAGGTCTTCTGTTAGTGAACTCTATACCTCCGTTTCCAATTGGATGGATCCCAGTACGAATGGCCCAAAATTATCACACTCCCGTTCCAATTATACTTTGGCTTCTCGTCAAAGCAATCGCCCAATAAATGTAAAGGACACTTATCAGGACATTTATCGTTCCATTACGCTGCATAATGTTGCTGCTTTGGCCGGTCGAGAAAAGAATTCAGAAGCTCTCCCCGAACCCAAATATCCATCGGGGGATCTGTACTATTCTAAATTGCTTGTTACGGACCAGTTCAGCAGAAAACCTGTGAGTACCAAAACACAGGCAAATACTAAATCAACCAGTGAAAGGCTCAATAGGAGATCTAGTCGGATAAGCTCATCAGATGTTTACAATCTCATAAGCCGGAAAGAGGAGAAGATTGAGGCTAGCTCCGGTATCGGCAGGTTTTTCGGTTGGTAACTCTACTTCCATTTACATATTTTTTTAATGAAACGACGATAGGTATTTTCATGTCATATTTCGGAAGCAGTAAACATTTACTCATTCATGTTTGGGCGTTTTTACTCCTCCAAGTGCTACATTATCATGACAACATGAATCTTGTAATGTCCCATTTTTTACTTTTGCGATTTTCCATGAACTATCGATAGGCAAAACTAATTTAGCCTAGTCTGAACATATATGGAGCCTACGGACGTCGATTCTCATTAGGTTCTTCTTCTTGATCGAAGTAAATCAAAGAGCTAAAAAAGACAACAAAATGAGACGTTATAAATCAACTACCACGGGAATCATGGAAGTACCAATTTTGTGTACACTGAGTTGCTAGTACCATTTTCAACACGGCTGCGTGAAATACAGGCGTCTCTCGTAGGTGGTTCATCCATATGTTTTTTTACGAATTGCTCTACTGCAATTGTTGGAACTGAGTGTACAGCGATGTGCAGTGTATTTTGCAGTATATACAGAAGTCATGAGTCGTGAGCATTACAACTGGGGAGCGCCAGGAACAGGGTTACCGTTGGCATCAACCAAGCCCTGCTGCATCAACATCAATTGCTCACTACCAGCCGACTCGAATTGCAAACCAACACCCAACTTCGAAGCGTTCTTGACGTGGTCGATTTCACCAGAGAACAAAATGGACACGGTTGGCAAGACTCTCTTTTCCATAAACACTCCAACCTTACCGGTGGAGTCGATTTGGCCTCTAAAGACAGATTGACGGTATTCGTACTTGGCACCAAGGGTGGTCTGGCCCTCCACAACAGGCTCGTAGCCAATAGGAGTGCCCATCAAGGAGTCGACAATTGGCTTAGCAGAGGCAACCAATTGGGTCTCCAAACCGGCTTCAACTTTGTCGGTAACCTTTCTCCAGAAAGTACCGACCAAAGCACCTTGAGCTTGCAAAGAGGCAGTGGCAATCCAGTTTCCGGCATTGTAACGGGCAAAGTAGTTGACAGCGCTGTCTGGAGGAAGAGAAACGGCTTGTCTAGAGTACATAGCTTCCAAACCCCACAGCAAGCTTTGGAGACAAAGATTGCAACAAAGAAGCGACAGCAACACCGGTGAAAGCACCATTGAGGTAAGATGGATTCAAAGACTTGACGTTCACGGAGAAGTCATTGGCCTGGTAGTCCTGTTCCAACTGGCACATGACTGGCTGACCGTGAGCAATTTGCAAAGTCAACTTGGAGATGTTGTGCTGGTCCCAGCCGTAGTTAACCTTACCGCTGAAAGACATGTCGTTGTCAACATTACCTTGAACGAAGAAGTCTTCCTTGGCATACAAGGCACTGAAGGCATAAGGAGGCAAAGCATTAGAGCCCATGGACAAGGTGTGGGAGGTTTGGAATGCGGGATTCAATGAGAACGCCTTGTTTAAGTCGGCACGCAAGCCAGTGAAAAAGTACTGGTTCAAAAACACATCACGGTTGACCTCCTTCGAGATGTTTTCAATGGTACCAGGGTTGGTCAAGCCCAAGGACTTTCTGTGCTCGGAAATGTTGATGTAGGCGTCGTTCAAGTAGGAGAAGACTGGGTTGGACGACCACAAGCCGTTTGGCTTAGGCACCTCTGGAGCCAAGTTAGGAAGGGTAGGAATGGTCATCTTGGAGAGATCGGCCACAGGCACTTGTTCCGACATGATGAAGATTGAGGAGGAACTGAGCAATTGGTGAGAAAATGTATTTGTCGAGGTGAGAAAAATTTGACCCGGGACGGCAATTACGCGCGCAGTCCCATTCTGCGCCAAAGTCAAGGCGTAGTTAGATCTTGAGTTGAATGAAAAGAAATGATATACTGGCTACTTGCAGGGCACAAGAGTTGATGGTCGGTGGAGAGGAATATAGGAAATGTATATGGGGCCACTTTGTTTAGTAGGCGCTATGCTGTCAGACAGTGTAGTGTTCGTTGTGAGCGAAAAAACAGGAACGGTCGATCAAGTACTGGCATGGACAACGAGAACAGTTCATAGAATTTTTAAAGACCATGTTAATGATGTACTGCTAGATCGGTGTGTATGTCTAATGCTCTTGAGCGTAAAACATGACAGCAAGAACAAGGAAGCAGAGACAAAAATGGTCGACGTATGCTAGATCTGGCAATAGAGCAAAAAAAGTGCCACAATGATAATATGCTTATCAAAAGGGAAGAATAGAAGTAGTAAAGGGTGATCTACAGATGCGAAGAATGGACGGGAAATTAGTGATTATTCAAGTAAGATGACGGAATAACTGGGTGTAATGCATCCGAAGATCATCCGCACTTCATCTGTACCTGAATGATATCAGCAGATACTACACCATTTCATGAATCTGATGAACGAAAGGTGGAATGTCTTGAAGTAAGTATGAATAATTCTCGCCGTTTAGTGTCAGCGAAATTACATGTGGAGCTTGTTCCGATATCTGTAAGTTGCACAATTTTAGCCTTGTAATTAACTGCCAGTCGCACACATGGGCTTTATTGTAGACGGAACGGAAGTCAGAAGCAACTAAATTTTGACCTTCTTTTGTTATGCTCTTTCTTTCTTGTGTCTTCATCAATTCCACATATGGCCCTACCAATATTCCTCTTATTATTATTGTACATTCGATCTCTGTATTTCTTCCTTGCCCGATTTGCATCTATGTATCTTACATGCATCTTGGCAATTACCCCCAATTGACTAGGTCTCTCTCGGATGTTGACCACAAAAACACTTCTACCGGTAATTGCCAACCTGTCAACTTATTTCAACGTCTACAGATGTTCCCTAACAGAAGGATTTATCCATGGGATGATTCCATTACTCTCGTCACCAGATTGTTCCTGTGTAGCGGCCTCCGGGCCCCCGCTGTCAGGTGATGTATCGGACTTTTATAAGGCTCCGCGCATTTCTAGGGCGGCCTGATCAAGCTCTCTTTTCTCACTTCACACTTAATTATGGCTATCCCTTTAGTTAGCGGCCCTTCCGGCGCCATTTTGCTTGCACCGGAAAAGCCGTTGATGGCTCAGACCATCAGCTTCTACTCGCAATTGACGGGTTTTTCCGTCGTTGCCCAAACCGACTCGAGCGCAACTTTGGCTGGGAAAGACGGCGCCAGCCTTAGAATCGAACTCGGTGATACCAAACTGGCAGACCAAATTGCAGAATCGATTTCCCGTTGGTCTACCGAGCTTCAGACCCGCGATTGGCGTTCCGTGGCACCCCACTTAACCTTATGCGTTTCTGAGTTCCTGGAATTAGTCTCCCGTTTGCAAAGCTTCAAGTACCCGGTGCAGCTCTACCCAAACGACTTGTATCCAACTGAAGCATACACCGTCGACCCTTTGGGCCACGTGGTTGGCTTCACCACTGCTAAGAACCCAATGTCCATTAATCCTCCAGTTGAGAAATTCACTCACGGCCATGAAATTGCCCCTCTGATGTCCACTACTGTACTGGAGAAAAGAGCCACTGCTCCAGGCGCGACCCAGCGCCGTAATATCGCTGTCATGACCTCTGGTGGAGATGCTCCGGGAATGAACGCATGTGTTCGTGCTGTCGTCCGGGCCGCTATTTTCCGTGGCTGCAGAGCGTTCGCCGTGATGGAAGGTTACGAAGGGTTGGTGCGTGGTGGCCCCGAGAACATTCGTGAAATGAGCTGGCAGGATGTGCGTGGCTTCTTGTCTGAAGGTGGTACAAACATTGGTACTGCGCGGTGCATGGCATTCAAAGAGCGGGCGGGTCGTTTGGCCGGATGTAAACACATGGTCGAAGCCGGAATCGACGCTCTTATTGTCTGTGGTGGTGACGGTTCTTTGACCGGTGCCGATTTGTTCCGTTCTGAGTGGCCCTCTCTCATCGAGGAGTTGAGGGAGAAGAAGGAGATTACTGCGGAGCAATACGAAAAACACAAGCACTTGAACATTTGCGGTACTGTGGGATCGATCGACAATGATATGGCCACCACTGATGCAACCATTGGTGCATACTCATCGTTGGACCGTATCTGTAAAGCTGTGGACTATATTGATGCCACCGCAAACTCTCACTCCCGTGCTTTTGTCATTGAGGTTATGGGCCGTCATTGCGGTTGGTTGGCATTGATGGCTGGTATTGCCTGCAGCGCTGATTACATTTTGATTCCAGAGAAACCCCTGTCTTCTAAAGACTGGCAAGATCAAATGTGCGACATTGTGTCAAAGCACCGTGCTAAGGGAAAGCGGAAGACCATTGTCATTGTGGCTGAAGGTGCCATCACAAACGACTTGGCCCCAATTAGTGCGAAAGAAGTGAAGGATGTCTTGGTGGACCGTTTGCACTTGGATACACGTGTCACTACTTTGGGCCATGTGCAACGTGGTGGTACTGCTGTGGCTTACGACAGAGTGTTGGCCACATTGCAAGGTGTTGAAGCCGTGAAGGCTGTCTTGGAGTCAACTCCAGAAACGCCGTCGCCTTTGATTGGTATCACTGAAAACAAGATTGTCCGCTTGTCGTTAGTGGATGCTGTCCGTATCACCAAGTCTGTGGCTCTGGCTATCGAGTCCAAGGACTTTGCTAAGGCCATGTCTATGCGTGACTCGGAATTTGTTGAGCATTTGCACAATTTCATGGCAATTAACTCCGCCAACCATGAAGAGCCAACGCTCCCACAAGAAAAGCGCAAGCGCATTGCCATCATCAATGTCGGTGCTCCAGCGGGTGGTATGAATAGTGCTGTGTATGCCATGGCCACCTACTGCATGTCGCGTGGACACACGCCGTACGCTATTCACAACGGTTTCTCCGGTTTGGCCCGTCATGAATCTGTGCGTTCAATTGATTGGTTGACCATTGAAGGCTGGACCTCTGTTGGTGGTTCCGAAATTGGTACCAACAGAGCTACCCCTCAGGATACTGATATAGGCATGATCGCTTACTACTTTGAGAAATACCAGTTCGATGGTTTGATTCTTGTTGGTGGTTTTGAGGCGTTTGCATCCTTGGACCAGTTGGAGAAAGCGCGTTCCATGTATCCAAGCTTCCGTATTCCAATGGTCTTGATCCCGGCGACTATCTCCAACAATGTTCCAGGTACTGAGTACTCGTTGGGCTCCGACACGTGTTTGAACTCCTTGATGGAGTACTGTGATGTTGTCAAGCAGTCTGCATCTGCCACCAGAGACCGTGCATTCGTGATTGAAGTCCAGGGTGGTAACTCGGGCTACATTGCTACATATGCCTCTTTGGCATGTGGTGCCCAGGCGTCCTATGTTCCTGAAGAGGGCATTGATTTGGCCCAACTTGAGCTCGATGTCAGACATTTGAAAGAAGCGTTTGCTACGGAGAAAGGAATGTCTAAGAGCGGTAAGTTGATTTTGAAAAGTACCAACGCCTCTAAAGTGTTGACAGCCGAGGTTTTGGCTAACATCATGAAGCTGGAGGCCAATGGTGAGTTCGATGCCAAGACTGCCATTCCAGGCCACGTGCAACAAGGTGGCTTGCCTTCGCCTATAGACAGAACTAGAGGTACTAGATTTGCTGTCAAGGCAGTCCAATTCATTGAAAATGTGTACGATGACATTGCTCCATACCATGATGCGCTTGATTTCCCAATTGATGACAAGAAGGTCATAAATACTGCCGCTGTCTTGGGAATCAAATCGTCTCACTTGACCTTCTCCTCCATTAGACAGTTATACGACTTTGAGACTGAGACCGAAAGCAGAATGCCAAAGAAAATTTCGTGGTCTACTGTGAGAGATATTTGTGACCAGTTGGTGGGCAGAACTAAGCTTGCCGCAAAGTAACTGCATTTCGTTATGTTAGAATAGATACGACCCTCCCCAACTGTAATACTGGCTGATCTCGCAGGAATATCGAAATTCTTGCGACGTTTTATAGATAAATCAACTGCATCTTAGAAACGCTGATGTAAGAGAATCTTTTGTATGCTTTCTCGAATGAACAATTGTGTGATAAAAAGTAAGAAAGCGCTGATACATTGGAAAAACAAGAATGGAACTAGATCGCCCCACTGTTATAATTGTCTTCTAGAGTCGTAGCTCAAACGAATCTACTTCCATATACAAATGGACAATTAATGTGTTTAGTATCGGTACTCGAATGTCTGCAGGTCATATCTACCTAATGACTACTCCAGCAGAAAGTACGTTAAACATGCCAACCTCTTCGTTCTCGTTACTGACCATAAGGTCTTATATCTAAGCTTACACAATGTACAGCAGAAGACTTGAATTCGCTAAAAGCTGAAGCAGCTGAGGTTGATAGCGCCATAAAAGGCTCAATAGAACCAAACACATCTTCGTTCGAAAAGAAGAAAAAGACAGAGCTTCTTCGACGCCTTTGGACGGCAGTAAATGATGCTGACAATCGAATTGGACTGCGTCGGTTCCTGTTTCAGGGAGCACCTATTCCTCCTTCGGAATCAATCATCAGCCAAAATGCTTCAGTAGTAGAATGCAAGTCTGACGAAATCAGCGAAATTCACAACACGGAATTGTCTATCTCTTCGACTTCCCATTTGTCACTTTGCAATATACTGGATAGCGTTGTTGTTTCTGCTCACACACTCTCGGCTGTCAGTGTAAAAGATGCGTCAGACTCGATTGTGGTTCTCCAGTGCCAAAGGCCCTGTTGTGGTCACGAACGCATCAAACTGCCACTTCATACTTCTTGGTCATCAGATACGGCTCCACGAACTTGTTAACTGTACCGTTTGGGGTAAAGTGGCAAGCAAGCGAGTGGTGATAGAAAAATGCCATAATGTGCAATTTGGAGGCTTCAACGAAGAAACTCGGACACTACAGACTCTGGATTTCGACGTCGACGACTTCGACTGGCCCACGAAGAAAATAACTAGTCCAAACTACACGCATCTTGAAGCCAATTGCCCCGCTATGGAAAAGGCTGTTCCGTCTTTTGGGGAAGACACACTCAAAGAGTTTTGGGGGGTATTTGGAGGAGAAAAAGGCCCAGCAAAATACGGAGCCACTCCTGCAAAATGATCCGGAAAGGGGTATTTTGTTTCCAGGCCCAATGTATCGGTACCGGGTATGGAATTCGGGTGACGAGGGTTAATGCGCGAGAGTGTGCCGCGCGTTACCGTGGTTTACCGCTCTTATCCTCTGATAGCCGCGCATACCCGCAGTCGCATGGCGTTCCACACAAGGCACCAATTTTGTCTGCTCTAAACATAAAAGAGCAATACCGTCCCTCTGGCGAAAAATCCGTTTTAGTAGTACTAACTTGTTCACTTCTAATGGCACCTGTGGAAACAAACCATCCTTCTGAAGGAGTTGTGCCTCGCGCATACTCCTCCACCATTCCTCTTGGAGAGTATCTTTTTTTGCGTATTGCACAGGCAAATCCCCAGTTGAAGTCTATCTTTGGAATTCCTGGAGATTTCAATTTACGTCTTTTGGAGCATTTGTACGCCCCTTCTGTTGCAGACGAAAAGAATATCGAGTTTATTGGAATTTGTAATGAGCTCAATGCCGCATATGCTGCTGATGGTTATGCTAAGGCCATTAAAGGCTTGAGTGTCTTAATTACTACTTATGGTGTTGGTGAGCTTTCTGCGCTCAATGGCATTGCTGGTGCATTTGCAGAGTTTGCTCCTGTTTTGCACATCGTTGGAACAACATCTACTAAACAATCTGCCCAGGCTAAATCTGCCCAACCTAAAGATGTCAGAAATATTCATCATTTAGTCCAAAGCAAAAACGCCTTGGCTGCTCCAAATCACGATGTCTACAAAAGAGCTGCTGAAGACTTTTCGGTAGTTCAAGAAACTTTGGGCGTGGACGCCGATGAAAACGTCAAGAAAATTGACAAAGTCATCACAACTATCTTGAAGGAGAACAGACCTGGTTATTTATTCATCTCGAGTGACCTTCCAGACACTCCTGTCCCCAGACAGGCTTTGGAAGCTCCAATCAGTCTCAATGAGATGAAGAACAGCGAACTTTTGGAGGATATCGCCGCCACCATTTTGAATAAGTTGTACTGTTCGGAAAGACCTTCTATTCTTGGAAGCCCTTTGGTTTCCCGGTTTAGAGCTCAAGAAAACTTTACTAAGTTTGTGGAGTCCATGCCAACGAATTTTGTCAAGTTATTCTCTTCTGCGATGGCCAGAAACGTAAATGAGTCTTTGCCAAACTATGTTGGCATGTACCAGGGTTACTTGACCGTCGATAAAAACATTATTAGCAGTTTGGAGGAAAAGACAGACTTCTTGTTAAACCTCGGTCACTTGAACAATGAAATTAACTCCGGAGGGTACTCCCAGAAGTTTGACAAAATCGAAGACTATGTCGAGGTTCATCCAGATTACATATACATGGATGGAACTTACACGCATATAAAGAACATGGAAACTGGTGAAAGAGCTTTCTCGCTTGATGATTTGATGGCCAAGCTTGCTGCGGACTTTGACAAAAAGAAGCTCGTTAATAACGACGGAAAAGTCAACAACATTGACTACAAATATGAGCCACCAAAGTTTGCATTGAATGACACAGTGGATGAGAGAGTTATCACCCAGAACAAGTTGACAGATTTTTTCAACAACTACTTGCAACCAGATGACATTTTGATTGCTGAAACATGTAGTTTCCTTTTCGCCATTGGTGACTTATTGTTTCCTAAGGGGGTTGAGTTTTACTCGCAATACTTTTACGGGTCAATTGGTTATGCTTTGCCAGCTACTTTGGGTGTCTGTCGCGCTGTGAAAGATTTGGGTAGCAAGAGAAGAATCATTTTGATTCAAGGAGATGGCTCAGCGCAAATGACGATCCAAGAGTTGTCGTCATATTTGAGATATGACATTGAAGCACCAAAGATTTTCCTTTTGAACAACGAAGGGTACACGGTAGAGAGAATCATTTTGGGTCCTACTAGATCCTACAATGACATTCAAGACACATGGAGATGGACGAACTTTTTCAAAATCTTTGGCGATGCGAAGGAAGAAAAGCACACGAGTAAATTAGTACAAACTGCCCCGGAATTGAAAGCAATCAACAGAGAGAAATCCGACAAGATCGAATTGTACGAACTTTGCTTGCCCAAGTTGGATGTTCCAGAAAGATTTAAGAAGATGTTTCACTAGTTTATCGGAGTTTTATTAATACAGGTTTTAAAATGAATGGGGCCCTGTACATTCGGCCTAACGTGCGAAGCTTTCTTGTAATACCCGCACGAACTTGCACCTTGAGGGGTACCTGGATCTGACCCGACGGATAAAAAAAAGGCGTTAAAAAGAACAATAGCATTTTTGAGAGGCTTATGAATTGTAATAGAGGTGCGCAAAGTGATACCGTTATATCACATTAAGAGCTAGCTTAGGCAGATCCTTGTCAGCGTAACTGACAATATTTCTACAGAAGCCGAGCGGGTCTTTTTTTTCTCCACTGCGGGCCGATTGTGCAAGTACCCCTCCGCGAAGTGTAGTATATTTCCCTTGTTCCCCACATTTCGCAAGCTGGCGATGCCGAGGACAAAACAATATACATGTATATAAATATCCGAGTACCCCAATCACAGTTTGGATGGTTAGGAGAAGTTGCGTATTGCTAAAGTTTTTTTCACTCTCTTCTTTTCTGTTCTTTACAACGCAACTGTCTATTGACCATGACACAACCATTGATTGCACTGGCCGATGTAGACTATGTCTTCAATAGTCCGGAACAATGTGGTGTCTCCTTCTCGGATATGATTGAAAAGCATCTCCCCTTGGAAAACTTTGCTAATGCTCGGGCGCTTTCTGGTCTGGCAGAGCCTGGCTACTCGTCCGTTTACCGGAGCAAGGCCATCAAAAACCTCAAGAAAATGATTGCACCCGGACTCGACACATACTACGCTATATGGAAGAATGCTGTGAAGAACTTTGGTGACCGCCCAGCTTTGGCCTCCCGCCCATACAACTACAAAACTGGCGTCTCGGAACCAAGGTATACCTCCATTACTTTCAAAGAGGCGGATCGCAAAGTCCAGGACTTTGGTGCTGGGTTGTTCCATGTTCTTCAACATTCGCCATTCAAGATCCCCGGATGCGAGCCCCATGAGAAAATCGAAAATCACTTGAGAGACTACAGGTCGTACACTCCAGAAAACCACTCTTTTATTGTGACATTGTACCTGGGGAATCGTGAAGAGTGGGTGATTGCAGATTTGGCATGCTCGACGTATGCCATTTCAAATACTGTATTGTATGACACTTTGGGTGCAAATACCTCAGAGTACATTTTACTGACCACACAATCACCGGTGGTTATTACGTCGTATCAGCATGTTGAGCAGGTTATTTCATTAAAGGAAAATTCTCCAGAGTTGGCTGCTATAATCACAATCATTTCCATGGACCCCTTGGACTGTGAATCGCCGGAGGCAGGGCAGAGTTTAGTCGAAATGGCTCGTGCAGCCAACATTGAGCTTTTTGGAATGGATCAGGTTATTGGAATCGGCAAATTATTCCCAATGGCCCCTTTACCTCCAACACCAGAATCTCTCTACACCATCTCCTTTACCTCAGGTACGACTGGTGCTTCGCCCAAAGGTGTGATCATGACGCATTTGAATGCAGCGCTGGGAATCTGCTTCGTGTTGTGTAATGCGCCATCCTTGCCATTTGATGTGGAGATTGTGTTTTTGCCTCTCGCCCATATTTATGAAAGACAGGGTTTAGCTCACAATTTGCTGAAGGGTGGTATGTGTGGTTTCCCGCAGTTGAATGGCACTCCTTTAACTTTAGTTGAAGACTTGAAATTATTGAAGCCGAAGCACATGTCTAATGTTCCTCGTGTTTTCACAAAGTTGGAAGCAGCTCTCAAAAATGCAACTCTCAAGCTGGACCTGGCAGTCAAACGGGCACTTTTCGCCAAAGTTTTTGATACAAAAATGAAATTGCAATCTGTTGCTGACGGAGCTAAGGGTGAACATTGGCTTTATGATCACACAATTGTGCCAAAGTTGAGAAAGCTGTTGGGATTCGACGAAATGCTTTTCTGTACCACCGGGCTGGCCCCAATTTCTCCTGAGACAGTCAGGTTCATGAAAGCTGCACTCAATATTGGCTTTTCCCAGGGCTATGGTTTGACAGAGACGTATGCTGGTTTCTGTTTCAGCCAACCGTTCGAAAAAGAACCTGGCTCATGTGGTGCTCCTGGTGTCTGTTGTGACATCAGAGTTCGGGAGTTGCCCGAGTTAAACTACCATATTGATGATCCTAGAGGCCCAAGTGGAGAGTTATTGATCCGTGGTCACCAAGTTTTCCCTGGCTACTACAAAAACAAGGAGGAAACAGACAAGTGCCTCAAGGATGGCTGGTTTGCCACTGGTGACGTTGCACGTATTGACCCGGCGAATGGACGACTCTTTATTATCGATAGAGTTAAGAACTTCTTTAAGTTGGCCCAGGGCGAATATGTGACACCTGAAAAGGTTGAAAACGTGTATTTGTCTAGCAACCCACTTTTAACCCAATGTTTTGTTCATGGTGACTCCTTACGCCATCATTTGGTTGCCGTCGTTGGTGTGGATCCTGCTGGTATTACTAACTTCTTGGTACATGAATGTAATGTGTCCAAGGCCGAACTTCACCTGGAAGAAGCCATCTTGCAAACGGTCAATAAGACAGAGAATAGAATTAAGCTTCTTAAGGCTCTCAACTCGAGAGTAAGAGGCTTAACTGGATTCGAGCTTATTCACAACTTGTACGTTGAATTTGAACCGTTGCGGATAGAACGTGATGTCATTACCCCTACGGTCAAGATTAGAAGACCAATAGCGGCCAAGTTTTTCGCTGAACAAATCAAGAGTATGTATGAAGAGCCATCCTTGGTTTCCAAGACGAAAATGTGAAAGGGCCTCTTAGAATATTTATGCTGTCCCATCGAATATCATTCCATGACTTGATTGTAGACGTACTTTGAATCATGGACATGCCAATCGTGGTACTATGTTGAAACAATACACGGATTTTGACTTTACCTTAGACTGTAAATGAGGAACGGTTTGTGTCTACAGTAAATACCAATCGCTGCAAGTTGAGACCATCTCTCCCACGATGATAACTTGAGTATTGATCGTGCCCTTCAATCCTGAAAAACTGGACATAATATCTATGTGGTGGATCAAGAAGAAAATAGTTATTATGGTTCATTGATTCTACGAAAAAATTGTATTTGCCTAAATGTAATAAAGGGATGAGTTGGAAAGAACATTTGTGTCGCTTAGCCAGAAAAAAATGTCGCGCGACATTGTTGTTACTCAAAGGCTCGAAGACCCAGGAACATTTCGATTAATCGGTATTTTCTCGAATATGGTATGTACGGAATTTTGATTTGAAGTCCTAGAATCAACTAACAGTCATAGACTTCTACTATAGCTACGTCATCTACTCAGACTAGAGACTTGAACGGTCTTTCTTTGATTGCTTCTCATTCTCATATCTCAGGCTTAGGATTAGATGATAACTTGGTTCCTAAGGAATCTGCGCAAGGTATGGTGGGCCAACTCAAGGCTCGTAAAGCAGCGGGCCTCATCTTGAAGTTGGTCCAAGCTGGTCAGATCGCCGGAAGAGCAGTTTTGATTGCAGGACCTCCTTCGACAGGAAAAACTGCCATTGCAATGGGTTTGTCCCAAAGCTTGGGTAAAGATGTGCCTTTCACGGCGATTGCTGGATCTGAAATCTTTTCTTTGGACTTGTCCAAGACGGAATCATTGACACAAGCTTTCAGAAAGTCTATTGGAATCAAGATTAAAGAGGAGACGGAGATCATTGAGGGTGAAGTTGTTGAGATCCAGATTGACCGCTCCATTACCGGCGGCCATAAGCAAGGTAAGCTTACAATCAAAACTACTGATATGGAAACAATCTACGAGTTGGGAAACAAGATGATTGAAGGATTGACCAAAGAAAAAGTTTTGGCTGGTGATGTTATTTCCATCGACAAGGCTTCCGGTAAGATTACCAAGTTGGGAAAATCATTCACCAGAGCCAGAGACTACGATGCAATGGGACCAGAAACCAAGTTTGTCCAATGCCCAGAGGGCGAGTTGCAGAAAAGAAAAGAGGTTGTTCACACAGTGTCATTGCACGAGATAGATGTGATAAATTCGAGACAACAGGGCTTTTTGGCTTTGTTTTCTGGTGACACTGGCGAAATCAGATCTGAGGTTCGTGACCAAATCAACACTAAAGTTGCGGAATGGAAAGAAGAGGGTAAGGCGGAAATTGTTCCTGGTGTTTTATTCATAGATGAGGTTCACATGTTGGATATCGAATGTTTCTCTTTCATAAATCGTGCTTTAGAAGACGATTTTGCTCCAATTGTGGTGATGGCTACAAACCGTGGAGTGTCGCAGACTAGAGGCACAAGCTACAAATCGCCACACGGAGTGCCTATGGATTTGTTGGATAGAAGTATCATCATCCACACTTCCAACTACTCTGCCGATGAGGTTAGAACCATCTTGTCTATCAGAGCCAATGAAGAGGAAGTGGAATTGACTGCGGATGCTTTAGCCTTGTTGACTAAGATTGGTCAGGAAACCAGCTTGAGATATGCATCCAATTTGATTTCTGTTTCTCAGCAAATTGCTTCCAAGAGAAGAAGCGCCAATGTTGAATTGGTTGATGTGAAGAGAGCTTATACATTGTTCTTGGATGCTGACCGCTCGGTGCAGTTTGTTACGGAATACTCCAACAAGTTTATTGATGACAATGGGAATGTCATGTTGGGCTCCAACGGCAAGGCTGAAGATGACAAGATGCAAACAGACTAGATTGTACTTTTATATAGTAAAAAAAATACTTGAGTGGTATGTTGAAGACGCTACATGTAAATTCTAAGAATGTGCATTTCGAAAAGCTATGCAGAAAGAAGTATCCACGAGGATAGTCGGCAAGAGAAAACTATGCGCCCTTGGTGTTCAAGATCAAGGCAATAATCAACCCATATAAACCCAACACTTCAGCGAAAATCAAAATCAAGACGATTCCCACAAACAATCTTGGCTGATGCATGAATTGTCTCACACCTTCATCACCCACGATACCAATGGCATAACCAGAAGCCATGCAAGCAAAACCAACTGATAACCCGCATGCCAAGTGCATGATGCCCTTGAATAAAGTGTACTCTTCAGTTGGATTCAAGCCACCAGCGATCAACACAGACACAACCAAACCATAAACAGAAAGAATACCCGACAAAACGACAGGAATTAAGGACTTCATGATAAGTTCAGGCTTGAAAGTACCAATACCCGAAATACCAATGCCAGATTTGGCAGATCCAATAGCTGCGCCCACACAAGAAAGAATCATCGATGCAGAACATCCCGCAAAGCCCAAGAATGGTGCGAAAAATGGCGCAAGCTCAGTGCTGGTAGTAGCCATTATGTAGTAGACTCGTAATCCTCACGCTCATTATCAAGTGGGATAATTGAAGCTTGGACATAAATCGGTAGTGCGCGCACCAGAAACATGGGAGATAAGCATAGGGCAGTACTTCTATCACTATGTTCTGAAGCTACATAATTTTAGTTTTGCTGTGTCCATGTCAGTATTGCTTCCCCTTCTTTTAAATCAGTCTTCCTGAGATTTACCGATGCATTCAAAATTCCGTGCTCTCTATGCGCAATAATGATTCACCATACATAATTTAGTACCTTCGGTCAACTACGAAAAGAAACAAGAGAGGCCAGAAGAATTTTCTTTATTTAAGACACGCAATTTAATTCATTTTCTTCGTCTTCGCTCCAGGCTATTTCAATCAGTTCCTGGCAGGAAACCCTTTTGGTGTACGGGTGTACTACCTCAATAAAGTCTGGCATCTGTCTAAACCAAAACACCACTATGAGTGCTAGTCAACATTACGAAAAAATATCGCTCTCAAAGCAGGATTTGTCCCATGTATACAAGCAATTTATTCTCTCTACACAGAGGAAAATACGACATTATCTTCCCGTATCCGACAACCATGATCCGCTCCTGATTGAAGTTGAAAATATAGTTATTGAGCACTTGGCACAAGTGTTTGAGATGGCAAAATCCGCCTTAATTGTTGATGGCCACGATCTTGGCGAAGAAAATATATTGATCAAAGACCTTTTATCACTTCAGCCGACAGAAGAAGTTGTCCCTTTCGATGCTGAACTAAATCAGAAACTAAGGTCTGTCATCCAGCAGGTGGAAAAGAAAACAACAGAAGTAACCAGGTTCCGAAGAGAGCTTCCTCAGAGAGCCAAAGACGCCTATGAATCAATAGTCACAAATACAGATTACGAAGTGACTGCACTAATCAAAGAGCTCACGCCAGAAGACGATGAGTTACAGGAACTACCGAGCGACCAAGAGATCATCCCCAATTCCGAAGAAATCACCAATGAGTTGCTGGAAAGCGTGAAAAACCTCTACTCCTTGAAGACAGGACTATCAAAGCAGAAAGCACAGTTGGACTCACTAAACCACACCATACAGTTCTTGGAGGAAAGCTACGCAAAGCAAGAACGCGAAAAAAAATTGTATCAGTGAGACTACCAATGGTTTTCACTACAGGCGGGACTAAGGCAATATTTCAATAACAGCAATTTGGTAGCATAATTTATATAGTATGAATCAGTAATTCTAATTCTGGGTCTTTTACTGGCCATTGTCTTTGCTCGAAACACAGCATTCTCCATCGTAGTGTTTGTTGACATTTATTCCCGATACAGTAATATCATTAAATACATAACCGTATTACAGATTTCTCCGTTCCCGATACAAGTCTTCGCTCTAAACGGTCACCTTTCTTCCCCAGAGTGATTCCAATGGCAACACGAAACGTCGCCTCGAAATATCTCCAGGCGTTGGAAGATACCTCACCAACCAGATCACCTTTGAAGCAAAGTCTGAAATTCAACACAAACACTCCGCTGAAAAACACTAAACATGACTCTCCAGACTTGGATGATTTGGCCAGACAGATGAACATTGAAGTTTCAAACTCAAACTTGTCCATGCTAAGGACCCGCTTTGATTCTCCATCTGCAACTGTGTCTTCTTTCAAGATCTCGCCTAGGAAAGCAGATAATTACAACACTAGCCCTTCAAAATTAAGACCTCAGGAATCGATAAAGAAGGTTGCCCATTCAACAGTGACTACTGCGCCTCGCCAAAATCAGTCGTCTTCACTGGTATCTGGTGGCCCTGGATATGAATACTTGTGCCGCATTCAAGCAATTAAAGAATGGTTACAGATTGTTCTTGATGAAAAAATTCTGCAGTCGCCAGTGGAACTCATTTCTTACATCAGAAATGGTATTTATTTGGCCAAGCTAGCTAATGTCATTTTGCCCAAGAAACGACCCGTTTACACTAACGATACCAAACTAGAGTTCAGACACACGGAAAATATCAACCGCTTCTTCCATTTACTAGACTACTTAGATGTTCCTGATTTGTTTCGCTTTGAGCTCACAGATCTTTATGATGCAAAGGATGTGCCCAAAGTGTGGTACTGTTTACATGCCATGAGTCATAAAATCAACCAGTTCAACCCTTCCTACCCTGCAATGGAAAATTTAGTGGGGCAACTTGATTTCAGCGAATCTGATATCAAGACAGCCACAAAATCTTTGGTTAATGGGCATTTACCTAACTTCTCGAGTGCTGATTCTGGTCAACCGGGATCTCCTCTGAGAAATACATACATGGCTAAAACCATGACATTAAGTCCTGAGAAGGTGGTACACAAAGAAGATTCGAGCCGAGATGACAAAGCAAAACCAAACGAAAATCCATTCACAGATGATAAGTCCCCAGAGTATACAGCTTCCAACTATCGGTTGAACAGTGTGAAGAAGCCTGATCTCTTTCCCTCGAATACCCAAGAGCTTCAGTCTCCTCTTAAGTATCGTTCTGAAACTTTCCCTGCCAATTTTTGATTCTTTTAGCAACGCTCTGGTCCGTTCTGACACCTCCGAGGCCCATTGACCGCAAATAGCAAATACTACACTCCTGAAATTGAAACGAGCATATTTCTAATGTTATTATGCTCCAAAGCCCTCTCCAAAGGCTCCCTTATTCCGCTACAATATGTTTGTGGATAAAATCATGTTGAAATCATACGATAGTGAATTGACACAACTCTATGCGATTATTCGAGCAAACTTGACAAGGAAAAGAACCGTACATCGCCATAGGGATGAATTACTTTGCTATTCAGACAATGTAAGAAATTTGCAGGCTTTGGCAAGAGGTAAGATCATCAGAAAGTTCCTTAATTATGAGTTTGATGAGTCAGCTACGGCTTCAATCAGCAAGCTTCAATCACTTATACGTGCAACTAAAATAAGGGAGTCTTACTACCTTAAAAAGCTGGCATTGAGCCGATATGAAGCTCAGATTTCTGCATTCCAAAGTCGCATACGGGCAAAGGATACTTACTTTAGAGCCTCTACACTTGCTACAAACAGAGATCGTATTGAAGACAGTATCGTGGTTATTCAGTCCAACATTCGCAGGTTTCTCTATCAGAAACACACAAACAAAACAATCGTCTCGAAATTGCTGGGTAGTGAAGGAATAACTCAATTGCAATCCATTATAAGAGGAGGGAAGGTCAGAAATGAAGTGCGTTACTATCTTAGAAACATTAGCAAACTACGCTATGAAATACGAGAGATTCAGAGCATAGCTAGAGGAGGAATATTGCGGACTCGTCTTTGCAATAATGTATTGATCACATTGATGGGAGAAGACATTAAAATGAATGAGCTATTTGCCAAGGTCAGAGGAAACAATGTTAGAAGGGTCATGAACTATAAGAAATCCGTGTTGGAATGTGTATCGAAGTCTGAAATTATCCCTATTCAGTCTATGTTCAGGGGCATTCTTTTCCGTTTCTATAGAGATGAGGATTTGGAATGTATTTATGAACAGATTGATAGCATAACCACTTTGCAATCTAAGATCAGAGCCAACTTTGTTACCTCCGAATTGAAAACCATGATGGATTACTACAATCGCAATGTTAATTTGGTCATTAAAGCCCAATCTTACCTCAAGAGTAAATATACTCAGAATGCCTACAAGTCATTAATCAACATGAAGAGCCCACCTCTCAGTGTTGTGAGAAAATTTGCCCATCTTCTTTCTGATAGTGGCCTGGATTTTCAAGAAGAAATGGAGTTGGCAAACCTCAAAGATAAAATTTTTGAGAAATCAAAGAACAATGAAGAGTTGGAACTGCAAATTGAAAATTTGGATATCAAATTGAGCTTATTGGACAAAAACAAAATCACAATTGAAGAGTTCATGAAACACAATCATAAATTTAAGACTTACAAACCCATTATGTCGAAGAACGTTGGCACAAATGGTTTAGATAAGCTTAGCTCCTCTGCGAAAAAGAGAATAGAGCTCTATCTGTCTATGTTGTATTTTTTGCAGACCAAGGCATCCTACTGGATACGTCTTTATGAAGAGCATCCATCCAGAAACAAGGATAAATTTACTACCAAATTGCAAGACAATATTCTTCTGGTTTTCCCTCTCGCGCAAGGTACAATCAACTCGCATTCAAGAGTCGAATATTTCTTTTTGAAGTTTGTCAGTTCATTGATGGAGTTAGATATCAAATACTGCCAAAATGTTGCTGATATCACAAAAATGAAAAACGCCTTCTGGATTGATTTTCTTGTTGACTTTCATAGTCATTCTTACCAAAGAATGCATTTGAAGTCATTGATAGGCAAGGTTGTAGAAGCCATTATTGATGATGATGAATTATCTTTTGAGTCAGATCCAGCCAAAATCTATAGCCAATTGAGGGAGCAAGATATTCGAGCATATGGTTCCTCTGTCATGGATGAAGGCGTCACTGCTCAAGAAGCAATAAAGGACCCCAGAGTCTCAAGTGCCTTTGTTAGTAACTTGATGGCTTTGAGAGATGCTACAACGGACACTGTTGAAATGTTACGTTTAACAATAGACAAACTTCCGGTGCATATACGGTTCTTGGCCAAAAAAGCATACATGGTTTCTCAGCTTCATTTTCCTGATCAGAGCGATAAGCATCACTTGGCAGTTGCGGGCGCAGTGTTCATAAAACACTACATTGGATCTATCTTCCATTTACCGGAAAATTATGGCTTCTCCACAAAACGTGCGTTTGGCTCACGCCCAGAATACATGGCGGTCAATAATTTGAGGTACTTAAACAGGGTTTTGTTGCAAGTCTTCTCGATGAAGCCTTTTAGCGACAACTTCATGAAACCCCTCAATGACTATGTCACCTCATGCACAGAAAACACAAGGTCTCTTATTCGTGAAATAATCAATGTCAAAGATTTGGAAGCAGAATATGAGATGAATGAGTACGATGACATAGTTGCTCACGAAAGACCTCAATTGACCATGAGAGTTGCCGATATGATTTCCATTGAAAAATTGGTTCGTCCTAACATTGACATTATGGCACCAAGTGCTGATGATCAACTTCGTTCTGTTGCTGAAAAGTTGCGGGAGTTGAATGATGCAGCAGATGATTATGTCAGCTTAACAGAGATGGGAAGCTATACCTTAACTTTGAGTCCTGTTACCAAGGAAGATTCAGTGGCAGACTCTAAAGCTAAAACTTTGTTTACACAAGCAAAGAGATGCTTACTATACATGATACGAGTTGAAGAAGGTGATGACTTGTTAGAGTTATTTATTCATGGTATAAAACCAGTTCACGAAGTTACATTTAAAGAAATTATAGCTTCGGAAGCTGACCTGAGTAAGCCTTCGGAGGCAAATCCATACAGGGCATCATACTTGGGGGATATGCCCAACATGACCTATGTTGAACTTAAGAAATTGGCACTAAAGGTTATTCTTCAGTTGGAGAGAATGGGACAGGTTTCTAGAAAGGATTCGTTTCAAGAGCTTTTGAACCAAATCGTGGTAGATATCAAAACGAAAGACAAGCAGAGGATAAATAGGAAGGAGCAAATGGAAATTGCAAGACAGACTGTTCGCAAGTTGGAGGAAAAGGAACGGTTCTTGAAGAGACAGTTGGGAGATTATAATACGCATATTGATGAAGTGCTTGACCAATTGCAACTCAGGCCAAAGGAAAAGAAAATCTTCAACATCATTCCTGTTTTCAGCAAACAATATTTTTACCATCGCCAATTGAAAAAGAACAACAGACTTCCTAAATTTGGCTCATACAGATACTCTGCAAAGAAACTTCTTGAGCAAAATGTGATTCGAGACCTTGGAGGGGCACTTCAGGAAAGGTTCGCCACTTCATCTAAGCTCCATTTCATGTTCAGTTGTCACAAACTGGGTGCATTCGTTATTGAGGCTGCAGATGGCCTTGCAACTATACCAGGAGCATGCACTACGATTACATTGGATCAGTTGTTGGATCATCAATATGAAAAGAAAAAGTACTGGGAAATGTTCAATGGAATGGCCGCGTTTGAAACCGAAAACCTCGCATCCTTGATCTTCAGAAAGTTTTATGATATCAAGAAAGATTAACTTATGAGTTTCTCGTTGAAGTAAAAATATAAGTGTATCTAAAGTCATTGTATCTATTTCTTGAGAAGCTGTTCGACCTTACGCTCCAACAGCTCAATTTTTTCATTCTTCTCGATGTTGGCTTCGACCAATGTAGCGATGTGACTTTCTAAGCTCTCAACAAGCTTCGCAAGCTTGTCAACCGTAGCTCTCAAAGTAGGTTGTCCAGCGCTTGCTGAGGCCTTGGCTTCAATCTTTGCTTCAAGTTTAGGTTCAGTCTTACTTTCCACCTTAAGCTCAACTTTGGGTTCTTCCTCTGATGAGTCCTTTAGTTCTTCTTTAGGAGCATCCTTTTTAGGAGCTTCCTCCTTAGGAACTTCCTCCTTATGAGCTTCCTTAGATTCAGAATCCTTCGTAGCTTCTTGAACTACATCTTTAGGTTCCTGCTTGGTTTCCTCCTTAGGCTCTTCCTTGGGTTTTTCTTTTGGCTCTTCCTTCAACTCCGTTTCAGCTTCAGCCGTGGATGACGTGGTTTTAGGAATCTCTACTTCCTCCCAGCCATCATCCTTGCTCTCCTGAATTCTTTGAGCATCTTCATCCTCGGATTCGTCTACAACCTTATTAAGAAGATCGTCGACCTTTTGAGAACCCTTCAAAACTTCATCGACTTCATTTCTGGAGGAAGAGTTGGAAGAGTCAAATTTCTGTGAGTCGAACTTGGAAGTAGATTGAGAAGGAGAGTCCACCACAGGAGAGTCTTTTGCTGTTTCAGGTGCAACTGAGCTTGCTTTTTTCTTTTCAGAAACGCTAACTGCTGGTGCAGAGTCTTTGACTTCTGGAGTTGTACCTTCGAAGACAGACTCCATGTTCACCAACAAAGGTCCATTTACTTCTTTTCCTTCAAACCATTCAGAAGCAGAAAGTGCGGGCTTATCGGATGGAGCATCTGGGTAAATATCCTCTTGGAACAATTCGGACTTTCTTGGTACAATGAAGGATATTGGTTCGATAGAGTGATCGTTGACGGTCTTGAAAGATCTCAAGATTTCGTTCTCATGAACATTGACTTTAATCTTCGGAGTGCATGCAAATCCCCTTTGTGGATCTGTGGAAGTGTATTGGGACAATTCATACAACTCATCGTTGTCATACTCGTAGTAACGAATGTTACCATCACCTTTGCCAGCCACGTACAATATAGAATTTGATTCATCAAAGATAGGGATCAAAACACCAGATGATGAATCAATCACAATGAAGCCATTGATTGGCCCTTTTCCGACGTCATTGGAATCCCAGATACCAATTTGTCTATCAGACAATCTGGAAAAGCCAGTAGTGCAAATACGGTCCGAGTTACCTAACCAAACTACTCTCGAAGGTTTTGCACCATTGTGGCCTGGACCTTCAGATATAACTTTTCCACTCCGAATGTCCCAGATTCTCAATTTCTTATCTCTCGACGTGGTGGCCAAGAGGCTACCATTGTAATTGAAAGAAAAGGAAGTAACCAAATCGGAGTGAGGCAAAGTGATCACAGCCTCTCCTGTCTCAAGGTTCCAAATCTTGACAGAATAATCCAACGAGCAGGAAGCCAACACGTTCTCAGCACATGGGTGGAACTCAACGTGGCCTACTTTCTTGGTGTGGCCAGCGAGGACTTTAGTTGGCTCTAAAATGTCCTTTGCATTTCCATCGTCGTCAACATAATTGTGGAACGAGTAGTCCTCTGGAACATCCCAGAGCAAGATTTTTCCATCTTCGGAGCAACTGACGACCTGGTTCTCGTTGAAAGGGTTGAAAGCAGTGTCCAACACTGCGGCCTTATGGCCCCGGAACAAAGGGACAGTGTCGGGAGCTTTCCCAACCTCAGAAAGGGGAATGACAGCGAAAGCGCCACCTCCGGAAGCCTGCCAATTTACAGAAAGATACTTACCGTTGGTGTTGATAATGTTGGAGTCCCAAGCATTCTTGGTGATCTTCAAGTTTTCGTAGCACAATTCTTTTTTGGCTGGCTGGCCAAATACGTGTCTGTACTTGGACGCCCTTACAAACTTCCCACTATATCCGTGTTAGTACAGGTATATGCACAATGTGCTACTAGAACTCTGCATACCTCATGGCCAATGTATGATGTAAAGTTTGGTAATCGCAAATGCCAGATTGTTGATACTTCGCGGAAGGAGTGCAGCTAAAGTAACGACACGTCCCTTTCGGCATCCACTGCGGCCACTGTAAATGGAGGCGCATACATACCCGGCGTGCGCTAACTACTTTCTGTCGCCATTACTTGTCTCTAATTCATGTTTCCTCGTTATGTATGTCTCACTGGTCCTCTTCACTGACCATCCAATCTAATACTTCTCCCTGTGTGTAATTTTCGTAAAGCTCGGCTTGTTTGCGGAGAAGAACTTCTGAGGCATGCGAGAGTTCCCAAATACTGAATTGGCCCATGTAGTTTCTTAGCGCTTGATCCACATCCTTCTGCCAGAGTTCGTGCTTGCACTTTTCCTCCATCTTTTTCCATTCTCCGTACTTGAGGAAGAGCCTCTCTTGAAGCGGGCGCTCTGCCAGCGACAACACGGCCAATAGTTTCTTGAATTCAGTCTCTCCTGGAACCGTACCAAACACGGGCCATGAGCGTGGGGAGAGTAAAATGGCTACAGCAGTGCTGAAAGAGGAGAACTTTGGTTGCGTGGAGAACTTCGGCTGCGTGGCAAAGTCTGATTGCGTATTGGTGCTCCCCTCTATGGCACTAAGTAACCAGTCGGTAGCGTTTAGTCTGGCCTTGATACGCATATCTCTTTCCTTCCGCCGAAGCTTGTTTTTCTCTCGTATCGCTTCTTTGCTGTTGTATGCTCTGGCCAGAACGCTCTTGCTCTTTTTGGCCTTTTCTACTCTCTCCTTCAGCCTATTGGGACCGCGTCGTACGACGTTGGCTCGTATCTGATCGATCTGGACTTGAGGGTGCTTCGAGTCGCCCCTTTTCGAGTCCAAGTGTCGTCCATACGTTCCCTTAGATGCAAAAGTGGCGCCACAGAACCCGCATGTGGTTGCACTGTCGCCTTCTTTCGCATCGGCAGACAAAGAACCCATTTGCGGAGTCTCACTTTCGCACTGTATCATGAATTCATAGACGATATACAATGTATACAAAACATGGCTAAATTTCAAGACGTTTGGCGATATCGGCCAATTCAGAAACGTAGGAGTTGTTGATAGAGTCTCCGTGGCCAGAAACAACTTTAAGCACCAATTCATTCAACTCTGCAGATCCAAGAATATCAACGTGCTCTGCTGTTTTTGCACCACCACGAATATCAAATCTGTCTGGCTCATGTTTAATCTCCACAACCTTTACGTCAATACCAGCAGGATTGAATCTAGATCCTTCCTTTTGCCACTCATGGCAGATAGTGTGTGTCATTAAAGACAAAGTGCCATCTCCATCACCAAAGTACACAGGGTTCTTACTTTCTGTATCAATGACAAGAGGGAGCCCAGAAGTGAGGTCTTCTTTATAAGTGTATGCTCTCTCTGTGGGGTTACCCACTCCGTAAAAGCAGAAAATCTTCATGTCTGGAGCTTTGGGAAGAGTCACTTCTAAAGGATTGGACCATTTCAGGTGCTTGTGATTATTCTCCTCAAGCTCCTCTTTTGTCTGTGCTATACCAAAGGAGTATTGTTCCTTGACCCTGTCTCTAAACCATTTGGGTGACGTATTGAGAAGCAAGTCGATACTGTCCATCATGGAAAAGTCCTTTTCATCCTCTTCAATTCCTGTGATTGACGCTGATTCGTTGGACTTGGCTTTGTATCTAATAAAAGTACCAAAAGTGTCAGATTTTGTCCCACTGATTTCAACGTCACTTGTATTGGTGATGAGATGGTTAGTTGGGTCATCCGGTGCTGCTGTAATGTTACCCCAGATCACGTCGCCACCTTTAGGTAACATTGAAGGAACGCCTCCGAATGTACGAAGCATCTCCACTCTTTCCTTTTTGGAGAAAAACTTGTCCAATCCATAAACAGCTAATTGATTCAATTGTACAGTGTCCTTCATTTCACCGGAAATCAAGGCAGATATAGCTTTAGGAGCTCCCAAGAGCGATCCACTGATATTGATGAACCCAGCTAAATATTCATTACACCAGTTAGGACCTCCATTACCGTAAAACTCACCTTCGGCCTCTACCCATTTCAAGAAGTAAAGAACAATTTGGGACCCCATGGAGTGGCCCACGAGATATGTCTTTTCTCCGCTCAACTTCTTCGACATTTCGATTGAAAGTTTCATTTTGGTGAAGAAGCCATCTCTTTTCTCCAAATCAAGGTATGCTAGTCTCCAGTCGTAAGCGGCACTAGTCATGGTGTTGGGACCATACCCAATGACAGCCAAATTCTGTAAAACTTTATTCCAAATCCAGTAACCAGCCACAAAAAAATCTGCTGCATCGAAGCCCAGCGATGCTCTCAACTTAATGTTTGGTGGATCTAATCCAGTGACAGGATCAAGCTTAATGTGCTTGAGCCAACATGCTTTGTCTAATACCATCGTCTTTAGCATGTAGTAAGATCCCCATAATCTCTTTCTGAAATGAGGTGTAGAAGGACAGTCTCCTTCATCGTTAATAGACCATGACTCTATACCAGTGGAAATAACACCAGGGACTAAAACAACATTGTATTTTTCGGTGAGGTTATGCACTTTCTTCATTCTCTTTCCTACGGAAAAAGATTCAGCTGAGCCATGCAATTCTGTGCCTTTTTTGGATTCATCAAATTCGAGCATCAGCTGACTACCTTGAGGAAACGAACCTTTCAAATCTTCAAACAAATCGCTCACAGAATCGAACGATACTAGCTTATCCAATTCAGACTTGATGTCATCGGACGAAGCTGCAGTGATCACAATGGTTATCAATAAGCCAATCACAGCACCGAGAACAAAGGTGGCTCTTCTTGTCTGGTACAACTTTTTCTTGATCTCGCTTTTGTCTTTTGCCTGCTTGTGACGGGAGTGTCGTGAATGAGATCTGGAAACTGGTGCATCTTCAGTAGTTGGCGTGTTAGAATCGTCAACTTCATCTGCATCAAACTCTTCTATCACATTTTCATCCTCTACCACTTTTTTTTTCCGATTGTGAAGTTTTTCGGACATGGTTAAGTTGACAGATGGGCCCGTGTTATCAACTGATAAAAGGTCGTATTGCGCGCACCTATTCGCACCATTAGTGGATTTCGAACTATTAGACCAATACCCCTCCCGCCGATACGCTATCCTGTGAAATAATCGGATAATTCCTATTTCCTTGCAATCTAACTGGAATGGGTCAAGGTATCACATACGAAAGTTATTTCAAGATAGGATTAATGTGTACTCATTCCAGGCTTCTCTACATCTCTCTTTACTATGGGGTGAATGTCCCATTATAAATTATATTCAGAGGGCATCAGTAGTGAAGTCGTACTCGATCCCTGGCGTGACACTAGCAATAAATTTTAGAAAGATTACAAGATATTGGTCCACGCGAATACCCTCATCAATGTCTTCACTGGAGTTGTCCCGCAACTCTAAAGACCCTAATTGCGAAGACAAATCCGCCTGCGTCTTGTGTGCTTTGGCTTTAGCATGCTTCATAAATACCTTCATCACAGAAGAGTGTTTGCAAGGATGGATCGACACCGAGGTCGTGTTGTAGGACATCGGTAAATTCTCAATTGTGGCAGTCTTGTCCTTGTAGTCTCCTGCGATATCTTCGTACATTTGTTGAGGCAAGAGCGGTATCCCGTTTGCATTGAACCCAACTAGGTACATCTTCGGTACTCTGTAAGAGGTTGAATATGCAATGTAAAGATCATATTTCCGAAGCGTCAGTTCGTCCAGCTCAATGTGGGTGAATTCATCAAGGTCGTCTTCAGCCAATTCGTCCTCAGCAGCATCGTCCATTAGGTCATCCAAATCCTGCTGGCACAGCAGCTGTTGTTGCTGCTGCTTCAAGGCGTTAATTCCACCTGTATTCATTCTCGGAATCCATTCGCTATCGCTATCATGTTCAAATTCCTCGTCTGTGTTCTCGAATGAGTCTGGAATTGCAGTGGCAACTCGCTGGTAGGAAGGCACATGTCGAGTGACCAAGAACTGTTTCTCTGGCGGTAAAAACTTTTTCTGAAGCTGTGGCGGGCACGTTCCCCATGACCAGGTTGGGAACTTATACACCAAATAATCACCAGCCTTCACGAATTCCTCAGGCGAAATTTCCCCCGTTTTTCGAAAATTTGATTCATTGTTTATAGGGGTCAAATATTCTCTCAAGGAAGAGAGTTTGCTTCTCAAGCTCATGGCCTATGTAAAATGGAAGTGGCGATAAGGTTCTTTGTGTTATCAGGAGTTTCGTGTATACAATATGCTGGTCGTGTGAACCTCGGGGCAATGACCAAAGTCCTTTATAAAGGCTGGCCCCATAATTTTACCATGAACTCTAAAGAACTTATTTTTTGATTCTATAGGCACAATTATCACTTCAATCGGTCTTATTCACTGATTGAAGAGTCCTTAGGAAATTACTCGAGTGGGCAAAACGCTTTTCAGTAGTTGAGGTACACCATGTCATACATCTGAAACGAATCTATCAGTGACGCGACATTTTAGTGTCAAATTGAGTCCTTTATGAGTAACTTTTGGTGTTATCAAGTATTAGTTTGAGTATCAAACTTCGACAACTAAGGCGCTTGCGGGTTTACAGAAAGTCCCAGTAATTAATCTTACCTCTATTATTGGTTCAGCGTTTAACCATAGATAAGTTAAAAATAATGAAAAAAGAAACTTTGAAAGTAACCAAAGGAAGCGAGGCTCGCTTATTCACATCAGATTTTTGAGTATCCGACAGGTTGAGATACCTCAACAAATTTCAAACTGATCACTTACTCATTAGAACAAACATCCACGAACAAATAAATTGATAAATGGAATTTAGGTTGAAAAGACATTGACGACTGAAGTGACGAACGGTGTGTTTATTCTGGAGAAGCTCTGTTCGGATGAGTTTCCCTTGGTACGGAGGACAGGCATTTTAACGAAGATAGAATAGTTTCTACATAGATGAAAGGCTTCCTCTTCTAACGTGAAATAATGTCGATTGTTGATTAGCCTATGTATTCTTTACATCAACCGAGCTAGCTGAACCGCTTGTTTAAAATATCTGCTTAGCCATGGCACCCACTTCTCATTTTGGAAAAATACTTAAAAATAGCCAAATCATCAGAAAAACGCGAATAGAAACACACACTATAAAATCAGAAAAGCCATATATTGACTCCAAAAGCACATTCTTCTACATAGCTACGCCACCAAGTCATCCTGAAGCATTATTACCAGCCACTGCTTTACATTTCTGTTAACAAAGAGCAATATATGATTCTAAGTAACGGTTGTCCTTAGCGAACGCGACGCACTATTGTTCCATACTGCACATGCTAACTTAACTCGTCATCTCCAGTTACACATTTACACGATTACAGAGACCCCACCTAACGAGACTACGCGTAAAAATGAGTAGCCCCAGATAGAAACTACAGAACTGGAACCTAATTGCGAACCTATTTTCAATGTGGCAAAGCTAGGCTCGTAAACGGCAGAAGACCTTATAACTAAAACGGAAAGAACAAAATAGAGTAACGCCCCAATGCAGAGAAAAGCTCGGGATTTTCCATGCTCACTTGTAATTGGCGTTCCTAGATCTTGCAAAAAGCTCTTTGTTTGTGTCGCGGATCGATTAGGCTGACTTAAGTCGTGGCCATGCATCAATACGAGCCAAGGTGCATGCGCGCCAAAAACCGAAAAACCCAACAGCGACGAGAATCACAAGTGGTGAGATAAAATACCCACAATTGTAACTGAAAACTATAGTAGAAACTCGGAATTGGGCCAAGCAAACGTGATTCTGCCCATATGCTATGACCCAGTTCCAAGTAGTGCTCAATGTGGTTTATCTGTGCACTGCCTTACTATATGTGGCCTTGTGTAAACAACACACACATGTGCACTCCCCAAACAAACAGACACGCTTCAAACACCAGTTCTTGTGCACGCATGAAAGTTGGTCACACTGCTTGTATAAACGACAGCGCTGTTTTGATTTGGCATTAATCGGTCTTGTTTATAGTACACAAGACGCGACCTTCTTTTCTTAAAACCACACGCCATCCACGCCTCGTCTCCAAACACACCTCTTTCCATTAGCAACACCAAACACCAGGGCCAAGCACTTGCCGCTGGCCACCTCAAAAAGAAAAAAAAAACTCAACCCAAAATCAACACTAATTGAAAAACTGCAAAAGGTTACAAAAGCCTCTGCTATCGCATTCATCATCAGCATCCATGGCTACGTCTTCCACACCTTCCAAAAGGGTGGCCTTGGCCCCCGTCAACATCAACATTAGCTCTCCTTTACACAGAGGGAAATCTAGCTCCGGCTTAAGTGGATTACCGCCAAACTTTGCCTCCAGAAATGGATTGTCCAAATCGGCAAGCATGATTCTTCCTTCTCGGACCAGGCTTGCTCCGGCGCGTAAGCTCGAGAGCTTTTCCGAGTACAAAATTTCCAACAACAAAAATGTCAAGGCAGACTTAGCCGCCACCAAATTGAAACTTAGGTTACAGTTGGCTTTCTACAAGCTCAAGCTGAAAAAGGACGCGCTGATGGCTGCTTCGCCTACGATCCGCGTTTGCAAGTCCAAGGCACCTGCCCCAAGAACTTTCCACACGTCGGCAAACAGAAACTTGAAGAAAGTGGAACCAGCTACCAGGCTTCCGCTGTTGAATACCATAGCATCGCGCAAACCCTCTGGCAGCTTGCGCTTGTTCCACATCAAGCCTCTGTCGTCTTTCCACAACGCGTATCCTCAGCTGCTCCCACTATCCACACAGAGACTCCCATCAGTGCATAAGATCTTGAAAACGCCAATGAAAGCCACGTCGAGGATGGTTCTCCAAAACAACGCCAACTCCAATAGCGACGAAACCATTGACGAAACAGTGGACGAGGTATCTACAGACTTGCGCAAAGGCAAGGAAGACATCTTGGGTTCATCTCCTCTCAGACACAGCAGCTTTGGAACACCGAGCAGCTTTTCTGTGGCAAAGTCTTTATTACAGCTTGGCCTGGGATACTACTGACGCGCTTTACGTTCCTTCATTGCATACTTGACGTTGTTCAATTCCCTCGCTTGATTCTGTTTTATTCCCTAATTCTTTCTGGCCGCGACGTCCAATGTTGTATCATTATATAGACAGAACAAGTTCTAATGCATATTTACTGGTAGAACAGATGTCCCTAGGCGTGATTCAAAACATGTGTACTATGCACTACATTCCCTACAGTGCAGCCACTCGCGTGGCTGGACATGCTTAATCCTGTGATATCATGAATTTTGCAAATTCATTGCACTTATAGACGATCCTCAACCGACGGTAGGTGTTCACAACGTGCTGGCTTAACATGCGTTATTATGTCAAAAGGTGACGTGCAAAAGTGACAGGAAGAATTTCATTCCTGCATAATGTCCCGATCTTCCCCTCTTGCCTCCCTCATTACAAAGGAGAATAATCGCCATAAGTTCTATTGAATTCGATCTCGCAGAACTAGTAGCTACGACACGTTTAACTTTTCCCTCTTTTGAAATTGTATTGATATGCAAGACTTCGATCAGAAAGAAGTTACTCTGGACCAGAAATGTGCATATACGCCTCGAACAGAAGCCCACCCAAAAGTTGCAGTAGGAGAGATAAGCGTGATTTCTATAAACGGGGTCGATAACCGATCGTAGGCACTATGAACAGTCTTTACAAACGAAGCAAATCTGATATCTGAGGCTTGAATGTGGCGTAAGTTCCACAATTTTCTCCTCGTAAATGTGGCATATAAGTACTGTGAAGTCCCCACCCCATTTGCTTATTAATTGCTATCTTTCGCATCACTTCACACCAGTCTTAACAATGTCCCTCTCCAATAACAAGTTCCAATTGTCTAACGGAAACTCAATTCCTGCCGTTGCCTATGGCGTAGGTACCAAATGGTTTAAGTTCGGTCGTAATGAACTCGATGCCAATGTGGTCAATGCTATCAAGTCTGCTTTGGCCAAAGGCTTTGTGCACATCGACGGTGCTGAAATCTACAACACCAATGGTGAAATCGGAGAGGCAATTGCTGGATTGGACCGCAAGAATGTCTTTTTGACCGATAAGTACTTCTCTGGTGACCTGTCACATACAAGGATTTCTCCACATGGCAAGCCTTATGATTCTTTAAAGCATTCGTTGCAAAATGAATTGAAGGTGGACTATGTCGATCTCTACTTGCTTCATGCCCCTTTCATTTCCAAGGAATCACATGGGTTCGATTTGGCCGAGGCTTGGAAATCCATGGAACAAGCTCAGAAAGAAGGATTGACTAAGAATATCGGTGTTTCCAACTTTGCCGTGAAAGATTTGGAGGAAATTCTCCTGGTAGCTGAAATCAAACCCGTTGTCAACCAAATCGAATTCAATGCTTACTTGCAAAACCAAACTCCAGGAATCGTGGAATTTAGTCAGAAAAACGGAATTTTGGTCGAGGCTTACAGTCCCTTGGCTCCCCTTGTGAAGGGTGAGAAAGGCGAGTTCACTGACTACTTGGATACCTTGGCTTCGAAGTACAAGAAACTCCCTAGCCAAATCTTGTTGAGATGGGTCCTTGAAAGAGGAGTTTTGCCAGTTACAACTTCGGGCAATGAAGAGAGACAGTCTCAACTTGTAAACATCTTTGACTTCAGCTTGACTCCAGAGGAAGTGGAGAAGATCAAAACTCTTGGTGAGAAGCATCCCACCTTGAGACAATACTGGACCAAAGAATACTCAAAATACGATTAGTAGAATAGGGTTCTTTGTTACTTATCTCAATGTATAGCTAATGAATCAACCATCTCGCAAACTCTCTTCATTCGTGTGTTCATGGAATCGTACTTTTCAACTTTGGGACCGAAAAAAACCATCTCCTGTAGCTGATCAATTCTTGTACCTTCTGGAAGCTGTTTACCCACAATCATGCGGAACACCAAGTCTTCAATATCTACCTCCTCCTGCTTATAGCATAGTAGCATTGGAATCTTTACCAATCTGATAGACTTAAAATACCGAGGAAGACGCTGAATATTATTCTCAAGATAGTATTCAAGAAGCTGGACATGGTGTCTTTCAAGTAAGTGCTTGAAGAATGGAAAATGAGCCAGCAAATGTTCAGTAAGAATATTGAAAGCAGAGATGGACATGAGCCTGTTTCCTGTAGAAAGCAAAACATATTCTCTGATTGGGACTGGATACCCTCGACTAAAAACTCCTTCTTCCTTCAAATACTGATAGATGTTTCTTTTCCGTAAGTCAGCCTCACTGAGAATGTAAAGTAGAAGAATTTTAAGCTGAATGTCGTGAACCAAAGGCTCATTCCCACATATTGACTTCAAGAAATTGAGCTTTTTGTTAATTAAGTCGACTAATCGAAGTCGTTTTGTTGAATCTGTGAAGCAAAATTGGTAATCCGTCAACAAGTCATGATACTTGACTTTGAATAATGCATTTGAATTGTCATCTACCTCAGGTTCGCTAAGTAGAGACTCCAAGCACTTTAGGCTCAGCTGTATTGAGCTATGATCAACAGGGCCAATGGAATAGAAGAGAAGGAGCTCCACTCTCAATAAGTTATCGGCAACTTTCTTCGCAAGAGAAGAATCGTTCAGAGGCAATTGCGCTATAAGCGAATCGAGATTGTGGCTTCCTTGAGTAACACCAAATATTATCTTCTGATTTTCCTCCAAGAGATCAGCCGCATCCTTCCCCTCGATATTCTGTCTGGCCAGTTCATCAAACATTTAGACTAAAGGAGGAATATAGAGGAAGAGTGTAGATAGAGATCGCGTTCTATCTGTACAGAAGAGGTGATAGAGACAAGTGATAAGGCTAATGTGGAGAAACCATCTTTGCTTCCCGCGTCTTGCTTATCCTTGAAGTACCAAAGTTCATTTTGGATACCAGGCGAGTAGAAATACAAATTCCGTCTAGTATATGGTTATGATGTTTTCTACATGTCAAATGGAAGACGAAGCTAAAGAATAGGAAAAGAAAAGTTAAGGAATAGGAAAAGAAAAGTTGAGGAAAAGGGATAACGAGAACAAAAAGCAGAGGCTTAGCACTGAGGTCAAGACTTTCTTGTACTTCGTTATTCCGTTGTATATCGAAAACCGGTTCTGGTCAACTTTTCGACTTGTCGTATATGAACCGAAATTCCGTTCGCATCGTATACTCGTAACGGAAAAAATACAAGTAGTCTGCAACCAACTTTCACTTCAAGTATCAACAGACAAAAGATGTGGGTCAAATTTCTCTCTATCGCTGTTGCATTTTTTGCTGTTCTTGAAGCAAGTTTCCAGACATGGCTTCCTTCCCGATTCGTGTTCGACCCTAAGCTTTTGCAATCTTTGGCTCAAGAGACTTTGGCAGCCCACCCAGATGGAAATGCCACAGCCATTATGATTGACTTAACTCCTAAGCTTCAAGCAGCCTACCCAGGCCTCATCAACGATCTCAATTGGGATGACTGGATGTTCAACAATGCTGGAGGAGCCATGGGAACGATGTTCATTTTGCACGCTTCGATTTCCGAGTACTTGATCTTTTTCGGAACTGCAGTGGGAACCGAGGGCCACACCGGAGTCCACTATGCTGATGATTACTTCACCATTTTGACCGGAATGCAAAGTGCCTCTTTACCAAACGCTGTTCTTCCAGAAGAATACCGTCCTGGCGACCAACATCATTTGCAAAGAGGCTATGTTAAGCAGTACTCTTTCGACCGTGGTGGATTTGCACTTGAGTTGGCTCAAGGCTGGATTCCCGTTATGTTGCCATTCGGATTCGTGCTGTTTGCGTCGCTGACTTTGGACTACTATTCTTTCGCCAGAACTACCTACTTCACAGCAAAAGATATGATCATCAACTTGTTGAGAGGAAAGTTTTGAGCAGACTGATGGGTTGTATATAGAGCGTTTAGAAAGCTAATAAATTCAATCGTATCTGATGGTGTGCAAGATCGAGATGGAAATCGGAGACTAAACAAGTATAGTATGCTTCAAGTTGAGGAAAGAGAAGACATTCTTCCCTGCTCAATTTATGGTTTAAAAGATTTTAGAACCATTGTAATAACACTAGCCCTAAGCTCGATATGTACCTCGATGCACAATAATTCCGACATGCACAATAATTTCACCGTACGGTTCAAAGTACATAATCGATAGCGCAAAACCAATAGCGCGCTATTTTGAGAGATGAAACTTTAGGAGCTCGAAAGCACAGAGCTTCAGACTAGACAAGAGAAGGAGCACCAGAAACCACTCACAAACTCAATCTCTGTCCAAAAAACCATTAGTCAATCGCGGTTCAAGAACTAAATAAACCAGTGCCATGTGTCAAGTAGTGGTTTGTAAGGCGCGCTCTTTTAGTGGCCGCCCACTTTCCTAGACAGGTCATTGAACGCGCATCCTCGATAATAAAGAGATAAGGTACCAGTAGATAAGGCGCACCTCTTTAATCGCCGCTGAGCAGCGATCTTTTTTCAATTACCATGCCCGATACAAGTGAGACTACAGGGCTCTTGTCAGTTACCCTGGCACGATCGAATGAAGTGAGTGAAGAGGAATTCATCAACTATGTCCAACAGAGAAGAGCATCCATCGCGTCTGTGGGCACAGACCACATTCCGCCTCACTTTGCTTTGTCGGCGAAGCGGTCGAGAAACTCCGTCGACGATACACTTTCTGCAGCCAGATCGAACATTTCGGTGGCCAATTCCAGCATCAATGCGATTTTATCCCACAACTCAGAAGTGCTCTTAGGAGAACCAAAGACCAGCCTCTACACAGAAACAAAAGTGTTGTTGGAGTATTCTGTGCCATTGGTAATCACTTTCTTATTGCAGTACTCTCTTACTGTGGCCTCCGTCTTTTCCGTTGGGCGCTTGGGCTCCAAGGAGCTTGGTGCCGTCTCCTTGTCCTCCATGACAGCCAATATCAGCGGATATGCCATTGTGCAAGGTGTTTCCACCTGCTTGGACACTTTATGTGCCCAGGCATTTGGCCGTAAGGATTACACAACCGTGGGCTTGTATTTTGTCCGTTGTACGTACTTGCTTGCACTCTTGTACATTCCAATTTTCATCTTGTGGGTCTTCTGTTCCAAGTCAATCCTCGTCTTCTTGGTTGGCGAGTCGCAAAAGGAATTAGCTGAGTTGGCGGCAACATATTTGCAGATCTTGGCTCTTGGCTTGCCAGGATTCATCTTGTTCGAAAACTTGAAGCACTTCTTACAAGCTCAAGGCATCTTTCATGCTTCAACATACGTTTTGCTTGTCTGTGCACCATTGAACGCTTTATTAAACTACCTCTTAGTTTGGAATAAGCACATTGGTCTTGGTTTTATCGGGGCTCCTTTGTCTGTGGTCATTTCGGACTGGTTAATGTGCTTTTTCCTCCTTTGGTACGCGTTGTATGTGGATGGATATCGGTGCTTGCCTCGCTTGCTGTTGTTCGACAGACGCTACTTTCAGAACTGGAGAAAAATGACAGACTTGTCTGTTCCAGGGGTTTTGATGGTGGAAGCAGAGTGGCTAGCATTTGAAATCATTACTTTTACTGCATCCACTTTTGGAACGGACGTTTTGGCAGCACAATCCATCGTTTCTACAACGTGTGTTTTACTTTACCAGGTATCATTTGCCATCTCGATTGCTGCCTCAACAAGGATTGCGTGGTATGTTGGCGCTGCTTCAAAAAAGGCATTGTTGATCGCCACGAAAGCTTCCATATACACAGCAGCTGTCTTTGGATGCCTCAACGCAATCATTCTTTTCTCATTGAGAGATTTCTTTGCTTCATTGTACACCAATGACCCCAATGTATTGCACATTGCATCGCAGGTGTTGATTGTTGGTGCCCTTTACCAAATTAATGATTTTTTGGCTTGCACCACAGGAGGCATTTTGCGGGGCCAAGGTAGACAAAAAATCGGTGGTTACCTTAACTTGATATCCTACTACCTTATTGCCCTTCCGTGTGCATTTGTTTTTGCCTTTTACTTTGACTTAAAGTTGGTAGGTTTGTGGATGGGCATGGTGATTGCGCTCCTCTTTATCTCTGTGGCTCAGGTATATTTTGTTATTTTTTCTGACTGGGACAAAATCATACGCCTGTGCATCAATGAGGGCGTTCTTGAGGAGGGAAACGTGCACATTGATGCACACTCTGTCCTCCCAGCGATGCTGTCAAGCAACATTGTTTAGAGGCAATAATAGAACACAATACATGAAGCGCCAAAAAAAAAGGGGGAAAAAGATAAGATGCCTGTAAAGTCCAACAAAGAATTATGTTCCCCGATTAGGCTTATCCACTTGTAAACACACATGGTGATGCAGGGGAAAGAGAACAAAGCAAAGGAAGCTTCGGTCCACCGTACAATGCAGGGGTTGGGGGAGGAGAAAGAAATCAATCTCTCGTCAAGCGTGGAAATAATGCCCTGCTAAGTTCTTCCTGCAAACACGGCCTATTTGTGCATGTGTTTCTCTGCCATGTGCGCCGCCGCCTCGCATCTACGTGGAGGCGGCCTATGTGCTTCCATGGTTATCGCCTGTGCGCACTGGGGCTATCTGCATCTTGACTTTGCGGTTTCGGTTTCGGTGCTTGTATCCACTCGCGTGAACACAGCCCAATTCGTGGGGAACAATCAGCCCCTATATTTTCTACTTCTACGGAGGAGGGCCTGACGACGGTGTTGAAGCGCGAGTTTGGTGGAGCGCGGTTCTCGCTCGCTTAAGTGTGTAAGCTCGTACTTGCATGAAGCGGGCGCGGGTTAGTGTAGCGCGAGCAGAATCAGCCGTGTCACCGCGAGAAGGCGGCATTTTGCGAGTTTCCCAAGTAGTTCCCCCCACGCACGAACCTCCGCTGTGTGAGGGGTAAAAACAGAGAAGAACACTGTTTAGAGAAGTTTCTCGACATTTCGGGCACATAAAATCAGAAGTGTGTCAGCAAATGCGCTCCAGATGCGGTGGTGCGATTTGTCTCGGTCGAGGACGCCCAAGCGTGAGTAGGACGGGTAAATTTTATGCAGAGAATGGAGAAACGTACGAGGGAGGGCCAACAGGCCCAGATACGAGGGCCGAAGAAATCCCAAAGTACAGAAGGACAAAAACGAAGCGTAGACAGAAATTCCCACATATAGTCTTGAGCAGTCGGTTAAATTGTGGTGCGAGAAAATGCGGCCGCGATGGATGTCACACTTACCCTAAGCTAAGAAAACAAGCCCGCGTCTGCATGAGCAGAGATCCCTTAAGTGCGAAAGAAAATGATTGCAGCACGGGCTAAATGCAGCATTTACCATGGGATGCTTTTCATAGAGCAGGGTGAAAATAGTACCATGCCTCGGGCCCAATTCGGAAGGATTATGCGCACGCCCGAGAAACTTCCGACGTGGTGATGAAGCAGTAGAAAAAGTGCCCAATGCGAACTCGAAGACTGCACTAGCCACAATGGGTGTCAATGTGTCCCGAAGGGGCAAGAGAAACATCAACAAAACACTACCCAGACAAAATTCGCCAATTACACAGAACATTATGATTAAAATTTAGACAAAATAGACAAGTTAGACTAAATAGTAAAGTTAGTCAAAATAGCCAAACTACACAAACTAGCCATGGCATAGTTTTCCACTTATTGTTTGTATTTTTTTTTTTTATTTTATTTTTTTCTCTTTTCGCCTTGTTTTGCTTTTTCCGCAGCCACGCACCAGCCTGATGCGTTGATCGTTGTCAACACCAATCTTGGGCTCATTCTCCTCGGTTAAAAATTGACTATTGTCTGGACTGTGTGGTTGTCCTACCGAACGCGTATTTTTTGTGCTTCTCCAAATACTTGTCGCGCTTCGAGCTTGTTCATGCGCATTCAGAACTAGCGCAGACGGCCGTTTCGAGTAAAAGACGAGATGGCCACCCAAACGCAAGAGTAGGGGCCCCAGCGAAAACAGCGTTAGGTTCCAGACACCTTCTCCAGATGCCGCGCCTGTTTCCTCCTCGTGCCTGCCCCACAATTTTTCCCCTAAATCACAGGCAGGCTATTTTTCAAGTGGGAATTAGTGGAATTGGACGCGCTGTACGCTAATGGTATTGCGCAGGATTATTTGTTGTTGATGCAGGGCTAGCCTCGGCTATGGGCGGATTTAAACCCCGCCGCAGCAGTATACGCAGGTACTGAAATTTTGCAATTGTATTATGCTATTCCGCCAACGCCCTTGGCTGCTGGCAAAAACCGCTAATTGTTACGAATCGCCAATTTTAGCCCTTTGTGGCCTGTAGGCTTATGCACGTTCGCAGGAACTGTGCGCCCATTGGCGTCATATGGCCCATCTGCGGGTGCTAATGTACTGCAAGACTGCGAAACGCATTATCTGTGGACATTTTTTTCTATTATATACCCACTTCGGTGTTCAGTTGTTTTGCTTGTCCCGTCTGGTACCCGACCTTTATATATCTCTGCTGGCCACTGCCCACACGCTTCCTTCTGATACAAAATTTGTGACGGCTTATTTTTTTCTTTTCAGTCTAGTCCCCAACCTTTTGACAACTTGTTCTGCATCACCTTCGCTTACCCATTCCTTCCTCATACCTTGCCCACATATACCATCTCCACATAATTGATCATTCTTGATGTATGACAGAGTCCACGGCACTTTCAGTAATAGCTCCGTTACCATTCACCAATACCGATACCCGTACGAGTCCTATAAGGCCGAGGTGAGGTGCCATGAAAAATCGATCCATGAATACTCGGCAGAAATCATGAAAACCATGAAGGCTGCCTTGGAGGAGGCAAGACCCAACGTCAAGCTTTACAGCAATCAGCCGTACATCAACTCTACTGTTCGCTCTAAGTTGGTTGACTATCTCTTGAAGATGCTGGTGCGGTTGAAAATCTTGCCCTTTGTTTTCTACAAAGCTGTGCGCTACTTTGATCGCTACTGTCTGAAACGTATCGTGTTGTTAGACCAGGTCCAGCTCATCATCACCACCTGCTTGTGGATTGCCGCAAAGGTGACTGGAGGAAATAATCACTTTATTAACTTAAGCTCTGACAGAAGAAGCGAAGAAGTACACACGATTCTGGATTTGGGCTACGGAGGAGGCGCTCGCTTCTGTGGTCCAACTGAGCGTTACCGCATGCCTAAACTTAGCGAATTGATCAAATTGTGCGGTTCTCGGTGCAATTATGATGCAGAAATGTTCAAGCAAATGGAAATACACATCATGAACGCCTTGGAATGGAAGTTGAATGACCCTTCTGTTGACGAGTATATGGTGTATTCACAGGAGCTCAAAATCACCAAAGATGAGGATGTGGAATCTAAACTTGGTGAATATTTTAAAATCAAGCAGTTTGCTGCTTACGCGGCATGTTATCTGTATGATTTGGTTGGATACAACCTGTTGGAATTGTCCAAGGTGATTGTGGACTTGGTGAACGACACATTTTCTTTGAACGAGGCAGATTTCAACTACCAAACATTAAACCATTCTATTATTGTTGACGAGTCAGTGGTGGATGCCAAACATTATCGTGAAATCCACAAACATTTGGTCCGTAGCATTGTAAAGGCGCCATCGTACCTTTTACAATGCTTTGAATCCCGCGGTCCACAGCTGTTCTATTCTCTCATCACTACCAGCTTTAGACAAGCTGCTACTTTAGCACTCGAAGTTCCCCTCTCTAATGTTTCCATTTCCCTGACTTTGTCGCCTTCATCAGTATTTTCTGAAGCAGCCACAAGCTACACTTACGCATCCCCAACCTCTTCAGTCAACAGTGGTGGCGACTATAATTACAAAGCAGCTTCAGAGATACGTTTCGGAGATGGATATTCTATTATTAGCCGCAAACCAGGAGTCAGCGGTAGATCTCCCGTGATAGATCCTGCTCACTCCAACAGTCATCAATACCCTTCATTGTGTCCTCCGGGCCCATACTCTCGCTCCAACGGGAGCCAGGTTAGCATTCGCTCCTCTGCATCCTCAAAAGAACATGACATTTTTGACTACGACCCTTCTAGATGCAATTCGACTCCAATGAGCGGACACGAAGAGGTCAAGTCCATATGCGACCCAAAACTAAAACGCCACGCCGTCTAGCCGCGGAGACACTTTCACCCGTCAAAAAGGGTTACCATTTTAATTCATCTTAGTACCCGCTGCCGCCATGCATAACTATTATTTTTTTTATTTCATTTCGCCTCTATTGACGAATCTTATTCAAACAACGATCTTATCGAATCCTAATACATGGTCTCAATGTCAATAAGCAAATATACCATATACTTCTTGTAAAGAGTATTCCTCGATTATTTAGGAGCATGTCCATTGTATCTAATTGAATGTGAAGTGCCCATTTAATTTAATTTGATTTAATTTAATTCAACAATGCTGGTTGTGTTCTGAAGCCGACCATCGAGAAGTATTCATGAGAAAGGCAGCCGTCCATTGGCATGCAGATATGCAACAATATACGATGAGCTATGAGACCTGCACCCGTCCCGTAAAGATTTTAGTAGTAAATGCCTGCCTTTCATGTGGTACGAGGAGCACGTCTACCCGTATTTTTCGCATGATGAGCCCATACCCCGTATTTTCCGTGGGATGAGGCCATAACCGTAATTGTCTCGTTTATGCGACGACGAAGTCGTAGCAAAGTTTGGCGAATTGAGGGCTTTTTTTGTTTCCGACATGCAGCAATTGGCAATGGTCCAAGCACCGGCGAAACTTTCCTCAACCCGTTGTTGCGTATGCAATGAGTACGCGACTCCGATCTGATATCTGCCAACCTGGAATTTTTCAAGAATGTTGAAGGAACGCACGCGCATGCATGCTTCACGATGCATGCATGCGTCGCTATGTCCCTATGCATGCGCATGCTAACGGCCCAATTAGCGCGCAGTCATACTATATCTGGTTGTTTATTTTTCTCCATACTTGAGGAGATTTCGCGGAGAAAATCTATTGATGGGCTCGGCCCCACGAATGCGAAAATAGATCGTCAGAGATAAGAGCCGATGTCTCCAGCCAGACACTTGGATCTAGTGAAACACGGGTACCGCACAATCGCAATTTCTTTAGAGCATGAGAAGTCATACTTAGCAAAAAAACAGTACCGCTCGCGGCAATGTGATTGAGAATGCTACAAGGCAAGACCGTCGAGGTGCAGAATACAGAAGCAAAAGGAAAAGGCAAGTGAAAAGTTGGAGGCAAAACAACATTCTTGAAAAGGAAGAAAAGCCGATAAAAACCGTTTAATCCTCGTTCCGACCACTTTCGTTCCCCCAGCCGATATTGGTAAATGTAGTATATGCACTACATATATTACTTAAAAAGAGCAGGTGGTGCCGTGAGAGAAAAAAAAAAAAAGGGGGGTGGGGGGGGGGGGCAAAGAAATGGAATTGAAATCAACAAAGTCCATCTCATGATTGTGTATGAACAACTTGTCCTACATTAGAGCAGCGATGGCAACCCATACCAGTCTCCTGGCAGGAGTATAAGCCACCCACAAAGAGGTACGGGTGTTCCTGTTTATGGATCCATCCCTGTACCTGCCGTGTTTCTATTCTTTCTTCGCGAGCTTTGCACTGCCTTGGCGCGAATATTGACTTTTTGTTAGGCGGTTTTCTTTTCCTGAGCACATCGACTGATCTTCCCAGCTCCGTTTACGCTTCTATTCTTCCACAGTGGCTCTGGATCTATCAGATATCTTCAGCTATCGCCCTAAACTTTAACCAACAACATTTTACCTTCTTGGTGTGAATAGTTGCTTCTCCCTTATTTCTTTCCCCGTTCTTTTGTTCAGCGTCGTCCAAGAAGATACATAAAACCGTGATATCATGCTTGCATACTTCATTTCGCTCTTGTTGCTACTGTGTGCCTTTGCAGCTCCTAACATGGAGGAGTTGGAGGGCACATGGACATCGAAATCCAATACTGTTTTCACCGGTCCTGGCTTGTATGATCCAGTTGATGAACTTTTGATCGAGCCTGCGTTACCTGGAATCTCGTACTCCTTCACGAAAGACGGTCACTATGAGGAGGCCTTGTACAGAATCAAATCCAACCCACAAAACCACTCTTGCCCCATCGCCAGTCTCACATTCCAACACGGGACATACGAGATCTTGAGCAACGGCAGTGTTGTGCTTACTCCTATTGCTGTGGATGGCAGACAGTTGTTGAGTGACCCATGCGGTTACAGTGCAGAAAAGGCCAAGTACGTCAGATATGTCCAGCCAACGTGGTTTGAGAAGTACCAGGTGTCTATCAACTCCTACCACGGCAGATACATGTTGCAAATCTACCAGTTTGATGGATCTCCTATGCAGCCTTTGTATTTGGCATACAAGCCTCCTATGATGTTGCCTACTACTGCTTTGAACCCTACCGACAAGGCCTCGGAAACGTCTTCTTCCTTATCGCGGAAAGTTAAGCGGTCTTTGGAGAATCAGTACAGAACGAACGCGGTCAAGAAGTTTTCAAGCGAAAAGTTTGACAAGTTTTGGTGGATGTCTGTGGGTGTTTTGGGTGTTGGTTCTGCTGCATGGTTTCTCCGCTAGACTGGGCAGGCCATTACTCTCCAATTTTCGAGAGTGACAACTGCTTCAAGAATAACTTTCGAACATTTGCATAAGCTATTCGGGAGCTTTGCTGAATCCAAGATCGGCAGAAAATCTACGTAAGTAGAGATATCCTCTCGTCTATCGTCTTCCTGTGCCTACTCAAAGGATTGACTTGCCGACTAAAGTACAATTGCTCTACGCAACACCTCAGAATAACCGTGTAATACATTTTTTGTTTTCGAATTTTTTTATCCTGTAGTCTTGCACGCATGTAGCACTCTTGACAATTCTATAGCTTGGGGGCTTATTCTATCCTCGCCACATTCATGACGCCTGCATACACGCGATTGTCACTTATCAGAGAATAATAGCCTACTTACGTTACATCCATTCAACTTTTGTTCCAACGTCGCAAGTATCGTAACTAAAAATGTCGTGGTTTAGAGCTACTGATCCAGTTCAGGAGTTGGATACAAAAATCGAACAGGCCACATCGGAATCTATTCCCAATGGGGAGCTAGATATAGCTGTGGGGCTTGAGATCACCGATATAATCCGAAGCAAAAAAGTTCCTGCCAAGCAGGCTATGCGCTGCTTGAAGAAGCGAGTGACAAAAGTGTATTTGAATCCCAATTTGTTGACCTCCACTTTGAAGCTCGTGGACTTGTGTGTTAAAAATGGCGGCAACCATTTTCTTGCTGAGTTCAATACGAAGGAGTTTATTGACTACTTGGTGGACTATATTTTCAAAGTGCATTATGATACAAAATCATACAAGGTCTACTCTTCCGAAGCGAAGTATGGTGTGAGCACGCTTCTCTTGAAGTTTCTCAAGGAGTGGTCTCTCTATTTCAAGGGCCGTTTCGAGCCCAATTACGTCGAAAGCCACTACAAGACCTTGGTGAACCAGGGCTACGACTTTCCGGAAGTAGATGTGGCTGCTGTAGATGCTGGAGCAAATTTTATCGAAACTACAGCTCCGCTAGATTGGTTGGACGGGAAAGAGTGCATGATCTGTTACACGCCATTTTCAGTCATGAACAGAAAGCATCATTGTCGTGCCTGTGGTGGGGTGTTCTGCCAGACACACTCGAGCAAAAATATCCCATTGTTTTCGCTTGGAATACATCAACCAGTGAGAGTCTGTGATGATTGCTACGAGATCCACAAGGGAAAGAACGACAAGGAGAGAAATCGAAGAAACAACGGTGCGTCAGGAGCAGAGAGTGTTCCTGTGGCTGATTCTGAGGAAGATCAGATCAGAAAAGCAATCGAATTGAGCTTGCAAGAAACTTCCATTCTGGCGGCTCCTGCTTCAACGCAGCCTCCACCTCCTCCTCGTAATCCTCCTACTCAAGAAGCAGAAGAGGATATGGACCCTGATCTTAAGGCTGCCATTGAAGCAAGTTTGAAGGAAGCTGAAGCAAGCAAACAGCCAAAGCAGTACGTGGAGGAAAGACAGGAACAACCTCCCGCGGCCGCACCAGAGGTGGATTTCTATCTGAACATCATGCCATTTGACACGAACACCTATGCGGCTCCCGCACCAGCACAGTACAATGAGACAGGAATGGAAGCACCAGTATACAATGCACCAAACTACCCACCAAACGTTCAGGCAGCATACACCGGCGTGAATCAATTTTCAAATGTTCAAGGTCCCCCACCGTACGGAACTAGTGGAAGTGTCTTTGATGCTACAAACCCATGGAGCCAACACCAAAAACAGCAGCAGCAGCAGCAGCAGCAACAGCAACAGCAGCAACAGCAGCAACAGCACCCAAGAGGCGGTTCTCAACCAACAGGAAACCCTGTGCGGATGGAGCCAAACAAGACGAGCGAAAGCTTGACTCCAGAGGAGGAGGATGCAATTAATCTCTACATTCGCTTGATGAATGGGATCAAGAACGACCGTGTAAAACAGGCTAACATTATCTACGACAAAGACTTAAGTGAGTTGAACGCTAAAGTGGTGAAGCTAAAGCCAAAATTGAACAAGTCTCTTCGCTCGGCCATTGAATCATATGGTTTTTTCTTGCAAATGAGCAATAAGATCAGCACCATCACTCGTCTTTACGACCTGTTTTTGGAGACGAAACTTAACATGGCTTACAACATGCACAACATCTCTTCTTCGGCCGCTGAATACACGGGTGCTAGTTTACCCAATGTCTACAATGAGAGTGCTCATAGGTATTCTTCAGATACTTTGGGCCACAACAATGGTGCTCAAAAACCTGTGAGACCAACGATTGATACCCAGTCTGTGAGACCCAGAGGTTCTCGAGTAGCATCATTTACTGGGTCGCAGGTTTCTGAGGTAGAAAAGCGAAAACAGGGACCTTTTGTTGACTCACCTTACTCACATCCAGAACAGAGTCGCTATGATAACCAATCGCAAAAGTATGGTCTCACCAATAGATCCAGGGGAAATCTGCAAACAACCCCGTACCCTGTTGACGATGGATCACAGTATCCAGGTTATCGTAAGGTGTATCCAGAACCAAACGAGAGGCGGAGGAGTCAACTGAGCTACGGACGGAACATGTCGAATCATGGGTCTTCTCATTTCATGCCAAGCCCATCTACGTTCCTCCCAGGCGATGCAAACACAAGAAACAAACCATCGGATGGGCCTGATATCGAGAATGGAAGTTCGACTCCGAATGAATCAAGTTTCGAGCCTAGCGCACCTAACTTTGAGCCTAGCGCACCAAGCTTTGAGCCTAGTGCACCTAACTTTGAGCCTAGTGCACCTAACTTTGAGCCTAGTGCACCTAACTTTGAGCCAAGTGCACCTAACTTTGAGCCTAATGCACCTAACTTTGAATCCAACGCACCAAACTATGAGCAGACTGAGGAAACCTTTGTACCCGAAGATAAAAGGGAACTTGAATACGGACCAGAAGCGAACTTGCCCAGCACTTACAACCTGAAGACATACCGCGAGAGCTCTAGCCCTACTGTGAGCAAAAATGAATCCAAGCGTCGCTCCGTGTACCCGTCTGAACCCTCATATCTCCCTGAGGATAATAGCGACTCAGAGAGTGTTGCAAGCATGTATCCCCCAGTTCCCGGCTTTTCTGAAGAAGAGGATAAGACACCTGAGCCACACAAGGAGCATGCGTCCACTCGGTTTCCTTCTCTCAGTGATTTGAAGGATTTGAATTCGTCTGGCACCAGTCTTCCTGACGTGAGAAAGACTCTGTCGCGCGAGTCTAAACGGTATAAGTCAGAGCCCGAACCGCTCATTGAATTGTGATCACTTATCTACTACTATGTGGCGTACACTAAGTTATTGGTGTTATTTGAGTGAATGCAGGTTAGCCCCGTCTGTTCGTACGTAATACAGAATGCATATTGAAATGAGAGTAATTACTCAGGAGTAAATTGAGTCATTTTGTTGTGTCGACAATATGCCTCAATAGTGAATACGTTGAGGCTTTTTTAGTGGAGTATATTGTGCCTTGTGCGAAATAGCAATGAGAGTAGGACAGCCACTGCACAGATAAGATGAGTCAAAATACATGTGAGAAGCGCTCGCGACGACAAAAAGAACAGACAATATCCTCGCCTAGCACTTAAACGAGATAGAAACAACTGCTGAGGGAAACAAAAAGATCCCTCCTTTTTTCATTCCAAAGAGCCCTTGCAATCAATTCTGTGCATAGCCCAAAATCCCGCGCCCCAGTTTTCCAGTGTTGCGCAGAAAAATGAATCGGAACTTTCTGCAGGACGCCTCTGTGGGTAGAAAAATTTCCCGCAACCTTAGAGCATCGTCTTTCTCTTCAGATATCTAGCCCCTAGAACGTCCCCATTTCGTACGAGAGCTGCCGCTTGAAGTCCCAGATATATATAACTCACGATTCCAGTGAGTTTTGAACCGACAAAAAGTGTACCAGTTGCTGCAGTTGCGCTCCCCACCGCCGTCTATCGATCTGTGAAACCCCCACGATATCGATAGCTCAAGTGAAGAAAGAAAAATTACATTTGGCTGACGAGAGAAAGACGCATTCCATCGGTATGCACCCTTCTGTTGATGTTATTAGCGAGGATGGCTATGTCTTGACTCCTCAAAAACATTCTTTTGAAGCCTCAGGCTCTGTAACTTCCGGACACAAAAGGAGCAGCTTAGCTTCTTCAGATTTGGTCCGCTCCGCGCTCGTTGATCAGGTCAATCAGATTGACCATGATGTTTGTGCTGCAGGTGACGAAGATTCGTTTTTTGTTGCCGATTTGGGCCAGGTTTTCCGCTCATTCCAATTGTGGAAGGAAACGTTGCCTCGCGTGCAGCCTTTTTACGCCGTCAAGTGCAACACTGACCCCCACGTGGTGCTGTTACTTGGCCGCATGGGCGCCAACTTTGACTGTGCTTCGAAGACGGAAATCGATACTGTGTTGGGTCTTGGTTTCACTCCAGACCGCATTATTTATGCGAATCCTTGTAAAACCAACTCGTTCATTCGTCACGCTTGCGAGAAGAATGTCAACCTCACCACAGTTGACAATGCGAACGAGCTTTACAAGTTGAAGCGGTTCCATCCTCGTACTCGTATATTGATTCGTATCGTCACCGACGATGAATCTGCTCAGTGCCGCTTGTCCACCAAGTTCGGATGCACCGTGGAAGTGGCTGTGAACCAGTTGTTGCCATTGTGTCGCGAATTGGACCTTGACGTTGCTGGAGTGGCATTCCATGTTGGTTCTGGTGCCACTTGCTTCGACTCCTTCTTTCATGCCATCAAAGATGCACGGCGGATCTTTGATGCGGGTGAACAGTTAGGGTTGCGCTTAACAATTTTGGATATTGGTGGTGGATTTGAGCCTTGCAGCTTTGATGCTGCAACACAAGTGGTGAACAGAGCTTTGGATACGTTCTTCCCCACCACTTATGCCCAACAACATGGCATGCAATTCATTGCTGAGCCTGGCCGGTTCATGGTGGCAAACGCGTTTACGTTGGCCACACACATTATTGCTCGCCGTGACTTGGACTCGAACTCGGGCATGGAAGCCATGCTCTACATCAATGATGGAGTCTATGGAAACTTGAACTGTGTTCTCTTTGACCACCAACACCCGGAGGCCAAAGTGTTGAAACACGCTGGGAAGATGTTTCCAGGCGAGATGGACGGAGAAACCCAGTCTCAGCACTACAACTTCTCCATCTGGGGTCCCACATGTGACGGATTGGACTGTGTATCATCCAAAACAGCATTGCCTGCCAATGTGGGTGTTGGCGACTGGTTGTACTTTCCTGAGTTGGGCGCCTACACTTCTGCGGCTACAACGTCCTTCAATGGCTTCAGCGGCTGTGCAAAGGTCAACTACGTGTGCTCTGTAGACCTTGGTGAGTACGGTTATTAAGTAAGTTAATGAATACACCAAGTAGAGGGATCGTAGGAGAAAGGGAGGACGAATAGGCATAAGAAAATGGGATAGAAGAAAGGGGAAAAGGTATAATAAAAGGCACTGTACTATAGATATGGTAGGTACTGGTTGCCCGTCACTAGTATTGCCAGCTCAATATCCTAAGACTTTTTAATCTCTTTCGTATACATTTAGATTCTGACTTTCAAATAAACTATGGATTTCAAGAAGTCTTTGTGGAGCCTTTTTTCCGTTTCAATGTTAGCTTGAATTACATGCATTTATCCAAGTGAGCTCTGCGTCGAAGTGGAGTTTACTACTCTTAAATCCGAAGCGTACTTTCCACCGACCGAACAAAAATTGATACAGCCAAAACGGAAGCGGATTACACTGTGGATCATATCATTTGGATGAGAATGTATCAATTGAAATTGGTAGGGTAGAATTGAGCATAGACTTATTTCATAATAATTGGAGAAGAGATACTTAGTAACTGAAGGAACCTCCACTTACTGAAAAGACAGAACACAACGAGGCCCGAGGCCAAGTTCTGTTAATATGATAATATTAGAAACCATATATAGATTTATTCATCCGTATTATAGTCTTCTCCTGATGTTATAGTATTGAAAGGAGCATTCACCACTAGTTCTACTACCATTGGGAAAAGAACAAAAATGAAAGCATCAATTAGAGGCTAAGATAATAATACCTTGCTCATGATAATCTCAGTGAAAGAGCACTATTAGCAGCAAAAGATTTTTTAAAGACTTGAATAAACAATGTAAATTAATGATACATATTTTAATGTCCGGTCGTAACCATGCCACGAAAATCTGATAAACACACTTGATAGCATGCTTGAGCATATCTCAGGCAAAGCTAAGAATGTTTGGGTAACCGAAGTTTTCCACCTTTGGCTGTGTGATATATTACTTGTGTCATTACGATTTATCTTTACGACGCTATAGCGCCACCTCACGGCTTTTTCATCCATAATCCATCTACTTCTCGGCAAATCATATAATATCTTCGGTCTTGATTGCCGATTAAGTCCGCTCTGTATTGACTTGCTGTTCATCCATGGCGTTGTTTAACTTTGCTCATGCTGTCTTCTCGCCCCCCACGATCCATATGCGGCATGCACGGCTAACATTCCAATTGTTTCTTTTTAGTTTCATCCTTCTCTTCTCAAACATTCGTAATTAAAAACACCGCATGCCTCACTTCTATAATATGTCTACACATCTTTCTTTATGTATCAGGGCATTAGAGGCACAGTCGAGAACGCCGTACGAGGCACAGCAAAAGTGCGCGGTCAAGGACAAGATACACCAGCCACTGCGGATTTCGCACAGCACTATCTGAAGTACTAAAGTTATCTGGGCTTTTTTCCACGTCTCCACTGACTCGACACCCGGCATTCCATATTTGCTTCTTATTCCACCGTTTCATTTTCTTCACTTTAGTCTGGACACTAATTCGTTATAATGTCTAACAAAGCGGTTGCCAATCGCAACCAGATGAAGAATGCCTTGCAGGTGATCACCAACAAAAACTCAAGCGAAAAGCCACCTAGGGATTTGTCCGTCTACATCACGGAAGAAGGGGAAAAGCTCTCCACTACTGAAAGAGTAGTTCCTTCCGTGTCTCCGCCGGCGTCTTTCTCCCCACCAGACAGCGATGTTTTCTTGCCGAACGGGTTGCCCAACTGTGCATTTCTCAAAGACCATTTCTTCAACGAGGGACGTTTACAACACCACCAAGCGATTCATATTCTCCAAGAAGCCACACGCGCTTTGCTGATGGAACCAACCCTTTTAACTGTCCCTGCGCCCGTGACCGTCTGTGGTGATGTTCATGGCCAATACTATGATTTGATGAAATTGTTCGAGGTAGGCGGTGACCCAGCTACTACTCAGTATTTGTTTTTGGGAGACTACGTGGACCGCGGACTGTTTTCAATTGAATGTTTGCTTTACTTGTACTCGTTGAAGCTCAATTATCCCAAGACGTTTTGGATGTTGCGTGGAAACCATGAGTGTAAGCATTTGACTGACTACTTCACGTTTAAGTCCGAATGTTTACATAAGTACTCGAAGGAGGTGTACGAGAATTCCCTTGAATCCTTCAATGCATTGCCATTGGCTGCGATCATGAACAAGCAGTTCTTCTGTGTGCACGGCGGAATCTCACCCGAATTAAAATCTTTGGATGATTTGGCCACGTTCGATCGTTTCCGCGAGCCGCCAACAAAAGGCTTGATGTGTGACTTGCTCTGGGCAGACCCAATCGAAGACTACGATGAAGATAACATGGACCAGACATTTGTGCGTAATACTGTTCGTGGCTGTTCTTATGCCTTTACTTACAAAGCATCCTGCCAGTTTTTGGAGCGTACGGGCCTCTTGTCCATTATTAGGGCACACGAGGCACAAGATGCGGGATATCGTATGTACAAGCGAACAAAAACCATGGGTTTCCCTTCGTTGTTGACCATGTTTAGCGCACCCAACTACTTGGACACGTACAACAACAAGGCAGCAGTGCTCAAATATGAGAACAACGTCATGAATATTCGCCAGTTCAATTCTTCGCCGCATCCATATTGGTTACCTCATTTCATGGATGTCTTTACTTGGTCTTTACCCTTTGTGGGCGAAAAGGTTACTGACATGTTGGTGTCCATCTTGAATATCTGCACCGAAGAGGAGCTTGAAGAGGAAACACCTATTGCGCATGGCTCAGCGCAGCCTCTGCCCATACTACCCACATCGCCTTCTTTGCCCGATTCTGCTAGTGATTCTGAAGAGCTAACTATTGACGAAAAGAAGGCTGCGTTGCGTAGGAAGGTTATGGCCATTGGCCGTGTGGCACGTATGTATCAAGTTTTGAGAGAGGAATCTGAGAATGTGGCACACTTGAAGAGTTTGAACTCTGGCACTTTGCCCCGGGGCTCATTATCCCACGGCAGAGAAGGATTCCAGAACACACTCATGACGTTTGAAAGCGCCCGGGCAGCAGACTTGGAAAATGAGGCCATGCCGCCTATGCCCGAAGAGCTCAAAAAGCGTGAGGCTGAGCGCCAAGCTAAGATCCGTCGCGAGCTTCTGGCGAGCCCAAGCCCTAGTTTCCTGCGCCTCATGCGGCGTCTTTCCGGCTGAGATGTTGGAGGAAGCGAAGGTCTCGAGGCTTGGCTGAAGTGAATCTAGTATAGTTAAGAATACCAACGTTCTTGTGAACAAGACGAGTTTTATGATACAGTTGTAAGTTGTCTACTAGAAAGCAAGTGGCACACTGAGATGAAATAAAGTCATGAAGGAGCAATTGCATAACGTTAATAAATTTGGGCTCGACTTCGTATGAATAATACAAGGCTACATGGCCCCCACAACACGCATGACATTTTGAACATCTGAAGCCCTGTTGGGCTAAGCGACTCTTGATGCATTCTCCGCACTAATACAACTTCCACAAGAGAATGCTATAATGAAACACGTGTACCGCACTTACTGATCAAGTAAATGATAACGAGAAAACCAAGGGAACGAGTAAGATAGCGTAGTACATTAGAGTTGTGCTGTAGCAAAATTGACTGGCCTAATAATGTGAATTCTTAACCATCTTCGTTTGGCCCAGCCGAGTCATCGCTGCGCGCACTTAATAATAGACCACAGAACAGACTTTACTACATATCCCCCACTACACTGTGTGGCTTCCTTTCCATGGCTCGATCCCCCCACATTATTCACGAATGTCCCTCAGTGGAGAACACGCTTTCTGTGGCGGCATACCAGGCCCAGTACCCTGCGTGGTACTCGCTGGATAACGATAAGTTCGTTTACCACGCGGGCGGCCCAAACTACACGTTGGCGCTAGCCCATGGCCAAAACGTGGTGCTTGACCCGACTGTGGCGCTGATGGTAGGCCCAGTGGCGCTTTTCGTGCTCGATACAAGCCTTGTTCTTTGGCTGGACCGTTGTTCGTCAGGTTTGGACATTCCATACACTCTGATATCGCTTCACGCACTTCAAGACACCGCTCACGGTGCTGTATTGTACCTACAATTACTCACATGTGACCTCTGGCACTTTTCAGCGCCAGACGGCCGTGTTCAGACGGTGGAAATCACGCTTTCCGAGCACAGTCCCCAGGAACCTATGTTCGGCGCAACTCACACCATTCTTGAAGTCTACGACGCATTAGGAGCGTGTTCGGCCCTTCACTACGATACAGATTCGGCTTCTGAGGATGAGTCCGCCTTCGGTGCCGCCATCCCCATGCAATGGCTCGATTCGACAGACTGCGCTATGGACCACGCCGCCGATACTGAAACCCCCAGTGAACATACGCATATGTCCAATGGTCTTACTTCTGTCGAGTGGGTTAACGATGGCGTGGCTGACGACTTGGATCCAGGCCGTGCAGATACAGATATAGAAGCGGGTATGAATGTGGCCATGCACACCACCCAGATTGCAGGTACAGTACGCCGTCGTCGGTCATCCGGCTCCGTGAATAAGACACGGAAAATCGGCTGAAAAGCATGGAAAAGAGTAGGCAAGAACGTAACACCGTTTTCTGTCTAAGTGTCTTCTCTGGGGTGATTTAAGGTGACATGTCCGGCACACAGAATGAAGATGCGATATATCGACCCAGGGATTCATCTTGACACAAGGCCAATGAAAACAGCCGAGGAAAAAATTGCCTTCAAGAACAGCTTTTTCAAGTTGGGCCAGGGAAGGCTTATGGACCACGGCGACGTTGCATTCTGGTCCATTTTCTGGAACACCCCGCAGTCTGCTTCAGACATTTATGATTTGCTTACGCCGTTCGATCTTCAGACCGTGAGGGACCAGAACCTTCCCAACTTTCTTTTATTGGTGCACATTGTAGCATGCCGTGTGGTTGAACTTGCCCGCGATCTTTCGCCGACCCAGCACATGCCGCTTCTCAACTGCCTACGGCTCCTAGCCAAAGTGCTTCCGTACTTGTTTGAACTTCCGGACTATGCCGAAACGATCGAAAACCCTCTTTTCTGGGAACGAAACTTTAACCCTCGTGATTTCTTCAACCAACCAGCGGCGCCTGCGCTTGTTTTGCCTAGAAACAGTTCTTTCGCAGACGTTTCTGAAAATGTGCTTGGTGCAGATTTGGTTTTGGCCTTGGTGCGGCTATTGGTAGCGCAAGGCTTCACAGTTGCTGAGCCATATCCTGAACTGCCTCCAGACATGTGTTTATGGGAGCCTGGAATTTGTGTTCCAGGTAAGTATCATCTGCCCAACCCAATTCACGACAGCAACAGAACGGAGGTTTTGCGAGTTTTGCTCGTCCTTGCATCAACAACCTTTTACGAGAAAGTCCTGGACACTGTTCGGACGGGCCTGAGATTTCTCACATTCTTGGTTGCTGGCCTTGCCTCGCTGGAAATCAATACCTTGACTGCAAATTTGACTAACATCTTGTGTCGCTCCGCCCGAACAGGTCTAGATGACTCGGGACTAAAATATGACAACTCCTCCTTAGTCGAGGGACGCCACTTATGTGTTTCATATAGTGCAGAGCTACTTGCATGCATGGTTGTTTGTCCTATGCCATCTTCTGCACATACAGCATTTATGACAAACTTGGGCTTGTGCTCTCATAAACCATACAACATGGTTCGCTTCTATCTAGGAAGTCAAAAAAACAATGATTTAGTGTTTCTTGTTTCGCATCTACTAAGCATTTTGAAACACCCCTTTTCTGTCAATCGTTTAGAAAATAGGGGAAAATTCACCAAACCGCATCCTTCCCCCTGGGCGATCGAAGCCATAATGATTCTTTGGGAACTTTTGCAGTGTAATCAGTATTTAAGACTGTTCGTTGCAGAAAGACTCGTGGTGAAACTCGTCCCCTATATCGCCTATCATATTTTTGCATTCTGCGACGTGCCACATTACAAAGTTCTTGTGAAGTTATGCGCATATTTCTTGCTCTATATATCTTCTCAAGAAACTTGGGTTCAAGCGTTGGTGCTACCCATGAGTGAAAATATGAATGAAGTTTTACCGTCAGAATTTCGTTTGACTGGAGGGCCACACTCTACAAGGGATTTCCTAATTGTACAGTTATGCCTGATCTTGTCATATGTCTTTTCTGGATTCGGATCAAACCCAAAGTCCGACACTGCAAACGAAATGAAACGCTTTTTGGTCCCGACATTTCTGGAAGTGCTTTACAATATAGTACCCGTTGTAAACGACTCTATCGTCGGCACTGATGATACTTCGAAGCGCATGAACAATGTCAATTCCAAAGGTGGTTTATCGTATCAAGCGTGTTCTGCTCTCTTGCAACTCATGTCTACACTTTCATCTAAACAGGCTTTAGCCGAGAGTTACAGAAATGCCGAATTCCTTGCATTGATTCTCAGAGCATTGTGCTCTGCGGCAACTAAGAACCCTGTACCTTCAAGAATGTTGCTATTCTCCTTTGTCAAGAACGAAAAAATTTATGATTCGATATGGACGTCAATTTACAGTCTTGAGTCAGAAAATATCAATGGCGAGCCCTTACGTTTGATGAACGTCCAGGAAGACGATGAAGAGAACGAAGATTCACCGGTAAATTTTCAGGAGAGAGGAAATGACTCGCTCCAAATGAATATGCATGCTCAACGAGAATTACCAAAATCTTTGCTAAAATCCCCCGATGAATATTCTATCAGCTCGTTCACGAGCACTGAAGAAATTGCTTCTCCATTGTACCAGTCTTTCAACAGTTCTACCGCCAGTATTGGTCCTGAAGAACGAGACGAAAGTTTCACGGAAGAAAAGGAATTGGAGAACGCTTTAAGACCAAAACCACCAGCTGGTATGTCGCAAAAAGCAAAAGAGAAATTACCGCAAGATACGCCATTATCAAAAGCATGGGGTGGCAAAAATGCATTGAGTGTTATCATTACCGTTTTGATCCCCGAGATTAAAGCCAAATTGAAGGACTTATGGATCAAGAGGGATGAATGCAATTACGACAACTACTTCATTGTTCAACAAATTGAACATGCTGATGTGGACAAAACCATCATGGAGAACAAGAAAGAACTCATTTACGATCTTATGCCTGATACTCCCGTCGATCGGCTTGTTTTCTCCTGGAATTATTTGTCTCTAGGGTGGTACATTTCCGTTTTGTACTGGGACATTTACAATACTCAAGAAAACATTAAAGCACATGTTGGTAGTAACACCAGCCTCATGAATAGTATATCATCATCAATCGCTGTTTTCAGCAAGTTTGCATCTTCTTGGTCCGGGCTTGGATCAAGACACCTGGACAATACAAGTGAACTCGGCTTTATTACCGACCACGTTGACCGAGCATTGACCACGCATAATGTGTGGAGCCACACAAATGTGAGGCTCTTTAAAATCAATTTGAACGATGGCGACAAATTCTTCAACGCGTTGGGCTTGAAGTTTGGACAGTCAGCCCTGAGCAATAATAACGTTAACGATATTACTCACTCTCTTGCTCGGAGATTCAGTGACTTCAGGATGAATAGCCGGTCCAGTGTGATTTCTCAAAGCTCATTTCATCTGGCGCTTGATGAACTGCAAGAGAGGCCCCGACTTTCCAACAGAAATTCTGTGAGTTCGCTTCATTCGCTCAATACTCTCAATAGGTCTCGTTCAAACACTCCTCGAAACTCAGTGAGTTTTTCATAAAAAAATTATTACCATCTTTTTTCTTATTACCTAAATTTTATTCTTCCTTCTTAATCTATAAATACACTTACCTTCTACGCCCTTTTCTTTGGACGAGTTCAAAGCCATCATCATCGATAACTGGCCCATTATCAACATCCATAGAATCTTCTTCTACTAGTTGTGGGGCGCTTTCTTCTTCTTCCTCGTCATCATCATCGGAGACATCGGGGTTATTTGGGTCAGCGCTGATTTCGACCTTCTGAGCACGGGCACGCAGAGCTTGTTTTTGCTGGTAGTTCGCGTACAACTCATCCACTCTGGCATAGTTTTTAAGAGCGCAATCTCTGTAAAGTTTCAAGATCAAGTCACCAATGATAAGAGCAGAATCGTTATCAATTTCGGTGTCAAATTCATCCACCATAGCGTACAACAATGTTTCTTCAATTAACATGATATCCACAGCCTTCTCATCGAACAAGTCAATAATAACCCCTGAAAGCCAGTCTCTTTTGTCAGCTGAAGTTGGTCCTCCCCACGAATTCTCAACTGCTGTGGTCAATTCTTCCCATTTATAAATGGCCATGCATACACCTAGCTCAAACTTGGCTTGTTGCTTTGGGTCTTCAAACTTCAAAGAAGTGCTATCATCTTCCACCTGAACGAAATCTGTAGGATCGATAGAAGCCATTTCTAAGCTATGTGGTTATCTTTCGATGATCATCGAGGCAAGAAAAAAAGATACGAAGATCTGTTGGCACACCCGTGCACCACATCATAACATAGCTGCTACTTCTGCATTTCTTTTGAGAATTGATTCAACTTCTTCACCAGACACGTTTAGATGAATTAGTCTGTATCTCTCGCTTCTAATGTTCTGTTGGACTAGAATCCCCTGTTCCACCAATTCATTGATAATTTCTGCCATCTTAAACACGCGAATGTTTAACGACTGGGGACTATCATGCAACACGCCATGGCTGTAGAGTAAATCAATGTAAGAAGCAGAGGACGAAATCTCGTTCAAAGCTGAGGAACTTTCCTTTGCTGTGAGCAAACGGAGAGTATTTCTCATCTCGTCGCATATATCACCAAATGTGTTTTCCGCCAAGCCTGTGCGCCTTGTTCTTAAAAGAACACTAACCAACGCAAGCTTTGACGCAAAAGATAGAGAGTTGACCAAATTAGCCAATGGTGTATTTGTAGTTTCGTTGATGGCTTTTGAGATATGGCTGATTTGGATGGAATATTCTTGATCACTTTCAGGAAGTTTTTCAGTGTCTTTAGCAGTAGCCAAGTACTCCGATTCCGCAATTTCGACAGCTCGGCGACAAATTGTCAATGCTCTTCTTGCATCTCCGCTGACACTAGCAACTTTTCTCGAGGCAAATCCCACTGCATCTGGGCTTACTGTCACTCTTCTTTTATTCTTCTCGGCAAGCATTTCCAATCTCTGTTTGATTATCTGCCCTAGTTGTTCGTAAGTATAACCAACAAACTGGATTCGCCGAAGACCTAACCGCGATGATATTTTGTTGGAGAGCAAACGCTCGGGTAAATCCATCGTATTTGCAACAGCAATAATGATAAGTTTTGCATTGGCATATGTGGGCCAATTGAAAAAGTTGTACATGACATTCTGATTCTTCGTTACAATCTGGTCAAGTTCATCCATCAATACAATCAATGGTTTCCTGTCTGGATCAGGAACATCTCTGCTGAAGTATTCTTCTAAAAGTAGGGCTGCATTGGAGGGTGTTACTTTTATACCACTTAAATACTCCCAAAACTTCTCATATGCGGAATTCGGGGTAAGAAGCTTGAGACAGTTAATTTCCAAGAAGTCGAACTCGCGTAGCCCATCATAAGATACTATCTCCTTCAAGCTCGCAATAACCTCTTTGATTGTAGCAGTTTTTCCTGTTCCGGGTGTTCCACTAACGTATACACTGCATCCAGTTTCTTCTCTGACTGCTGTCTCCAAAGTTAAAAGTAAAGAAGTAAATTCATCTTCTCGGCATGGCAAAGAATCAATTCGGGTGGAAGTGTGTAATTTTTCTTTCAACTGCTTAAACGCTTCAGAAGATGTATCTATCATCAGGTGCTTGCTTGCATCGGATTTGTCAACTGCACGGGACAAAGATGGCAAGCTCGAGATGGTGGAGCCGGATTTCACTTTAAATCCCTTCTTAAGAGGCGAAAGTACAGATTGTAAACGCTTTACTGCTTCATTGTCTCTTTTTGATCTTTTGCGAGGGGAGGGCGTAGTAGTCGCTGATTTTGAGGATCTTTTTCTAGGTGTTTTTTGCTTCACTGCTTCTTCCGGCTCCTCTATTTCGTCGTCCATTTCATTTTCTTCTTCGTTGAGTTTCTCCTCAGTCTCAGTCTCAGTTTCCAGAACTTCACTTTCTGATGTGTCGCTGTCAAACATTTTACTGTATCTCCCTCTCAGTGGGGACAGAACTTGTTCTAACTGCAGTTTTAAAGATCGAGTCTTGCGGTTCGCTTTTGTAGGGGAAACAATCACCAGAGTCATCTCTGCTATATAGTTAAGTGCATGGTTAAAGTTCTTCTTTACCAAAGCTTGCCAGTCTTTAAAATCAAATTCACTGCTGAATTTTTCCTTGAATCGATCGCATCCACGTCGACAGAGGAAAATGGTGGATGTTGATGTATCATCTGTAGCTATCTCAGAGTAATCTGACTTGTTCAACACCTGAATCTTCTCAACGAAATCTTTCAACTGAACAAACTCGAGTTCTGATGTGACAAAGACCTCGTTTGCAGGCTCCGCATTGCTATACTCTGGTGGAAGATCATCAGATCTAACATTTTTGATATGAACAAGTGGTACCACTTGTAAGTCGAGGAAATTCTTAACACCAATCTGGATATCCATGATTACAGCATAAAAAGAGTTGCCGCTTCTTTGCGTTCGAGAATGTCCGTTTATCAATACACAATTGCCAACTTCAAGATGCGTATCATCTGTTTCTCTATGTAATTTGACACTTGTGGATGCACCTCTAACGGCATTTCTGCGGCTTCTTCTGGATGGAGTTGATGGGTCACTTGGCTCATCATCATCTAAAACGATTTTCCAATCTTCGAGATCCTTTTGTCTTTTGGCCATCGAAGGTTATTGGTAGGAAAAGATATCAAGCGCGACTACGCGCTGATACCAACTTGAAAGTTAGGTCTTAGGTTAAGATACTTTAGCGGTACAAAAGCATCGACGAAATTTATACTAGCACATATGGGAGAGGAATAAGTTAGGCCAATGATATATGACTATAGATTCTTTATTTTGTTAAAAAAAAAAAAGGTGCTACACAAATATGATGTTAGTCTCTTGTAAAGATTATGACACATGCTATATATTGGTAAATGCAGATCGATAGATAGAGGTTACAAAACTTCAGTTATGAATTTGCAAGAGCTCCGTCCTGCTATCATTTATAGTTGCTTAGTGGGATCTTTGTAAATTAGTATGGGCTCGCCCACGTTAACAATTTCCTCGATGTTTAACTTCAAGTCGAACGCCTTAGATAAGATGATCTTAAAGATCTTCTGCACATTGATGGAGTGGCTTGTAGAGCAGAAAATCACAGGCGCTCGCATTGCCCTCCCAAACCGTTTGGCTTGCTGGGTAATTTCAAGTTGGTCTTGTGGTTGTAGATCGATAAACTCATCATACTTTGTGCCGACTAAAAAGGGAATGGCGGTTTTATTGAAACCCCGGACCTGCCTGTACCATTCCTTTATCGAGTTAAGGGTCGATTTTCGAGTAAGATCAAACATAAATAAGATGGCAACCGCGTCATTAGAAACCAAGGGAAGCATGTTGATAAACTCTTTCTGGCCACCCAAATCCCATATCAGGAAAGTTATATTTGTGCTTCGAATCTGGATTTTCTTGTCCATGAAATTGACGCCTAAGGTTTGGATATAGTCCTCGTCAAAGGACCCTTCCACATATTTAACCATCAACGATGTTTTCCCAATCTGGGAATCACCTATGAGCCCAATTTTGAGCGCAACTCTTTATGTTGTTAGTAAGCAGTCCTAAACAAGCATTGTTCGCTATAATTATACATACTGGTTGTTCTGTTGGTCTTGGTCCATATCTTCGTTCGTGTGTTTCATATTCCGTTTATGTTCTATAACACGCGGCTCGATCTAGTCATGTGACCACCTATCACATACCACGCTGAATCCACTTGGCCACAATAGATCAATGTTGTCCGACTCCACATAATACATGGAACGGATATCTATTTCTAGATCTAAGGAGATGATTACGTCGGTGATATCATGCGAGCTCTCCGTCTGCGACCGTTCTTTTGTATCGTTTTGACCAATTAAGTTCTGAGGACGGAAAATAGACTCAAGAAATCACAATTTTAGTTTTACTAGTAGCAAGGTTTAACGTGATATTCAAACCATCCCGGTACATAAAGTCAGTATGATGTTCATATCAGGGTGGATCTGAGAAGGTATAAAATGGTACTGCACATCTCCTTATTAGCCAATAATCTCCATAGAGACAATAAGAGGCACCAGATGGACTACTCGAAACAGCGACCACTTCACGTATGGCACAAGCCATGTATGTGGTATGTAAATTACCACAACAAATAGGTACTTTGTTCATCTTTAGTTTTATTAAGCGTTTGTGATGTGTGGGACGAGAGCCAGCATGTGTTTAGGGCTCGTGCCCTGGTCGCGTGATGTCGCATGTCGTGCGAACAACCGCCCTTATCTACAGGAGCAGGTCTTCCAATGGTCGCACCCGCGCTAGGAAAAAAATGAAAAAAAAGTTCAAAAAAATCTTCCATAGTAACTCTTCCTAGTACAGAACATCATGGCAGTTGGTAAGAACAAGAGATTGTCCAAGGGTAAGAAAGGTTTGAAGAAGAAGGCCGTCGACCCATTCGCCAGAAAGGAATGGTTTGACATCAAGGCTCCTTCTACCTTTGAGAACAGAAACGTCGGTAAGACCTTGATCAACAAGTCTACCGGTTTGAAGAACGCTGCTGATGGTTTGAAGGGCCGTGTCTTCGAAGTTTGCTTGGCTGACTTGCAAGGTTCTGAGGACCACTCTTACAGAAAGGTCAAGTTGAGAGTTGACGAAGTTCAAGGTAAGAACTTGTTGACCAACTTCCACGGTTTGGACTTCACTTCTGACAAGTTGAGATCTTTGGTCAGAAAGTGGCAATCTTTGGTTGAAGCCAACGTTACCGTCAAGACTGCTGACGACTACGTTTTGAGAGTCTTCGCCATTGCTTTCACCAAGAGACAAGCCAACCAGGTCAAGAAGACCACTTACGCTCAATCTTCCAAGTTGAGAGAAGTGAGAAAGAAGATGATTGAGATCATGCAAAGAGAAGTTTCTAACGTCACTTTGGCTCAGTTGACCTCCAAGTTGATTCCAGAGGTTATTGGCCGTGAAATCGAAAAGTCCACCCAATCCATCTTGCCATTGCAAAACATCCACATCAGAAAGGTTAAGTTGTTGAAGCAACCAAAGTTCGACTTGGGTTCTTTGTTGGCCTTGCACGGTGAGGGTTCTACCGAAGAAAAGGGTAAGAAGGTCTCTTCTGGTTTCAAGGACGTTGTCTTGGAAACTGTCTAAGCTCTCCATCCCATCTGAGCGAAAGCTCGTCTTTTGTTAAATATTAATAAGACACATACATCGATAGGTTATTTGTAAGCTGTCCGTTAGTCTTTTGGTGTCGTGCGTTGCGTTGCCTACTTTTCATTCGATGTTAGTAAAGAGGGAGCCTTGACATTTGAAGGTGGGAAACGTTGACTCGCCAATAAGTACAAATATTTAGAGGTAAACGATTCCAACTTTCTGTTCAACATTTCGTTTCCCCTTGCTTTTGGACTCTTGAATTATTAAAGTACGCATATATCAAGCCACTGTTCATAATCTGAGGAAGGAAATATGGTTTCCCAATGATACATAAATACCGCGATACGTCAAATACGCCCTTTCGCAGGTGAAGCTTGTCTCAAAGTGATGAGTATATTCGCAACTGAGAGATAGATTTTTTTTTTTGCTTTTTCAACAGACAACGAGTTTTCCAATAATGTATATGGTACAATATGTGTGATAAATAGTCAAAGTTAAAGGACAAACTGCACTATCTGCATCTTTTTGATAGGACTTGGTCAACGTGTTAGTAATTGGTGAGCGAATGAACCCTCTTGAAGATTCAAAGGGGGATCTTTTACGGTTTGAGGGGGTTACCAGGCAGAGGAGAAAGGTTTTTCTTTTTCTGTGTTATGACAGTCCCCGTTGGTACTTTTCGTTTCTTGCGTTGAAAGACAAGCTCTGACTCTTCCTATCTGGCCTGCAGAATGCTACAAGAAAAAATAAAATAATGTTCCGAAATTCTCTCCGATCCTCCTGGAGGAAATGAACATTTCAAAAGATAGGCCAGAGATTGCTGGTGCAAAATCTCTTGCCCTGATTTGAAGCGATGTGCAGATCTTCTATGAATATGCTAATGTGGGGATAGAGGCAAGGCTAGCATACGTAGTATTATGAGCCTTGGCGAGGTGCGAGCTTTCACATCATTAGCATGCGAAAATGCAAGCATATGCCAGCACCTAAGTTTCGCTCCAGCATTGTTCTTGGCTCGCTGTTACGAAACTTTATTACTTCTTTTCTTGTATCTATTGCTTCAGCGCCTTTGACTTGCTTCTCTCCGAACTGTCTGTAAGCACGGAAGCAAGCACGGCCTGCAGGTGAGCGTTCGCAATTGTTTCCTTCGGCAGTCAAGATTGTCGCTGGGAAAGACGTGCAGTTAAGAATGTTGATTGCTTGTGTAGATTGCTACGCCATCTGAAGATATTTCGTTGGTTTTTTGACGAGATATTGAGTCATGTTCTATGGAGAAGGCCATGACATTGTAGTTTCTACATGCTGAGAATGGCGACGTTGTTTTGTATATCGCAAACCTGCCGCATGATTAGGCGCAGAAGGTTCTCACCGAAGAAATTGCGCCCTCTCCCCCCGAAAAATGGCGTAAAACCGGCGCGCTTCTATACAGATCTTGAGCGACGCTCGTTTTATTCCACCCACTTCACTGTATACATTATACACCACGCTGCCCCTTTCTCGACTGTATTTTTTTTCCCTTCCCCCTTTGTATCGTTACCAATCAGCCCAATTTGGTGATGTCAGGTGTATGTATCTTTCCTTTCAAGATCTTCAAGGCCCATATGCGTGACCTTCTCTCCCCAGGTTGATTTCCAGCTTTCTTCCACCGTACTAACGATTTGCAGGCAGATTCAAAGAAAACAAAGGAGAATGGTTCCATGAGCAAGGAAGAGGTGGAGAAGCAGACGAAGAAGAAAACTGCTACTCAAGCTGCCGTCAAGAACCCTGCTGATGGTTCCAATAAACAATCCAGACACAAGGTCCCCGAAGAGAAAATGAAGTCTGAGCCATATACCAAGCCTGGCTTCAATTGGCGTCAAATTGGCCTGTGGGATAACATCAATAAAGATGATGCTCATAAAGTGTTGAAAGCATCCAAGAACATTGAGGAGTATGTCATGGATCACTTCTATGGTGATTGGTACCACAACTCTGTGATTCCCATTGGAGTGTGTTTCTTTTCTTGGGCTTTTGCCAGAATCGGTTTTAGCTTTTTGTGGTTATTTGTGGTTCTTTTGGGTGCAAGCTCTGTCTATTATGCAGAGTTTAGAAGATTCAATAGAGATGTACGTGACGATATGAGAAGAGCTAAAGCAGCTAGACGTTTGGAGGAAGAATCTGAAACTATGGAATGGCTCAATTCGTTCTTGGCTAAGTTCTGGGTCATTTATATGCCCAACTTATCGGAAATGGTCATGTACCAGGCCAATCAGGTCTTGAATGATGCTGCTCCTGGTTATGGTATTGACAATTTGTCGTTGGACGAGTTCACTTTGGGTACTAAAGCCCCTCGAGTGGATTCCATCAAGTCGTATACGCAGAAGGGTAAGGACCACATTGAAATGGACTGGGCCTTTTCTTTCACCCCCAATGACACTGACGATATGACCAAGAATGAGATTAAGAAGAAGGTTAATCCTAAGGTGGCCTTGGGTGTCACAGTGGGAAAGGCTTTCATCCTGAAGACTTTGCCAATCTTAGTTGAGGACATGTCTTTCACTGGTAAAATGAATATTAAATTGAAGTTGAACGATAACTTTCCCCACGTCAAAACAGTTTCTATCCAGTTCCTCGAACCTCCAGTCATCGATTACGCTTTAAAACCTGTCGGTGGTGATACATTTGGTATTGATATCATGTCGTTCATTCCTGGCTTATCCACGTTTGTCAACACTCTTATCCATGCCACTTTGCGGCCTATGATGTATGCTCCAAACTCTCTTGATATTGATGTCGAGGAGATTATGGCCCAACAATCCAACGATTCTATTGGGCTTTTGAGTGTACACATCAAGAGAATCATCGACTTGAAGAGTACTACCGACATCAAGGACAATGTGTTTCACCCATATGTGCAATTGGGCCTCAGTAACAATCCTAAGGTTATTGAAAAGACCAAGGTCAAGAAAGATACGACTCAACCAGTATATTTGGAGACCAAGAACTTATTGGTGAGTGCATTGGATGGAAACCATTTACTTCTTAATGTCTTTCACATGGTTCCCGACCAGAAGGACGATATCAACCTTGGGCTTTTGGAAGTACCTTTAGCTGATTTGTTACAGACTGAAGTCCAGACAGGTATGGTTAAGAATATTCTCGAGTCAGGCAAAGTTGTGGGTAAAATTGAGTACGACCTCAAGTGGTCACCTGCTTTGAAACCTGTGACTTTGGAAGATGGAACAAGAGAAGAGTACAGTGATGTGCAGACTGGTATTATGAAGCTTTTGGTTTCTGGTGCTACTAACTTGGATATCTCCCACTCGGTCACTGGTGTTTTGAACCCTTATGCCGAAATTTATATCAACAACAAGTTTGTAAAGAGATCAAGAAATTTGAGAGAGACCAATGAACCAGACTTTGGTGTTTCTTTTGAGTCGTTCATCACTCAGCAATCTGAAACTCAAATTCAGGTTTTGGTTAAAGATGCTGCCGAAGACCTCGTTGTGGGGAAGTTGGACACCAACTTACAAGATTTGATCTTCGAGACTTCGCGGGGACAACAATGGTTGTCTGCGCCTTCTGTTGCTGAAGGCGGTGAGCCTGCCAAATTTAAGATTGGTGCTAAATGGAAGGCTATTAATGTGGACGATGAAGAGGTGGAGATTCAAAAGAATGCGTCTATTGGTGGTTTGAGATTGCATTTATTGCGTGCTTCAGGATTGAAGAATCTCGAAGCCGTAGGAGATGTGGACCCATACGTCAAGGTTATTCAAGACGGCAAATTGAAGGGCAAAACACCTACAATTGCCAACACCTCGGACCCTGTGTTCAACAATGTCTTTTACGTTCCTGTGGCTAACGAGCACCAACACATTTTGATGGACATTTTTGATGCCGAACCAGAAGGAAAGGACAGACCGTTGGGCTCTTGTGCTGTGGCTGTAAAGGACTTCTTGAAGAAGAACTCTAAAGGTTATTACCTTGGTTATGATGGCAGCAAAGAAATTGTGGAACAACCGGTTTTGTATAATGGAGGAAACTGTGGTACTTTCTACTTTAGTGTCTCCTTTATTCCTACGATTCCTGTTTACACACATTTGCAATTGAGCAATTATGACCAGTACTTGGAACTCAAAAAGAAGAAGGAAGAAGAAGAGAAGAAGCAGGCAGAAGAGGAAGAGAAGTTGATGAAGGAGAACCCAACGCAATACGAGTGGATTGAGTTGGCTGAGGACAATATTGGAGATGCGCCTAAGGTTAAAATGACAGCAGAAGAAAGCGTCAAGTACAGATCTGGTAATGTTGTTGTACACCTCCTCAGTGGTTCTTTCAACAAGCCAGATGTGTATGTCCATGTTTTGTTTGATGACCAGGCATATCCATCGGTTGTGACTCCAAAATGTAGCAATAGATCATTGACTGCTCCTAATGTTGGTGAAGGTTTTGTGAGAGACTTGCCGAACTCGAAGGTAGTGTTCAGACTTTCGAAAAAAGCTGAAGTGATGGAGGAGAAGGAAGTTCTCGTTGAAAAGATCTTCAATACAATGGATCTTTTGAAGAGAGCCTACCAGAAACCCATAACCGTCCATGTTGATCAACGTAATACGTTGAGGGTTCAGATGGAGTTTGTTCCCTTCGCGAGCAACTTGGACCCATTGGACACGGTGTTGGATGTCGGTCACATTCGCTTGGACTTGTTGAATGGTGAAAAATTGAAATCTGTCGATTCTAATGGCAAGTCGGACCCATTGTGTGCGGTAAAATTAAACGGTATTGAGATTTACCGTACTGACAAGAAAAGAAAGACTTTGGATCCCCTTTGGAACGAGTCCGTGGAGTTCCCTATGTTGTCTCGTTCTAGAGACACTCTTATGTTAGAGGTTTACGATTGGGACTTGACCCATGATGATGAGTTGTTAGGACGTGTTGTTCTTGATCTTTCTCAGATTCCTCCAAACGAAACTACTAGTTTCCGTGCTGAGTTAGACACCCTGGGCTTTGTGAATCTCCGCGCTACGTATAGACCAGAGTTTATCAGACCAAAGTTGAACAAGAAGGGTGGCTTGCAAGTTGACCTTAACGGTGTTGCAGGTGTTCCTATGAAACTCGTTGGTGGTGCTGTCGGAGGTGCAACAGATTTGGCCAGTACTGCTGTCAGCTCCGGTGTGGGAGCAGTGGCGGACGGTTTCACCAAGGGAGGTTCTTTCCTCAAGAAGGGCCTTGGCAGAAAAAAGAGATCTGGAGAGAAGGATTCGGAAGCTGACAACAGTGTTATGTCGGACCAAGTATCCGAAACTTCGCATCAAACAGGCCAAACGAATAATACTTCCAAGAGAAGCAATGGCAAGTCGAAGAGCGACAAGTACGAGGAACCACCACCAATGGAGCCTTCAAACGACAATGATGATTCTATCGAAGCGCTTCCAAACATTGTACCTGAGTTGCTTCCTCCACCTCAGAAACCCACTGCTCAGCGTCACATGAGAAATGCTAGTGGCACCAGTGACTTGAGTTCTTTGAGCCTGGGCACAGGAGGGGCAGATGCTATACCAGGCAGGGTCAATATTGTCTCTGCTGAAGGTTTCAAAAGTTCTGCGTTGGAGGTGAAAGTCTCGCTCTCAACGCAACCTAAGGCTAAAGGCATCTACAAGACTAGAACTGCCAAGGCACAAGGAGGAAAGTTCGAGTGGAACGAGTCTCGTGTCTTCAAGGCATCGCCAGATTCCTCTTTAGTGGTCTTTGTTAGAGAACACCACGCTTTTGGAAGAAACGTTGTGGTGGGTACTGCTCAAATCCCGTTGCAAGACTACGTCGACAAGGATGAAATAATTACAGTTCCTGTTGAGGAGGGTCAAGTCACCATACACTTGAGGTATATGTCTGTTTTATGAGACTAAAAAATAATCCTTAGATAGTGATTGAACAATTTTGTATCTCTCTTGTAGACCGGATTGTGGGGTGTCCAACATTTCTGTAGCGCCATGAAATTAGGAATTCACTTGGATAATGATCAACCAAAGAACCGTGCTGAATACGCCTTCGCTCCAGCAAATTAGCCAACAAATCTAACACTAAGTATATAGATTTAACTAAAGTATCAAATTGCTAAAGTATAATGTATCGCCTACTGTTTACTCGATATCATAACTCCAGTATGAGTCTATAAAGTGAGCTCTTTGTCCAATTTGCAGTGCTAAGAAGGGTCAAAATTAGTTAATTAGAAGATACCTACAATGAGAGGATAGAGTAAGTAGCTAGCTAGAAATCCTCAGAAATGGAGATGAAAACTACATTCAATGGAACTTTAGGAATCTGACCACTATTCCAGCTACTCAAGCTATCAAGGTGGCACCAGTCTATAAGGTGATCGATTAGCAGGTTACGGACTGCATCTTGCACAGAGTCACAAACGCTAGTCTTACAGACCATAGAGCCAACACACGGTCCAGTATGTAATGTTGACCTGAACAATGCTTCTGCAAGCCTACTTCATCTTATGGTATCCTCATAACGTCACGACGGTGTTGGTGGGAGGCGTTTTGAAATCGAATATATATGATCACGTGCTTGTGGTGACTGCTTTTCCTTTGAAGCAGCGGTAACCCTACGCACACCCGCACCTCTCTTTCACGGTTGCATGCACTCCGTCCTGAAGAAAAAATTTTGAGAAATTTTGCGCATACACCCAGTGAAAAAATTCATAGACTCTTGTTTTACTTCTATCACCAAGAACAGATAAAATGAGCCCAACTGTATGTTGAACATGCCTACGAATCTCCGACGACTCGGGTCACGCTACCCCACTATGTGCTGCCATCAAGCTTCTTTTACCTTCACGGCGTTGCCTTTTGTGCCTTTTCCTATTCATGGTCCATAATGATACTTGCAAGACCCAGAAGCGTCGTACGAGTTTTCTTTTAATAATATCCTCGATACTAACATTATAGCAACCAAAGTGGTACCCAAGCGAAGACTCCTTCGTCGCCAAGAAGAGCAGAAAGACCAATCGCCCACACAAGTTGCGTGCCTCCATTGTTCCAGGTACCGTCTTGATCTTGTTGGCTGGTAGATTCAGAGGTAAGAGAGTTGTCTACTTGAAGCACTTGGAAGACAACACCTTGTTGGTCACCGGTCCATTCAAGGTTAACGGTGTTCCATTGAGAAGAGTGAACGCTCGTTACGTCATTGCCACCTCCACCAAGGTCGCTGTCGACTCTGTTGACGTTTCCAAGTACAACGTTGCTTACTTTGCCAGAGAGAAGACTCCAAAGTCCAAGAAGTCCGAGGAGGACTTCTTCAAACGAAGAACAGCCAAAGAAGGAAATCAAGGCCGAGAGAGTCGCTGACCAAAAGACTGTCGACGCTGCTTTGTTGGCTGAAATCAAGAAGACCCCATTGTTGAAGCAATACTTGGCCTCCTCTTTCTCCTTGAAGAGCGGTGACAAGCCACACTTGTTGAAGTTCTAAGTGGCAAAAATCGGAAAATAATTCTGTCTGGTTTTGTCGTTTGGATCTTTTTAGTGTAATTCTCTTTATGTATATTTAATACACTCACGAAAACAATTGAATGTAAATCAAAAGCTCGTGCTTGTGTTTCTGCCCGACTATGGCTATTCCCACTTTTTCCATATTGCTTCTACACGTTTTGGTGTGCACAAAATTTTCTGCTCATCTCTCCTGCCTAGATAGCCATATATTTCTCTAGTATTTTTTCCCCTCTCCACTTCTTTTAACAACATGTCTTCTTTGCTTCCAATTAGCACATACAACTTGGCTCTTGAGCCTTTCAACCCTACTCCAGCTTTGGACGATGAGTTCCCTGTCACCGTCAGATTGACCATGGCAGCTGTGGACCCAGAAGCTGTCGATGACAAGGAAGAACCTTCCGTTATCAGAATCTTGAAGAGATCGAGAGCTTTCATTGATGACGATGAAGACGACTTGGAGGCGGAAGAGGCCGATGAGTTGGACTCCGACGAAGAAGAGGAAGAGGAGGAGGAAGAGGAAAAGCCAGCCAAGTCCAAGAAGTCTTCTAAGGCTAAGAAGGACGAAGATGACGAAGAAGATGATGAAGAAGAGGATGATGAGGAGGACAGCGACATTGAAGATGATGAGGAAATTGAGGAGTTCATCCTTTGTACTCTTTCCCCTAAAGTCCAGTTCCAACAGACTCTCGACTTCACCATTTCCCCATATGAAGAGGTGCACTTTGTTGTCACTGGATCTTACCCAGTGCACTTGAGTGGTAACTTTGTCGAACACCCAGGTGACGACGAAGATGACTACGACTCGGATGAGCTTGATGACGAGTACTATGAAGATGACGAAGACGAGTACAACTTGACTCCAGATGAAGATGAGCTCATGGACATTGAGGACTTGGAGGACGCCTCTGATGTCGAGGGTAAGATCACCGAGTTGGTTGAAGCCGACGAGGAGAAGTCGAAGAAGAGAGCTGCTGAGGAGGAAAACTCTCCTAAGGCCAAGAAAGCCAAGGAAGACAAGAAGAAAGTCCAATTCTCCAAAGAATTAGAACAAGGTCCTACACCTTCCAAGAAGGAAAAGAAGGACAAGAAGGAAAAGAAGGAGAAGAAGGAGAAGAAGGAGAAGAAGGAAGAAAAGGTTGAAGAGAAGAAGGAGGACAAGAAGGAGGAAAAGGCTGACAAGGCCAAGAAGTTCCCTACTAAGACTTTGTTGGGCGGTGTCATCACCGAAGACAGAAAAATTGGAAGCGGCCAGGGCGCAAAATCTGGTAACAAGGTTGGTATCAGATACATTGGTAAGTTGAAGAACGGAAAGGTATTCGACAAGAACACCTCCGGCAAGCCATTTGTCTTCAACTTGGGTAAGGGTGAATGTATCAAGGGTTTCGACTTGGGTGTTGCTGGTATGGCTGTTGGAGGCGAGAGAAGAGTCATCATTCCACCTAAGATGGGTTACGGCTCTCAAGCTTTGCCTGGCATTCCAGCCAACTCCGAATTGACTTTCGACATTAAGTTGGTTTCCCTCAAATAAGTAAGAAGCTACGGCTGTAGCAATAAATGACGTTTGCAATGACGCATGAGCGATAATCGTCTATTGTGTAATCTATTTGTAGGAGAGAAATGCATATGACAAGGCGGAGCCAAGCGTACAGCCGACAGCTACAAATACAGCAGTGAATGTCCAAAACTCAGTTTTGTCCATCATATACGTCCCCACCTGCGGATTTTGTAAAGCACTCGCCGTAGCACGAAACCAACGTTTTGCATCCAGCCATGTCCGGATACTTGAGAAATTTAACTGGAAGAAATCGGCTTTTTCGAGCAATGGAGGTGTTTCTACCGATGTTCTTTCATCCTTTGCTTCTGTGGCCGCAGCGATTTGTCCAGAAAGATTTTTAATATCTTCCGAAAAAGCATCTACCTTAACTTGCATCTCTTTTTGGAAAGCATCCACCAAGCGCCGCCTTTTCCAGGGTTCTACGAAAAAGGCGGCTACTATGAAAAGAAGCACGTTGACTCCGGTAAGTAGCCAAGTGCCCCAGGTCAGAACCTGTCTTATTTTGTCACTCCACATCTGCTCTTCGTGGTATCGAGTCAAGATCAGCTGTGTAAGGAGGTTTTGCACGGTGTCCACGTTCTGCTCGGCAGCCTCAAGCTTCCTTTCAGCTTGCTCTTCTTGTTGCTGATTGATATGATCGTTCTTGTACAACTCTGTAAACCGCTCCACGTCTCCAGAACTCCAATTGTGTTTGCGAGTCAACAACTCATTGATCTCTTTTTGCATATCTGACCGGTTCTGGATTGCTTCTGTATACTCTAATTTTGCCGCCTTGAGGTTCTTTTTCGCCTGGCGTAATTCCTCTTCAAAATCAATCACTAGGGTTTTGAGTTTTTCAATCGCTGAGTAGCCTGTTAAGTCGTTTAGTGCTTTCGAAACTACTGATAGCGTCCCGCGTAATTCTCCAAGACGTGCTTGCAATGCTTGGGCCATTGCGTTCACTTGTTTCTTTCCCTCGTTAGCATCATTGGTCGAAATACTGTTCGAGGAAAGGTTGCTCTCAAGCTTATCGGTGGAAGGAGGCATCTTGTAGGTGCTTTTCTTTGACTCCTCAATAGGAGCAGGCGTGTGCCCCGTCTTTGTTTTATTCTCTTGTTCTCGCCTCGCTATCCCAACTTTGGACGTCTCTATAATCTGCCGTAGCTTTTCATCGCTGAAGTTTGTTGTCGACGAATGTCTCACTGCGAATATACTTTGATGCGGTTTAGGAAGTGGTATACATTTTGCAGTGGCCCAGAATCGGCCATACATGAACATACTTGACGTAGCCTAAAACAACAAAGGTTGGTGATGATGGAATCGGGCCGAGTCGCACTAATCTGGGGAAGTCTGCAGTGCGAGAAATGAAAAGGGCATTGGAGGTCCAATAGACCGGCGTCCAAATTGTAAAAGTGGTTATCGAGATACTAATAACTTGATCGATCTGCTGGACGAAATTGTGTTTGACATTTTCGCAGTCTAGCAACATTCCAGTATTTAGTTTGGCACTAATCGAATCAATTGAGTCTACTATATCGTCTAAACTAATTGACTTCAAAAGTTCTTGTCCACCAACTCACGAGTAAGCTTCCAGTCGTCAGCCTCCACATAGTCCAAGACAATAATTCCACTTCCTTTGTGGAAGCTGTCTTGCAAATTATGCTCGGCCATCGCTTTAGCCACTTGTTGGGGCCAGCACTTGTGGTCGAAAAAGTTGGATCCCGAGGTGAAGTTCACAAACAACTTGTTATCGTTGTTTGTGGAATTGTGCTGGGATGCCTTTTCAGACAATTTCTTAACGTAATCCACCTTTTTGGGAATGTCCTCTTCTGTCTGGATCTCGCAAAAGTCTTGAACGCAGAAAGTGCCTCTATCGTCTTCAATGGTGTTATATTTCCATGAAGCAGCGTCAAAGCCAAACTCGTTCCTTCTGTCGTCATTACGCACTCCAAATCTTCTAAACAAGATAATCTTGCCTCTGGCGTCACCCAAACGAGGCAAAGATGTGCCCAAATACCACTTGTCCTTCTTTGGGTTGACGTACTTGTCCCAAATGACATTGGCAAACTCATCTGCGTCGTTATTCCACTCGCCTGTGCCCTCCTGTTTTATCGACACAATTACAGTCTCAGAAGGGTTAGCGTCAAGAAAATCATAAACCTCGTCCAAAGCGCTCGACAACTTCTTGGGGAAGGGAATCTTCACAGGAAACTTCCCATGCACCACAGTCAAGTCGTTGGCTTCATCACCAGACTTCAATGGGAATTTTCCGGCTCTGATGTCCAAGAAGCGAACGCCATGTTCCAATTGGTCAGTCACGCTTTCACCCTGGCATTGCACAGAGGGCAAAGCAGTATGGCACGCAAATGCATTATGTGTGCCAGGAATTGAAAGAGACGCGATCAGGGTGTTGTCGTCGAGTTCTTTGAGCCACGTTTTGTAGTCAACCATTGTATATTTTGGGGGAAGTGATTTACGGAGGAAATGCCCAAATATATATTCTCCGCGTTCACTACATGATGCAGGGGACGCATCTATATGTACTACTGCCGTAACGTGCGTACGGTTGCCTATTCTCCCTCAACAGTACTTCCATACAAATACCGGAAGTTTTATGTACATGAGGGTCCAAAAAAGTCTCACCATTCATCTCTTGTCATGTATTTGACGTTGTCTTATTTTCCTTTTCCACTGTTGTGGACGATATGCGGTTGGTGTTGTGCACAAAGAATTATTGTGGTGACGCGCGATTCGTTCCATCAACACAGGGAATCTGCACAGAATCACGGAAGTTCATCTTTGTTCCAAATGTCGGCATAATTGAGTTTGCCCTTTGTTTCTGGCACCCACCATACAATGGCGAACAAGTAAAAGATTCCAATAACAGTAAACAAAAGAAACGTGTATCCTCCCAAATACGACCGTAATAATGGGAACATGCATGCAATGGCAATATTGGCCAACCAATTGAGCATGGTGCCAAAAGACTGTGACTTACTTATAGTCTCGTGGTTGCAGAACTCCGAGACCATCAAGAATGGAATTTGGCACAAACCAATGGAAAAGCCTATAATGAATCCAAAACAGGCCACTGCAGCCAAGATATCAAGTCCATTCACAATACCTCCAGCAATGAGAACAGAGCAGAATGCCATGGTCGAAACAGACAAGAGAAGCAAACTTTTTCGGTTCCACCTATCAATAAATGGAGAGATTGCCAACGCCAGTACCACATTGCACAAGGCCAAAGAACAAGTAAGAAGAAGTACATTAGTTCCATTTGGCACAATGTTGGAAAGAACAGACACGCCATAGAACGTAATGGCGTTCATGCCGCATAGCTGCTGTGCTGTCATGATTATCGCTGTAGCAATAATTTCTCTTCTATAGCGGCGAGACGTGAAATACTCTTGGAGTGACAAAGTACTTGGGTCTATTGAGCCTCTCCGTGACATTGCAGTACTCAAAGGGTAAAAGCCATCTTCTGGCTGGCTATCCTCATCTCCCACATTTGTTTGTGTTTCCTGATTGACTGGATCTTCCAACAATGACAGTGTTTCCTGTGCTTTTCCCGTTTGTGTAGTTGATAACCGACGCCAGTGGTGAATCTCATATTTAGTGGCACGTACGTTGGAGCGCAAAGATTGTAGAATGTCAGATGCCCTGGAAATCTCCCCTCGGTGCATAATGAGCCACTTGGGCGACTCGACAGTTGAAAATAAAAATACAAACTGAAAAAGTGCCATCAAAGTGCCAAAAACAAAAAGCATACGCCATTGTTGATCATTTCCCCATAATAAAGCAATGAGCTGGGCAAGTAATATACCAATAGCCACTCCAAATTGAAGTAATGAACCCATGAGGCCGCGGTGATTGAAAGGGCTGATCTCGCTTATGAAAACCGGCGAAACCACCATCGAGGCCCCAGCACCTAATCCGGATAGGAAACGACCAGCGTTCAAAGTTCCAAAGGAATTGGACAAGGCAAAGATGACTGACCCTCCAGCGTAAAGGCCCGCACACAAGATTTGCATATTTCTTCTCCCACATATGGACGCTACCGTATGCGATCCGGCTATTGTAGATGATAGGAGGCCACCCACAGTAAACATGGTGTTCATCCAAGCAATATCTTGCGAGTCTAACGAGATGCATTGGTCGAAGCCATGGCGGCCCCAAAAAGTATCCAGATAGGACGGGAACGGTCCAGGGATATGCATTTGGCATGAAAGGATTTGTTGCGGAGCATTGAGAACTGCAAGATGGTAGCCGAATTGCAAAGTCCCAAGACAACTGAGGGCAGTTGTCCACGCGAGATGTGGAGTGATTCGGTGGCTGGTATAGAGAGACTCGTGCATAGAAATCAAGCTGTCAAATATAGAATATTGTAGGATAGAACACACCAAGACTGATCTATAGTTTGTGTAGATGGGTCTATATATATGGTAGCCTGACCTTTGCTAAATAGCTTCTTCTCTAATAGGCAGTGGAAATGCGACCAAGAATCAGAGTTAAACCACTGGATATTTGGCTCTTATCGTGCTATATAAGGCACACTCGGCCATCTCCGAGACCAAACCGGCCAACCGGCCTGCCGGTAGCAAGGAAAACCAATCTCGAGAAGGAGAGGAAAAAATAGACGAGCAGCCATATACATGGTTAGCAGGTGATATTCAGCTAGCGAGTACAAAGAATTGAGAAACTGCAATGTCTCAAAGACAGAGAAGCTTCCATGGAGAAGGCTGAAAGTAGGCGATAAGATAAGGTCAAGGGCCCGCAGCAACAACATGGAGGAAAGGAAGCATGCGTGCACACAGAAACATGACGCAATCGAGCAACGCATTAGATGCGCAGGAAGAATATCCGTAGACAGGGGCAAGAGAAGCACAAGTAGCAAGAAATGAGCAACCGCCAGTAGACAGAGCAATGTGCAATAGAAAATACAAACGAGGGCAAGAAAACCCAAGCAATCGATGATCCAGAAGGACTTTGCGCAACAATACTCTTAGTTGAGGCACTAGTGAGCAAGATTCGTGCCCAATTGATCGTTCTTCTCATCTCTTTGGTGCAGAACCCGTACGCCATATGATGTAAAAGCCGGCACACGCACATTCCTTGGTTTGTCGAGCCATGTGGCTGTGGAAGAGCAAAAGCGTACAACAGGTTGTACGAAAGCTTACGTGTAGGTAACCATGCGTCGAGAGAGAAGTGTGCCAGTTTAGGCTTGTGCCCAAAACCAAGGGCAGCGAGTCTTTGTTTGCTGTGCAGGGTTGCTCGCTGTCCGAAACGGTTTCCGGCCCGTTTGCTCGGCACGCACAGAAAGGAGCAGAGCGCGCCCTGGCGGCCAGCAGGGTGCTTTGCCAAGATTAAAAATAAAGAAAAAACGGACCGCGCGGGATGACGGAAAAACCTCTCGACCTTATAGGGCTATCGTGAGGTGGAGGCATGGCCGCGGAACAGTAGGAAAACGTAGGTCTGGAATGGAGGCTATGACAGCTTTGGGCACACAACGGAAGGAACGGTCTGTGGCTCGATACGACGCACCTGCATCTTCATAATCTACGGCCGCAGGCGAAAATCTCTGACGTCGCTCCAACATCTTAAACGGCAGACTCCTTTCTTGGCGCCACTCTTCTTTAGCTCGTCCAATTCGCATTGCCGCCTTCTTCTTGTTGCGCAATCTTCCCCAGACTCGCCCTTCCCCCAACCACAAACAAACACCAGCCACTAGTGTTCGCCCAAGAGCACAAGAAGCAAGCAGCGAATAAACTCTCCCGGAACCTGAGCACTCTGGGCAACTAAAGAGCGCCTCCCGACCAAAACAGGCCTTAAAGCACACCTGAGCATCATATTCACAACGCTAAACACCACTGCAAACCACAGCTAGCACAACGAAGCTATCGCCCAATAGCCACAACCACTAGCCACATACGCTAACCGCCAGACAGTGTACCCCCATATCTTCAGTCAGTCACAAATGGTTTCGTTTCCTTTCAAGAAAAAGCGCACCCCTGGCGCAGCAGAGGCTGCCAATCCGCCCAGTTCCGGCCTCCGCGGCGCCGACGCATCCACTGCCGGCAACGTGGTGATTCCGCGCATCAATACGCTGATGACAGAGTCAACGTCTGGCTCAACCTCGGCCCCTGTGTCGCCCGTGAGTAAGCGCCTGGCGCTGGACTTGCCGCGCCCGCCGCCCAACTCTGCTGTCCGCCACTCGCGTGTCTTATCGCTGGCGCTGGTGGGTGCTGGCCTCGACGCCATTTTCTCCCCACTGCAGTCTTTGCGCCAACGCCAGCGCGACATCATCCACGACTTATCTCCCGAGTTGGTGCCTGTGGTCAATTTGATCACCGCCCAGCGCCTCCGTGAATACATGGCAGGTACCGTCACTGTCGTTGTGCCGGGCTCTGCCCAAGGCATCCGTGCAGATGCTCTGCTTGTGGGCACCGAGCTTCTGCTTACGCCGCCCGGCGGGCGCCCGCGCTACCTAAACGTGCAGGACTGCCTGATTATCCCCACTACGGCTCGCCAGGGCCAATGCGACTTGGTAATCTTGCAAGACTTTGAGAGCAAGCAGGCGACGCTTCGGTGCGATGACGATGCAGATGCCTTCATGTGGCTTGCGGCGTTACACTTGGCCAAGTATGAAACATCCGCTCTCAACGAAGCATTTACAGGCGTCATGTTGTCGCTCAAAGGTCCAGACTTGTCTGACGTTGACACGCTCTTGTCGCCTCGCAAGCGTTTCCCTCGCTTCGAGTGGTGCAACATGCGTTTGCCGCAGGTATCTTCTAAGTGGGTCAAGGTATACGTCGCTGTGACGCCTGGTGACTCGAAGAAAAAGGGCCGTGTCGAGGTCTACACTTCAGACAAGATGACCAAGCGCCTGTTGGTATTGTATGTTAATGATGCCGATGCACTTTACAACGTGTACCCAGAGGACTACAAAATGATTGACTTCAACCTGATCATGAAACTTGAAGGCGAGGTTTTTGTCAGTAAGCTGCATGAGCACTTGTTTCATCACCACGACTCTGGCCCAGACCTGCCCAAATCTTCCAAGGTCCGCACGCGGGTTGGTCTGCTGTCTTCACTCGCATCAATGACCCACAACCCTCCTCCGCCCTTGAGCACTCTTCCAAACAGGTCGCGAAGCAGTTCTGTTAACTCCACGTCCAGTTTCTTTGTGAATGCTCCATCGCCAGATCCAGAGGCATCTCCTTCGCTCACACCTCGCTCACCTCCATCTTCTGCCCATTTTTTCAAAAAGCAAACTGCCAATAACTTTGTCACTACCAACTACTTATATTTGATGCCTCTTCCGCATCCAGGTGTGAGTGCTATTGAAATCATGATCCGCAATTTTATCCATTGGGTGGACACATTTAAGCTCTACGGCCGGCCCGAACACCTCAGCAGTGACAAGACAGACCCAGAATCCATGCTTTTTGGCTTGCCACGCTTGCCCTGCTACGGTTACTTGTCAATGGATGATGCCTACAACGTTGTGGAAGCCAACTTCGATAGCGCGCGTTACAACTCGTGGGGGCTGCGTGAGTGGAAAAAATGCTTCAAAGATCTTATTCGTTGTAAGCAGATGGACTCGGAGTACCAAGGCGTGGGCCGCATTGGTGATCTCTTCAACTCTGTTGATGGGGACAGTACTGAAGAAAACAGCTTTGCTGAAGAGTATCCATCGCCTCGCATCACTCTCCCAAAGATGGCACCGCGTGTCGCTAGCCCCATTTCTCTGAAGCTTCGGTTCAGTAGCACACGCGACGACACCTTTGATACATTGGGTGCGTTATCTTTCAGCGACCCGGAGATTGGGCTTAACGACGGCCAGTACTTAGGTAAGCCACTCGACGATAAGAATAGCACCCTGCGTCCGCGCCTGATGGAATTGCCCCCACCACTGCAGATGGTCCGTGATGACACCATCCACTCGCTTGAACCCATTCCGGATATGCCTACTCCATTGGATGATCCCGCCGGCGTCAACTACTTTGGCTTTGTGGACGAGAAATTACGAGCAACGCCTGTGGACTCGTTCAGTGTGGGCTGATGATGATGCGCATACGAATGTGTCTGATAGGGAATGCTGGTCCTGGCCCCACGCATCACTCATGGATTATGTATCAGCATATTGTCGAAACATGCGCACATGCGCCATGCCGGCTCTTCAATGGCGCACCAAATAAGGTGCTGATAAATTTATATAGTCTGTTTTCTCAGATGTACAACTGGTTTGATATGCTGTAGTGTTTGCTAGTGGTTTGGCCACTGGGTCTGCAAATTTGTTCTCCTATGTACGTCAGCGCTGTTCATTTGTAAGCGCATAGCCTGTCTCATGTCGCGCCCCAATGTCGTTCGCATAGATGAAGCAAGGGGATTAAGCCGTTCATATCGCCGACCAATGTCGCACGTTTCCCATGTCGCAGCTTCCCAATGGGGGAATCTCGTCTCATGAGCAACGTCTCCCGTTTCTCATGCCCCACCTGCGCCCGAACAACGGACTTGGCGAGATCTCCTAAACGATCTGCTTTCCTGAACAGGCCCAAAGATAAATACTGCGAGGCGCGTCTGCCATACTCGTCCCAATTACGCGTTCTCGTTGGTTCGTGGTCATAAGACGCGCCGCGCGTGCTGCACCACGACGCGCTCGTTGTCCCATGGTAAAACGGACTGCAGGTAGTCCAATGAGCCAGCCATCGACGTTTTAGGGGCACCGTTTGATCTCGGTTCTATAGGTAATTTTTGGGGCCGGAAAAGAGATTAATGGGCTCCTGCCTACACATGGTGGTGGTGGGCTGAAAATTGGAACTTGAACAGGCCAATTGGTCGAGTTTCAGCGGCCCAGTACACAGATCAAGGCACGTGATGTTGCCCTCGGAGAAGTAAGTTGCTTCATCATTTCTGCACTACTCCTTTGTACACCACAGAAAAAAAAAAAAAACACATCTATACACATCTCTACGCCGTAACTCGGATTCCGACGCGTATCCTATATAAACTACTCTCATCTGCCCCGCTGCTCATCTTTTTTTTCTTCCTTCATCATTTGCATTTGTGAATAATCCATCCTTTCTCATCTTACCTAATGTCCATCGAACAAACCCCAACCAAAGGCTTGACCGGCAAAATCTCCAACTTAGAAATGTCTAAGGGATCATCATTGACCGACAAATTGGCCGCTGCCGCCGCTTCTAAAGATGAAAGCGCAGCCCTCGACTCCTTGGTGGGTAAAGGCTCTGTTCCCATGACCAAAGTGGAATCGGAAAAACTTGACAGCGAACTTGCTGCTGCTGTGGAAGAACACAAGCAGTTCTTGGCAAACCACAAGGTTCACCGCCACAAATTAAAGGCCCAGGAGAAGGATGAGCCTTTGTTGGTGGAGAACAAGCGCCGTTTTGTGTTGTTCCCAATCAAGTACAACGAGATTTGGCAAATGTACAAAAAAGCTGAAGCATCTTTCTGGACTGCGGAAGAAATTGACTTGTCGAAAGACATCAACGACTGGAAGAACAGAATGACTGACAATGAGAGATTCTTCATCTCCAGAGTGTTGGCTTTCTTTGCTGCTTCGGACGGAATTGTCAATGAGAACTTGGTGGAGAACTTTTCTGCTGAGGTCCAGATCCCAGAGGCCAAATGCTTCTACGGATTCCAGATCATGATGGAAAACATCCACTCGGAAACTTACTCTTTGTTGATCGACTCCTACATCAAAGACCCTAAAGAGGCTGACTTTTTGTTCAACGCTATCGAAAACATCCCTTGCATTAAGAAGAAGGCCGAGTGGGCCTTGAGATGGATCGCAGACGACGAGGCCTTGTTTGCCGAAAGATTGGTGGCCTTTGCTGCTGTCGAAGGTATTTTCTTCTCTGGCTCGTTTGCCTCTATCTTCTGGTTGAAGAAGAGGGGTTTGATGCCTGGTCTTACGTTCTCCAACGAATTGATTTGCAGAGACGAAGGTTTGCACACTGACTTTGCCTGCTTGTTGTTCTCTCACTTGAACAACAGACCAAACCCAGCTATCGTGGAGAAGATTATTACTGAGGCCGTCACTATTGAAAAAGAATACTTTACCGATGCCTTGCCAGCAAGCTTGTTGGGAATGAACTGTGACTTGATGTGCCAATACGTCGAGTTCGTTGCCGACAGATTGCTTGTGGCCTTGGGTAACAAGAAGGTTTACAATGTCACCAACCCATTCGACTTTATGGAGAACATTTCCTTGGCAGGAAAGACCAACTTTTTCGAGAAGAGAGTTTCGGACTACCAGAAGGCTGGTGTCATGGCACAGACCAACGATGCCAGCGCCTCCAAGAACGCCTTCTCCTTCGACGAAGACTTTTAGGTCTCGTGTCACGCTTGGTTACAAAACGCATTACGTTGTACGGTTATTTGGTTGCTTTTTTTTATCCTTTTTTAATCATGTTTTTATAGGTATCCTGCTGGGTCCCTGCGCATCTGGTATGGGCTCTGGCCATTCATTTCTAATTTGTCTAATACAAAAGTCTCAAAAAACGCTTAGTAGGGTATTATGGTGCAAGAGTTCCGTACATCCGGTTACTCCATCGCTCTTCACTTGCAGTACTGATGAGCCGCTTATAATCTTGCACCAAATGGGGAAAGGAAAAAATAAGCCTACGGAGGAAAGAGCCTCTAAATCTAGAACATCCAATGGACACAAATCCAAGCAGCACCATATTCGCCGCGGGAGACAAGAAGCGGGGTCTCAGACCAAACATGCCAGTGCAGATTTTCCGGTCAAGCTAGCCATGTGGGACTTCGACCACTGTGATCCGAAAAGGTGCTCAGGCAAAAAGCTAGAACGTCTTGGATACATCAAGAACTTGAGGGTGGGCCAAAAGTTCCAGGGTATTGTCGTGTCGCCCAATGGAACTGGGGTGGTTTGTCCTAACGACCGGGAAATTGTAGAGACTATGGGAGCTGCTGTGGTAGAGTGCTCGTGGGCCCGTCTCGACGAGATTCCGTTCAACAAAATCGGCGGCAAAAATGAAAGGTTGTTACCGTACTTAGTTGCAGCAAACACAGTCAATTATGGCCGGCCATGGAAGCTTAACTGTGTGGAAGCCCTTGCGGCATGTTTTGCGATTGTGGGACATTGGGAATGGGCCGAAACTCTTCTTGAGAACTTTTCGTGGGGCTTGACGTTCTTGGAAATCAACAAGGAACTTATAGAGGTGTACCAGCAGTGCACAGATTCAGAGTCTGTTACGGCAGCACAAGACGAGTGGATGGCTAAGTTGGAGGCCGAGGTTCAAGAGCGCAAGAAGCAAAGTGCAGCTGGCGATGTGTGGATGATGGGAAATGTTAACAGAAAGGGCGACTCGGCTGACGAGGACGATTCTGAAACCGAGCGTCTGGATGAAGAGAGCGAAGAAGTGGAGTACGACAATTTGGGAAATATCGTGAGAAGGGGCCCTGCCGATTTGGCAGAAAGCGAGGATGAATCTGACAGTGAAGAAGAACCTGAAAGCGAAGAGTACGAGTATGACAAGTTGGGCAATATCATTTCCAAATCCACGGGGCTCGAACAGGACATGAAGACCGTGCAACTTTGACAATATTTCTAATGTGACGGATGATCCTACTTACGAATCATCTGTCAAAGCACCTCATAATTATGGTACCGTTAGTCGGCGAATACGCTTGCTTCGGAAGGTTTTCTATAGAATTGGACTATTCTGGGAGCCAGAACATTAAGGATTTATGGATCGTGCTTTGTATGTGAAGCTTAGGACGCGCTCAAATGTTTCTGTTCATAGTGCTTTACCGATGAAAGCTTGATACTCAAAGTTGCAATCATACGAATACCACTTACATATACATCTACAAGTATCATTTTTAATATATTTTCGTTCTTATTTTCAACTCCTTCGGTTTTTGGGTTCGGTGTCTCACACATTAAAGATGCGCATGCTAGATACTGTATGTCTTCCGACAGTTCGATACTCTAACTTGGCGTTCATCTGTGCAAATGGCCAGCGAAAAACCAAAGCATCTTCCTTTGGTCTACAACCCGCTTCTCAATTGCATATTCAACAATCCACATCATCTGAAGTCGGCCCTCAAAGCCACAATCCGGGAACTTTGCCGTCTGCACAATGACTATGCCATTCTTGTTCCTCCAGCATACATACTCCAAGAGTGCTACGACCACCTGTCACAGAAACTAAGCGAAATATGCTTCACGTCTGAGGACTTTGTGAAGTCCCACATCATCAAGACTAGTGCGCCTTTATCTACGTCGTCTGCTCCAGTGACCAAAGTCCAGCTGGTTTTGTACAGCACCATGAACGGTAAGCAGGTTCTTATCAAAAACGGTATGGTCTTCACGGGCCGTGGTTCCAAGCGCAGCATGAAGCTTAGGATCCTTAATGTCAACTACTTTATTTCTTTCTGCGATTACTTCCCGAAGAGCAGTAAGTTCTTATTGATATACATTGAGGACCTGCTTTTTGGCCACAAGCCGATGGTTGAGGGGCCACCCGCAACTCCGGTTGATGAGCCGAAGATACTACCTTTGAAGAAGGAATCGGCAATAACTTTTGAAGAGCTTTTGCGTAACTTCCCTGTCCTCTCTCGAGCAATGTCTGATAAGTTCTACATTCTTTTCCATCATAATAACCGCCGGTTCCAGCGTCTTCGAACAAGACAGCGGATGTCGCTTCAAGAGATCAGAAATGAGTTCACAGCTTTAGTTGACGAAGCGTTCTCCATTATCCAAAACTGCGTCAATGCAGAGACCGTTGATGGAGAAAGAACGTACAATCTACTCAATTCCATTGTCACGCAACACAAGAACGTGGATCTCAACAGTCTAGTCCACGAGTATGTGGAGCTAAATATATATAACAAGGTGTGGCTGCAGCTCCTTTTCCAGTATCAGAACTATGAAGTGGATGATGGACTTTATGAAGATGATAAACCGGAGCTTATATTGACCCCAAATTTGTACAGAGATTTATCTTGCTTATCCCTCAACCACTTGGACATTCCAGTCGACGAACCTTGGAATTTGAATGTTCTATACAGAAGGGTCTCGGATGCAATTGAACAGTTTTCTCAATTGGCGAACTCCACAGTTGCTAACCAGAAACAAAAAGTCTTGCTTATCAAAAATGCGGTGAACATTTTAACCACTGGCTCTCCTGCTGGTGGCAACTCTTCCCCTGATCTTGTGGTTGATGCAGATACGCTCATTGGATTACTCATCATGGTTGTTGTGCATTCTAAAGTTCCAAATTTAGAAGCTCACCTATACTATATCAGACATTTTGGTGCCTCCAGTACATGCAAAAGTGACAACACGGCTAGTGCTGAAATTGAATCTGGCTATCTCAATTACATCTTGAGCAACATCGATGCCGTGATATATCATCTTTCAAGCTCAAACAAATTAGAATCCGGTAGTCATTTGAAGGAAATGATTTCATTCTCTGCTCAAAACTACGAACTTTGGTACTCCATCAGTATGCAGAAGATGGACACATTGCAAAGGGTCCTCGACCATACAGAAGACAATTACGGAAATACTGATCTCCCAACTAATCATTGCATAAGAAGCAAAAACATCCACGGTGAAAGCTTCTTTGTCTTTGCTATAAAAGCGAAAAGTCCTGGCATTTTTAGAATGTTACTAACACGAACAGCAGCGTGGATTCTGTTGGAAGATATTCTCTTCGATGTTAACACATCTACAGGTCAAAACTTACTCATGTTAGCTTTGCAAGAAGAAGTGCCTGAGATTGTAGAAGACATTTTGGATGTTCTCTTCGCAAACACTTCGAAGCGTGAATTGGAACTTTATTTGAACCTGAGAGACAATAATGGAAGAACAGTGGGGCATTATCTCTCGCATGACTTAGACGCTATGGATAGGGTGGGCCACCTCATCGACTGGGAATCTAAGGATGTAAGTGGTGTCACTCCATTGTTCAGTTTCTGTCGCTGTTATGACCATTCGCAGTATGAATTGCTCATCAAAAAGGCGTTCGAGTGTGTCTATAATCAGTCTTCTGGACCCTTCACCTTTGAAAATCATATTGACAAAAATGGGAACACTTTGCTCCATGTTCTTTCCAAAGGTATTCCTGAATCCCAATTACTTTCAAGAGCTTTGATTGACATCAATCAGGTGAACGATAAGCTCTTTTTCCCCACTGCAATTTACGTTAGGTTCAGCCGACTCGATAACTTGATTTGCTTACTCAAAGACAGTAGATTGTTTTTCGACTGGGAAGATTCGAAGAATTTTTACAATATTTTGGACTACTGCAGTTTCTCTGCTAGCAAAGCTGCAAATGAAACAAATCAAGCATTCAAAAGCATTCAAAAGGTCGTTGTTGAGGAATACTTCAAACACAACTTCCCTCTTCGTAACAACATAGACCTAGGCGTGCTAAACTGCCGGTATGACAAAAGCAACGACGACTGGATCGTTAATGTTGCACTTCATACAAAAAAAAAATCTGATCTGGGAAAACTGCATTACTCTACAAAATATGTCACGATGGATTGCTTAAGACAGTTTGTACAGATTCAAAAGTTTTCGAATCCTTTGGGATTTGATATTAGTCCCGACGAGTTTTGGGTCAATTTTCCACCCGGGAAACAGGTGATACCATTTTGCTCCAAGTTTAGAGCGAATCGGGTATTGGAACATCTAAGCACTTACTTTCTGAGTATGAACTTTGTTTCAGATGCTTCGAAAACCACATTCTTGCGCAATTTCTCGCGGTGTTGCCAGAGCGATTCCACTCTGGTTTTAGATTTGATGAAGGAAGTTTCGCTGAGACAGGAGGCCGAAAGGCTTGCATTAGGAAAAGTGCAACTTTCCGTGCAAAACATACAGGAGATTGAGTACTTTGTGGCGTTTTCTCGGGAAGATCTAGTCAAGTTTCAAAAGAGTATAGCAAAACTTAACAAGCTTGTGAGTATTGGTGGAGTGAAACAGGGTGATGTTCGTTTTGTGATAGACCGTTTCCTCCAGTCTCTTTTCTTTGTTCAGCAGAGGCAGTTGCAGGCTGAAACGGAAGGAAGGCGACTTGATTCAACGTACTATGCCTTCCAATCGTACATTCAGAGATTAGAGAGTGGAGTACGCGAACTCCTTGCTAGCTGTGACAAGGTGAGTCAAAAACTCGACCAATGGAAGCAAATGTATCACAAAATTGTGGATATCAATGTCGAATTAAGGCGGTTTGAAGACCAGATAGTGACCCACCCTCTGGGGGACGGTGATGTTGACGAACATCAAACCATTAGCAGAAGGAACACCTTGTCCGTGGAAGACCTCCCACTGCAAGTGGAGGAAACATCATCGCCTTTTTTCAACTTTGGTTTCATCGAAACTAAAAACTCCCGCTACAAGAAATTGCTCTACTCAAAGTCACAAAGTGTCCAAGAATTGATGGATCTCAATGTGAGGATCAAGCTAGATCACGAGGCGATAGCTGCAGCGATTTCGCAGTTTCTCACCTTCAGGTCTGGTTTAATGACTTTTGCCATCAAACAGTTTACAAGAACAAACTTGAGAGTCTTGCGCCACCGCCACTACGAATTGAGCAAAACTCTTGCTGACCTCCACAGTAAGAAAGCTTCGCCCTGGAATTTCATACAATCGTAAAGGTTGAGCTCCAGGGAAGCTTCTCGAACATCCGTGCCTCCCAAATCTACGCCCGCCTGTGCCTCTCCCAATATTGATTTCATTAGAATTCGGGATTTGCCCTGCAAGTTTTCATTTTCCACCTTTCAATGTCAATCACCAACCAGGACTTGGCTTTAGCCATCATCAAGTTTTTGGAAACAAGCGTTTCCGACAAAACTGTCAACGAAGAATTTGCCGAATCTATTGACGTGGCCATTGACTGCATTGCCGATGCTTTCGAAGTGAACAAGGCAAATGCCAGCACTATTTCTGCTAAGTTTGGTGGCAAATCCTTGCTTGACGCTGTAAATGGCTCAGGTGTTTCGGCTACGGCACCCAAAGCTGCTGAGGTTGATGCAGAGACGAAGGCAAAGGCTGATGCTTTGAAGGCCGAAGGTAACAAGGCCATGGCTGCCAGAGACTTCTCTACTGCTATCTCCAAGTACACAGAGGCCATTTCTTTGGATTCTACTAATGCAGTGTATTTGTCTAACAGAGCTGCTGCTTACTCTTCTGCCTCGGAGCATGAAAAAGCAGTAACTGATGCCAAAGCTGCTCTTGAATTGGACCCAAAGTTTGCCAAGGCTTACTCGAGATTGGGCTTGGCCCAGTATGCTTTGGGCAATGCGAAGGAATCCATGGAGGCCTACAAGAAGGGCTTGGATGTCGAAGGCTCGTCTCCTTCAGATGCTATGAAGAGAGGTTATGAAACGGCGAAGAAGAGAGTTGAAGAAGAGTTGGAAAGCTCGATTTCTACCCAGGACTCAGAGAAGGCACGTTCTGCCGACGCAGGCTCTGGGGCTGGTGCTGGTGCTGGCGCCGGAGGTCTTCCTGATTTCTCGTCCATGTTTGGCGGTGGCGGAATGCCAAACTTCGCTGAGATGATGAACAACCCACAATTAATGGAGGCTGCTCAGAACTTGATGAGTAACCCATCTGCTTTACAGGGTTTGATGAACAACCCTGCTGTGCGCCAAATGGCCGAAAGTATGGGTGGCCAAGGTGGACTTGACAACTTGATGAACAACCCTATGCTTCAAAACATGGCGAAACAGTTCATGGGTGGCGACGCAAAAAAGGATTCTAGCGAGTAGATGCGTGTATAGCTGATACAGTGTGTTTGTGTCTATCTAATTTTAATAAGTTTGACGAACACATTTCCAGCAAGTGTAATGAAAGCTTTGCAGTTATACCTAGAGAGTAGTGGTACTGGTTGCCATTAGTTCACAATTTCATGATTCAAAAACATAAGTTCCATGCCCGTTAATATCTGTCTCGACTGATCTATCTGAATGGACTTTGCCAAAACGCACAATTGAATGGGCCAGATTGTATTTTTCGTGAAGTCTTTCAATGGTTACATATGGCCAAACATATTAAGAGCCCTATGATCTTTTGATCTTTCCACATCTTACGTGCTTTTTTAAATGGTATCCTTGTATCCATTTGGATTAGTGGGTACGTATTTTTGCTTTTGTGAGGCTTTTTCGTTGTGCTCAGACTCTGTTAAACTATACTTAAATTGCAAATGACATAGGTGCGAACTTTGCGCAGACAAAAGATGTCTGCAAAAATCAGAGACATATACCTAAAAGCCCAAACGTAAGCCAAAAGGAATAATAATTTTTCTCTTCACGCTCATATCAAGCACACCCGAATTTCTTCTCACAGCAAAGTCATCCATCGCAAATCACATAGTGCAAACGTAGATCCGCGTCTTTGCTTGTACACACGCTCGATGTTTATGTCTATACGTATCATACTTCATACATACTATACCTTTTCAAGATTCGTCGTTGGCTCCTAGATGATACCAGTATCTTCCAGGCAGTCTTCTATCAGTGTTGCAGTCCGTGTTCGCCCCTTTACTCCTGCAGAAGAAGATAAACTAGTACGAGAGAGCCACGTACCTTTATTCGTTGGCGATGGTCTGCTTCAAGGCACAGCTACCGACGAGCAAAAGGCGTCGCAGGGTCCCAAAGGGCTCCGAAAGATCGTGAAAGTTGTGGATGACAAAATGCTCATTTTTGATCCTCCAGATACGAATCCTCTCAGCAAGATGCAGAAGAATGCTTTTCCCAATGGGAAGGGCCGAATAAAAGATTACAGATTCGTGTTTGACCGCTTGTTTGATGAGCATGCTACACAGAATGAAGTGTACGAGAGCACCACAAAACCCCTACTTGATAGCATTTTGGATGGCTTCAATGCAACTGTCTTCGCATATGGCGCTACAGGATGTGGAAAGACACACACGATTCTGGGTACGCCGGAAAACCCTGGAGTAATTTTTTTGACCATGAAAGAATTATATGAAAGGCTACATGCTCTCAGTGATACAAAAATTGTGGATGTCTCCATACTGTTCTTAGAGATATACAACGAGACCATACGAGATCTTTTGAACCCAGAAACATCGCATAAAAAACTTGTGCTTCGGGAGGATTCCAGCAAGAGAATTGTTGTTTCCAATTTGCTGTCGCGGCTGCCTAGCTCTGTGGAAGAAGTAATGGAAATCATTATGCTTGGCAATCTGAACCGAACATGCTCTCCAACAGAGGCCAATGCTGCATCATCTCGATCTCACGCTGTTCTCCAGATTAATGTTGTGCTGCGTGATAGAACTGCGAGTCTAAGCGAAGAACACACATTTGCTACATTGTCTATCATTGATCTCGCTGGCAGCGAGCGGGCAGCTGCCACTAAGAACCGTGGAGCAACTTTGAACGAAGGTGCTAACATAAACAAGTCCTTGTTGGCCCTTGGAAACTGCATTAATGCATTATGCGATCCTCGGCGGAAGAACCATGTCCCTTACCGCAATCTGAAATTGACTCGTCTCTTGAAGTTTTCCCTAGGTGGAAACTGCAAAACCGTTATGATTGTCTGCATCTCCCCCCTGTCCCAACATTATGATGAAACATTAAACACGTTGAAATACGCAGACAGAGCTAAAGATATCAAGACAAAGCTCGTTCGAAATCGCCAAAACTTGGACAGGCATGTCGGCTCTTACCTAAAAATGATAACGGAACAGAAACAGGAAATCGAGGAACTTAGACAACGAGAAGCCACTGTTGTTCAAAATGCAATCAAGCAACACGATTCTTCGTTGAAAAAATGTATGACTGCCATTACCAAGAATATTCAGTCTCTCAAATCGAATTTGGATAAACAAGTGCACGAGAAATGGCGAAAATATTTCCAGTTGGCGAAAAGGAAATTGCTTCTATTGCAGAGTAACGACCTCAGCATCATGATTGATCATCTTCGTGAGATTACTAATAACAAAAACATCTATGAGGAGTTTCACGAACTAATACCCACTATAAAACGAATCTTGGTCCAAAGCGAGCAGCTCAACAACAAATGCAGTGAGCAGATCATCAACCTTGAACGGCAATACGACACTCCTTCCGAAATAGATGAGATCCTTAAAAGTTCCACTCAGCACACACTTGAAAGATTGAAAGAAATGGATGGATGGTCTGACGAATTTACAGACATATTCCACCAATTAATCGAGGCGCTTAAAGATCGACTCCAGAAGGACTTTTTGGTCAACTCATCAATCCTCTTTGACTATTTAATTGGAGCCACTAACGATTACAATTACATACCGAGGGGCCTTTCACGACTAGTCCAGTCCCTTATTGCCAAAAAGGAAGACGAAGAAACCACGGGAGCAGCAGCGATATTACACGACATTCGTAATATACTCGAGCGAATGAATGACACAGATTACGATGCTGCAGTAGAAGAAGCCACTACCCATTTTATGCATGTCAAGGCCGAATTAGAGGAACAGAGGTCACGAGTAGACATGGCTGCGGGGTTTTCTGAGCTGACCCCTCAACTCCTGAACAGACAAAGAGATAAACGTTTCTCCACGTCTCCTTTGCGATCTTCAAGAGCAATCAAGAAGTTGTCTAAATTCCCATCAGGCTGGAATGCTGGGTCTAATGCTGAAAGTGACATAAGCATGGATGATTCCACCATTGGCCGCAGTGATCTTGACGAAGACTCGCCCATGAGTAATCGCATAATAGAAAAGTCCTTGCTCGACACATTGGACTTGAATCACAATGTACAATCACCTCCTTCAAAGGCAATTACTAAAGCCGATAGGAAGCTGCGCATGCCGGCCCTCACAGAAACGAAACTATCGACGCATGGTCTGCATGATATGCTTGCGAAACTTCCACTCCTTAATAAACAGGCCAGTACGAAGATCGTGCACAATGAAATAATAAACACGAGGGACACGTTTAATTTCCCAGCGAAAGCAGTCGACACCCCTATTTCGCCTACAATTGCCCATCACTTGCCTCGCCACGAATTCAACAATAACGAATAAAGCTACACAATGCATCATCATCCATTTTTTTCATGTCATAGTCATTGAACCTATAGAGCTAATAATCGTTGTCACGTCTGTTACTCGACCCGTAGGAGTCACCGCCAGATCTGTAGCTGTCCGTGTTAGACGAGCCGTACGCGTCACCGTCTCTACCAGAAGAGCCGTAGGAGTCACCACCTCTGCCAGAGGAGCCGTACGAATCACCGCCTCTGCCAGAAGAGCCGAATTCGTCTCTACCAGAGGAACCATATGAATCACCTTTGTTCGATGATCCGTAGGAGTCGCCACCTCTTCCAGAAGAACCGTAGCTGTCAGTGTTGGAAGATCCATAAGAATCACCGCCTCTTCCAGAAGAGCCGTATGTATCAGTGTTGGAAGATCCGTATCTGTCACTGGTAGAAGACCCGTAGTTGTCCAGATTCGACGATCCGTACGAGTCACCTTTGTTGGAAGATCCGTACGAGTCACCTTTGTTGGAAGATCCATACGAGTCATCTTTGTTGGAAGATCCATACGAGTCGCCTCTGTTGGAAGATCCGTAACTGTCCAGAGTAGACGAACCGTACGAGTCCTTCTTCGAGGAATTGTAGTCGTCATCGTCGTTCTTGCCGAATGCACCCTTGATCTTGTCCCCAACCTTACCTAAGGTCGAACGGTGTTCGTTCTCGTTTCCGTAGGATCTGTCGTTTCCGTAAGAGGTGTCGTTGTCGTTGTATGAGTCGTTGTAAGACATTGTGGCTGTTGATTTGTCTACAATGCTGGGGAATGTTCTTCTACTTATAGGAGAATATAAAATTAGCAATAGACACCTGCTGTGGCTGTGGAGGCGAGAAGCGTGTGCCTACTTCCACGTGCATAATCTCCCACGCATGTGTCACGCACCCAAGAAAGCAATGCAGCACTGTGGAATGTATAATTCTGCTGTTTTCATCACTATAGCAATGGCACTAGATGTAGTATGGCGGGGGAAGTCCCTGCAGGAGATACCCTGCATGAATTCGTGGACTAGATTCTTTCAATGGAAGCAGCTTTCCATGCAGTCGAAGGTTACGATGGCGCATGAAGGGTCTGTCGTACATGGGATGTCATTGTACGTATCAATAGAGCGCATGAATGTTAGAAGCAAAACATACTGCTTAGATCTAATTATAACAGAATTGCAAGTCACAATAGCAAACACTGACCAGCAAAAACAAACGTAATCAATGTTGGCCAGTTTTCGCAGTCGAATGCTTCGCTCCTAGCGATTATCACGAAAGCGCATTGGCAAATACTCTCGCAATAGCATTCAAAAAATCATAATTTCCCCTTTGCAACTGAATACGGTGCCGCAACTGTCACAATCTATTGTTACAAAAGCGTCCTCTTCTAATATCTTGGTAACAACCTCAAGAGTGTCTGCTTCGAGCACTATTAATTACTCAAAGTAACACTCAAAGTAACGGACCTTCTTAGCCTTTCAGGTAGCTAAGAGTGCCAGGCCAGCTGATAAAGCTACAAAAGTACTAACTACCAATTGTATTCAGAACCTAACACAAATATGGTGGTGAATCTATCTATTGAATATACACAGCTCATGTGGTCCTGGCTCGAGCAGAGTCCTGGGAGTACAAGCACAGGAAAAATCGTTGCACTGCATTACAGTCTCCTTCTAAAATTTACTACATAATCACACATTCCTTTTCCTGTGCAGCTGACAGAGTTGTGCGGCCCTTTTTTCTTTTGACGTTCTTAGAGAGTTGGGCAGCGAGTTCCTTATTCGTGATACGAGAAAGGGCTTTCTCATCGCCGTTTTCTGCTGCCTTTTTGTACCACAGCTGGGCTTCCGCTGAATTGCGGATGCAACCAATGCCTTTGTCATAAAAGTTGCCCAAAGCAAACTGGGCTTTTGGCAATTCGCACAAGGCCGCACGCTTAGCCCACTCAAAAGCTTCCAGTTCATCTTTCGGAAGATGCGGCTCAGCTCCCACCAAGTACCACGCGCACATAGCAAGCATAGACTCTGGATGGCCTCCCAAAGCGGCTTGCGTGTAGTAATGAATAGACAAGTTTGCGTCTTGGGGAACAACTTCGCCAATCTCGTAACATTTGCCCAATATGGCGGACAGTTGAACGTGACCAAGAGCGGCGGCCTGGGCATAGAGTTCCAATGCATACTTTTCATCTTTCAACAAGATATCCATGAAGCCGTTCTGATAGAGCTTCCCCAATTCGTATGGGGCGGCTGCAGTCAATTCAGTTGCAACATTCAGCGCACGCTCCAACCACTTAATTCCAGCCTTTTTCGTGTTCACAGTGTCTGGCAACCCCATCCGGGCGTAGAACGAGTACATACCGAGCTTGTACATGGCGGCCGGATGGTTCTTCGACGCAGCCATACGCAAAAAGTCCACAGTTTTACGCGAGTCACGACCAGTTCCTAAACCTTCTTCGTAACAATGGGCTGTGCGAAAAGCGCTCTCGGTGTGACCGTGCTTGGCGGCAGAAAGGAAAAGATTAAACGCTTCTTTGTTTTCTACTCGGCCAAACGCACCCAGACTGTAGGCATCGCCAAGAAGATATTGGGCCTCGACATAGCCCTTGTCTGCAAGTTTTTTCAAGTAATGATGAGCTTCTTTGAGAAGTGAAAGCTTCAACTTTGGGTCTGTCAGCTCGATGTCGTCAAAGCTGAACGAATGCGAGCGAGTACGCTTGTGCCCATCGACACTGAGAGACAGCGAAGAGGCAAGCCTGGCATGCGTTTTCGGAGTTGCTGGGGTGGATGCCTCTGGGCTTGTGTTTTCCAACATCAACGCTGTCTGCAACATATGCTGGGCGTACTGAAATAAGACGGCAGGATCAGTAGATCTTTTGGCATTCTTGCGGTACAATTCAAGCGTCTTGAGCCGAGGCACTAAATGCGACAGGTTTGAGCCCAAGTGCTGCTGGAGCACACTCAGTCTGAAATCCACAAGAGAAGAATTGTCAGGCCTGTCATAGAAAAAAGACAGCGTCGACGACACAGAGCGGCTATGGGTATGAGGCAAATTGCTCTCTGACTGCGAATAAAGCGCAGGCTGCAGCAACAGCGGGAGATTCAAATTAGTAAGCGAAGATGTGGCCGACAACATCTGTGGTGAAGGCAGCTGTTCTTTAGTCATGAACTGTGGGCTCATAGGCAAGGCAGCATGATCTCTAGACATGTGGGAATTTTGCGAGATGTGGGAGTTTTGCGAGCTTGGCATATTCTGTGGGCTTGGCAAGTTTTGCGAGTTTGGCAAGCTCAGCGAACTCGACAAAGCTTGAACGGTAAGATCATCGACAGGGTATGGCGGCGAAGGTGCAGCCTTCTGACGATATGGATGTGCTGACATGATGTCGAGCACGGTTGTATTGGGACGGTGTACTCGGAATTGGCCGGCTGGGGAGGATAACGCAACTGATATGCTTCAAAGTTGCGGATTTGGGTCTGTTCGGATAACGGTTCTTTGTTTCCTTTATTGGCTGCCGCTTCAAGACCCGCTGGGTGGCTAACGTAGTTTCGTAGAAAAGTCGTCTGGCAACGACGGCGACTGTGTAGAATTAGTAGGCACGCGAGGCGCGTAGAAAATTTAGAAGGACACAGAAGAAAGAACCCTTTGCGGAGAGGGAGATGGAGCACGCCAGTGATGTGAATACACTAGGATCGGTCTAGGCGAAGCGAAAGAAAAACAAAACAAAGGAAAAAGCTTATTGGTGTGGAGTTAGATTCGCGATATTTTCTGGGCGGGCAATTTATGCGATCTGCGTCTGGGTGCGCCTTCGATGGATTCAAATGGGTGGTTTCGATCTGCAAATTGCTTGCACTAAAACGCTTGGGTCCGAATTCTTGTCTCGGGCAATTGACAGATAATTGGACGCGACACGACACGAAGAAACAGCCAGTCTTAATTGCAGCTACTCCTGTTCAGCCTGGCTTTTCGGTTCGAGTTTGTACTCTTTTTTTTTTCGTTCTTGCATCGGTCAGTCACATCGCATACCGAAATGTCGGAACGCCAGTGTAATGCGCCTCGCCTACACCGGAATAACTGTGTGAGAAGCTCCCGAAATTTGCTGCTTACACAAACAAAACAACGCCATCATCTCGATGGATGCTTATATATTTGTACAATTTTATCTCCAGAATTCTTGAGCATAAGCTTGCCCTCCGTCCGAGGCTATAAATAGACACACGTTGGCTAGCCAGGTGTTCGAGCGCGGGGTCTGAAATTCCTGCAATGATGTTTGGGCCTACAATGCGCCTGTATTGACACGTAGATAGTCTATTCAAAGGTACAGAGTCTAATACCCATCGATCGCGTCGCAGACTCAGGTACTCTCCAAGGATTTAAGGGACGCCCAGCACGACGCGACGTGCGGAAAAGGGCCACTAAAATTGAGATCCGAGTCGAGCTCTTACTAACCTACTAGAGCTCTTACTAACCTACTCGAGTAATGTAGTCTCAGTGACCTCTCAGAAGTCTCGAAGGAACTCGCATGTGAAGTCTCGTATGGACTCTCACGGTAGTCTCTCATAGTGATGGCCCAACAAGATCCTCATTGGAGTAATTCAATATAGTCTCATGCAATCTACCGAGCGAATAATCAATGCTATTAATGTATATTCAAACAGTGCTGTAACGTTGTTATGGAACCACAACCTTGTGACCACCACCAATACGGTCAACGCCCTCTAACATGACATAAACGGCCAGTACAACCACCGCTCGTGCTACAGACACCAGCCAACAACCCAAACCAGTCCTTCCCCATATGGGTAGTTTCGTTAAAACGTAAGGTACATCGCCACGACTGCCGCAAGGAAGATCCCGGCAGCCGCAAGCAGTCTGCCGATCGGCGCATGTTCCTGCTGCACCAAAAGGCGAGCTCGGTCTTCTGGATCCAACTGATCCATCTGAAGGGGCAGCGGCAGTGGCTGTTGCGCGTTTCTCGCAAGCATTTCTTGCTCTAGCCGTTCTTGCGCAGCCAAGTCCTGGGCGTTCTGCTGGGCAAGCTCCGGGAAAACCAGGCCGAAACGGCTGTTCTGCGATGTGTTCCAGCGTTTGCTCTCTGCAGCCAACTTCTGCTTGACTCCGTCTGTAGTTGATATCAGACCGGTCGTTTGTTCGGTGCCGGTCATAAAACTCAAGAGCCCTGTAAGAATCGTCAGCACACTCCAAGCAGGATTCCATGTGTCCGGATGGTAATCACTCATGCTGAGACAGAGGCGCGTGTTGCAAGCGAAGCGGCCATTAGGAGTGATGATACTGATGGAAGGAGGCTTGAACGGATAGTCAGCAGGAAACCGAAGAACGCCGTGGTATTGGCCACCTTCATACGGCGTTTTCGGCGGACCGGTGATGACATAGTGCCACTCCAAAATATTGTCTTCGTTGGGCTTGGCCGTGATGAACGGCGGCGGGTTGGCCGCAATGCTTTTGTATTCTTTTGTGAGCCGTTTTTGTGCTTGTCTGGAAACCATGAAGCAGGAGTATAGGGGAAGAAATTGGGAGGAACAGACCAGATATGGTTGATGCGGCGGTCACGTGAAACTGGCCAACAAGGGAACGACGCTGATTAAAGTCACTACGATGCCCCTGTAAAGGTCGGCGACTCGGAATTCGATTTCCAAGCAGTGCAAAGGCGAAGAAAATCAGAAAATAGGACACTGGTTCAAGGCAAAGCCTTGGGTGACTCTTATCGCCCGGCCATGAAAGTGTGCGCACACCCTATTCTTGATCCCGCAGCCGCACCTATAGTAATGCTAGACAATACCCTTCTACAAACGCGGATACTAGAATTTACAGACTTACTTTATATTTTGAACCGTAATTGTTGCGGCTTCATTTGTTTGACTTTTGTTTCCTGTTTACAAATTCTGGTCACCCATCTGTAGAATGAGTGTCAAGCTATCAGGTCCTTTCTATAGACCCATGGATCGTCATGCCTCCTGATGCCTTTCCTTACAATCCCCTAATCACATCATACTTGGACCACAGCCAAAATCACGCTCGCCTCCACATAGTAGAGATTATCCTTCTTGGGCACATTCGGCAAGTTGTCAATCACCGCTTGCCGACAATGCGATAAGATAAACTGTTCCTCTTGCCAGAGTTGTATTTTAACTTCACGTGCTGTCGAAACATTACGACAGTCACCAAAACATCGACTCATTTCGTCAATACTAAGCCCATGGCGACTCACGCCCCGCTTAGCCAATTCTGGTGAAACTGGCCGATCGCTGTCTTCGTTGTAAAAGTCGTACACCAAGATGTGCCCACCTGGCCGAACGAATGTCTTGAGAATGTGTGCCACTTTTTCATACGAGTGAATATGGTGGAAGGCCAAAGTACAGATCACCACATCAGCATACTTCTCAAGTGCAGTGGTGTCAAAGCTCTGGTCGAGCACATCACCACAAATGGAGCGGATTTTCAAAGCTGGGAACTCTTGTTTTATTTGTTCTGCCTTTGCATCAAAGCCAGAAAGCATAGTCTCGCTGATATCTATACCTACTATTTCGCCTTGAGGCATGAAGGGAGCCAACTTCTTAGCAAGGAGACCAGTTCCGCAGGCAAAGTCGATGACCTTAGAGTTGGGCCAGATCAAGTGGCGCTCGAAGTCTGGCGGAATACTTGTTAAAAGACCAGATGCTTCCTGCGCGGAGAGCGGTTTCTCTGTTTCGTCAAAAGTTTTCCTTTCGGCAGAGACATCCAAGCGAAGGATTGACGCAGCAAAGTAGTCTGTAAGTGTTTGAATCGATGGCTTAGCGTCATACTCCTGCCCTGTTGAGGCAAAAGACTTCTTGTTGGCATTGATTGAAGCTAGGTGAGACATGGCTACTAGTTACTAGTTGGTGTCTTTTCCGCGCGCGGAATAACTGGCTACATCCTTGAAAGCAAAAAACAAAAAAAACAAAACATAGAGCATACCTACAATGTTGACATCCCAACAATACAAGAACACTGCTCTGGAAAAAAAAAACTTTACAAAGTACTATGAAAGGGGGTACACTTCAGACGATGAAGAGAAAGACACATGCAACCACATGATGTTACATTTGAGTTGCATGATATAGGGTTTCCTCATCCATTTTTGGAAAGATATGGTGTCCAAAGAAAGAAAGCGCTGGATGCAATGTCAAGTCTAGGTCGAAAAATCAAAGTCCGTGATATGTTTCCCTTTTTGTAATGACATGGGCGCAACCATATTAGGCAACCATGACAGATAACACGCGGTTTTTGTAACCCGAAAAGGAGCCCAAGACAGGTGCAGGAGACAATTGGAATTTGCACCCATTCTGAGAAGGCCTTATCTATGCGAAAAAAAACAAAGCCCATAGATAATGCAACATGCCCCTTGACAGCGATATAAATACGCCCTTTCATCTACGCATTTTTCTCTTCATTTTTTTTTGAATCTGCTATTCATATTCATTCTTAATTTTCAATCACTATGTCTGCTGCTTTGATCGCCGATGTGGAGGCTGGTAACCTCCGCAAGAGAATTTCCGAACAACAGTACAAGGATACATTAGAGCAAACTTACGAAGAACTTAAAGCCAAGTATGGAGACATCAGCACCATTAAGTTTGAGCCCGAGAAACACTTGAAGTACTACTCTAGTGATGAACTTGACCAACACAAGTATCACAGCACCCGCAGATTGACCATGGAGGAGTTGGGCCTCACACACAAGACTCAAATCTCTCCCATTGGTGTTTCAGACCCTTTCCCATTGTTCACAGAAGAGGCCACCGACATCATGAAGATGGAGTGTTTGCAAAAGGAGGTTTTCTTGAAGTACGCCAGAACTTCCTTCAACTCCACCAGTGGCATGGATTGCATTATCAGACACTACGCCAAAGTCCGCGACGAGGTTGTGACCCCATTTATTTACCAGGCCTGGACTCACCCAAAAACAATCGAGTTGATTTCCACCATGGCTGGCGTGGAATTGGAAATTGTGATGGAATGCGAAATTGCTCATGTGAACATCGGTGTCACATCTGAAGAAGTTGCTGAACAGCAGAGAAAGGTACGCGCTAGGGAGCAGGCTCTCAGCGGCAAAAGTTCCGGTGAAGACATTCCTGCCATTGTTGGCTGGCATTACGACTCTCCTCCATTTGTGTGTGTCCTTATGTTGTCTGACACCACCAACATGATCGGGGGAGAGACCTATCTTCGCATGGGAGACCAGAAGATTGCTAAGGTGCCGGGCCCTCAAAAGGGTTCTGCAGCCGTCTTGCAAGGACGCTTGATTCAACACTTGGCCCCCAAGCCTCTCGGTACTTCGGAGAGAATCACTATGGTTACTAGTTTCAGAGCTAAAGATCCAAACGTGTACGAAGGCTCGGTATTGAGTACCGTGAAGCCAGAGGTTAACTATGGAAGCCGTTACCACGACTTCTATCCTGAATGGGTGGACTACCGTGCCCGTTTGTTGAGTGAACGTCTTCAAAACTTGGCTAGTGCAGTAAAGGCTGCAGACAAGTTTGATAAGAAGGCCACCATTGACTCTTTGAAATCTATTGAGGCATACTTGCGTGCAACATACACTGAAATGGAAGTTAGTCCTGAAGAATGGGCAACCATCATGGCGAAAGAAAAGGACATTACTGTGGCCGCATAATAAAGTATGTGACCGAAAACAATGCTTTATCATGCTAGTCATGACGGTTCATGCCTCTGGAGTGCAGAGCACAGGTCCAATAGGTAATATAAATTTGTTAATATGTCTTTCTAATGTAAAGTCTGCTTTATTTGCGCTTTGTCGCAGTCGTTTGACTATAAGAAAACCAAGTGGGCACAGCATGGCAAAAAAATCATTGACTCACGTGGGCTAACGAATTACTGGTTCGAAGCGTTTCATCAGACAAGTTTTATCGAAAAGTGCTTGTTGTTATGATTTTTCATATTTTTCCGAATACATTGAACCATAACACGGGCAACAGAAATCCCCGAAACCTACCACGCAACTTCGGTGCGAGAGAGCAATAAAAATCTTGTATTAGAAGAAATAAAGGAACAAGTAAACGCTAGAAGCGTCATCTAATGGTTTTTTTTTTTTTATTTTATTTTTTTCACTTTGTGTTTGGACCTAGCATCTCTACTGACAGCAGAACTTGGACCAGAAACCCTTCTTCTCTTCTTCCACATGCTGCTGCTGCTCGTACTGGTTGACGCGCTGGCCATTGTTCGTTTGCGAATTTCTCATCATCGCCTGGTTGCCGGACATGTCATTGTTCATGTTTCCACCCATGCTTGAGTTAGGTTGGAGCTCCTGCTTGATTGGAGGCAATGGTCTGTTTATCAAGTGTTGCAACTTCTGCTGGTGGGATTGCGTGGCCGACAACTGTTGCTGTTGTTGTGCGGATTGACTCATGTTGTTCAAGTTGCTATTACCTGCCGAGTTGGGAATATTTCCGCCCGGCTGTGCCGAGTGGTGTGGCCTGTTTCTGCGTTGTTCACGATGACGACGCTCTCTCTCGTTGGGCGGGTTAGGATGTCCATAGCCATGTAAGTTAGGCTTCTTGTTGATCGAGGAGTCCCAGCCTTTGCCTCCATTAAGATGCATCCAGTCGTAGTCCCCATCAGCATGCAATCCCAAATCGTCCAAGGCAGACAACAACAACATCCGGTACTCCTCATAAGCTGGCTCAGCTTCGAAAGGCAACAGACGCACAGACTCCAAATATTCAGCAAACTGCTTGGGTAAGCCTTCGCACAAGACTGAGGCAGACGTAGTTCTTTTCTTGTCGCCAATCTTCTCGTACTTTTGCTTGTTGGTGGGTGCTTTCAATCCTTGCCAAGGCAACTGGCCACGCAAGAAGTAGAAAAACACATGGCCAAGCGCCTCCAAGTCGTCTCTTCTCAGCTGCTCGCGGCCCAAGTGTGTGTTGATCGACATGTACCGGGCCGTGCCGCTCAACGATTTCTTTTCACGGTAAGGAATGTGTTGCTTGGTACGTGGGTCCCGGTATTGCTTGGCCATACCAAAGTCAATTAAGTGCACCTTGTTTTCATCAGGAAAGCCCTGACGGCCAATTAAAAAGTTGTCGGGTTTGATATCACGATAAATCAAGTCGTGGCGGTGCACTTCTTCAATCAAAGACAACATCTGGATAGCAACTTGCACTACGGTTTTCACCGAAAAGCGCCGGCCACACCAGTCAAACAAATCCTCCAAAGAGGGGCCCAACAAGTCAATCACCAAGATCAGATGCAAACCTTCTTGACCAAAATAGTAGGCATTAGGAATGCCATCACAGCCTTGCAAATGTTTGTACGTTCTGTACTCGTCGCGCAACTGAGGTGCTTCAGTTTTTCTCGGCTCAAACTTGATGGCTACAGCAACGCCATTAATGATGTTGCTTCCTTCGAAAAGGACACCAAAGGAACCTTCTCCGATTTTCTTGCCAATCTTGTAGTGTAAGCCAACAACAGAATTGTTGTTAGCGGATGAGGAAGAGCTGTTAGGAGCGCTCATTTTCTGGTTATTAGATGAAGCAGCAGCGGCAGCAATGGCGGCGGCACTGGACATGGGTTTTCAAAAGCAAGCGATTGGAAAAAGAAAACAATCGCGGATAGCCCTGATTACGCTCGAAAGCTCAAAGGTCAACAGGGAAGGGTCTCGGATCAACGAAAAATGAAGACTCCAGCAGTCGAAGATGGCCCGCAAAGATTATATGGATGGGTGCGTTTCTGCCGACAGGAATCTGGAAACGGTAAAGTTGTTTCGGCAACGGAAAAGAGCAAAAAACAAGCGAAAATCGAGAGGAAAAAGCACCGGAAAAGAGTGGTATCAATGGAAGCTCTCCTTGGAGTGTTTCAGGTCGCTGCTAGACTGCCACGGGTCAAAACCAACCAAAAGTGGTGGAGACGCCAAAAAATGCAGAAAAAAAGATAAGATGTCGACCAGACGGAAAATCTGGCTCACAAGCGGCACAGGTTCGGGATAGAAGACGGACCAAGAAGGAGCAAAATATGCGGAACAAGAGACAGCCTCTCTTATGTGAAACTAGGCCAAAAGGTGGGTGCTATTATGCTTTCTGCTTTGTCCACAAGAAAGATTGTTTCGCTGTTGAGGTGAAGCGAGGGAGGTACGGGTGTGGATCCGGGCCCAACGCCGTAAGTGGTACAGCGGGGTGCCAAGGACGGATGGGGTAAAAAAAAGAAACTAAATTTTCAACGATGTGAAAAAGAAAGCAACGAGAGATGATGTATGGGCAAACGGAAACGAATTTACGGCAGTGAAGAAAGTACTTTTATGGCTCTAGACATGCGACATATGACGGAATTACAAACGACGACAGGTGAGGCGGCGCGCGTTGTCCATTTGGCGACTGAAGAGGAAACCTGTCTGCCGATGAACAGAAATATGAACATGGGAATGGAAATAGCCGGCAAGTTCCGGCAAGCATCTTAGACAGGCAAAAACTTCACCATACTTAACCGGTAAAAACTCAATGAATGAGCAAGCGACGGATGCGATTTGTAGCACAAGAACACTGTCCGTGACGATCTGAATAGCAAATGGAAAAATCTGCAAACGAATTCTCACTGACCGAAATAGGTCTGCACGCTGCTGTCAGCAATCACGTAATTTCGAAGAGCAAAACCAGACATCACAGGCAATTGCTGGATGTTTTTGATTTGCATTCGCCAGGCGAGTTCTTCACACTTCATAACATGTTCAAAAAGGGTAACGCATCCTTTACCAGCGAGACTGCCAAATAGAGACTGAAGGATGGCAGGATGGAGACGAGTACCAAACCGAGACGGCTGAAATGCGAGATTCTCGAGACGAGACAGGCGTAAATGGCACCTTGCTCGGTTGCACTAACAGCTAACAGATATGAGCAACATTCGAGAGACCGCATCAAGAAACTGGGCCTCGAACCAAGTACACGGTTGATCCTTGCGGCAAGTTTAGCTTGGCAGCCGGTTTGAGAAGCTCCGGCGTGCCGTCCCGCACAACGAACAAGCTCAACCTGTCATCTGGCTGCTGCGTCGCATTGTTGCGGTTAGCAACACCGAGAAGATCTGCCAAAGTGTCCAAGCATCGGCCCGCAGACCAGTTTTTCAGCACCCACACACCACGACGCATAGCTGCGCTATCCACTTCAGCGAGATCCTCACCACTAACGTAAAGGGCCCACAAATGCACACGGTCGGACTGGGCCACGGTCTGCGGCCCTCGGGCAACTTTTTTAAGCTGAACAAGCTCCAGCGCTGCACTGGGTTTGCGCAGTTTCCGGCGCATGCGTTCAGCGTGCAAAAAGCGAGTCAATTTGTTGAACGGATTCGATGACACCAGAGCAGAAATCGATACAGGTTTAGCCGGGCGGAGCAGCAGGTCTAGCTGTGCACGACGGACGTCTTTGTCTGGGAAAAGAGCCGCTACAGGAGTTGTGTCGTCGCTGGAAGTTGGCGAAGTTTGACGTTGGCGCTGGGGCCGGCCCACACAATTGTGCACGTCAATGTTGCGGTGGCGCGAGCAGAAAACATGGTTGCAAAACTCGCAGGAGAAGGGGAGAAAGTCAAGTTGGCTGCAAAGATAGCAGTTGGTGCCGAGGTTCAAGATGCCCTGGTTATCGTGTCGGGTTTGCGTCATGAAGAGGTTATGTGTAGACATGGTGCGACTTGGGCGAAAAAGCGGGGAGCGTTGAAAATGAGACAGAGAAGTGTTCGGCAAGCAGCAAAAAAATAAACAAGCTAAAAAAAAAAGCTAGAAGAAAAGAGGAAGCTAGGAATCAAGAAATAGTTGAAAGTACGCCATTTTTTGGTGGCGGTGGCCAACCCCCAGAAGCTTCTCTCATGTATAGAACAATGTACGCGATGTGTAAATGGGTGCAGGACATAACTGTGGCTGGGAAAGCTGACTAAGAAACCAGAAGTGTGTCTCAAAATGGGAAACAACGATAACCACTGGTCAATAGTAGACAGAAACCAACGAGAAACAAAAACAAATGACCGAGGTCTAAGGAATAAAGAAGAACAGTAAACGAAAAAAAATACACGAAACGGAACACCAATGCCCATGAGTAATCTTCTCTTCAGTGAACCACACATAGTACTCGAATTGTTGCTCTAAAGATCAAGGTTAAAGTTATAACACATCCAGCTTTGGGGATTTATCTGCTAATAAGGCATGAACGTGAATAATTCTTTTTTTCTCTTAACCACCAAACAAGGAAAAGCAGCACGAGTTACAGAAGAAAGTGGTGACTTGAAACTTCGCGTGTCTTTTCTAGTTTGATTAAACCACTTTCTTCTTTTACTTCATCGAAATGCTCTTCATATTTCAAATCAGATTATTAGGATAGACAACCAGGATAGACCAGGATAGACAACCAGGATAGACAACAAAGTGAAGTATATTAAAATGAGTAACACAGACCTTCGTGGCTACAACAAACGAACACCAAAATCTTCTATACTTTTGCTCAGTTAAAAAGAGTTGGCATCAAAATGACAGGCCCAAGGCCAACTCTTCACCTTTGCAGAGCAGAAATTTTTTAGGACAATATCGGAAAGACACGATTTTCTAGGTACGGGAAATCACCACACCTCTACTCCAAAACACAATATACGCCAGGTGCTTGAGATTGATTTTTGCAACCATATTCTTATTGTCAACTTTTGTTCGCGCTTCCTACTACTTTGCCCTGTGCACACTACATCTCATCTCCAATGTTCGACCTCAACGTGCCGTGGCCCGTGCAGCAATATGCACCTGCGTCAGACGCCCAAATCGCCACTGTACGCAACACCATCGCCATGCTCTATACGCTTGGCTACCGGTACATAGCGCTCAACTTCATTGCTGCGGAGAGTGTCAAGCTTCCACTCACCAGCGCCCGCGAACTCAACCCGATTCCCATCGACGAGCTTCGGCGGCAGCTTGCCCTGTTCGAAGGTCTCCGCTTGTTCTCTAGAATCACGCTTGTGGTGCTGGACCCGGCTAAAACGCAAAGTCTTCTGAAGCTCAGTGCAGCCGCGTGTTTCGACCTCATAGCGGTGCAGCCCACGACAGAAAAGGCGCTTCAAGTGGCTGCTGCAAATCTTGATGTGGACCTCATCAGCTTGCCTATGGCCACACGGTTGCCGTTTTTTTTGAAACATAAGTGTGTTGGGCTGGCGTTGCTGCGGGGCGTCAAGTTCGAGGTGTGCTACTCAGGCTTGGTCGCTGGCCCTGCGGGGTGCGAGTCGCTGCTGGCTTTGGGCACCACAGCCCACCTCAGCCGGCGCACTTTCTTTGGCAACTGTATTCAGCTCGTGCGGGCGTCACGCGGCCGCGGGCTTGTCTTTCTGAGCGGAGCCACCGAGCCTCTTCATGGGCGCAACTACGTGGACATTTTGGGCGTGATGCGCGAGCTCGGCTTGAAGAACTCCAACAGCAAGGATGGTTTCTTTGCTAATGCAGAGGCAGCTTTGGTTAGTGGCCGCTTGCGTAATCGCTCTCATAAGCAAACAGTGGCAGTGGGATCGGGCGGTAAAACAGCCACTGAAATGCTCATCGGCGAACCGGCGAAGAGGAGTGCTGACAGTGAGGGTGATTCTAAGAAAAAACGGCCAAAACCAGAGACACAGACGAAAAGGGCCGAAGTTGCAAGTTAGACAAATAGGCTCTAAGCTTCGTCTCGCCAAGATAAAGCGAGCGATGGAGTCCGCCGACGCACAGGCCTTACCTCAGAAGAGCTGATAAATAATAGACCATTATAGCGACATACGGAGAGTGTCAAAGAACATAATAGATTACAGACATTGACAACGCATAGGACAGGGTTTCACACATGGAACAAGTATTCACTATTTAAATTCTGCGTCAAGCTATAAAAGACGTCCATCTAGAGCTCATTTTGTGCCCGCCAGCAGGACATATACACCACATAATTACAAACTTGATTTTCTCTGAAGGAGTACACCAGCTCAACATGTAGATCCAATAAATTCTCCCCACGCATCTATTACCATACAATGAGAATTCAATGAAAGATCGAGGATCGAAGTGCCCGTTTTACAGGCACATCTTCATTGCCTTGAGAATCTTTGGTTTCTTTTGCTTGCGGTTCCCTTGTTTTAGTCTCTTTCTCTCCTTTGGGCACAGAAATGCGTGGCGCCCGTGGCATTTTGCGCTTCGGCAAAAAAATTGAAGGTGGCCTCCGTTTATAGGATTCAGGAGCTTCACGCCTCACTTGTTCAGTTGAGGAAGGGAGATTCAGCAGAGACGAGGGTGAAGCAGGCTTAGGACTTGGTGAGAGAGATGCAGCCGGAGGAGTAGAATTAGATTTTCGAACAGATTGAATACTGGAAGTTGTGGGCGTTTCAGTAAGGCTTGGAGCAGCTTCTGAGATTGTAGAGGACAGTGCACGTTCAGATTCAGCACTTGCCGTTCCCGAATCGGTTATATCTTGCCCAGCATTGCGAGATGCTTCTTCAAATGAAGTTGTTTCAGGTCCAGCTAGAAACCTGCCATTATCAGAAGATCGGGTCCTCAGACTGACAGCGAAATATAGAAACGGAGCAGAACTGGGCACCTGGTTGTCCACTTTTCTCTTTTTTCTAGACATGTTTCCCGTAGAATTGGGGTTTTCTTTTCTTCCCCTAGCTTCGTTTTCCTCGGTTTTGCCAACCATAGTCCTTTCTGCTCTCCGATCCCTATACTGGCCATTGTCTGTTTGCTGATCTCGCTGCTTGAAAGCCCGGTAAGGATCATACTTGCGAGCACCTTGGAATATCAACAGGCGATGTTGCATGTCCCGCATGGCCTTGCCCAAAATAGACTTTGGTCTCGCATTAGTACTGAAGGGAGTAAAAGTCAGTGGCACTTTCCTGCGCACAGGTTCGTGTAGTATTCCTTTCAATGGCACGATTTGGTTTCGGCTCTTCTCCCGTTGGATGCGTTCGGTGAATTTTCTAAGTCTTTGGGCGCTCGAGGCTCGTAGTTCGTCTCTTTCTGCAACGTACTGGAAATAAGTCGCTTTAGTGGGCATGTCACCTCCAGAAACATATTGGCGCCGCGGAAGTGGGCGGTCAGGAAAGTCTTTCTCAATGAGCACCCTCCATAGCTCATCAGACTCGGGTGTGACCGAGGGAGAATTCTCCTCGAGTTGAGCTAGTTGTTTAGCTGAAAGTCTTTTGAGAATGGGCCGAACAAGATGATATGGCGTAGTTCCAACATTGTCTATAAGCAGAGCATTCTGGACACAGGCGGCAAGTGCTGTATCAAAGAGAGAACGTACCATCGTAGACAGCCAATGAAGATAACACAATCAGCTCGGAATCAATGACAGGTAAACAATAACAGAAAATCAACTGATAGGTTATCGAAGATAATCAGGCGATGGGGCAGTTCTTAATGACAGTCAGTCGCTGCGTTCAATTGGCAGTATTTGATCAATAACGGCAGCCAGCAGTGATAGAATAAAATGGGGGAACAAGCCAATGAAACGTATCAGAGCGTTGAAAACAACAAACAATCGTTGAACTAACGTGGACGAAAAAAGATGTCCTTCTGAAGTCTGCTTATAAAAAGATGAAATATGCTGAATTTTCTAAATTCACCGCAGAAAATCGGCAACTTGGTTCGATCAGATTATGGGTATGGCAATCTGACTGACTTTCAATAGGTCCGGTGAGTGTCGAATCTATTACCACGATTCACAAACCAGCTAGAAATCGAACAACGAAGTTGAAAACAGAAAATCGGGATTCTTAGTTGTTGGAGGCAGCTAATATTTTTAATTATTATCAAGAAGATTGCAAAATGATAACCGCTATCTTAAAGTAGCGAAGAACAAATGGTTGTTCATCACGTGACCAAACATTAGTCTATGCTATACTCTCGAGAGAAAGAAGCCACCCTTGAACCCTTTAGAAGTTCATTTAGAATAGTAACTTAAAAGGAATTTATGTATGGAGAGCCATCAGATGGAATAATAGTATGATTATGCGAACCTATACTACCTAAAACTTTACGAATATAACAAGTCCGATATAGTGTAATGGCTATCACGGTTCGCTCTCACCGAGCAGATCGGGGTTCGATTCCCCGTATCGGAGCTTTCTTTTTTTCTTTGCCGTTCCTTCTGCTTAAGGGTCCTAACCCCTTCATTTAGTGCTCCAATGAATTTCGAGCATACTAGCCTCTCTAATGAAGGTGTCTTCTCTTCTGCACTAGCCACTGCACGTATTTTTCCGTTGCTTCTGCGTCGGCATAAAGCTTCCATAGTTAGCCGCGCGCAGAGTTGCGCCGAAACGGCAATCGGTATATAAGAAGCCGAGAAACTTCCGATCCCTAACGCCGCATGGCTCATGGGATGAGGAGAAGGCGAACCAAAACGAGAAACAGCTCCGGATCAAGATCCGCCAAGTTGGACACTAGCCAAAAAGTGAAGTATCTTGATTCCATGAAGAACTGAATCGAAAAGCCGAGTGGCGCATAATATTCCGTCGCAGGGCGCGGAGTTAATTTGCGGTGTGTTAATGTAGTATATCTTAAGTAGATTACCTGAATAGAAATAGAACAGGACAAAAAAAAAAAAAAAGGCTCCAGGAAAATAAAACCACACACGACGTACCTTTCGACCGTTTGTCTATTCTTTCTTTCTGCCCATTATGTTTAGATCAAAGAAAGCAGACCCAAAGCCTGCTGCTCCCGTTAATGAGGAAATTACCTATATTCCTTTTGAGTCACCAGCACCAGAGTGCATAATCCCACCGGAAGACGAACTAGACCCTCTGCAGAAGGAAAAGTACGCGTTGGTTTTTGCCCATTTTGCAAATGAAGACTTCAAAGCTGCCAGCAGCGAACACGAAGCAAAGTCCAAAGACAAGTCCAACTATAAACCTTTGACTCCAAGCGAGAAGGCGTGGTTGACACGCGAGTGCTTTTTGCGTTACTTGAGAGCGACAAAATGGGAAACCAAGGACGCCATTGCACGAATTGAGTTGACTTTGGCATGGCGCAGAGAGTTCGGCATCAACGGCTTCTTGGACGAGGACAATACGGTCAACGGCCAGTTGTGCAGTGAGGAGAACGAAACAGGCAAAGAGGTGATTCTTGGCTTCGACAACCACTCGCGGCCGTGTCTTTATTTGAAGCCCGGAAGACAGAATACGAAAACAAGCCAGAGACAGGTGCAGCATTTGGTGTACATGCTTGAACGCGTCATTGACTTTTGCCCAAGCGGCCAAGACTCGCTTGCATTGCTCATTGACTTTAAAAGTTCGCCTGTCGGAATAAAGTCCAACAAGATCCCACCCATAGGCATTGGCAAACAGGTGTTGCATATTTTGCAAACGCATTATCCCGAGAGACTTGGAAAGGCTCTTTTAACAAACATTCCGTTGCTAGCGTGGACATTTTTGAAGATGATTCATCCGTTCATCGACCCGCTCACACGGGAGAAGTTAGTTTTCGACCAACCTTTCCCCGACTTTGTTCCTGCTCTGCAACTAGACAAGGATTTCGGGGGTTCGGTCAACTTTGAGTACGACCACTCCAAGTATTGGAACGAGATGATTCGCATCAGCGAAGAGAAGAAGAGAAAGTACATCAAGCGCTTTGAGACCTTTGGGAGCAAGATAGGGTTGTCGGAAGTGGATTTGCGTGGTGACCACGAGGAATTGGTACATCCCTTATGATTGTTGGAACATCAGTCCAGGTAGAGGCTAATTATAATACGACATGAATGCTAGAACAATCACAGGTGTGAATGTAAGATAACCAATAACCAGAATGGGTGTGGTCGAAAGATCTCCTTGTAATCAGCACGCTTTTAATACATACAGCGATACATTTTTTGGGATAAGTCACCACGAAGTAAGTAGATTCTAATTGATAATGATTGACTACGAGAAACATTCTACTTAGAAGAAAAGTTTTATACATGCAACTATATTCCCCGTTTGCTCAACGAATCGTAGTTTTATAGTACACTAGAGAGAGCGGTCATTAATAGAGAATTATTATCGTTTTCTTTGAACCAATGACTAATAGGTCAGTTGTCTTGTAACCAAGCAACATGGATTAGAACATCTTGGCACACTTTCTCTTTTCCGCCACTCCACCTCCTACCATGGTTTCCCAATCAATAGCGGCCATGCGTTCACCTGCTCCACCTTCACTTTTTGCAAAGACGACACCCAAGTCATTTCGAGCCGTGGTCAAGTAGTAGTTACTACCATCTCCAAGCGACAAGACCTCTGCTCGGACTATATCCCCAGGACGGAAGCAGTCGGCTATGCGGACCTTGTCACGGTCTGTTTGCCGCACATCCTGGCTCCGAATGACTCCCCGGAACGCCTCGCCAACATCATATGGCTGAGCTCCAATCATAGTGCCTTGGGCAGATGCAACCGCAGCGTAAGACAGCAAAATCTGGGCACCGCCGCCCATAGGAACAGAAAAGTGCGCTGTAGCACCCGTTGCTCCAATTCCACCATCGGAAGAGACATTCCCACGGCCACAAACGGACAAAATTTCACAATTGGCTTGTTTCGGGTTGAGTCGCGTGATACGCACTAGCACGACGTCTCCTTCCCTCGGAAGGCTCGAGGCTGCTCCTTCAGCAGCAGCTGCTGCTTGAGGCTCGATTTCAGCCGCATAGCGGCCATAAGTGTTTGTGTTTGTCACCACCGAAACAAGAAACGTGCGCTGAAGCGTATCGGGCGCAGCAGCTGGGTTTTCAGCAGCGTTTTCCGCTGGTGTTTCGTCGCCAACAACTTCTTGCATGAGTGGGTATCCAAGCACCGTTGCTGAGATCACAGGCACCGTTTGTGAGCCCTTGGTGATATTTGAAAGTGTGGTTCCTTTTCCTGGGATGAAGCGGTGGATTTCGGGGCCGGCTGCTCCTTGGTGTGGCTTGAATGTAGAAACAATGTACTGCCCGGGCACAACTGGCGTATTTTCGTCCATTTTATGTGAGATGGGGGTATGAAATGTGTGGAATAGCCGATGCAAAATGCCTATGAGAAAATATGGATAGTGGGCGGGCAAAATTGGTGCAGGCTTTCAAAAAGAGCTGCAGTTATGTGAAGAAACGTCTGTTTTGAAGAGTTTCCTGCTTTGTAAACAATCAAATTTTATGACTTGTCTGAAGTTTGATAATGTAGTGCTTTTTTTGGGCCATCTCCATTATGGGCTGTCTGCAGGTCAAAAACAGGTCTACTTTATGGTAAAAAATCGTACTTCCAGAGTACCAGGAAGATTTGATAGAGTCGTCTTGGTAGAAATTAGAGACAAAGACAAGCTTTTGACTTTTTGAACGTATTTCGAGTCTTCACGTATCGTCGCACAATCTTTCAGACTACAATCGCCAGTGCATTTTGGTAGAGATTGTACTTTTTAGAGCTGACATAGTGGTGAAGACACTAGTATTGCCTTAGCTGTTACAGGAATACGTGATATGTTTCCATAGACTCCAAGTCTGTGAATAATTCTCACATGTATGTCACGATCGAGTTTTCTGCTAATGATCATAGGAAGGTTTTTGTTTTCGCCGTCCCGTCTTTCTCCTATAATGTTTACTCACATGAATAACAATGCTTGTGTAGAGTCTTAAAGTGATAGGAACCCAGGGGCACAGATTCTATTGGCTTCTCACCTCCACTAGCAGGATAGATCCTATTAAAAGAGGTGTCAACCTCATCAGCTACTCAATATTCTTCTGCAGGACTTATAGAACCAAATATGTCTTATCCATCTTACGTTAACGGAAACCCTCCTGTGGTGACATTGAAAGAATATGACACTGCATCGTGGGCATCTACTACTTGTGTTGACCGCAGAGACGGAAAGTTTGTCATAGTGGTGATGGAAAATCCTCTGCAAGTTGTTGCTACGGTGGACGAAAAGGACAACGGAGTTCTCGACTCCATTTTCAAAAGCGCCCACAAGGACTTTTCTGACCAGCTCGTGGAGAAGAAGGGAGATGTTCCACGGAAAGAGTAAGTGGATAAACAGAGTATAGGGAATCGCCCGGAGGAAGTACATAATGTGTATACGTATATTATCTCCAATGTGTTTTCGAGTACATGTACTCTTTGTAGCATATGATGGGTGTCGTCAGCATGAGGCCAGCCTCGGAACATTCAGAAAAAGTGCGTGTTGCACTGACTGTCTTTGTGAATGACCATGGCGCTCTTGAATTCATTCAACTCGTCTTTAATTTGTTGCGCCAACATCGGCGTCAACTGATTACAAGTGGCAACATCTGGGTGCCGGTCGTACTCTTCTCCGTCGAACGTATCGTAGAGAATAATCCTAGACGAAAATCTCACACCCTTTTTACCGAAAGTTGGCCGCGGCAGCGCCATCGGAGACTTGCGGATGCGCGAGATGAATGACGAAAACAGCCGTGGGCTAGATGTAGTGCTGTGGTCCGACACTGACGGAATGCGGTCGTGATGGAATGGCATTGCCTGCGGTGGCTGAAGGTCGCTGTATTTTGACGAAGTTTGCGCTGCACGGTTGGCTGATGATCCAGATGAACCGAGTCCCTGTTTAGAATCACGAGACGGAGGTCTGACACCGTACGCGTTTTCATCATCGTATTCGTCGTCATCCTCGTCGTCCGAAGAGCCGAAACCTTCTCCCACTGCAAGCGAGTCGCTCAGACGGCTGTCAGCCAAATGGAACAGTTGATGGGAGCCCGATTGATGCAACTGCTGATTCTTCAATGCCAGCCCGCTGAAGCCACGGAAAGACATTGAGATGGGCCGAGCGGCAGTGCTTGGACTTTCTCGTGCCACGGCTTCGTTGACAGCCATACGGTATGCCGTGTCAAGAATTGGTGACTTAATTATTGAATTAGGTGTGTTTGCATCGTCCACAGGCTGGGGTGGTGGCGTCTGTGGTTCCAGCCCGGACGCAGAGTCAACAACTATAATTGTAGGTTCTTCCTGTCGCATAGAGGCTCTGTTAGCTTCGTTGGTTTTATTTGGTGGGGGTACTTGGATAGATTGGACGTCTTTACCGTTTTGGACTCCATTTGCATCCGAAGCAAATTCCAGGTTTTCAACTGTATTAATAACTTGAGCAGATTGCGCAGCATGGGCCTGGTCTAACATATGTGCGTGAACTGCGTCTCGTTCTTGATCATCTCCGCTTTCATCAATCGCACTGCTCTGGAGAGGAGAAGAGGAGAAATCAAGATTTTCAATATCAATAAAATCAGTAAACTCAATCAAATCCTCATAATTCTCAAAAAAGTCATCTGAGGCTGGCGCGGCAGGAAGTTGTGGAGGTGCCAATGTATGTGCCTCTTTTGTTGCTTCTGCTGCTTCTGCATTTTGTACTTCAGACAAGATGGCTGCTACTTCTAAAGAAGCATCGATCAGTGGAGACATTATGCTAGAAGTAGAATGTGAGTTTTTCAAGATGGACCCTGATCTTTTCATACCTGAGACGTTCTGCGAAGAAGAATCGGCAAAAATGATGTTTTCATCCGAGCCATCATAATTCATGAACGAGCTTCTCTTGCCCGACCGTACAGATTTCATTGACCGGGAACGCTCAAGCGAAACAATACTTTCAACCTCATGGGGCAGAAGAGACTTGGGAAACAAAGCTTCTCCAACAAGCAGCTCGCTGACATTCATTTGTGCTTTGGATTCTTTGGACGAATTCTTTGAATGATCGAAAACAGGCATCACAGATATTTTTGGTGTTTCATGAGGACTGCTGGCTTGAGAGTGGTACGATAATGCAAATGGCGACCCGAATATATTATTGTTTTGTTTGGGGTCCAATAGCGCCTGTATCTTTGGCGAATATGAATCGAAAGGTTCAAGTGAAACCTCTTCACCGTACTTCCTATTCTCGAGTCTTTTTGGAGGGTCTAAATCAAGGTTTTCCTCGTCAATTGTCATCTCAGAAACATCTGGAAATCCTCTTGGATAATAGTCCGAATCATCTACCTCGCGAATAGTATTTTCTCCATTCAATGCAATTGTGGCTGGTGTGCCACCAGACTCCATTGTAGCCGAAGACTCGAAAGTTTGTGGAGTACGAGGAACTGGTGTTTGAGGGGCTTCTTTCGGTTTTCCTAAGGCTGGAGGCACTGCTGCTATAGGTTTCACTGCTTTAGGAACCTTTTTCTCTTCTTGTTGTACTGAAGCCGGTGCAGTTTCAAGTTTTGTCGCCAGGAATGCTGGCGTTGATTTTTTCTTCATTCCGAAAAAGCTTTTTCTTGCATCCTTAGATTTTGGGGCCTCCTCAACCAATTGACTGAAGTTGGGCGTGGAATATGATTTTGCCGTGATTTTTACTGGCTTGCTTGGCTCTTCCTCTACACCTCTTAATTTGTCAAGTGAGTGATTTTTCGACTTGATCTTGAACAATCCCCTAAAGCTGAACCGCTTCAGAGATTTCAGCGAACCATTTGCAAGTGCAGATATATCACTGACAGTATTACTTCTCCGGTGTGTCGCGGAAGCAGGGCTTTCATGAAAACTCACTTAGCGATTTTTGATGAGGCGAGCGGCTCATTTGCGAACGTGGTGTCATCTGAGACTTTGAGCTAAGAGGCGTGGTGGATGTAGCCTTAGAACTCTTGATTGGTTTCTCGGACATGCTGTTCTTGGTCGTAGCTTTTTTCAAGCTTTCGTTCAGAGCATTCTTTGCCAGCGGTTTAGGGCCCGACATATCTGAAGATACCTTTGCCTGAGGTTGAAATGGTTCTTCGAGTTGAGGAACATCAAGCATTGATTTATACTGGGTATGAGCAACTTGAGTTGGTTTCAGCAAAGCAGAACCAGTTTCAGAAGCCTTATCAAGCGCCATGGGAACGTCCGAGTGCGCTTCGGTCAATGTGTCATCGGCCTTATCGTCTGAGACTGTACTTCCACGTTCCGAAGCATCCTCTCCTGTGCTGACTTTGGTTTCGCCGCTCTCTACCTCCTTTTCCGGAAACGAGGAAGAAACGGTTTTCAAGTGCGGCGAGAAGTCCTTGGACAAGCATTTGATTGTCTGAAAAGTTGCAGGCTGGTCCAATTTTGGCGTCACATCGGTAAGGGAGTAGCCAGACTCGCCCATAGTGCTCAAAGACAGAGATGGATAGTGCCCCTTTTTATCGGGCAGAGTCGTTGAGCGGACAGCGTCGTGCTCGAGATTTTTATGGTTATCCGAGCCGGGAGAGTTGTCACTAGTTTCCTCTTCTTCGATAATGGGCGGGGCTGCGACGCTCGTGGGCCGATCGTTCAAAGCAGACTCCAATGCTTTCATTGAAGGCGAAACTTTCATCAACAGGGTGCGGCTAATGGCAGACGCCGAACTTTCGACATTAGAAGCTTCGCCTGCGCCCATGAGGCCTGCGCTGATCAGTGCCGACAGCATGGAATTGGGAATATTGACGGTCTTCTTCAAGTTGAAAATGTGGTTCAGGGAAGACAGCTGGGAGATTCCAGCTGCGGAAGAATAAAAGTCGTTGTTCCAAAGAGCATCCTCGTACTCATCATGGTTGGCAAGCGACATTGCTGCGGGGCTTTTTGGGTTCGAACGGACTCTTGGCGGTTAGAAACAAAAATGTATAGTGGGTGCTTTTGCGCCACAAACACAAGGGCTCCGAGAATTTATCTAGACGAAATAGTTGGTGTCAGACACGGGAAGCGGGAATATCAAGGGGAGATGGTCGAAAGCTGGGAACGAAAAAAAAAAAAAAAAAAGATGTGCCGGTGGACTCAACCCAATTGGGCAAATGAAGAGAAAAAATAGGAAGGCTGGATGTGATGCAGGCAGAGACGAGTCGAGAACTTGGCGAACTTGCGGCTCAATGAGAATCACCGAAAGGGATATAGCAGGAACTAGACCAGAAGAAACTTGGTCCGCGTGGAAATGACACTGTGATGATAAAGGGCCAGAAATCGGTGTATGGGGTTTTTAGGCGTGCCTGTCTTGCTTTAGAGGATGCGTGAAATATTCCCAAAGCAGAAACGCGTCGCGTAGGTCAACGTGCGTCAGGAACGGAGTACACACCTTAGGGAGGTACGGGTGTTTCTCCCCGCAGGCACCGGGTCAATTGATGCGGAAGGCCTGATATGGCTAAATTATGTGGGAGGCGGATGCACAACTTGGGGAGGTTGCAGACGGACGATGTCAAAAAAGCTGCAATGGGAAGACACAATATGCGAATGAATGAGTGCAAAAGAAGAAAAAATAAAAAGATGTACATCGAAGAAAATGATGTACATCGAAGAATATGATGTACAAGAAAGTGATGTACATAGAAATGCAATGTCAGAACTCGGGCTTAGCATGCCATCATTTTGTCTCGATACATTGTTATCTGGGCGTCCTATACTGACTGCACGCAAAACCCCAGTTTGGCTTTCCGAAACGTTGGGGAGGTAAAAACTGCACAATTATGGGGCGGCTTGGCGTGTACTTCGAGGGAAACTAATTTCTCGTATTTGCTAGCGAATCCCTGAGACACTAAGCGCTTAAAAGATACGAACACTACATTGCATCACAATCGTAGCAGCTGCTTCATGTTCACATGCAGACGACCCTTACTGTGCAGCTTCATTTGCAGTCGGATGTAATTCCTTGCATGTTCATAAACACTAGATGTAGAATTGTCCTAGGCTAAGATCTTCTATGACAAAGAGCGGAGTTTTTCATACACAACATTTTCCATGCTGAATCAAATAGGACATCTGAAACAGGAGGGATCAGTATAATTGCGATGTTCACTAACAGCCCCCGTTTACTGTCGTTGGGGCCCAAAGACTATATGAAGATTCTTTTACAATTGAAAGATTCAAAAAAGGGCATGAATAGCAAAGCCAAGTGCGTATGTATCGTCCATTAGTGTATAGCAAGATAGATCATGAATCCGCAGGCAAAACGTTTCTCGACATTTTTTTTTCTTGCGCCTCAAAGAATTCATCTTTCTAGAGCTCTATTAGTGAAGACGGTTCAAATATAAATACAGAGCATACTTTCATGTGCATCCATGAATTCGCGGGCGCGCCAGGCAGCCTAAACGATGACACAGTCGCTCTTTTTCTTCAAACGGAGGCGCCGTTTCTGCGCGGGCGGCGCGCGTACCTTGGGCGCCGCACTTTTTTCGAGCACCGACAGCACCTCGGTAAGGCCAGTGCTCTGCGAAACACGCCGCGCCAGGTTAAGAAGCGACAAAGTGTCGCCCGAAAAAACACTTTCGGGACGCAGTTGGCGCGGGAAAACTTGCGGCGCGCCTGGCTCTAACCGAAGAACCGGGTCCAAACCAAATTGAAGAAGCGTATTGGCCAAGTACATGTAGAATTTGATCCATAACACTTCAAGCTGCTGAGTAAACTTGGAACCAAAGCGTTGCACAAAAGTTTGCACCAACGCTTCTCCCATCATCTCGAACTGGAAAGGTTCGATGCCCAAAATGCGCAGGTGTCTTTTGCCCAATTGCTCCAAATAGGCATCTAAGCTGGACAAGTTGTCAAGAGAATTGACTGCAAGAGACATTACTCCAGCCATAGACACAGCCTGGTGCCGGAGCGAAGGAAATGCCTGCTCCAACTCTGGGTCCATAGACAAGAGATTCAGATAGAGCTGCGTACAAAAGGTCGACAGAGCATGCAAGGACAGTTGGGCCATCTTCTTGGGGCGTGCAAACGCACCAGGGAGGGAAATCTTCGGCTCGGCATCGTCAACCAACATGCGGTTCCACGTGTATCTCACCAAAGCGATTTCTTTAGGAGAAAAGTCAAGCGAAACACGATAAACAGATTGATTAGAATACGCAGAGTTACACGAGTCTCGAGTACCAACTCGAGTTACTTTGTAATTTTCGTGCGTGTAGTCCGAGTAGCTGGGAGCGAAGTACATATCCAGGTTTTCGCTTTGAGTATCGGGGATGGAAGCGTCCTCACGAGCATTAGCCAAAGATTGTGTTGAGTAAGACTTTGGAATATCACGTCCCAATTGAGTTGGTCTACGCATCAGAGTAGAACCAGAAAGCATCTTCGTTGTGTAGACGGTAAAAAGATTTGGGGACAAAAAAAGTTTGCAAAATGGCCAGATCAAACGATAATAACGCAGCGCGGGCTCAGAATAGGCGGGTGCACAGTCGCGAGATCTCGCACTAGTTAAGAGCTAATCTCTAATTTTGCTTCAGGGTGGATGATATCAGCATAGATACAGAGGGTTGGGTGAAGTCTGACTCCGCATTTGACTTCTTTGGTAACCAGGGGTTTGCCCAATCGGCAGCATGCACAAACCTTACCAAGGTACATGACCAAACGTGCAGGTTTGAAGCATGAGGTAGAGCAAATGCGTATTCCTGCACATCCACGATCAATGTGATGGGTTATATACAAGCTCACGATACTCCATTCTTGCCTCTAACGTTCAGCCAGGTCATGTGCTTTTGCGATTATCCGACTAACGAAAGAGAAGCTTATGTTTCAATATATGTCGCTACATGACGCATAAAGCATTTAAGATGGGGGGAAAAAGTACATATCATGTTTACAACCCTACACAGAACGTTATGGTAGTGGCTTTTTTCTCATGAATCTCACACATATGCTGGAGAACAATGCAAGGAAACAAGGGGATAATGGTGTATTGGTGCGACGTCCAATGTATCTCGGAATTTGCGCCTTCACAAATACTCTCGATGCGCTCTGCGGTTATACCGCAGGCGTTTGCTTAATGTATGCACGGCAGCGAATCTGCCTATCTTGCAGTTACCCACCTCTTTTGTTTATGTGCTTGATCTCAACCTTTGTCCTCATAATAATAACTAAACGTTCAATAATATAAACTAACTGATCAGGAGCCATAGTCGTTCTTTTCTGCTCTAGGTCTCTGACTCATATTCTCACATCCTTTGTGAACACAATATGTTTTTGTAGTACTTGTTACTAATCAGTATGCCCATCGTATAACAGGCGCAATGCAACATCGGCCCACAACCAATACTTACAAGTAGGTAGTGTATCGGAAGATTCATCCCCTCCTGTGCGACTCTACTCAAGCTGCTTCTCAACGTGCGCTGCACGTACAATTATTTGCGTTTTGGCATTTAAAAGTGGGAATGCTGCAGATAACATGCGTACTCGCATTAGTCGATTCATAAAAAACATGACGCGCATGATATGATGCAGCCGCTGCGCGTCCGCTTGCTCTTTCGGCATCTGTGACCTTTGTCAGCCTTTCTTAACAAACGTAAAAATTGGTAGGTAGCCTACGGAAGGACATATTGCTGCCCAAGAGGGATGTCTCTTCATTTGTATTGGTCTCCCGAAAAGGGTAGGTACTAAACAGACCTCACATTCTGGCTTGAGATGACCCCTATAGTCCGTTCTCGCGCATGAACAGAACTCGGAAATCATTTGCAAATACCGAGTGAGGATATCTGCGATAAGATGTACACCAGCCATACATGAGCCATACATGAGCCGTACATCAGCCATACATCAGCCTCCTTTCAACGTCTTCGTGATGATCGGATGCTAATGTTACATCTACAGTCTGTAGCAATATTAAGTAAGTCTTTCAAGTCATTATTCAATAGTCTTGTCTAACGGAACCTCAACGTAATAGCACTGGAGAGCCCTCTCTAAGGCCTGTCCAAGATGGTCCCAATGCAAAACCCGTACGTTCTTGTCGAACCCACGAGGCTTGCGAATACTATAGGCCATGATACGTCTAGCAAAAGCATTATCAGCGTCTGCAAAGTCTTCGCCCGAAGATTTTGCCAGCAACGGCCGTTTTTGCCAAAAGGGCATCAAATTAGAGCGGATCCGGCCGCGCTCGCGCCGCCGTTGCGCTGGGTCCATACAGCTTGCGTTGATTAGCGTTTCCACAATGCCAATCACCTCGACAGAAGTAATGTAGTAACCGGCGGGTATCCCGCAGTCGGATGTATCCTTCTGCAAGCACGAGACCTCAATTACAGATACGCCTGCAGGCGCAGGCTCTGGCGCTGGGTGTTTCGTAGCCAGTCCCACAATGCGAAACCCTGCGCCGAGAGCCGCACAATCCTGCGTGCATTCCACACGCACTATTCGCCGCTTATCCTCCAATTCGGCGTCACTCCAGTGCGAGCTGCATGCATAGCTGAGCAGCTCCTTCTGCACCGCTAGTTTGACGGGCGCATAATAATGCCCATGTCTTGGTGGGCTTGCGGGAGGCTTTGACATGGCAGAAGCGGACGATGATCCCCGTACAATGCGGCACAAATCGACCGTACATACGCTGACAGGCGTAGGAGGCGTGCGCCACATGCTTGACGAATGCGACTGGGCGCCAACAGGCATGCTGCTGTGGTATGCCAGTTGCGCGCACTCTTGCGCATTGCAAGGTAATACTTGCGCTATTGCCGCAGCTCTCGCATCGTCTAGCGGCAGCTGCTCTTCAACATGGGCTGGAATAGGTTGCCCTTCGCTCGGGTCTGGCGAAATGCAAGGCGCCTTGCGATGTAGAGGCGGCGCAAACGCCTGTGGTACAGCCTGGTGTTGCGCTTCTATAAGAAGATATTGTGTGTCTGGAGGCATATACTGCGTGACACCACTCATGCCCGTTTCTATAGGGTCAAAATGGGCTTTCCGTGGGGCAGACAGCATTGCCACTGCATCGTGGTCTACACTTGTAAATGCCACTAATGCTGCAAGCGAGTTTGGCGCCAGCGCCATCGAATCGTTTTGGAGCATAGATGCCATGTCAAGTCGTGTTTGTGTCGAAGAAGGTGTGGCCATAGTGTTGGCGGAGTTGACGGAGTTGACGGAGTTAGCAGAGTTGGTGGAACGAACAGAATTGGTGGAGGTGGAACTTGCGTAGGGCACAGCATCACTAAAAGTCCCTTCCGTGGCACTGGTTAGAGTGTTATCCCAAGGAGGAAAGAACACTGAGTCGACGGGATGTTGCACGACGAACTCTTGTTGTGGTTGTGGCTCCGTATAAAGCGGCTCTTGGGACATGAAGTACAAGTCCGCAAGCGACGCATGGGCGTTGAATATGTCACCCATGGCGAAAACAAAACAGTATCCACAAGCAGAATAAAACTGGGAATAGGTGTTCGAAATCGCTGGGAATCCCCACAGATATAAACAGAACAAAAAAAAGACCCCATAGGCAAATCTGCTTATCACTGCTTTGGGCTAATATGGCGCATGGTTCTCTGTGCGTCCGGTGGAGGTTTTTTAACACATGGTGCATGAGCCGGGCCGAATCCCGCATTCTGCACAGGTCGTGACCTTGCATCGACTCAGATCCAACTCGCATGTATTCAGTCTGTACCTCCACTCCCAAAGATTTGGGAAACAATGGAGTGCTCAGACTCATCCTCCATCATGGCTTTACGGATAATGCGGATCTGTTTATGTCCTACAGTATCGCAGCATGACCATCAAACCAAACGCTGGATACGAGAAAAATCTTTCAAGTGTTAACAGCGGTGAGGCTAGCAACACTCATAACCTACCGTTATATCTCGGCAAGTCGATAACTAAGCAAGAGGCGGTTTTCTTTGTGCATCCATCTACCACATCAGAGGTCAACAACGAAGGAAGAACGTTCTTACTGTCGAAAGGCTGGAAGTTCTAGGCGTTCTACCTACATATGTCATGAAAGATTCGCAAAACCCTGTCGAGGAACAATCACAAGCATTTACTAGAACTGCATCGTAAAAGAGAAAAGTGCAATACACACCTTCGATCCTTGTCATCAACTTCGTCATGCTGTTCTGAATCTATTTCTCGTTCTCATTTCGGTCTCATTAATTATCAAACCTTTGGACTAGCTGCTTTTCATCTGATTGAATGAACGTAATACCTTTGTCAGCAAGGGACAGCTACAAGAGCGGGGCGACAATACAGATGCATGTATATGGAGGATCTTCTCTTGTTGTAGCAAGAACAATCGGCGCGCATCAGGAAGTTCAGCCACTGCGTCCGCGTCCGGCATCCTGGACGTACTATGCACGTTTCTGCAAAAGATCTATGCATCAGACGCCTTTCTTTGCCTCAGAGAAGCAAAGCGTATTTCTCTTTTGAGGGCGGGAACTCTTTTAACCTTTAATTGTACATGCGATCCCTCTATTTTTGGGAGGTCACTTCTTCTATGGAAAATCTTCGATCAAGATGATTCGACAGGGCAAACTTTAATTTTCAAGGTGTTTAAAACATTTGGCCATACGCGCCCTTATTTGTTCTTCATGTATGATTCGGGCGACGTCCACACCACTTTCATAACAATTTCTTCATCAGCTTTGTGCTTCATTTTTTCTTGCAAGCACTCCACTATTAGGAGTTTGATACTGATGGCCACCTCGACCTCTGAATAGCTCAAAGTCTAGCCATTCTAGAAATAAACTCTGGATTAAAGTATTGTGAACAAAATTTGCCGCATGTGCATTCATTCTAAGAAAACGATTACTTTTGGAGCAGAACCATTTGCCTAGCAGAGGTTATGAAAGAGAACATATGCATATAAAAGAACACGCTTCATGCTTGACTAAACTTTCTTGAGCCTGTAAAAATAGATACAGAGAAAACGATTCTGTGCATCAAATTGTTTTTCCTGCCGTAAGATTCGTTATGGGCCTGTTCGATCAGCAACTTCTCTTTTCAGTGACCAACTGAATCTTTCGTACCTTCATTAAAACCTATTCGGGAGAAAGACCCGCCAAATTCGCTGAAAGGTCAATATTGAAAACACCATCAAGACCTGCTTTTCAATGTATCTGAGAAATTTATCGGAAAGATGCATAAGCGGCTACCATGACATTGGAGGGATTCCGAATTCGTAGGTTTCGAAACTATGACAGTTTAATAGCGGGGACCCCATATTGCAAAAATCCGAGTGTGAGTAGGACTGTCATTCTAAGAAGAAGGTATGGTTTCAAGTGTGTGTTCAGTTTATCCTCTCATTGAAATCTCTTTGATTACAAATCGTATCTGCACCAATCACACGCAGCTGAGTTATGATATTTGTTTCTTGATATTTTCTGTTACTCGCGTGGCTAGCTTGAGTTCTTCAAGCCCATCAAGCTATCTGCATCGTTGAAGTTGACTGAGTCAAGCCAAAAAGATCCGATGGACTTTTAACACGAAGTAAGGAGACAGTGACGAAACAACCTTTTCGGAGCTCCAAGAAGGGTCTATTCTGTACAAGAAATTGTGAGCTTATTTTTTTTATGTACAAGAACTGTAAGTTATTTTTCATGTACAAGAAGCAGAATCTCGTCATTTTTTATGTACGGGAAGCAGTGTTACGGCCAGGATTGAAAGGCTAATTTCATACACAAACGGAACAAAAACATCCTTCTGTGAGGCGTATCAGCCGCACAAGACCCGTTTGGCACTTTACAGAAGACTTGACTTCAAAGGTTAGGATATCAAAATGCAAATAGGGAGGTGCATGCAATGCGAATAATCATACGAAGGCTTCCGACATGGTAGATATTCTGACCGAGACTTGGAAACCTCTCAACTTGGAAACCTCTCAGCTCGAAAACCATCTCAACTTGTCACCAAGATTCTGTGTCGTGACGATTTGTCTGGCGGTGCTCAAATTTAGTGTAGTATTTGTAGAAGATATTACAGGCAAGCGCATTGCTAAAGCACGAATGGCGCAGTGGCATTTTCCATCGTCTCCAAAAGTGTCTGTTCACTGCACTAGCATAACTTTGCTAGCATGGTAAGACATCGCTACATTGTGTCAAATCAACGTATATTGCGCTCCAGAGGCGCCAGCTCCATATCTAAGCACGCTTCGATCTCGCGTACAACCGGCGGAACACATACACATCGCCCAACACCAACGCCGTGATCAAGCCGGCATGGATAGCAACCACATACCCGTTGTCGCTTCTAATGCGAGCACGCTCCGAGTACACGTACGATCCGGCAGTGGCAGCACCGGCAATAAGCGCCAACTGGCCCACAACCGCAGGGTTTTGCAACTCGCGGCCAGCAGCAGCCACCGTGTCCGAGTTGACGTTGCGGCGCACGTACAGCGAAACGGCGTCGTACTTTTCGCTGGCGTAGGCCACCGCCTGGCTCCAAAGCGACTTTCCTTCCTCCTTGAGGCGTTTGGCATCCTCCCGGGACACCTCAGCAACGTCTCCAAGAGTCTTCTTGCCCTTGGCGACAGCATCACGTGCCCGTTCTTTGGCATCCTTCTTGATTTCTTCCAACTCCTCCTTGTCCACTAGTTCCACGCCGCCGTGGGGCTCGGTGGTATGCTGCACTTTGGCAGGCTCGGGAAGTTTCTGGGCTCCTGTAGGGCCCGAGGATGCAGCGGCTTCGGCGTAGGTCGACATTTTTGACGGAATATTCTCACAAAGGTTTTTCTTCTTTTGGATGAAGTAGCTCCAACACGGGGACGGGCGCTTTTTAAAGCAATGGTGCCACCCCCGGATTGTTTGCTGTCCTGCAGAGTGCCTGGGGACCCCCAGCTTATCTATGTTCGGTACTGCAGATTGTACAGGTAGCGTGACGGTTGCGGTCTAGTTAAGACTGTTTTGGAACCCTCAGGCTGGCGTGTTTCACAAAAGAAAAAGCGGTACGGGTCTTCTGTGGCTCTTTGTGCCCTCAGCCACCCACTTTCTGTCTGGCGTTGCTTGTTTGTTCCAATGGGCCATCGCCAACTAAGTATGTCGGGTGTACGGAGGTGAACATCAAGCCTGCGAGGTTGCTCATGGGCGGGGGGAGCGGAAAAAGGGCAAGGAACAAAGTGTGTCGGGTGCACGGGTGTTTTGTTTTGTTTCGTCATTCTATAAATTTGTCCGGTCAGTGTCTCTTTCCTGTGAGATGTACGGGTGTTTGGCTACAGCACATTTGTGAGGGAGGTACCGGCTTGTCACTCATCGTGGGCCTTAGGGCTCGCGCCCTCGCGCATCCTCTACCACCCGCGCAGAAAAAAATTTCGCCAAATTTTCATTCTTTTTCTCTTCAGATTTATCGATCGAAAACCACCACCCCGGCTTTCCACGTAACATTCCGATAATCATGTCTGCTGCTGCCCCAGAAGCCCCAAAGAGAGCCTTCGGTAAGAGAAGAGGAGGTCCAAGAAGAGGAGGAAGAAGAGATGAGGAGAAGGGCTGGACTCCAGTCACCAAGCTCGGTAGATTGGTCCAAGCCGGTAAGATCACCACCATTGAGGAGATCTACTTGCACTCTTTGCCAGTCAAGGAATACCAAATCATTGACCAATTGCTCCCAGAGTTGAAGGACGAGGTTATGAAGATCAGATCTGTCCAAAAGCAAACCAGAGCTGGTCAAAGAACCAGAATGAAGGCTGTTGTCATCATTGGTGACTCCAACGGTCACGTTGGTTTGGGTATCAAGACCGCCAAGGAAGTTGCTTCCGCTATCAAGGCTGCCATCATCATCGCCAAGTTGTCTATCATCCCAATCAGAAGAGGTTACTGGGGTTCCAACTTGGGTGCTCCTCACTCTTTGCCATGTAAGGTCACTGGTAAGTGTGGTTCCGTTGCCGTCAGATTGATCCCAGCCCCAAGAGGTAAGGGTATTGTCGCTTCTCCAGTTGTCAAGAAGTTGATGCAATTGGCTGGTGTTGAGGATGTTTACACTTCTTCTTCCGGTTCTACCAGAACTACCGAGAACACCTTGAAGGCTGCCTTCATTGCCATCGGTAACACCTACGGTTTCTTGACCCCTAACTTGTGGGCCGTTCAACCTTTGGTTGCTTCTCCATTGGACACCTTCGCTGAAGAGGCCCAAGGTGGAAAGAGAAGATACTAAGCACTTTGTACTAATGTAATCTACCTTTTCTTTCGTGTAAGCATTATGGTCTCATGTTTTTCTTTTAGCATGTGTAATTTTGCTGGTCAATGTATCAACTTTGCAAATGGTGGCCAGTGAGATAGATACCCAGAACTCAACCACTCTGTTCTTAAAGCTCGCTGTGGAGGCAATTTTACTAACTAGTTCCCTTTTTTCTGAAACCAATCGATTATATATGTGGAGATGCGTCCCATCAACGTAAAAATAGAGAAAGAGATTATCTTCCCCAGACCAAGTCAGACTATTGATGTAGACAGAATAATGTGAACGTATTGTACATGGCTCAGATGATCTTATGAAATTTCTTCTTCTTTGGATATGTGCCTCAACTCTTATATCCTGAAAACACATGCAGATATTCGATTCTGTATTCGTATCTTTGTCAGAGTATACTTTAAGTTTTACTCATCGTGAAATGATTCTCCATATCCTAGAATGGAAAATCTTGGAAATCTGCACAACTGTAGTTGAGAAACTCTTTAAATCGCTTTTAGTCCGCTGAAGTACGCTTTTCATGATGAGTAAGACTCTTTGAAGTCACTCAATCCTACTAAAAATGTTGCATTTTTTTTTTTTTATTCATTTTACACTTGGTGGTAGATATACACGGTTTCAATATATAATTTGCTCTAGATACCTCAGATTTATCATGTAGGTATTCATACTCACAGTTCACCATGAAACAAATCACCATGCGTAGATATCAAGTAAATGAATGTTGCAGGTATTCAACGAAGAGCATAAGAAGATCCTGTCACGGAGATGCCAGAGGCCACCAACTGACAATATTATAAGTGGAGAGAAACAGGGTGGTCCGTTATCGAACTTTATCGTAACATGGGTCCTATACTGGCCTACTATGTTGATCCCAAGTTGCCTGTACGGCGAGTATCCATTGCAACCATTATACAAATCCTTTTTCCATCCTTACCCAAGTCGTTACTTATTCGTACGGTTCTTTCCCGTGTGCTTTTTCTTTTTTTTTTTTTTTTTTCTTTACACATTAAACAATATAATACATTACTGTTGGACTGCTTGCTCCATCACCTGGTCTTCTGGCACAGCAAAAGAGCGGTTGCTTGTGGAATCGCTGCTGTTTTCAAAAAGCGCTCTTTCACGTCCGTCAGGGTGTCTGAAGTAACAGTACTTGTTTTTGCACTCGTTGCCAAAGCGACAATCTTCTTCAATAGGATGATTGAAAGTGCAGTCCAAACGAGTGCAGTTGTAGCCTCCGCGACAAGCAACACTCGAAGTTGAGTGTCTTTTGGGGCACAGCTGATTCGTGCAGTTCATTCCGAACTTGCACTGTTCTAAAGTAGTAGGCGTCCGCTTGTTGAAATTCGAAAATTTCGGCCCAGTCTTATTCATGAATTTAGGCCCGCTACCTCCAGGGATCTTAATATATTGTGCTGCAGGCGCCGGAGCTTGAACTGGCGCTTGGTAATTTGGAGACGAGTGTGCGTACTCACAATTCTCGTTCTGACAATTCTTGTTCTCTCTGCACCACTTAGGAATAATCACCTTAGCGTCTTTATTGGCAGGTGTTGGGTGGCCAAATGGACATAATTCTTTGGAACACAAAATGCCGTATTTGCACAAGGTTACCTGTGGCACCATCATACGTTCCTTTTTGCGGTCCATGAATTGGCGCTTAGTCTTTTCCAACTCTTGCATCAACTCACCGTCCTCAGAAGGATGCAAGTAATCGCAAGTTCCAGGAGGATTTGGGCAGTTTGGATACGCAAAACACTTTTTCGTGGGATGAGAAAACTGACATTCTCTATTCTTGCAGTATGGGAAGTCTTTGCACCGACCCTTTGGAGCCCTTGGAACAAATGGAGCCATGTTCACTGTTTGTGCGTTCGAGCTCAAAGCCAATGCCTTTTCAAGGTTGGCAGCATTCTTCATACCAAAACTTTTCTTCTGGTTGCGTGAGTTGCTTTGAAAGTCTTTGCTGATACCACTCTTTCCTCCACGAGCGCCTTTAGGACCTTGTGGAGCAGCTCTGCGGAGCTCGTTGCCCAATTTTTGGAAGTCCACATGCATCAGCTTATCTTCTGAGTCAGCTGGGACATCTTGATTCCCTGAATACGATGGAAAAGCAGACTGGGGAAAAGCGTTCTCATTTGTAAAGTTCTGGCCATTTTGGAAGTTCTGGCCGCTTGCAAAATTTTGTTCAGTTGGAAAGCTCTGCCCGTTTTGCGTATTCTGTGTTGCGTTGCTGAATACGCTGTTGTTATTTTGAAAGTTCTGTGGTTGGTTGAAGACACTTTCAGGTTGGAAAGTTTGTGGTTGTTCATTAGGGAAGCTTTGTGGTTGGCTTTCTGGTTGCGGTTGCTCGCTTTGAAAGTTTGGCTGCTGAAACTGGCTAGTCTCTTGCGTTTGCGCCTGCGGTTGTGTTTGTGTTTGGGCCTGTTCTTGACGCGATTGCTCCAACTTGGCAATCTCCGCAAAAACACGACCAATAAACGGTTCATCAATGGGAATGTTGACCACTTCCTTGACTTCGGAACAAATGTCAGCCGCAGTCCTGTTGTTTCCAATCAAAACATTAATGTATTCCGCCACATCTTGGGCATCATCGGGAATTCCATATGTGCTGGTGAGCTCGTTGACCAAAAGCGGTAAAAGTTGCTTGGCAGTGGGACCTTCAGGATCGTACAGCATGGTATTCGAAATGAGAATGTAACGGTGAGGTAGAAAAAAAGTAGTGGCGTAGTAGTTTTTTTTTTTTTGCCGTAAGAAGCCCATGGGCGTTTTCTGGTGTTCTGGTGCGCGCACGTAAATCACCGCTAGGCAAAAAAATTGCCCAGCGACATTACCATATCTAAGAACACTAACTTCATAAAGCATGTCGGTTCAGATTTTTGGCGAACAGGCCAGCGAAGAAAGAGCGGAAAATGCTCGTATGTCTGCGTTTGTCGGAGCCATTGCCGTGGGTGACTTGGTGAAAACCACCTTGGGCCCAAAAGGAATGGACAAGTTGTTGCAGTCAGCTTCGGATCCCGAAAGATCCATGGTTACCAATGACGGTGCTACGATTTTGAAGTCGATTCCATTGGACAACCCCGCAGCCAAGGTGTTGGTGAACATTGCTAAAGTGCAAGATGATGAAGTGGGCGATGGAACTACTTCGGTGACAGTTCTTGGCGCCGAACTTTTGCGAGAGGCAGAGAAGTTAGTGGAAAAGAAAATACATCCACAGACCATCATTGAAGGCTTTAGAATTGCTAGGAACACGGCCATTGCTGCGTTAGAAAACGTGGCTGTCAACAATGCCGAAGACACCCAAAAGTTCAGAGCAGACTTGATCAATATTGCCAAAACCACACTCTCTTCAAAGATCTTGTCGCAGGATAAGGACCACTTTGCAGAGTTGGCAGTGAGCGCCATTTTGCGGTTAAAAGGCTCGACCAACTTGAACCACATTCAAATTATCAAGAAGGCTGGTGGCAAGTTGGCCGACTCGTACTTGGATGAAGGTTTTATTTTGGAAAAGAAGTTTGGTATCAACCAACCAAAGAAGATCACTGACGCAAAGATTTTGGTGGCTAACACATCGTTGGATACCGACAAGGTGAAGATTTTCGGTGCCAAATTCAAAGTGGACCTGACGTCTAAGTTGGCAGAATTGGAAAAGGCCGAGAAGTTGAAGATGAAGAGCAAGGTGGAGAAGATCAAAAAGTTTGGCATCAATGTTTTCATCAACAGACAGTTGATCTATGACTACCCGGAGCAGTTGTTCACTGATGCCAAAATCAACTCGATTGAACATGCCGATTTCGATGGTGTTGAAAGATTGGCTCTTGTCACAGGCGCAGAGGTTGCATCCACTTTTGACAACCCGGACAAGGTCAGATTGGGTCACTGTGATTCGATCGAGGAGATTCTTATTGGAGAAGACACATTCCTTAAATTCTCAGGCGTTGCCGCAGGAGAAGCGTGTACTGTGGTCTTGAGAGGCGCAACCGAACAAGGTTTGGACGAAGCAGAAAGATCTTTGCATGATGCCCTTTCGGTTTTGTCGCAGACCACAAGAGAGACCAGAACAGTATTGGGTGGTGGATGTTCAGAAATGATCATGTCGAAGGCAGTGGACCAGGCAGCAGCCAACGAAACAGGCAAGAAATCGCTTGCTGTAGAAGCGTTTGCGCGTGCTTTGCGTGCTTTGCCTACTATCTTGGCCGACAATGCAGGTTTCGACTCAAGTGACTTGGTGACAAAGTTGCGTTCTGCTGTGTACAACGGTATCACTACTTCTGGCTTGGACTTGAACTCAGGAAAGGTTGCAGACATGCGAGACATGGGCATAGTGGAATCTTTCAAGTCGAAAAGAGCAGTGGTTTCTTCTGCTGCTGAAGCGGCTGAAGTATTGTTAAGAGTGGACAATATTCTCCGGGCAAAGCCAAGAACTGCGGACAGAAACCACTAATGCTGAGCTAAGATTTATGCTTCATTGACTTGGCGGGCTGTTCTTATGAGAAATCGGTCCACCTAGTTTACTGGATTACTTAATAGGGTTCACATGACATGCCTATCGGACAAGGTGTCAAGTTACATTCTGCCTAAAACAGCTATCATATCATCACGACGCTTTCGTCACAAATACTGGCCATTGGTACCTTCATATTAATATCATTGAGAAAAGAGTTTTTTTGTAGCTTCTGTATAAAGTTTGACAATTGACACATGTATTATCTATCTTTTGAATTCGGAGTTCTGTTATTTCCATGCGGTCACAATCTAACAAACATCTACCAAAATGCAATAAAGCCGTTGTACAATAAGATGGCAGGTACCCAAGTCTTATTCTCTCGTCTTTTCTTAGAAGGCTCACAAACGAGCCGATTCTTCGCCTCATGTCAACAGGTGATTAGTATCGCCCACTCTACAGATATCTTACAGGCTTGCTACCGTAGGATTTATATTAGTAGATACGAAGTTGTCTCATGGTCTCAATCTCTTAGGGTCTCTAGGGAAGAGAGAGGCACGACGGATATTCTTCAAATCCAAGAAGAACATCAACACTCTTTCCAATCCGATACCTCCACCAGCGTGAGGAGCACAGCCGTAGGTGAAAGCATCCACGTAGTCACTGACACCGTCCATAGTGTAGTCCACTTCGTGGGCCTTCATTCTTTCCTTCAACAACTCTGGGTCGTGGATACGTTGGGCACCAGACAAGATTTCCTCACCTCTCATGAAGAAATCGTAAGAGTTGGAGTATCTAGGGTCTTCTGGACAAGGCATGGTGTAGAAAGGTCTCACAGCCAATGGGAACTTGTCCAAGATGTAAAAGTCGGTGTCATACTTGTCTCTGACCAATTTGCCTAGAAGCTTTTCGTTTTCAGTAGACAAGTCTTCAAAGTCGTCCACTTCCTTACCTGCAGCTCTCAACATGGCAATACCTTCCTTGAAGTGCAATCTGACCATCTTTCCGTCAGCAGGCAACTTGAACTCCTCAACTGGGTACTGCTTTCTCACAGTGGCGATCTCCTTTGCGTATCTGTTCTTCAACTCAGTGAAAATGAAGATAAACAAGTTCTCCAACACTTCCATCACCTCGTCATAATGCTCTTCGAAAGCCATTTCCAAGTCCAAACCGACAAACTCAGTCATGTGACGGTGGGTGTTGGAGTTTTCGGCTCTGAAAACAGGAGCCACCTCGAAAACCTTTTCGAAATCGGCAGCAATCAATTGTTGCTTGTAAAATTGAGGAGATTGCGCCAAGTAAGCGGATCTCTTGAAATAAGAAACTTCGAACACGTTGGAGCCTCCTTCTGAAGCAGAGCCAAGAATCTTAGGGGTGTGAATTTCAGTAAAGCCCTTGCTTGACAAAAACTCTCTGAACAATGCACAAATACCGTGTTGAATCTTGAAAATGGCCTGGTTGGTTGGGGTTCTCAAGTCAATGACACGAGCATCCAATCTGGTGTCCAAGTTGACGACAGGCAAACCGGCAGCTTCAGCATCAGCGTCAGATCTAATGGCATCCTCAATCAACATTGGCAATTGCTCTGGGGTTTCTTGGATGGTGTAAATCTTGGAGATCATAATCTCAGCGTCTTGAATGGTAGCAGACTTGATAGGCTCTTCAACCTTCTTGACAACACCAGTGACCACAACAATCGACTCCAAGTTGATGGCACCTGCCCATTTAACCATTTGCTTCGACACAGTAGATCCATTGGCCTTGATGAGACCTTGGATCAAGCTGTCTTGTTGTCTGAAAGTCAAAAACGCCATGGTAGCACCTTGCTGTCTGGAGTTGTGTGCTCTTGCTCTGAAAACAACCTCTTCTCCGTCATTGGCGGCCGACAAGTCCTTGATTTGGATTCTCTTGATTCCGGTTTTGGAGTCGGACACAATCAAAGGCAACTTACCGTAGTTTTCCTTGGCTGGGTCATTTGCAGCTTGGGCTTCCTTCTCAGCCTTTTCCTTGGCCAACTGGGCTTCTCTTTCAGCCTTTTTGCGGGCCTTTTCCTTTTCCTTTTCCAACTTCTTCAATGCCTTCTTAGACAATGGCTGGCCATCTTCACCCAAAATGACTTCTCCTTCTGGGGCAGCGGGCTTGTTGATAGAGAGATCCTCCAATTTCTTGGTTTCTTCTGCTGACATTGTGTTAGTGGGTATGCTAAGAACTGAGGTAGATCCTGGAAAAATTTAGTGGGTGCTTTTTTCGCTTGACTTTGTGCCGGATGTCAAGTCACCAGTTCCTTATTGTCACAGCATTTATAGTAGAGTGACTATGAGTCATCGAATACGTTTGTTTCAGCAAAGATGTAGCAAGACGGGCTCCTTATGATTTATGCAAGTCTTTTAATTCTCTTCGTGATAGCCTTTCGCATAACGAGTTCTCATCATGCTTCATTTAGTGCACTGTCACCTTTTGACAACAGTAGACAAATGAATTTACTGATGTCAGCTCCTTCTCGGTTTTTCAAATAAGGTAGCCGTTTTCCTTTTATACGCCAAGATCAGTTCGGTTGTTTTAGTTTGTTTCATCGTTCGAGCTTCGGCGAAATAATCGCATTTTTGTACATTTCATGAGATATTGGCAGTACAGTGCAAACTACAAACTTGTAAAAAAAAAAAAAATCCCATAGTTCATGATCTTCACTTTTCAGTGTAACAAATGCAAAAAGAGTGATGTCGGATTTAGGATTAGGGATATGGTCGGATATATGAAACCAAGTGCTTGATGAAGCAAGATTTAGAAATACTTCCTGAATGATGCGCACGTAATTCTGTCTCACATAGCTCTGAGTTCCAAGTTAAGGAAAAAAAGAAAGCCCAAAGAGATCATACACTGTCCTGGTGTTACCTGTGACATGACCATCAATGAAAATGAATATATTATACGGGCAACAAAAACAGACAGAAATTTCCGATATAGTGTAATGGCTATCACGGTTCGCTCTCACCGAGCAGATCGGGGTTCGATTCCCCGTATCGGAGTTTCCCACTATTTCCGATATAGTGTAATGGCTATCACGGTTCGCTCTCACCGAGCAGATCGGGGTTCGATTCCCCGTATCGGAGCTACTTTTTTGCCCAACAATCAATGATTTATCAAGAATGTGCCAGAAGGTTTGCATTACATCAACTGATTGGGAAGCGAACTTGAATAGCGCAATAACTAGACGTAACAAACCACCATCTCCTTTTTTAACGGATGGGAACCAAGGCTGTGAATATTTTCTCCTTTGGGCTTTCTCCACATTTCTTCTTTCACACCCAATTTATCGACCAAATGGACCAAGCTACATGCAAGAGCTGCACATATGCGAGTTCTAACTTCAAACATTAGAACTCACTAGAACGATATATTTTCAGAAGCAGGATAGGCATAGCAACTAGAAACAACTAAAAACTTGAAGTTCTTCTTCACGTGGCCTTGCTCCACATCTTGACTAGCAGGAGAAAATATAGTAATAGTAGCTTCATAGCATTGTTAGGTAGGAAGTCACGGTCACGTGCAAGGCGATAAGTAGCGAGAGCTACGAGGCTAGGATCTAGAAGATCCAGAACCCATAAACGAGAGTCTAGACATTTGACATGAGAATGTCACGAGGCTGAGATATATATAAATACTCAGGGGTAACCCTGGGGGGAAGTCCAAGTAAGAACAACTACTCCTTAGCTAGTTATAAGTTATGAAGCATCTTTATTGAATCCGTAATATCTTACTCCCCTCCATATCATATTTTTTATTAACAGGAACATTCCTGAGAAACCCTAACAATTGGTAGCGCCGCAAGAAAGGTTCTTTCGGACGTACAGCAACTACTACTACTATGGCTCCAAGAAACAATTCCAACAGCGCGAGTACTTCACAGGCTTCTATTGGCGATTCCAGGAAAATTGAGGGTAAGCGTCTCTTCTACTTAACCTATGGAACCGGTATAAGAGAGAGGGCCCGAGAATGGATTCAAGTGATCCAGGAAACCGCTAGACGAAGAGAATTGAACAATGAGGAGATCATAGAACTCACCGATAACAATAGCGATGAAACCTTTCGTCAAATGTTCCGAAAATATCGAGCCGAAACGACGTTTGACCTTGGCGATTTCGTACAATGGTTCAAAATAATGAATAACGTCGAGGAAAGAAGTATTTCTCCGTACTCCCGTCTCCTAAAAGTGTTACAGGAAGTACCGAAAGGAACATTTCAATCAACATGCGAAGTGTGGTTAAAAATGGGTGCCGGTATTTACGGGCTGAATGAAAATTTGACTTTGACACGTTTGGTCCAACGAATATTCATGAGTACTATCAAGAACCCGCAGCTCAAAACGGCTCTTCATGCGTTACCACCACCAGACTCCGTTAATGAATTGGTCAGCGAGGCAATAGCTTTCGTTAGGCGGAATAGGATTCCCATGGCGGAATTAGACAAGGACGCAGAGGAGGTTTGGCCCAAATTACAGCCACCACCTGAAAGTCGCCCTGCGACAACAGAAAATCGGCCTGCGCCAACGGAAGACCGAGGACGTAAAAGAAATCGGGAAAAACGTTTCTTTCCTAGTAAGAACAAAAGAGGTTTTGAAAGGAAACAAGAAAACAAGTCGCTGTATAACCAGAAAGCTAGTAACCGGAACACCTATTATCAAAAGAACGGACCTCCAGAAAAAAGAATAAAGCTGGAAGGATATCACTGAACGATCGTTCCGGCGAAGACTTACAAGTTCAACAAATCTTAGTAGAGCAAGCAGATCGACCAGACAGCCTAGCGAAGCTTCAGATTTACCACTAAGAAAATGTGGACCGGAAGAAAACTCCATCACAATTACATTAAATGTGGTGGTACACTGAAGTATTGCTCGATATAGGTGCACCTACTGACCTAGTCAGGCCAACCATCGTTCGTGAATTGAACGCTAAGTTACAACCGGTTTAGAAACCTCTATCGTTAGGGCATTGCCAAGAAGGTGAAATGATTCCGATAACTCACAAAGTTACATTAATGCTGGTATGGAATGGTCGCGAAGCGTATAGATCGTTTGCCGTCTGTCCTACACTTCGTGATAAAGTCTTGTTAGGACGTGTATTCATTGAAGACCATCGCTAACAGCTTGGATCAAAGATTTTACAAGTTAGTCAAGAAGTAGCACTTACAGCACCAAGCGCAAAGTACGAGACTATTGGCGTTCAAGTTATTGATCGTGAATGCAAGAAGAAAAACAACGACGTATTTACTCTCCTTGTGCAAAGGATTGAGTACGACGAGGATGCACATCCAGGAGTTGCACCTGTTGATTTTGACCTCTCTCGTTATGAAAAAGTAGTAACGGACGCGTTACCAGCTGGTATACCTCCCGAAAGGCAGGTAAAGCATCGAATCTTACTCGTCGAAGGATCAACTCCGCCTCGTAGGTCTCCGTACAGATTGTCTCATAATGACAAGCAGGAACTGACGAAACAAATTGAAGCTCTCTTGAAGGGTGGAAAAGTGATTCCCTTTGGTTCGCCATACGGATCACCAGTGATATTCGTGCTCAAAAAAGACGGTAGCAAACGGTTATGCATCGACTATCATGTCTTGAATTAAATCACTGTTGAAGAAAGATTTCCACTCCCTCCATATCATTTTTTGTATCAACAGGAACATTTCTGAGATACCCTAACAAGCATTCAGAATTAGGTCCCTTGGCCCAGTTGGTTAAGGCGTGGTGCTAATAACGCCAAGATCAGCAGTTCGATCCTGCTAGGGACCACTTCTACACTGGGCGTGTGGCGCAGTTGGTAGCGCGTTCGCTTCGCATGCGAAAGGTCTCTGGTTCGATTCCTGACTCGTCCATTTGTTTTTTATTTTGGCAATTTCACTTTTTGTCCCGGTGACTAATGTATTTCTTTATTTTGATTTTTTTTTTTTTTTTTTTTTTTTTTTTTTTTGGCCTCCCTTTCTTATATCCTTTGTAGTGTAATATGCGCTTTCAATGCCCTTGTCACATTTTTCGCACCTCTTATTTGTGAGCATGGGTGCAAAATCGAAAGTATACTATTATAATCAAATGAATAAGCTTAATGGTTTCTGGAGCTTCTTTCTCTTTCCTTGCTTCAAAATTCCCATGAGGATTGTCGCACATTGTTGCAATCCTATGGACGCCATCAGTAGCAAAACCTACGTTTATCCGGGACTCGTACGTATGAAGTATGCTTTCACTTTCCAGCGTTCAAACGACTAAGATCTAGGGCGTTCAATATTTCGTAAAACATCCACGATTATGGCCAGTATACTGTACTGCTCTTTTTCCCCTAGTGGTCATACTGGCTACTAATACCCTACTAGCTTTTCTTTTTTTGTATCCACTTGCTTCAGCAATAGCGATTATCCTTATCGGTCCAATGGGTCTTATATCTGCCATATTTTCAGTTTTGCAAGTTTCACGTACTATGACGGCACTTGTTGCAATGATAACATACTTACCATATGTTCAGGGCGCTGTTTTCGATGCGGTTATCAGCAAAGAGAGCAAGGATGATATTGTTCTTCACTGGAAGCTTCATCGGAGAAGGGAAGAGAGAACACAGCCAATGTTGAGAAGCAAAATAATAGCAGTGGCGAATTTTATTCGCTTTCGAGGCGTGCCTTTTGTGTTTAGGGAAATTGCATACTGTCTTTTAGGACTTATTCCTTTCGCCGGATTTCCTCTAGTACTATACTTCAAGGCATCCAGAAAGGGCAATCGGACTCACAGAAGATACTACGAGCTCATGGAGTGGGATAGGCTTCAGGTTGCAAAATTCTACAAACTTCATAAAGGCGACTACACAATGTTTGGGGTTGTTGCGTTGACGCTCGAAATGATCCCAGGATTCAATGTATTTTTTATGTTCACAAGCAATATTGGCTTGGCCTTGTGGACAGTAAAGATGCACTCGAGTTTCAGTAGTGAGATGGAATGACCTTGTTATCCTCAAACGAATTCTGCAAGCCCAGTGTCGATTCCGCTTAGTATAAATAGACATTGTCGACACAGCCAAATCCTGCGGCCACACCACCTTCATCACTTGAACTGAACTTCGATCTCAACAAGTGACCGGCATTTTCATTGGCCAAAATTTCACCTGTCTCCTCGTTGAAAGCCACAGTTCCAAAAATACCCAATTCGGAGATGATTTCCTCGTGATAAACATCGCTGTTGCGGATAATTTTATTCTTGTGTGTTGGAGGATGGATGAGTTCCATCAACACATATGCTTCCCATTCTTTTTCAGGTAAGCTCTTCAAATACTTGGGAATATTCTCTTTGTAAACATTGTTACCTCCTCCTTCTCTCTGAGGCTTCAAAACAAAGTTTTCTGGATGCTCTGCAACAAGCTTCTTTGCCAACTGACCTTCCTCAGAGTTGTCCAAGGGATATATTTTAACGAAAGTAGCGAGAAGCTCATTGACCTCTTCCTCGGATGCGTCTGGTAAGAAGTTTTCCACAGTAGTTCTACTAGTTAAGACCTGCTGTACCTTTTTGGCTCCGGAAAGCTGGGTCAAAACCGAAGGGCATTTGATTGCTGCCGAGTTCTCAAGAAATAAACGAGCTGCCCATGTTGACTCAGGATCAGATTCGTAATCGACTGGCGAATATCCTGATCTAAAGTAAACCACAGAAACTTCATCCATGGTCTTTTTGACATAAAGCTTTCCCGAGTTCACTGTCAAGTGCGATTCCACTTGCTCCAAAGAGAAGCGGTAGGACTTGATGTTGAAGTTGTTCAACAAAGCATATTCTATATGCCGCTGGTCAAAGCAATTTCTTTCGCCATTTTGCACGATAAAGACGACTACCGTGGCTGTGTTTTGCTTTTCGCCATTGTAAAAGTAATTACCTTGCGCCAACCCGTTGGCGATTTGGTCGATAGAGTCTGATATGGGAAGATCATGCTCTGAGTAGTACTTGTTAGAATAGCTTTCATCATAAGCCCCACTATTGTTCAAGTAATTGTGTAATTGACCAACTTTAGACGACAATCCGCCAAACGAAACACTGACAGTGTTGAACTCAATCTGCTTTATCGAATGATCTGCTTGGTTGTACATATAGTCTGACCTGAAGATACCCAATGACAATGGCTGCACAACTTTGCCCTTGCCAAATTCTACCGCTTTGATGTATGTTTCATACAACTTCCCCGTGAAGTCCTTGTCGTAATCTGAGAGGCCCTCAATCAAGTCAATGAGCCAATTTTTTTGGTTCGCAACCACACTCACATACAACTTGTTGAATCCCTGCTGCACATTCACTGCCCGTTCGAACATATCTTTAGGAAACGGCGTTGGATAAAGGGTAACTGGTGCATTATTGGTAGAATGGACCTCATAGTTTGGTGGATACATAACCAAGCCATTGGCCAATGCCCATTGAAGAAGTTTCTCGACAAGTTCAGCCTGGCTTGTTTCGCTGAGCTCGGGGAAGTCCTTGAAGGTCATTATAATGTTGAACGAAGGATGATCAGCTGTGGAGTTATCTATTGATCGCTATCATACTGCACGCAGCATCGGCTTAATAAGCAATTGGTGCAGATCTGTATACGAAAGGTGAGACATACAAATCTGCAAACATCCGAACGAATTTTTGTGATGCAAGAGCCAGCGAGAATAAAGGGGACTTTTCGATAACTACGTGATCGAATTTGGCGACTGGATCACCGTCGCCTGAGATTTGTCTTGAAAGGTATATCCTGCACAAAGCATATGAATGGCACATCGAATACCCGAAGAGATGACAGACACAGGAGACTTAATATGGATTCATCCAGCCGAATGGTTTTGCTATTATGTACTTGACGGAAAGTAATCACAAGGAGGGTGAAAAAGCTTGGGCAAACGACTATGGGACTCAGTCACGTGATAACAGTGACTGCTTTGCCGGCAGCCTGTGCACATCAAACGTGACACAAAAGCGCATCCTGCGAAAAAGTGTTGAAAATTCACCTTGGAACAAATCTCTACTAGTAACTACACACAAATAGTATGTTGAGCCCCAGCCACGTTACTTGCTGAACCAGAGTGAAAAATATGCCAAATCTAGCTGCAATATCCCATTTCCATTTCCCTTTCTGTAAATCGGGAACCTGAGCAACTTTTGAACATAGCTATTCCGAAAGATAATCTGGAGTCCCCAGCAGCTTCATGTGGCATTTTGCTTATCCCAGTGTCCTTTACTAACGAATTCTAGTGAAATACTTAGCTGCTTACTTATTGTTGGTCAACGCTGGTAACACCGCCCCATCTGCTGCTGACGTCAAGAAGGTCTTGGAATCCGTCTCTATTGAGGTTGAGGACGACAAGGTTGAGAAGTTGTTGGCTGAAGTTGAAGGCAAGAACGTCGAAGAGTTGATTGCCGAGGGTAACGAGAAGTTGTCTTCTGTTCCATCTGGTGCTCCAGCTGCTGCTGGTGCCGCTGCTGCTTCTGGTTCTACTGAGGCTGCTGCTGAAGAGCCACAAGAAGAAGAGAAGGAGGAGTCTGACGACGACATGGGTTTCGGTTTGTTCGACTAAGCATCTTAACTAGAACTCTGTATCATACTAATGAACCCCGCTAGGTGGAAACTGTAGTTATGCTTTGGCTCGGTCCAAGGCAATTTTACATGAACGTAATGAATTCTTTCAGGCTTTTTCACAGAAACAACTAGAGAAGCTACACAAGAGGATGTTTCTCGGAACAACTCAAAGTCAGAATGAATCAAGGTCCGTATATGTGTATGTAATGTGTACGAATGTGCACAGTCCAGACCAAGAGGTGATGTTAGTGCAGTTAAAATACCACTGTAATTGTATTTGATCATATCCATTCTCTTGCAACTGAGCTAGCAAACTCACATTATCCCCAATTATTTTTAACACTCAAGCCCACGCATGCACATGCAGCTTAAACGCACTGTCTTCTTATCTTGTTATATGATAACTAAAATTCGTCAGCCTTCCGCAAGGCATTGGGATTTCCGAAAACAAGATGACGGGCCTCTAACATAAAGGTGTCAAAATCTGCATCGGTTTTGTCCCGAACGTTTTTTGTATTCTTACGCATCTCCGTTTCTTTGCTCAACCACTGCAAGAACTGCTTTGATGGCCTTAAATCGTGGTTTCTGTGTAATTCCACCAAAGACTTGAACATGTTCTGTAGTTGCTCCTCCGATTGTGAAGCTGGCACCAAAGTCTGGAGCATTTCTGATACACGCTCTTGTGGTTTGGGGCTATCTTCATCTCTCTTGTCAGGCAGAGATGGCAAGAGATTCAAGTCCTCAAAAAGCATGGCAATACGCTCTTGCGTTTCATGATCTGCTTTTGGAAAAATACGCAAAAGCCTCAGAAAACCAAGTGATTTGGATGCGTCTTCGACATTGAAAAACTGATAGGCGAAAGCCATATCCGAGGCAAGCGCATGTATCACCCCTGCAATCCGTTTCCGCACCACGTCCAGCGTTTCTGGGCTCTCTAATGTTGCAAAAAGAGTCACCATAAAGTTGTCATCCTGCTTTTCGAAAACATTTGTGACTGCAGCAGGATTATTTCTCAAAGACGAACCCATGATCCGGAATGACTTTTCTGGGATCTGAGACTCCGAAGAAGTAAGCTGTGCAGCGTCCAACAATGAAGAAAAGACCTTAGGATCCCTCGTCAAACGTTCTCCAAAGTCAATGTCATGACTCAAGTCTATCAAAGTGTCCAAGGCCTTTTCCAAGCGCGAGACATCTGCGTTCTTGCCGAAATGCAATAGTTCTTCCACCGAGGAAGCATAGTCGGAGAGTTCTGATTCGCTCACCTTGGATTTTCGAAAGTTCATTTGCTCTTGCTTATACTTTTTGAGGGTTTCTTGAATCTTCTGTTCGATAGGTACTTCCAGCTCAACTTGGGCACCTTCCACCAAAACGGGAACCTGCGCATCTGAATCCTCCTCCAGAACGAGCTTTGCTTCTCGTTCTCCTGTTTCCATATTCAAACGAACATGTAACCCCGGTGGTATGTCCTGCCCTTCTCGAACTGTTTGCCACTCATCAGTAGGCTTGAATACCTTTGGGTAACAATGTGCCACGTTAGAGTCTGGACAAACAACCTCTAACGTTGGGTCTATGAGTCCTGCTGCTGCAAGGGAAACAAAGATCGATATTATAAGCGCTGAGTACTTCATGATGATAAAGAAGACTGAAGTAATGGATGAAAAGTACAGGTGGCTCTCTTGTGTGCACGAATCTGGGGGAGATGTATGAGCATATAGTGGGGAGATTAAGAAACAAGTGGAAAGTGAAGCAAAGTTAAATAAAAATGGAAAAAAGGCAAAGTGGGATCCTGTGAAAATGGAAGTAAGCAGAGAGGAAGAAATCGCCATTTGACGAAGAACTGTTTGCTTATTCAAAATATGTCAATCACCTCTCTTCGCATTAGACCAGCTAGGATGGTCCTTCTATGATTTGAGCAACAGGGCAAGGTATAAACGCAACATGAAAGGGACTTAAAGTAACAAAGGCCAAATAGAAGAAGTCAAATCTCTACAGTCGTGAAAACATATGCTACTTATTAATATGATTACTATACCGCACTGGCATCACCACTTCTCTTCTGGGTTTGCCTTGAAGTCCTCGTAGGCCTTGTAATTGAATACACTAAGCTCGGTCTCATTCTCCACACCCAATTCCCACAAGCTTTGCTCCTTTGAAACGCTGTGCTCTTCGTCTTTGCATACCAAAATGTCTCTTTCATCATGGTCGAAATTGATCACTAAATTCATGGACTTGGTGCCATGTGCATGCGTGTAGACTTTCACAGTGTCATAGTCCACGTTTCTGTAGGGTCTTAGAGCGCCAGTGGTGTTGATGATAGTATGCACTTGCTCAAGAAGCTGAGATGGTGTTGTTTCCTTCAAGTTGATGGAGTGAATGATGTGATTTTTGACATTCCGGTAAGGGAAAGATTTGACAATCCGAATGGTGATGAGTGCATCAGTGGGTGGTCGCACGTTAGACGTCAAGGGCTCCTCAAGATCAAATTCAGACATGGAGTTACAATTTTTTTAACTGCGAGAGTGCGGACTGATCGGCTTGTACAGAAGTAGGAAATACTGATATCAGACCATACATCTACACCGGAAAACGAATCGGCAAGAAACCAGTATAGCGTTCGATAGTTTAGTTTTGCATCTACAATCCGATTTGAAACCCTCGAGTACCTTGAAAACAGGTTTGTTGCGTAAACTACTGACTGTACATCATTACTACGAGCTGTTGCAATGTACTTTGGCAGTCTTTACAGCTCTTGTACATGCAACCAACTTCACCTTCATCTTGCAATTGTTATTGATTTACTCTAATCGTAAAACTAACTATAGTTTTTTTTTTTTTTCCTATAGTTTGCCTTCCACTCCATAAGGGCTTCGGACAATATTAAGTGAAGCAATTCGCTTTAAGCAGATTTAACTAGCCCACCAAAGACAATGCTAAAGCTTGAATCCATTTTCCATCCGAGTCACAAATGCATCCAAGTCATAAAGTATGTTGTAGTTACCCAAGAGCTTGTGTTCTAGTTGTCTTTGTGCTTCTTCAAATACAGATCCCAGATCCTCACTATCATCAGACGCATAAGACATGAGATTATCGCTTTCGCTGCGCACTAAGAGCCTTCTCGTTGGAATGGCTTGAAGTAGGCTGGACACATCGAGACTGGAAAACTTTCCTACTGGCACGATTCGTTTGAGAAAATCACGAATATCAGAACCACTTAAATTCCGCTGGTTCTGTTCCGCCGCAACCAAAGCTTTAAACATCTCAAAGGCAGATTGTTCGGGGGTCACAGGAGTATCAGGTACATCTAAACTTTCAGCTGACCCAATAATAGCACGTAATTCTGCTGTGGTGTGTTTTTGTCGAATCCTTTCGCCAAACACATCTAGTTCACATTTGAAAGACGATAACATATCTATGCTATCCACAAATGCTTTAAGAGGCTCAGATATGCTCTTTTGCTGATGTAGAGTGGAATGAAGCATACTCACTAAAGACCCAAGCTTTTGCAACTTCGTCCAGCGAAGTTCCTCGACATAGGCCTGTAGCTTTTCGCCCACTTGGCGATCCAACTGGTCTAAAAGAGCAAGTCGGTCGCATATAGAAAAGAGTGAGAGCTGCTTGCTCGGAAGATATCCAGAGGAAATGCCACACTTTTTTAGCTCCGCTTGCACCGACTTGAAAAGCGCTTTCAATTCGGGTAAATCCTGATGGAACAAAACAGGCTTCACTTGAAGTCGAAACTGCTCATATTGAGACATGATGTTTCTTATCAGAGAAATGGCATTCGTTATGTGGACCAGATTGCCTCTCCCTGCAAGCTCGTTCTCCCAGTCCAGGGTAGATAGTTCAGCACAGTATTGGTTCAACTCGCACAGCATATTATACAGAGCGATACACCGTTCTAGACTTTCTTCTGTCCGGGAAAGAGAAGACCTTGCGTTGTTGATGTGATTGACTAACCGCAAAGACATGGTCTCATACCTGTTTCTCAACTTCACTGCAGAGATTAGCAGACTCAAAAAAGAAAGGATAGAATCCTTTGGCGATGCTGGGACAGCGTCATTGTCCAGATCCTGAACAACGGTAGCATCATCTGCAGATTCAAAGAAAAGATACCACTGAAGCACGTAGAAAATGATGCATTTTTCATCGGGCACTAGCATATTGAAATCTTCGGGTACAGCTAACGGAGCGATGCCCAATTTGGTTTCTGCAACATTGCACAATAGCTCCATGTTGGCTAGCATTTTTCCATTAGGGAAGTCATCGTAGGTCACAAGCCCCGGAAGAAACGTGTCCAAGATGCATGCAAAGACAAGGTCAGGTCTGCGCATTCGCTGAAAAGACCAGTCTGAATTGAAATTGGACAAAACTGGCAAGGCCCGCCTGCGACACACATTGTTAAGCCACTTGAGAAGAATTGCCTTGATTTCAGCCACAGATGAGGTTTCGTTCTTCATCAGCATCAGTTGCGATGTGGCAAAGACGAAAAGCGTCCATATCATGCCCAAAATCAACTTGACATCTCCATCGACGATGTTTTCGGCGCTAATATTGCAGGTGTTAATTTTCAATTCGAGCCGGCAGAACTGTAATACATCGGCAACATTTTCAAGCTTGTGGATCCGGAAGGTGGGACGCGGATGCACCGGAGATAGAATATATGAAGAAGCACCAGTTTCGGCGCTAATGCAGTTAATAAGTTGCACAAGAACAAGCCCGTCTCCCACGGCAGAGACAAGGTCGACAATAGGAGTATTTATCTTTGAGCTGAGCCATCGGGCCATAGTTCTTTCCTGAGCAGAGGCCCACAGAGACATTGGAAATTGGAGCGGGTAGAGGATGCACTGTAATGAGAGGATATAAAAGAATGGATAGGGAAAAGAACGAAAGTAAGGACTGAAGACAAACCCGGATTATCAAAGGAGAGACGATTCTTTCAAAGAAGAGCAAGTTTTTTTTTGTTGGAGAAAGTATCGGGCAGAGTAGCAGGGTTATTCTATTTTCCGAAACGAGACGCCGCGCAGCAGGCTTTCTGCATGCGCTATAAAAATAGCGCGTCTCTCCAGGATCTGGAGTAGGACACAGGAATAGACAATGGGACCACATGAGAAGAGAGCGAAAACACGCGAAAACCCACACAATGGGCAAAAAACACAATAGGAAAAACGCCCCACGATTAGCGCAACAATGGACTGTGTTTTTGTTCTTTTATTTTTTTTGACGGCAATCTCAAATAACCGTTTCCAACCCAAAAGAAGTTGGGCCCACATGTAGACAGCTACTGACGCATGCGCGCGTTTAACTCGCAGTGACATTTATTATGCACGCTAAAACGAAACCAACACCAGACACCGTAGTAAGAGTGGTACATCCATAGATAGATTACGCAGTCTCACTGGCGGATCAGATCAGATCACACCAGATCACACCATTCGTAGGCAACCGAAATGGTGCTAATAGACGGCACCACAGAAACAAACGCGGAAAGTGCAGTAAGATTAAAAACAGTTGGGAGCACAAACCGCCCTTTTAGACCAGGCACTAGCAGCATTATCAGACCAATCCAAACACATCCCATCTTTGTGCAAACCTCGAAAACTCTTCCATCCACAGGATTCCATCCCCCGTCCTCCATCCTATTGTCTACAAGGAAAAGAACGGATGCTCACGTGTTTCGTTGGCCGTAGGCCGCAATTGGTGGTCGTAGGTCAAAAGTTTATCTATCAAGTCCACAACCTCGGGCAGAACCAAATGCTGGTTGTCTTTGTTGACGAATGCTGACCACGGCTTGCGTGGGTAGTTGCCCAAAATGGAGTTGTACTCGTCGCTCAATTTGATCCGGTACTTGTTCACATATGCCATCAAGTCTTTTGTGCCCAACACCTTGGCGATCTGTACAAGCTGATCATTGTTGGAGTCGCCGCGGAAAAACGGTTCCTTCTTGAAGATGATTGCCGCCAACATGCACCCTACAGACCATAAGTCAAGCGAGTAGTCATACTGTTGCAAGTTGATCAAAAGCTCGGGGCCCTTGTGGTACCGCGACGCCACACGCACGTTGTAGTCCATTCCAGCATGGTAAAACTCGGCCAAGCCCCAGTCAATTAAGCGCAACTTCTTGGCCTTTGGGTCGATCATAATGTTCTGCGGCTTGACATCCCGATGGATAATGCCCATCGAATGCGAGTAGTCCAACGCAATAAGAAGCTGTGTGAAGTAGTACTGGATGTCTGGGATGGTGAACTTACCGTACAAAATACGGAAATCCACATTATCAACCTGCTCAAACACTAAAGCTGGGATCTTGGACTGTTGATCGCGCACAATGTCCAAAAGACCCACAATGTTGGGCCCGCCCGTGAGATTCTTAAGAATCTTCACCTCACGGTAGATTTTCTTCATCTTCACCGGCTTAAGCACTTTGATTACACACGGCTGGTCATTAAGCACATTGACACCTTCAAACACCTCTGAGTACTTGCCGCGGCCAATTTTGCTAACGATTTCGTAATTGCGAATATCGCCCCACTCGATCACATGTGCCTCATAGTCCCAGTATTCTTGTGGCTTTTGTTTGTTAACGTCGGCGTAAACTCGTGCCACGGAATACACTTTCGAAGACATGGTTGGGTTTCCTGGTTTTGGTGGCAGAATTTTTGTGTGCATCGCAGTTTATGAAGGCCGCGCACGAAAAGCGGATCGAGCAGGAATGATAAGGGAGGGAAATCAACGGCTCCCAACTGCTCATACAATGGCAAATGTATGGACACCTGTAGTATTAGGATACTGGTTAGGACTCTTTATTTTCTTGATTCGCTTTAATTTTGCTATTTTCTTTTGTCTCTGATATTCTTAGTCCTTCTTTCTATCTGTCATGACCTTTGAACCACAACCACTGGCCTCAGACTGACCAGTTGCAATCCTGTCCCTAGCCTACTTCTAATCTAGAACAAGTATCACGTCTTCCCCTGCTTGGGCAGAAATCCTCTCTCAACTATGAAGAGGGAATGTGATACCTGAATGACTCTTACGTATACATGGGACATGAGTAACCACTAGGAGATTGGAACATCTACGAAAGGAGCGATCTTAGAAAGTCTGCTAATTTATCCAATTATTGCTCTTTGATTTTAGGAGACAACCTTCCCGGTGTAGAAAATCAATAATAGTAGTAGCTCCGACAATTTAGGACACACCGCAATTTTCTGGCATAGTTATGCTCCAATCATGTACGTCTACCTAAGGATCTACACCGCTTGTAGACCCAGATCCAGTATGAACAAGTGTAGTAAACTGAAGCATAATATAGGGATCGAATCGTCTTAAAATTTTTCACAGTTATGGCACATAAACTTCCCAAAAGCCACACAAAGGTGACCTAAGTAGAAGTTATCTGGATAAAGACATATAATGTGTGGCATGTAAACGCTAACGCAAGGCAAAGTGCTACATTATTCTATCAAGCTTATATGCCTTGTACCGACTACGTAAACATACGAAAGTCACAATAGGACGGATTATTTTTGGTCGGGTTATATCCCCAGCGGAATAGCGATGTGCAATCCTGCACTACAGCAAGACAGACTCCAGACTTCTAACAGTAATAAAGTGCCCCGTTGAAAGAACGCTCTGGGCGATTTTTTGAATATAGAAATCCGAAAAGAACCAAATTTCAGGCCAAGATAACGTTAGGCCATGCTATGATTTCCTCTAGCGTTCTCTCTGTTGGAGAAACCTCATACCAGCTAGAAATATGGGGAGATTTGAAGCACAAACTTTCCCAGCTAGAGTATGTGGCGTCCGTACGTGTTCGAAGAATACCCCTCTTCCTTGTTTCCATAGGGCCGTTTGATGTCTACTCAGAGCATGCTGAGACGGAAGGCTACTTTCAAGAAAACTTGACCACTAGGACAGGAGTGATGGCTCGTTCAGATGCAGAAGTATACGTGGTTTTCTATCTAGCCGGCTCAGGAGTCAAGTGTTTCTGCATTGATTTTGGCATTATAAGAGAGGCTCAGAATTTGGGCCGGAATCAACATTCCAACATCTACTTTTCAGAAAACCCTCGGCATGCCGCCCGCTCGGACACTGCTGTCTTTGATCGTGTGCTTGAAGGCAGATTATCAGAAAAGCCCACGAGAACAGCACCACTTCCGCCGCCACTGCTGATTCTTTCTTCAGAGCCTCAAATTTCAGAAACGATAAACAAAACCATTCTTTCAGGTCTCCGGCTTCGCGGGCTTTCGAGAAGCTCAGCACAAAGCCCAAAGCAGCGGGTTATAATTGGAGAAATTTACCAAATGACGAAGAAGGCGGCTCACTTTGCCTTACGAAAGTACAACTATGACTTTAACGATGCGAACACCAAGATCAAAACAAGCGATATTCAGGACGTTGTGGAACGGCTATTGGAGGTATTTGTTGACATAGAACCAGCAGAAAATTTCACTTGAAGCAAATGCTTTTAAGGGTGGATTAAAATGCTGTATAGTCGGTAATTGCTGTGAGGCATGTCTTGATTTTGTCTAAGTACCTGTCCATTACGACATCATTCATTCATGTCAGTTGTCTCACTAGCAGTGATTTCCTAACCGGCCACATACAATAATTTTAATTTCAACAAGTTTTACTTTTGAACCATACTCCATAGATTAATGAGATACACGAGTAAATTCATTCTGTAGTTCTCGATCTGAAATCACTAATTTTTTGTTCTTTTATTAAAGAACCTCTTCTAGGCTTACCAAAACAGCACCAATTTGATATCACCATACTAAAACTTCTGCTAAACTACAGTCAATTGTCGTAATCTACATCAAATATTCGAGCCATTTATCCAGCTATTTCAGTATATACAAGGGCCTAAAGACTGGCCAAATCCACCACTTTGTTTTCCGCAAAATCTCCATGTCTGCGGTCCGAAGCATTCTCCAACAGACGCTTCAACTCGCTCTTTCTCTCCTTCTTTTTCTGCATGTTACTGCCTCCAACATGGTCCAATAACAACGAGCGGTCCTTTAACAAGTAGCCGCCATGGGCAGGGTCAGAGTAATATGCAATGTCTCTCTTGTGCGTTGGACGCGCTTGCAAAGGGACATATCCCTTCTTCAAAAGGAAACGGTCTGGGTCGACATGAGCCTGTAAGCCCAACTTGGTGTGATACACACTGGTGTATGTGTAGCCCAACTTGGAAATGGCGTTAATAACACTGGAAGTGGCTCTTGAAGCCTCCACATTCAAAGGAACGTTATAAGTCTCGCTTCCGTTACCCAACAACTTCACACCGTCTTTTAAAGTTCCTGTGAGCAAGCCACAGTCACGCATGGCCTTGATGGTCAAGGTTTCACCCGCCTTCAATGGAATTCTACCGTGGTCCCAGAAATCCTGGATTCTGTCCAAGTTGACATCATGAAAGATTTTTCTGTGGGATCTTTTGAATCCGATAATGGGGAAACGCTTGTAGTATGGTGTCTGACCACCTTCAAGCCAGTGGGGGACTTTTCCACGGGCTTTTTGACCCTTTTGGCCTCGGCCAGAAGTCTTACCCTTTCCGGAAGCTGGACCTCTACCAAGTCTCTTGTAGCCCTTGACTGCACCATCAAAAGCAGCCAAGTTTCCCAAATAGGAAACATTTCTGACGCAGCTAAGGAAGGGCTGGACAGGCGTCGCCACCCACGACTTTGCCACGTTGAATAATCCCAACATGCTTTACTGAAGTAAAAAGTGTTGGCTCTGAAAATTTGGCCGAGAAGTCGCGCGCGCACCAAGGTGCAGTTTTGGTCTGGAGCAGAGGAATAAATGGATCTAATTAAGAGGAGAAAAAGACATACATCCAGCGAAGAATACTATTCTTTTTTTTTTTTTTTTTTTCTTTTTGAAAATATCTCTCCAGCTGATCAAAAAGAAAATATTTTTGGTTGTTCTCTTATGTAGTGCTCCTGGTTCGCTACCTAAACTTAGTAGAGGAATGTTAGCGCAATTGAGATCCGTTGAAGCAAGGATGAATCCTCAAAGATGCTCTTTTGGAAGCTAGGTCTATTCACAATTGTGGAATCGCGTCGTGACCGTATCTTTTAGCATAAAGTCCGAGCGCTTTGATAGGAAACAAAAACTTATATGTTGGATATTCGATGGCACAACTGTGATTGAAGACACCTTCAACGTCCTCATACTTCCATTCTCCCGTTGCACCTTGTCTACTCATAAGAAGTCGGATAGCACGGTCGATAGGTGCACGATCAGGGTAATTACCCAACAACAACGCAATGGCCGCCCAAGATGTTTGAACAACTAGAGATTTCCCAGTAGGAACATACGTGTGAGTTTCACAAGCCTTCATAGATTCGGACCAGCCACCGTCGTTTTCCTGCTTGCTAACGAGGAAATGAAGTCCTCTACGAACAGTTTCGGAAGTTTCATATGTCTTTCCCACACTTTCCAACGCTTCGATAGCAAACATCGCAGCATACGTATAGCAGACTCCCCATGAACCATACCACAGACCGTCGTGCGGATCTTGAACCCTTTCAATATATTCAATGGCGTTATCGATAGCACTGGATATAATTTCAGGTTTGTAATCTGGATAGTACTTGGAGAAGTAAATCAAACCCAAGACCGACGAATCTGTACACTCAACATAAGGGTATTCGACCATGATATTATTGAAAACTTCAGCGGGACTCAAGTTTTCCAAAAGCGGGTTGGCTCTGATCTTCTCATACGAAGAGAACGAACCAAACTCAAATGAGTCTGTGTTTTGAATGAAGAGGATACGGTCCACAGCATCATGCAAGTCTTGCTCAGCAATTCTATCTTGAACAAAATGGCCCAAGTACTCGTCATTTTCGACCATGATGATTGCTTTCATAGCTTCGGCAGAGCAATCACAGACTGTGTAGCCTTGGGTTTTCGTACTGAAGGGCCATGCCCCTTTGCGTTTATCTCTGAAAGATCCATCAACACATTCCTCGGTGAACTGGGAGCGGCGTAAAAAATGATATCCTCTAAGAATTAAGTCACGGAATTTCGGATCGCTAGACATTCCCGCAACAATGAGATATTGGCACATGAAAGAAACATCCCAGACTTGAACACCATTGGTTCCCATGACGGTCATTCCAAGAGAAGAATGGAAAACAACTTCATCCTTTCGCTCCAAAAACCGCTGAAAAGCATAAGAGTCACGGCCCTCCTCGATATAAGTAATGATCATGTTGAAGGCAAAACTCACAGGTGCAATACACAAGTAGTCTGTATTTTTGCATTCTTTAACAATGAGCTCGTAAACTCTTTTGGAACTGCGCCGGAGCAACCATTGTGGACGCACGTATTTTTCGTATTTCGTGATGAAAAAATTTAAGGTGTCCAACACTCTTGTATGTGGGTAATAGAGATCGACACCACAAACAGTATTCCTGTGCTTACTGAAATCAATCTGTTCATATGGCAACTGTTTAGGCAAGTAGATTTCTTCACGAATCTCCTTCAAAATCGGGGTGAGCTCACACGTATTACGGTTGGCCGTCAAATATGCCAATGGCAAGTAAATGGCTCTCGTATGGACCCACCATTTCGCAGGATGGATCGGTGTCCAGTAAGGAAGCATCCATAATTCTGGAGGAGCCGGATTCACGCCTTCCCATTCATAAAGGTTCAAGACAGACAACCATGCTTTCCCCCAATGAGGATTGCCGAGGGCCCCGCCTAATTTGTGTAGGGTTCTACGAGCTTTGACGCAAACAGGATGGTCGCTGGACAAGCCCAAAAGACGCAAACACACATAGTTGATAGTGGTACCAAAACAAGTTGATTTGTCATTTTCGTATAAGCCCCATCCACCGTCAACAGGATGGGACGTATTCACAAGATAGCGAATCATTTCCTGAGCATACGGTTCCGGGATTTCAGTTTTGGTGAAGTAGCTGGCAGCAACATAACCAATGGTCATGAACATAGGTCCTTTGTATTGGCAGGGGAAACATCCGCTATCGCTCTGGATGGCTGCGAGAAACTCTGAACCCTTTTCAGCGGCGGCAAGTGGTGTTTTAATATCAGGCTCTGGCTTTGGAGCCTCGAAATCCTGCGCCCCAATGAGGTAGCGCGTAGTGTTAGTTTGAGGAACACTGGAGGATTCTTGCTCATCCAAGTACCGCCATTTCGTAGCTCCCAATTCACTGCACTCAAGTCTCCAACGGGAAGGATCTGTACGAGGGAGCCCGAGTTTTTCTGAATAGTATTCCCGAGACATGGGAAGACAATGGTGTTTTGTGGAGAAGTAGTAAGTCTGGCGATAATGGGGTATGCAGGTTACATCACGACACGAAGAGGTTAGGAGAAAGGAGAATACATTTGGTAAGAGTACCGAGAAGTACAAAAAAAATCGAATAGGAGTTGAAGACGCGTCAAAGGAAATGCAAGGAGACAATTACTCGGAGGGTTTCTCGTGAATGTAAAGACAGAAACATCCCTAGTGTAGAATGTTAGTCACTCGACTACTATGCGGGAGAAAGTCGCAGGTACTAATAGGCGACAAAAATCGGTGAATCACCGCAGAAAGAAAAATCCCCGGTGCTAGAAGCAAAAAAACTCTCCTGATGTTCATACAACAAAAGCCTTGAGCCCAAAACACTATATTCCACAGTACAAACTACGGCTTCATAGGGCATCTGGTCACATGACCACACCGCTTGTATCTGGCGCACGACCTCTCATCGTGGAAAAAAAGCCATTTCCGTACTAAGCTATCCCACAAACGCCATGGCTAAAAGAAAATTGGACGAGGTCCAGGCCAGCGCAGTTCCTAACGATGATGCTGGTATTGATGCCGTTCCAGAATCCATAAACGGAAACAACTCAGATGCCGGTTCCGATTCTGATGTTGAAGAAGAAGAGGAAGAAGATGAAGCCAAGACTGAAGAAGAAACCATTCGGCAACAAGGTCGTCCCACAAAGAAGCAAAGAAAGCAACTTTCTGCGCAAGAGATTCAGGTGGCCAGAGAAACAGCAGAGCTTTTCAAGTCGAATATCTTCAAAATGCAAATCGATGAGCTTGTGAGCGAAGTCAAGATTAAAGAGTCTAACGTATCTCGAATTGAAAAAGTGTTACATCGCCTTCATGGGTGTATTCTGCAGATCCCTGCGAGCGAAAGCTTAACACTTGAAGAGGCCGAAAATCTTATCAATCCGAAAAAAGTTGTTATTCCTTTCCCAGACCCTAAGCCCACGAAGACAAATTACAAATTTGGTTATTTGCCTCCAGAGGACGTTTCCTTGGTCGGATCTTTTGGATTAAAAACTGGCATAGCTCAAAGAGAAGGGATGTCTATTGATATTTCGTTGACGATGCCTAAATCTTTGTTCCTGCCCAAAGATTATCTCAACTACCGTGCATTGTACAAGAGAGCCTTCTATCTTGCGTACATGGCAGAACACCTTATCCACTTGACCAAGAAAAACAATTTGCCAGTGAAAATCTCATATTGCTATTTGAACGACGATGTTCTCTGTCCCATGCTCAAACTTGAGAGTATCAAGACAGATAACAAGGACGACTTATGTTTCCATAAGACCAAGTTCTCCATTAATTTGATCGCTGCGTTTCCGTTTGGTGTCTTCGAGCCAAAGAAGCTTTTGCCCGACCGCAATTGCATCAGGGTCCAGAGCGATTCAGAAGAACTCCCGCCTACCCCATACTACAACTCGTCTATTCTTTCCCTGTCCACATATGATTACTACTTAAAGTTTTTGTACGCAAGCAAGAAGTCAGCAGATGCGTTCAAAGACGCTTGCACTTTGGGGAGATTGTGGTTGCAACAGAGGGGAATGGGCTCCTCTATTAATAAAGGTGGATTTGGCCACTTTGAATTTGCCATAACGATGGCTGCACTTTTAAACGGAGGTGGAGCCAACGGTAACAAGATTCTCTTGCACGGTTTCTCTTCATACCAACTTTTCAAAGGTACAATCAAGTATTTGGCCACTATGGACTTGACCTCAGGTTATCTCTCGTTTTCAGGTGAAATTGGCGATTCAATCAGCTGCAAGTACAATGCTGATGCCGGTTTCAACACACCTACAATTTTCGATAAGAATGTCAAGTTGAACATATTGTGGAAGATGTCCAACTCATCCTACCAAGCTTTGCGACTACAGGCAATTAGTACCTATTCTTTGCTTAATGATGTTGTTTACGATAGATTTGATCCAATCTTATTACGCAAAACTGGTCTTAACTGCATGAAGTACGATTTGGTGTATAATGTTGAGCTTCCTGAGGACCTCTACGAATCCTTTGGCGCCTTAGAGAAGATATCATTCATCACCTTTGACAACTACGTCAAACACAAATTGTACGTGATCTTGAAAACAGCATTGGGTGAACGAGTAACGAGCTTAGAAATCTTGAATGAAAAAGTTTCTAATGCTTTCCCTCTCACAAGGAGAAAGCCTACCCAACCACATTGCACAAAATACACTATTGGTCTTGAGTTAAATGCAGATGAGTGCGATAAATTGGTTACTAAGGGCCCTAATGATATAGATGAAGAACAAGCGGCCAAATTCCGTGCCTTTTGGGGCTCCAAGTCTTCTTTGAGAAGATTCAAAGACGGAACAATCCAACACTGTGTTGTTTGGACAGTGGAAAAAAATGAACCGCTAGTTTTCCAAATCATGAACTACGCCCTCAATACCCATGTTCACCGCCTTATTTCTCAGCATGCAAGCTCAAATGCTTCCAAATTTAATGCAAGGTTACCAACACCGCTGAATGCTCTTGCTTCCAACCTGGGTGTAACTTCCACTGCGAACTTCACTCTTTTAAAATCATCATTTGAAGATCTTTGCAAAATCATGTACAATTTGGAAATGCCTTTGGGAATTAAATCGATTTTACCCGCTTCTCCTGCTTTGCGCAACACTTCCATCTTGCAACCTGTTCCATTCGCAGTTTCTGATCCTAATTTCTGGAACGAAGTTGTTTTGCAGTTTGAAACGTCTTCGAGATGGCCGGATGAGATTAAGGCTTTGGAAAAAACGAAGGCTGCGTTCTTATTGAAAATGAGTGATACTTTAAACAAAGAGACGACATACAAGACATTCCTTTCTCGTGACCATTCGATTCCATTCAATGAAGATGTTACCATCCTTAATGTGATGGCCCCATCTGGATTCGGTTTTAAAATCAGAGTTCTCACAGAAAGAGACGAAATCCTTTACTTGAGAGCAGTCGAAAATGCCGGTACGCAAAAAGCGATCGTTCAGAACATTTACTTGAAGTTCAACCAGAGATACATCGGATCCATCAAACACACCAGAACCATTAACATTCTCAACAGCAGTTTCCCATACTATTCGCCAACTGTCAGATTATTGAAACAATGGTTGGATGCCCATGTTCTTTTAGGACATTTCACAGATGAACTCGTGGAACTTATTGCTTTAAAACCATTTGTGGACCCTGCTCCATACACAGTGCCGAACTCTGTTGAAAAAGGTTTTCTTCAAGTTTTAGACTTCCTTGCTTCGTGGAACTGGAAAGATGATGCATTAATCTTAGACCTCGTGAAGCGCAGCGACGCTGTTGTGACTGACTTGGATAACAAGCTATCTGACAAATTATCAGTTCAAGCATACCAGTTAATACAGTCTAACTTCGAGAAAATCAGGAAGAGCGATCCTTCAGCTATGAAGACACAATTCTTTGTTGGTTCCAAAGACGATGCATCAGGAATATTGTGGTCCGATGAAGTGACTCTTCCAATCGCAAGTAGATTGACTGCTTTGGCTCGTGCAGCCATTCTGTTAGTGAAAGACACGGCATTTGACCAAGCAACGATGGACTTATTCTTCACCCCAGCTTTGAACGATTTTGATTTCTTTATGAAGGTGAAAGGAAGCAACCTCAACAAACTGAGTGGTATCAAAAGAGAAGGCGAGTTCAAGAATTTGAACACCAATCTCACTTCTTATCCGACTGATATTACTTCTAGATACGACTTGAGCAGCGTTCTCGTTGATGAGCTCAAGAAAAAATTCGGAAATATAATCATTTTCTCATCCAGAAAATGCCCTGTTCTTTTTGGTGAAGGTGATAATGTGGTGTGTGGTGTTTTCGTTCCGACAGCAATGTCCAAAAAGAAATTCAGAGTTAGTTTGGGAATGGATGTGAAACCCACTGGTGATGGCGATGAGGTTGTGATCAACAAGCAGGAGATTTTTGACCAGATCAGCCTTTTGGGAGGTGATCTCATCAAAAGCATAAAATTTCGCAAATAGGTTAATGTATATAATGTACCATAATGAGCAATTGCACTCTCGCACATTAAATCCGTATGAGTATCTTCGCGGTGATGATACTTGCCTACACATACGCAACGCTAAAAACCAGAGTATCTTATTCCACCTGCTTGTTCGTGTTTCGAAAAACATACTGCGATAACACCGTATCCTTTCATTTTCCCGATGCTGGATCCGAGTAATTTCGAGACTCAGAGACATCCAACAGTGGAGGAAACTATAGTCAATAACGTTTCCACACTATATCGGCGCAAAAAGCATTTTTTGGGTGATTTACGCCGCCTCATGGGGACATTGGGATACGTATTCATAGCCATGGCGTATCTACGAGATTTTTCTTTGGTTCTCTTCATTCTCAGGTGCACCCTCCAATTTTTGCTCTCAGAGCCGTTCCCAAATGTTGGGCCAGAATTTGGGTCCACCTTCAATATCAAAGAAGGACAGGCGAGGTTCTTAATGCGCTCAGTTCTCATTTTCAACGGTATTTGTTTGTTCGTGCACCTTATTTTCCCGCTTCCTGTGAGCCCGCTTCCTTCCGGCCATTACTACTATGGATCTTCAAGCATGCAATTTATCGGGGAAAGCGCACCATGTACTCCTTGGGGGATACTTGCATATGATGTGGCTACCTTTTTCTTACAGCTAGTTTACCATGCACTTATGTGCGGGACAGATGATCTGGAGGTTTTGTCGGTTTCCATCCCAGAGAATTCCTCAGATGAATTTGGTTCTGTTAGTCTGGAAGCGGTGTCCGATGGCTACAATGGGAATGTGACAGTAATAACCATTGACGTGTTGGCCAATGTAAAAAGCTGCTTCAAAGCCCCAACGCTTCCCGAAATAGCTGAGCCAGTGGCTTTACGTCTTGGAAACAGAGACACACTACCTCTGTTGTTAGTGTAATGCAACTGCATTGCTTGCTGTTCAAGATTTCCAATCTACACTTAAATGCAAGGATCATTGTTTGTGCAACACTCCTTTTTTTGTTTTTAATCCTCATCTGCAGTGAAGTTGTTTCTGACGGCAGGACCTTCAGAAGACTTCAAGACAATAAAGAGGTGAAAAGATCAAGAGGAAGTGAGGAGGACGAAAAAGAAGAGGAGTAAATGTACGAACAGGCAAGGAAAATTAAGAGATAAAAGTACGAAGAGACGAGGGAAGAACGTATAAAAGTGATAACTCTCAATTACTGTGGTACTTCGCTGGATTGGTCATGTGCCTCGCTGCCAAAGTCTATGTTGATATCAGAATGGCTACTTCATTGAACAATTGCAGTACTTTCAGGTCAATATTTGCTAATATACCTGGAGAAATCCAAGTGCTATCGGGACCATGTATAGATAATTTTCTGAGCATACTCTCATATTCTCATCTTCTCGACTGGGTGCGAAAGTTGAAATTAATAGGACATAGTGAAGGAGAGCCCAGGTACATCACAATATATTCAGTTCTTAAGGGAAGAAGTGGATCTATATGAGTTCAGTTGGCAATTAAAAGTATACCTAAAAAAAAAAAAGAAAAAAAAAATAGAATAAAGTGTAGAGAATCTGAAATAGGAACATCAAATGTTCAAGTCTGAGGCCACACACCCGTGCACCATCCGATGAGGCTTACAAAAGCTAAAAAAAAAAAATTACTTTCTTCCCCAGTATGTCGAACATAGTTGGAATCGAGTACAATCGGGTCACAAATACGTCTCTGACGGATTTCCCTGGCCATTCTGCCGAAGACCATGCATGGGACATTGAGAAGTTCAAGCGGACCTTCGATATTGATATCAAGTACATTGCTGGAAGAAATGCAAACTTTGACTTGCGCCATATTGACACCTCGATCGCCAATGCGTTTCGTCGTATTATGATTGCAGAGGTGCCTTCTGTTGCTGCAGAGACCGTTTATGTTTTCAACAACACTTCTGTCATTCAGGATGAGGTGTTGGCACACCGTATTGGACTTATTCCTTTGAATGTGGACCCCGATGCGTTGGTGTGGATTGATCCTGCTGCAGACGAGGCCGAGCGCTTCAATGACACAAACACCATAGTCATGTCGCTTGACGTCTCTTGTACCAGAAACCCTCATGCTCCAGCAGGTACCACAGACCCTAAGTTGCTTTACCGTAACTCCAGTGTCTATGCGAGAGACTTGAAGTTCGAGCCCCAGGGCCGCCAGGCCGAGCTTTTCAAGGACTCCCCAGTGGTTCCTTGTGACCCTGATATCTTGTTGGCCAAGTTGCGTCCGGGACAAGAGATCTCGTTGCGTGTGCACTGTGTTTTGGGAGTAGGTAGTGACCACGCCAAATTTTCCCCAGTTGCCACTGCATCGTACCGTTTGATGCCTGTTATTGACATTTTGGAGCCGATCTCAGGCGAACAGGCGGTAAGATTCCAGAAGTGTTTCCCATCGGGCGTGATTGGCATTGATGAAAAAGGAGAGGCATATGTGGCTGATGCCAGAAAAGACACCGTTTCGAGAGAAGTTTTGCGCCACGAAGAGTTTTCGGGCAAAGTCAAGTTGGGACGTGACAGAGAGCACTTTATTTTCAATGTGGAGTCGACTGGAGCGATGTCGCCTGCAGAGATTTTTCTCAAGTCCGTCCGTGTCTTGAAGAACAAGGTGGACTACTTACGTAACTGTCCTGTAGGACAGTAGAGAGAGGGACCAATAGAGGAGAAAGGAAGGAGAGAAAAGAAGGCCCTGCGCTGTACATTAGAAATTGCATACATGTCATAAGTTACTCTGTCTGTATTTTACACAAGCTGTTTCCGAGAGCCCTTGAAGAAAAATTGCACGATGGTGATCTGCAAGAATGCCATTCCGACCATCAACAAAACCTCCAAGATGGAAAAGTAGTAGATGCGCGATTCCGTTGATTGCACTGTGGCCTGGTTACGGTTGTTTCTCGTCTTGTAGTATTGCAAAGCGCGTTTGAGTTCGTCCAACTGGCCGTCGATGGTTTCGACTGTACGCTTCATGTTCTCAACGTGTGCAATCGGCTTTTGGTTGGGCTGCTCAGGCATGGATGCGCGGAATGCTTTCGAGGCGTCGCCGTCGTACTTGATCTCGAAATCAATAACCTTCTCGGCAAAAGTCGACATTTCGTTGGAAAAGCAAAACTCGTACTCGCCAACACTGCGGGCCGTGAAAACCAAGTCACCTTGTCTTTGTTTGGTTTCGGAGGCGATGATGTTGCCCAGTGGGTTTTTGATGGTGTAATCCACGTCAAAAGAGCCTCCTTGTTGCACAGCAAAGTAGTAGCTCACTTGGGTGTCTGGCTTTTCGGTGAAAATGTAAAAGCAAGCAGCCTCTTTGGCAGGCAAGTTGAAAGTCAACGCCGACGCAGCAATGAGCTGGAAAAGGGCAAAAAGCGCAATACTCCGGGCCAACATAAGTGAAGTAGAATATGTCTTTTTAGCTTCTGGACGTGTCCGAAAAAAAACACCAGAGGTGTGGGTCGTGCGTGGGCCAGTGTGACAGGCCGGAAAGATACTGGGGAAAAGTCTATGAACGTGACTTTGGTGTTGAATCTTTTCCTCTATCGTATATTGCTTACTTAGTGTTTGACGGCTTTTTCAAACGGCTCGATGTTCCTTCTCGTTTGGATCGTGTAACGATGTGATTTAATGTCTGTTGTTCTAATTAGCCAGATCTTGGGCGCGCCTAAAGAAGAAGCGCGCAGCGAACAATAGAAGCAGCAGATGCGTTATGATCATATTGATCAGCATTGCGTATCGTCAAATGTTCAAAAGATTTTTTAGCATTCTTTGAATGCAGACGCTCCTAGTAGAGCAAAACTTTCGTGTAAGGCCGTTGAAGCTTTCTCACTAGAAAAAGACGCGAACTATTTTTCCTCTGGGACCACCTAAATGGAGAAACTACGACGCATGTTACCAACTGGACTAGAAAGTCGAGTTTTGCAAAGTATTCTCTAAATCTCGTGTATTTAATTAAAAGTTTATCATCATTGTGGTTCCCATAGTGTCGTCCAGCGACTTTATATTTATGGCAGGTTTAAAGATTCTCACACCAAGTTTAGCACTAAACCACACTACTACCGACATCCTGTTGAAATATCCATTGTTCTATGTACATGCGATTAGACAGTGTAAACCATACGACCAAGCTTGTCAAAACCGACTGCTCTGTCCTTCTTTCTGTCTCTCCTAGAAGCACCATAACGGTACCCCACCTTTCCAGAAGTGGCGTTAGTGAATCTAAATTGAACCTTATCCCCATCCTTCTGCGTTCCAACGGTAACCTTATTCAATTGGACGCGGTGGTTACTTTCTTCCTTGAACTCCGACAAGTTGTCCAAAGTCTGCTGAGCAGGCTCTAGACCGAAGATCTTTGCTGCATCAACCGGACCGAAAGGCTCTGACTCAGAAATGGTCAAAAACCGTTGGTTCAACGTCTTGTGTGGTGTAGGAATCTCGGTCAAAATGTCTGCCTCACGTGGAGGATCGTACAAAGGAAACATCTTCTTCATAATGGAGGAAAAACGCACAATTTCCTTATTCATAGTGCCCTGAATGTTAGTATAAAGTTTCAAAAATACTTTGGTGGCAGTGGAATCTTTCAGTAACAAGTGGTCTAACCATGTAGTTGTCTTAAAGACTAATCGAATTTTTTTGTAATCTCATCATTTCCACTGCACAAATTCAAAAATTTACATACCT